TTCGTAAACACATGACCAGGTTCATATGCGAAACTATCCTTTTAGTAAAATAAAAGAGCCACAGTTGATTGGCAAGGACTGGGACCTTGTGCCGCTATGACGAACACATCTATCCCCGGTCACTTTCCCCTCCTCCCTGGGCTAGATCCCTGTACCAGCATCTTAAATCCCGCAGAAATGAAGAAACCCGGTGGTCCCCGTAAAGCCCATACAGAGATTGTCCTTGAAAATGTGGACCAGAAGGTGTTACCCCCCTTGAACTACTCCCTTTTACGGACAAGTCACGATGTGATCTGGAGATCTAGATCTCTCGCTTCTATCTCAGAAAGTAAAAGTAGACCACACGTGCGTGCTCCCCTACCCCACCCTCCAACCAACTTAGCCCCAGGCGAGACGCGGATCATGAACACGATTGTCCAGAGTCAGGGGTGTCTGAGGGGAGGGGCTGACACCCGGTACTTAGAAGAACAACAACAACCGATCAGTCGAAGAATGCCGCCCAAGAAGATCGAAAGACCTTCTGCTTAGCCCCGTATATTTACCATGTGGGTATCATAGACTCATAGGTATGCAGCCGTGACTCCAAGATGCATAAGCGTAGATGTGTTGGGATCGCGGTACTGGTCGCAACACTGGCGGTGTCCACAAACCACGTCGTTGCCCTGCACAAGAGAATCAAATGGACAGGAGATCATAGCTCACGATATGAAGATCGACAGTCAATGCCGGCACGTCCTTGCCAAGGCAATAACAAGCGACTCTCTCCCCAAGAAGTATGACACAGGGCCGCAACGGTTTTTTCTAGACCAGAACAGGAAGAGTGGATCGAGATGCAACGAAACTCAGGCAATCGGAGCACGCAGAAGGCAGATACGCGCTAACCGCTTTCTTACTGCATTTGCGATGCAATGTGGCAGAAACCGGGATGATACCGAGACCAATAGCGAGGCTTGACTGGTGTTGGGTGACAGCGCCAGTATGATTACCCACCTGCGGCAGGATTTGTTTTAGGTATGGAGGATGTTATTTCCTTTTGCCTTTTTGCATGGTTGCATTTTGGCGTTTTGTTTTGGCGCATTTTTTTCTTTCCAAATTTTTTTTTATTTTTCGGATTTTTAAATCCTTGGTGTTGCTACTCGAGTCATGTCAAGCCGAAAGGGATGGATACTCTCGGGCCTCTTGAGGTATTTCGAAGTATTGAGAACCTGAAGCCTCGAGGGGTGCCGGGATTGAAGCATATATGCAAGCATTAAAGCGATCCCCGAAGGTATTTCTTTGTGATCGGGGATCCCTCGTGGCAGCCATGGCTTGGAAGATTCTCTGAGATCAATCCTAAAGCGGTATACCGCCCCAGAAAGGCCCCGAATGTAATAGGCTGGGCAGTCGGGTTACTACAGGACATGCCATGGGTCACGGTTCTCATATCATGATGAGCCCGACCAATAACCAAAAGTGAACAATTGCCCGCTGATCGATGGCGAAACTCACTAACCTCACTAACCAGTGATCCACGCACGAGCAAGGCGAGATAGTCCACCCTAGGCGTAATTTATCATTTCCTCGCGCCGTTGGACTGCATAATGACGACCATTTTTGCCCCGACTAGCGCCATCCATAGAAATAAAAAACAGGCACTGCAGGGGCTGTTGCCGATATCCCAGATGTGGAAAGATGTCAAGGATCATTGAGGTTCATCTAATTCTTGTTTGCTGATTTTCGACTACTTTCTCGTAGTCGATCTCCCCACGACTTCCGCAGTATGAAGCGATAAGAATAGTTCTCGTTCTAAGTTGAAGCATTTCGAAACACGATATCTTTAGAATGTCGCCGGATCTGGAACAAATAGACGCGAATGTTTGAGAGTGAGACAGATATCGGCGATCGGAGGCTTCGTAACCGGGGCCATCAGAACAAAGGAAAAACGTGGCCGATAGCCGATCTGTGAGCCACCGAATCCTTCTTCGAGTCCTAGTGGAGTTCCAGAGTGACTGCAGAAGGGCTGGGCAGGAAACGGGAATGACAGAGACTTGAGCCAGGGTCATCCTTGTTGGATCACTTGCAACCCATGGAGGAGAAAAGAACTGCAGGGTTTGACAGGTTGAAGTATGGTTTAGAAGGCCTGAGCACCCGTGTGTTCCATGGAAGCCACTTGTGATTATTCACCAATTGCAAATAGTGGAGATTTGGAATGATGCAGATCATGACTTCTGAGTTGTCAATAGTCGAATATATGGCCTACCATGAAGGTTGGCAAGGCGATGCGATCTACACCGTGCACTTCCTTGTCTAATGATCCTGCGAAAAAGGCGGCAAAAATGCTGACAATTCCTTCCCCACGATGAGAAGTTCACTGCGTGAGATTAGAGATTCCCAACACCTAGGTGCTGGAAGTGCCTCCCCTGTTCGCTTTGGCAATTCAGTACTTAGAAAATCTGAGTTTGTCGGCCACATGGCAGACTGCGCCCCCACCCAGAATAGATCTTGTCCGGACCATTGGATACAGGGAAGAGGCCCTGACGCCCGACCGGGATGTCTCACAAAGGAACCCATGCACGCATCGCAAAAGAGGATACCGGGGAGGAAACGTGGTCGAGGGTTCCTGCGCAAAGTAGGAGGTCGGGGACCTGCAGGGGAAGTCGAACTCCAGTTCGTATGAGCCGTGAAGATGTTCACCGCATTTCGAGGATAATACGAGGCGTAGTCTTGTGAACAGTACCCCGGTCCTTCGTCAGTATCAAAGAAAACGGTGTCGTTGAGCTAAGCTTGATCCGGTGGAGGCGTTGATGTTCCCTGCAAGGGCGGAGCCGCATAACATCCGATTTCATAGTTCGGGACACGGTGATGTTGCCTCCGGGGAGAACACTGACATGCATGTTTTGTGTTCTGATGGTTGTTGGGGGAATCGTGATATCTACCAAGCTTGGTCCCCGAAGTCAGTTGACGTATCGTCTTAGGGCGTGTCGATCGCATGCAGGCTAGCATGCAGGCTTGGGTGGATTACACGTGATGGAATGATTAGCGCGGGGAGAGAAGACACGATCGGCTCGAGCAGCCAACGATTTAGGGGCGGGAAAGGTTCCCTGGTCCAGTTAGAGAGGTATAATTGGCGAGAGCTATGACCGCACATCGTGGACCCCACAACATGGGGACTGGAACTGATGCTAAAAGCGGGAAGAGCGTCAACGAATGAGGAGCGCAGAAGGAGAGTTGGTGAGTGTCGACATCACGGAAAATTCAGCCATACCCTGGTAGAGCCAATAAGATTTCAGTGGCGTAGATAGATTAGGCGACTACTAGAAAGGGGAGATGAGCAAGACGGAGCATAGGGCTACTGTTTCTTAAGCCGACGGCCCAGCCCCACCTAAATGTCCAGAGTGCAAGCCCGTCGATCACGACCCCGGCTGCTCCGCCCCGACCCTAGGAACCACTACGCAGCCGAGATAGACGACGGGACGATTAATTACGGTGACGGTATTGTTCACCCTCTGACCAAACCACCTTCTGATTCGTATTGATGCAATTTGTAATTGTTAGATCTACCGGAGTCCTAACTGCCGGCTTGCAACCCATGGCTCATAATGTGATAGACGCTGCCTGGAACTCCCCCCATTCCGTGATCTGAGTTTCCTTGAACTCTACTCAGGGAGTGATTCCCCCGGAATCGGTGGACGGAATTTAGGAGCCCGAAAGCCGGAGGACGGGAGATCGTTATCACACGAGAATTAAGAGGGGAGCCCGATCGGCCGTGCGCCCAGGGACTATACTCTCTAGTATATTTCATTGAGAAAAATAGAAAATTTTGACACCTGTTACATGTCTTGCAGGTACGATGTGGATCCCTATAGACGCTAAGATAGTTGCAGGTCCACCTAGACAGTTTGGCTTTAACGGCTGAACGCCCTATTGTCAAATAGTTCACCGTCAAGTAATCTATCCCCATCTTTCCCGCCGTTTCTGGATTTGGAGACTTGCATCATGTGGAAATATGTCGGCGCTCGGGACTAGCAATCAGTGAGATCCGACATCTAACAGATTGAGAACAGGATCCTAGAGTTCAACAGTTCATACACTTTTAGCCTACAGTCTCTCTGTTCTCATAGCTCTATGATTATCCATGGCACAAAGAGGGTATAACTATAGCTCATATAGGGTACGACGCTGCAGAGCCCGTCTCAAAATAAATGAAAGAATGAATGAAAGAACAAGCGAATCAAAATAAAAATAAATCCAAGAAAGAGAAAGGCAGACCAATGATAAGTAGGAGTGGGGAATGCATTGGACTAAATCTAGCCAGTAACGGTATCATTGGTCGGCGTTCTGTCAAAAAAAAAAGATTAAGAAAAGATTAAAAAAAGATTTAAAAAAAGATCAAATAAAATATTGAATTAAATAAAATCGAAATTCATAAAACCCCAAAATGACATAAAATACAGAATATTCATCCCTGTCACGCTAAAACGAGAAAGAAAATAAAAATGATCCCAAAATGCCCGACCTACGTCTGGTCCATATTGTTAGTTCCTAAGCTTCTAGAGTCAGTTTCAGCCTCTCAGGGAACTTTCCGGGTAACTTACACTGAATTCATACTCGCCCCTCTGACTGCCAATTTCTTATTTATTCATGAGACCCGCCCAGTGGAACTCATTCAACGTGCACTCTATCCTTTCTTCCTTACCTTCACCCGATTGTTTGATTTGGTAAAGAACTTTTCAACTTCAATCCAGACTCCCGTCTCTGTCTCTGTTTGTCTCACCTGCAGTCTCTGCACTGTGTCGGAGTACGAGCCCTCAGTTCCCATATGCAAGACTGTTTTCCACACAGTTGGACAACATCAACGCAAACTTCCTTCTTCTTCCTCTTCTTTTCTCTTTTTGGAAACGAAGCCCCCTAGGAACTCTTCTGCATTAGCTGTCTATCAAACTAGACGGACTATTCTACAGAATCTCCTTCTACTCTTATTCTTCTATTCTGGAACGCTACCAAAGCGATATACTGGCAATATGTCCGTCTCCAATATTCCGAAGTTACCACCTACTCCCCCCAGCGAGCATTCCATCGAGAGGAATCTCCAGGAGACCTATCCTCCTGTTCCCGGCCAAGGAGAATTTGCAGAGTATACGGATGCTCAAGTCAATATGTTCCATGCTCAGCACCCGCAAATTACATCGGTGGTAAGTTCTACAGACCCCCGTACTCATCCTATCCACTTAGATTGCATATTCTGATATGAAGTAGATGTATGCACCAGCTTCAGGTTACTGGCATCCCTCAATGCCAACTTCACACCCGGTAAGTGCTCATCTTCATCTATACTCAGCTGAATCCATTCGACTGACAAATGGATCCAGATGCTTCCTGATCAGGGGGTCAATACACCCCCTTCCACGAATGACGAAGGGCTCAGTAGGCTGTCCGCCTCTCCAAGCCCAAGCTGGTCACCATCCCCAAAGCGTCGGGGTCAGACACCCCGGGCTAGAGCCAACCGTCCTCCCCGTGAGCGAGGACGCCGCTCACGGAAGAATGCCTCTGCTAGGGCAGTAGAGGGAGGTGTGTCCACTGATAAACCAATGAGTGTCACGGCCGCACATCTGGTGCACATTCCAATCCGTGATATGCACGCCTATGCCCACCGGTCTGCTGAAGAGCGTCTTGAGGAAGTCGAGACAAAGAACAAAATCTCTCGGCCAATGAACGCCTTCATGATGTATCGGTCTGCCTACGCAGAGCGAGCAAAGGTGCTCATCAACCAAAGGAACTACCAGGTTGTCAACAGCGCCATAGCCGATAGCTGGGCAGTGGAGACAGAGGAGGTGAAGAACCACTACCGGGACATGGCCAATATCGAAAAAGACAACCACCAACGAACATTCCCTCAGTACAAGTTCAAGCCCAACAGGGGTCCGGCAGTTGCAGCGGTAGTAGCACCAAGTTCTCCACCAACTACTGCCAATAGCTCTTTCGTGGATCATGCTAGCCCTGCATGGAGCAGTAGCGATCTTGATTATCCCGCTTCCGTTCACGATCGATCGGGTAGTTTCTATCTTGATCCTACCTACCACACCCGATCCAGCACACCGACAAGCTTCCATGATCTGGGTGCCAATGGCTATATAACCCCCTCCTGGCAAGGCTACCTAGGATCTAGCTGTTCCACAATCCAGCCTAGTTCCTTGCATGGTGGAATATCCCACGTTGAGGACGTGCATTTCCACCGCTTAACTCCGCCTGCTCAGGAAATCCAATACGGCATGTCCAATGGTCTTAACGGACTTCCTGGTGGCTCCCACCATGACCTACTACAGCCCCAACCAGGCACACCTTTCTCCGGTCGCGTCGATTCAGACGGCAGTCTGGATCCCCAGATGCTCAGCTATGATGCTGAGTCTGGAGTTCAGATGAGTCTAGCCCCAGCATATCCTGCAGTGCCGAACCCCTACCCTGTTTGGGAGGAGGATGCTACGGATCCGTACCTGACCACGTCGGTTCCATCGTGCACATCGAGCCCAGTTCCATTCACCCATATGATGTCGTCTTCTGTCCCTGTTAGCATGCAGCGAAACCCTTCATGGGACCCCAACCCTGATGTCAATGAGACAAGTGACCCCTGGCCCGCTTTGCATACCCCTTCATCAAACTTCTAAATTACTAGAAGGGTTTGCATGAAAACACACGAGGCATGGAAAAAAAAAAAAAAAAAAAAAAAAAAAAGGGCGAAGTTATCTCTCGGGATAAAGCATGACGGGCTGATCCATACCTTGGCTCTTATTTCCTGGTTAAGCCGAGCAAATAAAAGGTGGCCACGCCGATGGATTTGTGGAACAAGTTCCAGGAGGAAACCTTTTTGGGTTTGGCATTCGGATGAAGGTTTTCTATTTCTTTTGTTCCTCAGGCTCTAATTTTCTGTTCTACTCTACTTGGACTTGATTTGACTTGGGTTAGGCGGTTTGGGATTATGGGATTTGTCTTGGAAGTAATCTGAAAGGACTGGGACTGGAGATTGATACTCGCCGGAGGATTTGTGTGCTTCTTTGGCGTTTGTTGGCTGTATTCCGGAACTTATACACTACAAATCATCAAAGTACCATTTTTGATAGCCATATGCACGTATCAATGTATTTCCAAGTTTGAAAATCGCCATGCTTTGAACGTTAAACGTCAAGTTCGTGTTGCACATTTTATATGCAACTCTCCTTGAACCCTAAGTCTGGCCAAACGGCCTCACCGCCCAGCGTTTGCCCACCGCCTCCATCATCCAAGCGCAACTGATCTCCGTCGTCGACATTTCCATCTGTAGCACTGTCAGAGAGACGGTAATACCTACCGAGCCAATTCGATTGCAGCCTTGCAAGCTGTCCCAGAGCCCCTCCTACAAACAAGCAGCCCCGCCTTCATCCGCCACCCATCACCCCACTCGACCCCTCCCCCTCCAACGAACGCGAAGCTATACACAAGCCGCCAACCCCGCAGATCACGATGTCCGTCCCTCCGGAAGCCCTGCAGAAGGTGAGAAAATCATTTCTGGCATTTAGGCGCTTGGAAATCCCAGCCTGCGGCTTGTCTACGACCTGAACACCGGCTAACGAACGGACCGCCCACAGCTCCTGCAAGAGATCGAAACCCGCGCCATTGCATCGCAGCAGCAGATCAATGTTACCAAAGCACAGATCACCGTTAAGCAACGCGAAATTCGCATGCAGCAGTTGACGACCAAGGAGTTGTCGGAATTGCCCTCGGAGACACGGGTTTACGAAGGTGTTGGAAAGATGTGGGTCTCTTCCCTCGTTATCCCGGTTATAGAAGCTGACTTTTGCGCATAGGTTTGTTAATGTCCCCATGAACACTGTCAACAAGCGCCTCACACGCGAGAGCTCCGAGTCTTCTGCGGAGATCACCAACTTGGAGAAGAAGCTGCACTACCACGAGACGACATTGAAAAACAGCCGTGAGAACTTTGATCAGATTCTTAAGTCTGGAGGCCGGGCATGAGATATTCAAGGCAGTATAACATGATTCTATAAGAGAGGTTGGATGGGTGTGATCTGGTTGGTATTTGAAGTCCCAGGGAGCAAGCACTGGGCTTCCTGGGCAGTCTGCCATCTACTTGCCTCAGCATTTGCCGTATCGATATAAATGTGCAAGATGATGGTATTGAATGCTCAAAAATCTCACATTGATGAGGCTGGGTTCATGGAGAAAGAAAGGGTCCCGGTCCCTTGTTTTGATGGGCATGTATGTTTGATTCATGGCAAGTACATGTCCAATTACCGGCCTTAGATACCCAGGAGTCTTTTTGCACCAACGATGATCTAGCATAAGCCCTTTAAAAGAGGCTGCCAATTTCGTTGCCGCTGACTGATATCCATTGAAATAAAAGCTGATGATTAAAACCTCTTCTTATGTTCAACTGTAATCTTTGTGTTCTCGCCAGCATGATAATCCACAATAATGTTTGTAATTCTAGCCTTCAAAAGGAGACCGTGTGCTAAAGAAAGTTTCATGACGGAATGTGCTGCAGTTCGAGAAGCCTTTGGGAACGTCACGATTAAGATAGCAGCAAAACGGGTGTAAAGTGTGTAGATAGATGGGTAAGAAGAAAGGTAGAAGAATTAGTGTAAAGATAGGTGCAAAGAAGGTTATCCAGAAAAGTTTGAAGTAAGACATAGGGAAGGATGGAGGATAGGCCTTCCAAACGGCCGGGAACAGCAATCTAAGAGGATCAGGAGAACAACAACCAAGTCCAACTTTGTCCATTAAAGGCCCTGATAAGGAACAAGGTCCCATTGTGCCTCCACGCAGCCCGGTGATCTCCAGCTTACTAGTTTACAACTTGGGTCTGTGGCCCTCACTTCAGGTACACGAAACTCATAGGAGCCATAGGGATACTGCGTAGTATGGCGAGCGTAAAATCTGGCCACACCCAGTTGTCCTGGGAGGTTGCCGCGGTTAGGAGCTGGGCAGTGGGCCTGCTACAACGCATCGGTGGATTCTTTATCATCTTAAATTGATTTTATTTATTTGATTCATCTTTGTGTTGAGTTTTGAAGTTGGATTTGACATTGTGGGATACCAATTAGGGCTGAGCTGAGCCGAATGACACTATTCAGAGTATTTTCGCTGCCCAAAAGCGTTTTTACCCTATTTAATTATGATCCATTATGGGACTCAGAGATTACGGATTTTATTATTGACACTAGCGTTCTGTTTTTGAGGCTGATCAAAGGAAGAGGGTTGTGGTGGTTTGATCTATTTCCTCATTGAAAACGGGGTACTAACCCTATAAGTTCTCATCATAATCTGAATTTACGACACAGCGTGTGCATGACCGTCTGAGACTAGTGTGATTTCTCCTTCGTGGATATCTCAGCAACTTGAACGCAGACTTCCATTTAGTTTCTCCCCATGAACTTCACCACCCACCACCCTCTTGCTATGTCTATCTCTCACTCCCACCGTGACTTGACCAATCCCACCTCCTCAATGCTCGCCTCTCGCCCCCGCCGCAGTGACATTAACCGCAGCACTCGAGGACTCATCTCTTGCTCCTACCGCAATACCTTGACCATCCCCATCTATCCTCCAAAGCCTACCTCTTCTTCCCGCCAACCCCTTTGGAAGCCACTTCGAACCTTCGAAGTCCCAACCCATTTCTTGAAGAAACGCAAACTTCAAATGCTCGAAACCATGTTAGAGCCAGACTGGATGAGCACCGTGGTCGTGGAAAAGCCCCGAGCACATCTGGATGACTTTCCAATCGAGCTCCTTGAGATGGTAGCCAAATTCCTCTTGCCGGTGGACCTCCTCTGCCTGTCGTTATGCAGCAAATGGCTCCATGGCTCTTTCCCCAAAGTTCAGTTCTACAACTTCGGATACGACGAAGCCATCTTCCTCGACTTCTTGAACCGACTAGCCAGCTGTGAGCCCCACCATTACATCTGCAAAAGCTGCCACCGTCTCCACCGCATTGAAAACGTTCAACTCCCAGGGCCCCTCTGCAAGCCCCCAAGCTGCTATGAAACCCCAAGCAAGCTCGCCCTCAATCACTGGAACAAGAAAGATCACTATCTCTTCCTCAACCAGCCTCTTATCTTGATCCAGTTCCCTTCCTACACGCAATACAAGTTTTACTTCGTTCACCTCCAGCTGGCAATGCGTCAATTCTTGCATGGTCCTGGCTTCGGTATTCCCATTGAATCCCTCTTCCACACAGAGGTCGCAACCAGTCCCATCGCACAAAATGCAAGCACCATTTATCCTCAGCTCGAGGAGAGCAGAGTCACCGATGATGAGGTTCAGCTCAATACCCAGACAACCCTCTTCTCAGTCGATGCCCGCATCTGTGCCGACCCACCAAGCTTCTGCATGCGCTCACAAGAAATGGCTGTTGTCTGCCGCGAGAAAGCCTTGAACCTTCTTCCAAACCCATTCGCCGACTCAATCCGAATCTGCTTGCATATCAGCACCGCTGGGTCCGGCGACCTCTTCATCTGGAATAGGGTCAGCGAGCTCGTAAAGCAGTACCATTGCGGCGAGCGGGGAAAGTACTTGACTGCACAGGGGCGTTGCCCACGTTGCAACACGGCGTGGAAGGCTCAGGTCCGAGAGATCGAGCCGAATGATGTTTCCCTGGTCATTACTAGGTGGATGAGTCTGGGCGCAGGTTTAGATCCGGAGGATTCTATGTGGAGATCGTTTATTGAGTCGAAGCATTATATGCCTTTTGATATGACGGCTGATCCGCGGGTGCAGTTTGAGATGGATTCTGTCCAGGCGCGTTCGGGAAGTGCGTTGTCGGAGGAGTCGCTGTTCTGGAGGAACTCGGAGCTTTTGCGGGAAAGGAAGTATCGGGAGTTGATGAGAGAGTTGGATGGACAGAGGTGGATCTTGAATTCTGAGGAATAATATTTGTGTGGAGAATCTGAGGTGGAGGCTGATCTTGTGCCGAAAGCTACTTCTCGTTGTCTTATCAGTCGGTTGATTGATTTTATTATCAAGGGATCTCGGGATATGGGTTATGAAAGCTCTGAACTGCAATGAATATCGTTAGCTATCATCATTATCTATCTTATTTGAAAATCGAATATCGCTTCCCTCGAGTGTCGATTATTTAGAAGAGGCCCCCGATGTAGGTATCCGAGATGGTACTGTGACCATCTAATAAGATTTGTGTTTTCCGCTTTCTTCTTGGCCCTTACTTTGACGAGGCAGACTTCTACTCAATCACTCTCAAGGTCCAATTGATCTTGCGAGTTATCTTGCCCCCACGACAACTCATTCCACTGTATCCACTAAGCCTCAAGGCGAGCAAATGAACACGGGCTACATGTGTGGATCCACCTTACCTCCCCAGATTTCCAAGCGAAATATAAACACGGGTCCCACATAGTGTGTAATGCAAAGCTCGGTTGCGTGTCGATCTACTGCGAGGTGCTGATCTTAGTACGGGGGCCAGTATGGCCTCATTGCTGATCAATTCGTATCCTTGAATACAGTACTTGCGAATGGTACCCAAGTCACCGTTAACAAGAACTCAGAATTATGGTGGGCTGTTAAGGTGCTGGCCATAACTTTGGTATTGTTACCTCGGTCACTTCTAAGATCTATGATGTTCAGAACGATGGAGTGTGTAATTTACGCTCAAGCAGAATCACAGCGCCCTTGATCTCCTGTGCATAAAGGCCTGTAATCGTCACATTCGTCAAGTAGCCAGTATACTCCGCAGCTTCAACAAGGTAAAAGAGCTTTATAATGCAATCAACCGATACCTTGGTGCTGGGAAGAAGCAGGCTATAGACCTGATGAACTACTTTTTTTCCCTTTAACTACCCTGCCATCGATCACAACCATGTAAGTCCATCCAGGAAAGGTAGAACTTTCTTTCCTCTACTGAACTCGATAGCCCGTCATTGCTTTCTTCATTCTCCAACAAGGAGTCGATGCCGTTGAAGAAAAGTACGCTAAGCCGTTCGAAAAGCTTGGGCCTATCATGAGCACAGGCGGTAAAGGCACATACAAGGATCTTCCTACGTGGACTAGCAATGCCGATGATTCACCTCCTTGCCAGAAACTTGGCCTAGCCAACGCCCGCTTCCCTGTGGGCCTTCAGAGCTACAACCCTTCCGCACAACGTCTAGCGCCTTTACCAACTTTACCCAGAAGTTCCCTGCTTTCAACCACTCGGTGGTTCTTCCCGGTAATGTTCCGGATCCACAAGCCAAGCTATTGGCGTTATCCAAAGAACTAGCTCGGGATACTCAAACATGTGGTTTTTCTATCAGTATGCCTGAAACGAGCTTCTCTGATTCAAATTGGCGGAAGAATACCGTGAAATGATATTGCTAAGTTCTACCCATCAGATGGAACCAAATGGCTGCATAGTGAAATGAACACCTTCAGAACGCTACCAGGAAGATATGACTTATACAAATTAATCCAGTGTGCTGCAAACAGGAGAAGTAGAGCAACACCAGAATGATGGACTGGTGAATGCAACAATGTCGCGACGTAAGAAATAATAATAACACCATCTGATAGAATTTACAAAAAACCTTCACACGTTCGGCTGTCACGACCGACAAAACAGTGTATTGGAGAAGAACAAAAAAAAAAAAAGACGTACGATGGCGGTATCACCTTGTGAAAGGACCAACGACCCAAAGGGCAAGTTTGTGCCAGGCAACACAACGATAAGAATATGACTCCGAAAGGACTAAAGACAGGAAGAGCAACTTGACAGTAAGGAAAGATGTGATGGGATCGACATGTGAAAGACCCTTGATTCCCTCAGAGCTTGGCAAGACACGGTCTCTTGGCAGGCGGCGCATTCAGGTATTGGCGATTGCCCTTACTATCGATTTTCCATCTGCCGTGGTTGTTAGGATTGGCGACAAAATTTGGTGCTGTCTGATTGATGAATGAGAAGACACGCTTGTTTGACACGGGCTCTGGAGATGGCTTCGGGGGTGGCGATGGCGTGATAGTTGCAGGCACAGCGAAGGACTGTTGTTGGTTTTGTTGGTTGATCAGGGGTCCCATCGAAGGCATCATCTGGTAGGGATGCTGGTATTGAGGCGAAACGTATCCAAATGGTGGCATATTGTAGCTGAAGTTCATGGGATACATCGGCACCATGGCCATGTTCGACTGTGCATTGGGGTCAGGTGGGCATATTCTCTGGCTGTACATGGGCTGAGGATAGTAAGGTTGAGGACAGTAAAGCTGGGGGAACGCTTGCTGCATGTTGAAGGGTTGTGCAGGCATCGTCCCTGGACCATTCTGCGGCGGGGCAGTGGGATTCAAGTCGACGACAGGAGTAGGGGGGACGTTGGACATCGCAATTGAGCCCTCGACGATCTCGAAAGGGTCCGGAAGCAAGTTGATAACCGCAGCATTTTCTGCCATGTTGGGAGTTATAGAACTGTTGCTGGTATTTGAAGATGGATTCTCCGAGAAGATGTTTTCATTCAGCGGGGAGAAGATATGCTCATCCAGCGGAGGCGTTTCAGAGCCTGGTGAAAGCCCCAGTCGAGAAGTGTTGACCAGCCAAGCCGGGTTGACGGTTTGAAGAAGGGGTTTAGATGAGCCAGCATCATTCATAGCGTCAAACTCAGCTATAATATCATCCCAGTTGTTTTTCGTGAAAGAGTCCACAATGACGTTTATATCCTTGTCGTCAACTTGAGGCTGCTGAGCAAACTGATGCAGTGAGTGGATGTTATTAGCGGTCACAAAGTCGATTTCCTCAATCAGAGGGAAAGACATAGGAACAGGCTCTCCTGGCATGTGGGAATTTGGAAAAATGCCCGAATGAGTGCACATGACGCTCGAAGTGAGAAAAGAATGGGAAACTCGCAAGGAAATGAAAGCAAGTGAAGCAAGTTATACAGAGTATGTTATGTGGTTGAATAGTGGATGAAGATGGGCGAAGTAGGAGAAAAGGAAGGGGCAAAAAAAGACGTTGGGGTTTCTGATGTAAGTATATCATCCTCCTTAGCTAACGTGCCATGGTTGATATAAGATTCACGGTCACCGTAGAAGCCGTCGTCAATTCCTATTTCAGGACTCAGTCGCAGTTGCCCCTACAAATTCCCAACAAATCGCATGACTCCTGGTGGACGCTCCTGCCTCGCCAGTTTGTTCCGAACAAATGCCTGGAGCAGCCGCGATGGTGTATCCATCTCTACCTTCCACAGCCTGCTTGTCCAAAGCAGATGCAGAAAGAACAAACCATGCAGAGGAATTGAAGTTTGTAGTATGAGTTCTGATACCGCCCGAGAAGGGCATGGTTAGCTTGAAATGGCAACTTTGGAAAATGGATCCTCAAGGCTTCTACTCACAACAGAGACGCAAATAATTGAATCGTCCACTTCGGAGAAATGAGACCGTGCCATTTCAAGCTGATCAAGTCAGAGACACTTGTTTTATCCGAGTCAGGGACACTGTAGCGACTGAGATAGGGGTCAACAGCATCATCGGCAGACACACGAGGTGACCGCATTTGGACCAGAGCAATCCATTCTGAGAATGACCCGCAAGATTCTTGTTGCTCAACCTCGGGCATGTCTTTTGAGACTAGGCCTGATAGCGATGGTACCAAGACTCGGTCCAACCGAGTTCGGACCGGGGCGCAGTTGAACCACTTTGGAGAATGACTCTGAATTGGCTTTGAATCTGAATTTCATATCAGTAAATCTGACTTTCTCTCATGGTGAGTACGGCGGGGCAAACCATTATTTTGTTCTGGCGTGGACTCCAGATCATAAAATAACCATGACATGGATTGATTAAGGACGTTCTTGAACGACCATACAATCCGGTCAAACCCTTTCTTCCCGTGTAACATTGATGGAAGCCGTAAGTTAATTTCAATCACTGCTCAGGTGGTCAGTTTGAGTTTGTAGGGCTCGGTAGCTCATACATACCGAATCTTTCCTTGCCGTGTCTCCGACCGCCACTTCGAATAGGTTTACCCGAAAGCCCAGTGCGTTCATAAGTTTCTTTTCCGGTTTCTACCTTGAGAAGGCCTATCACAACATTATATCAGTCATCTTGTCACCGCGGGTTGGCTTTAATATGCAGGGTCAGCACTAACCATCTCGCAAGGTAAACACAGTATCTGAGCCAGAACGTCCTTCTGATATCATGAGGATATTTCCTAGTGGAAGTGTTAGATGTTTCATTTCCGAATTGATAACAATAGTGTGTAGCCCTGCAAGGACAGACACAACACGGCGGGCCATGCATACCAGCTTTGATGTATGTATTGAAGAAGTCATGTTCGAGGAGGTCAGATGGGCACATGGAAACCCGAGCACATTGAGGGCTCTCCAGCGCATCCAATGACGTCTGGTTCTTCTCATAGACATCTTTTGGCAAGATTACCTCCACCTGTATAGACCCGTCAGTATCATGACTAAAAGATCCCAAGATACACTTGATTCCTCAATAAGCATCAAAGAAAGTATTACCGTATGTACAAAAGGGTGGTTGAGGATGGCAGAGAAAGGCGATTTTTTACTTGCGACCTCCTTCGGGTCGACTACTGCGGGGAGCTGCGCGATGGTGGTGAAGCATTTCTCGCGTCGGGACGCGTCATCAACAAAGTCAAGCATCTTGCAGGGCTCTCAATTATCAAAAGACCGTACTTTTGAAGGACCGTGGGGATAGAAGAGAGTGCTGTAGGTGATCGACAAAAATTCAAAATTTGATGTTCGATTAAGCTCGGGCTTATCGATAGCTCCAATGAGATCAAGATCACCTCGACTCCGATCTTAGACCGGGGAGCAACCACGAATCTAGGAATGATCGAAAGCTAATAAAGATGAATGGTGAAATGAATTCAGTTGATCATCATGCCTACTTCCACAGTTCTTAGGCCTTGTGTGCCAAGCAAACCCTTGTTGGCGATGTGCATGGATGCACGTGTGGGCTCTTTTAAGATTTAGTCTGTGAGGATGTATGCATAAATAATTATGCACAAATCAATTGAGCCTTGGATTAGCCAAGCACCACTATCTAGATGGCTGTTAAAAGTTCTAAGCAAATCAAGTCTTATTGGTTAAGGCAAGTTCAAACCAGGCCTGTTATGTGATGCGTAATATGTATAGTGAAGCAGAATATGAAGCCTTAGTAGCCAATTGAGGTTAGAACTTAGAATCAAACAGGTTATTATAAGATCTATAGCAGATTAACTAGCCTAGTAAGTGAACCTTTCTATGTGGATTCTATTCCTGCATGGGTATAGATACTTCGCCAAACCAACAATCCATCTATTTCAAACCACACTTTATCTAACTGCCGGAGAAAATACAAGAAATCTTATTACTAGATTCATCAGCTAAAATCAACTTGCCATCTTTATCTTCTTTCGTTATCATTAATTTGAAAAACAAAGTGGGAGCCGCATTCATGCCTGAGGCAATAAGATGCTTCCTCCGTCAGAAAGCAATCCCGGCCTAGACACTAAGCCGTCCGAACCCCCCACACGCCAGATAAAGCTTGTTGTGCTCGCCGAGCTCGAATCCCCTCTTGATATTGCCATTGATACACATGCGCCTGCAGTAGGCAATCGACTTCAACAGCAGCGATCGCAATCGCAACAGAAAAAATCAATAATGGCGCCCGGTTCGCGTCGAGACCTCCTCACCAAGGAACATTTCGCATTTGTCTTCGGCGGCGTCAAGACACAGAGCTACCATGACCCTGTCGCAAAGGGACCAGGATCTCACACGTGAGTGCTACGCGACCGGATATATGCGCACAATAAATGACGAAATCCCTCAATCTTAGTATCCGCACGTTGGCATGGAATCCTGCCGGCCAGCTGATTGCGACTGGCTCTGCCAACAAGACGCTGCGCATTTGCAACCCCGAACGTCCTAACGTACGATACTCGACTGAACTTCGCGGCCACACTTCTGTTGTTGAGAAGGTCCTTTTCAACCCTGTCCGTGATGCAGAGCTGGCTAGTTGCTCTGCAGATGGCACAGTGCGCTTCTGGGATGTTCGCTCGAAGACCTGCGTCAGTCGTTTAGATGTCGGTGGGGAAGCATTCACACTTTCTTGGTCAGCCGATGGAAGTACCATGATTGTCGGAAGAAAGGTTAGACATACCCTGATTCTGGTTTCAAGCTTCAAGCAGCTAATTCAGACCGCAACAGGATGATACTTTAATTCCCATATCCGTTCAATCGACCTCTTCCCCTCACCTCCTCGCCAACGGAACAGGCGCATTCAATGGCTCCTCAACAGATCTCACCTCTAAGCCTGGTCCTTCAACATATACCGCCCTCCCCTCCCACCCTCAATCTGTTCAAACAAACGCAACAACATTCTCAAACCACATCGCCACTCCCGACTTCCCAGACCTCCACCTATTCCTCACAACCGGCGAGGGCCGTGTTAAAATCGTCTCATACCCTTCCTTCGAACCTATTCACACCTTAAATGCCCATACCTCCGCCTGTAATGCGATTTCTCTAGCTCCGACAGGTCGCTACCTGGCCGTGGGAGGCAGTGACGCTCTGATCTCGCTATGGGATACCACAGACTGGATCTGCCGCCGCACATTATCTAGCGAGAATGGTGGTGCAATCCGTGGTGTAAGCTGGAGCTTTGATGGGCGTTTTATCTGCGGTGCGTCGGATGAGCCTGATGCGACGTCGAGTGGATTGGAGATTTTCCATGCCGAGACTGGTGAGAGCGTGTATACTGTTCCGACTACTGGTACTAGAGCTGGAATCCCTGCTGTTGCATGGCATCCGTCTAGGTATTGGCTTGCTTACTCGACTACTCATGATGGGCCTGGTAGTGGAGGATCTGGGGGGCTGAAGATTGTCGGTGCAGCTGGTGGAGGCCTTTAATTTATGGACTGTTAGAAATACACCACCTTGTTTAATTCGATATAACTTTGGAAGCCAGGAGTAATGAATGAGATTGAATTATTATTTGCCCTGAATGAAGTCCAAGACGGCTATTCGTTTAAGGTTTCTAAAGAACAGGAGACACATATGTCTGAAACTCGGCTCGAAGAGGAGAAATATACATGGATTGGAGATTGAAGCTGTTCGTTCATCATAAGGTCGTAACAAAAGGGGAACAAAAACGCCGGACACACTGGCTGTCATGACCTTGGTCTAGCCAGGGTCCCAAAAGCCCACCTTTCCCATACCCAAGTCCAACACCGGCATGAGTCCCGTAGGCTGAGTTCGCATTAGAGAGAAGAGATTGAAAGGGCCGTCGTCGAAATGTTGTGTATCGTTCTTCACGGTTACCAGCAATTGTGACATTATTGCAAGTATTTCGGCCCTGGAAGGGTCGGTGGAGTTGTGTATAGTAAGGAGCAGTCATCAGGATTTGACTGGTATATTCTGATCTACTCATGAAGGGCGCCAGCTATCCCATCCAGTTGCACCGGCATTATTGTTCAAAATCTGAGCCCACTGAGCCTCACTTAAGGAGTTCATGTTCACATTGAAGTCCACATTGCTCAGATCAGGATTTGGCGTGGGCAAGTCCCACGCAGGAGGGATGTCGAACGCATTGGCCTGGCCAGGCCTCATGTTTATATCTGGAATCTGCGGGGATTCTGTGCTTGTCGGAGATATGTGAATAGCACCAGAGCTTTGACCGGAGTGAGCCGTTCCCAGGTTTTGTTGCTTCTTCCCGGGGGACGGATTGTCGGTCCCTGAAATTGAGTAGGATGTGTTTGAAGATGAGTTCAATGTGGAGGGCGTGGGGTGATCGGAGGGTGGATTCCTCTCCCCAAGGAAGTCTGGTGAGAAGTCCATGTCGACATCTATGATATTTCCTGGGATGCCTGTCTCGCCACTGATGCCGGAATGTCGCATTGGGTTGGAGTAGTAGTGAGTTTGATCGAGAGCCGCAGGATGGCTCGCATCGATGTTTGCTGATTCTCTGTGCCGACTGGGAAGAGATGTAGCTATTCCAGCAGGGGGCCGATTGGAATTGCCGGTACTTGTAGGATTTTGCGAGGGCCCTGGGGGTATGTCACCTTGTTGCGATTCACGTATCTTGTAGATTTGCCCACACTCAACCGAATCACCGCAAACCGTTTGCTACACGACCCAGTTAGCTTGAACCCCCAAAAATAAAATAAAGCTCGGAGAATACCGACCCTCGCTTGCTGAGCATAAGCTGAACTAGATTTTGAGACCTGAGACTGGATTCCAGTGCCTTCAAGATCCACATCCAGCTGAATGAGAAAGGATTCCGTCAGAGGGTTCTTGGATTTCATGGCATTAAGCGCTCCAACAACGAATTGCAGTGAAGAATACACCGCTGAGTCGTCAGGTCGCGATTTAATGTACTGAACGAAAACCCTTGCTGCAATATATAGGCAGAAGGACATGAAGGGATTCAACTATAACCAGTTAGATTGATATCAGAGGGGAACGTGGTAGATTCGGACGTACAATAGTCAAATCAACGTGGCTGACCATCTTCATGATGCTAGAAATTTGGTTCGCTGCCACTAGACATCGGCGCTTGCTCTCGGTGATGATTTGATTAGGCATTCTGTTCTTTTCGGCCTTGAAGATTGCAGCCTGGTGAAGGCAAATTGTCGAGGTATGAATACTCATGTTGGCGAAGATGACATTCACGTCATCCGTAGCAGACGGAAGTCGAAGGTGTTCGGGTAAAGAAAGTGCAATATGAAGTAAGATATTATCGTGGCTCCGATGTCTCTTCCAAAAGCCCCCATTGAGATCGTGATCGTTATCTGATGGCTGAGGCCGATGGATGTGCGTTAAATTCCTACCAAATAGATTTGCCAAAACCACCACACAGGCGAATGGAGCCAATGTAGACACACCTTCGCCGCCGATAATATCAGCCAGGCGAAGTGTGCGTTGTGGTTTGCTCTTCAAAAATGACTCTTCAGAAGCCGGAAGGTTTGTCATGATCTGCTATGTGTTAGCCATGCAACTGTAGAATCTTAAATTCTAAACAACCCACATCGTGTTCATCGATGACCAGGGGCCATCCAGTTCCAATACTTGCGTATCGGTCAGTACAAAAGGCCATCCAGAACACTCTCCTTCGTTCTTCACGTTCCGTCCAATCCTTTGGTGGAAGCATGGACTGTTTCACATCAATCCCTGAGCCGTCCAGGCGATTGAGACCCATCATAAGCGCCAGTCTCGTGGCTTTTCCAACACTCAGCCATGCGCGCGGGAAGTAGATCATTCGAAATTCGTAACTGCCAATAAGGATCCATGTTTGGCAATGCCCGAGAGTAATGATGGACTCTCCGAATCCTTTCATTTCGTCCATCTCGGCATACTTGCGAGCCCTCTGGTAGAAATGGGTATGCAGAAAGAAGTACTTGTCTGTGACTGAAGCCGCATGGCACCACATCATGTAGCGCAGGCAAATGGGCGGTCGTAGATTAGGGCCGAGATTGAGGCTTGCGAAATACCGAGGACGGTGAATGATAGGCATCATCGGATATATTTTCTCGAAGAAAATGCTCTCCCTAAATAATCAATTAGATGTCTGAGCTGGACATGTTCATCGTACATCACACTCACAGCTCATCAATCGCATCTTGGGCCGGAAGAGGTTCCTCCAGTCCCAAACTGATCAGGTCCCATTGAGGGCCGCTCGGGATATTATTGGTTTCCGGAAAGAATAGTTGACTCGGCTGAGACGTGTCCAATCCATTTGTTTGTGGAGGTATTGTATTGCTCATGTCATTTCCAAGGCTTGTGAGATCCGGTAGAGCGAGACCGGCTTCATCCTGAAAAGCCCCCGTGAATGCCGGCTCTTGTGGTTGAGGGGGAGAAGTGCGCTGCGTGGTATCCGAATCCTGGCCTTTAAGAAGAGTTTCAACCTGGGCTGATCAAGTAGATATGGTCAGCAAGGCGGTAGCAAACGCGATGAATCGAGTCTCATACCTAGTCGAGCCTCCAGCTGCTTCACATACCCCCGCTTAGGTCCACTCTTCTTGCGCACTTCATCGTAAGCGCATTCATGACCCAAGCGTGAGCATGTTCCACAGCTTGGCCGCTTCCCATCGCATCTCAATTTCCTGCGACGGCAGACCACGCAGGCGATGCGCTTGGGGCGTGGAACATAGCTGCTATCGCCCGTGGCGAAACTGTCGGTTGGCGCATCATTTTCTATGACGGAAGAACCTGTTCGAGAGAATATAGGCATGGAAGAGTATTGCGACGGTTCCTGCGAGAACTCGGACGACGAGAAATTATCCATGGCTAGTCCAGAGACCAGTTGGACCACGAGGTGTCGAAAATGCCTGAGTAGTGATTCCGACCGATAAGGAGTTGGCTGACAGCCCACCGCTTATCACTGATGAGATCTTCAAACTGACACAAAGGTTGCGGGCCTGGACGATGCACTAGTCGGACAGAAGTAGTTCATGCTCCACAGGCTGCTGATTATTGCGGGGATAAGTAGGAACAAAAAGTTTCTATGGATGACGGCGGCACTTTTGGCATTCAGGGCAAGGTGAGCTTCTTTGGCCCCAGGCTCCTTTATCAAGTTGTGACGACCCGAAACCCTTTTCGAAAAAAAACTTCGAAAGTCTTCGAGACAATACTGTGGAGACGTGAATTTAATATTTTATTTTTTTAATATCGCTCCTATGAAAAGAGTCGGTGGCCCTGGAGGTACCAGATCGGCGCTTGAGAGGTCCAAGTAACTTACGCACGACGGCGCTGCCTAGAAAGGCTTGGCAATCACGTTGATCCATGCTGGGAGCTCAACCCCATCAACCTTGAAATGGTTACTTATACTTCCAAGGTTATATGACAACATTCTATACTCTTGAAGCTCAAGCCAAACATAATTTATATCTATTGAATTCCATTTTGTGCGAATGGCATTGAGCCACCATACTATACAACAACAGCATCCCATACCCCAAGCTCCAACCAGTGGCAAATAAGCTATAGTGCACAGTGGAATGAACAAGACATGATGAATGCGAAGAGAAAAAAATACAAGGCAAGATATCGTACAGCCATCCCGTATGCAATTGGGACGAGGTATAAAATGAAACAGAAAGCATGTCTCGGAGAGGGATGCAGAATAGGTAGCTGCCGTGTCTACCCATGAGCGGGAAAAAAGCCAAGGGTGAGACTTCTAATTGTATCCACGACGACGTTGACCTTGGTTGCGGGGTCTGGCGTGTACGACTGCCTTGTTGATCTTCCACTTCGGGCGGGTCTTGTAACCAGATTTGGTCTATGGGAAACACATGGAGTTAGCTTATAAATCTTGAATGGATGATCGAGCAGTGAATGAGGTGTACATACCGGAATACCCCAGGGACTCTTCGGGTCAACGTTACCCTTGGACTTACCACGACCACCACCGTGAGGGTGGTCCATGGCGTTCATGGCCAATCCACGAACAGTTGGACGAATGTTGAGCCAACGCGAGCGACCGGCCTTACCCAAGCGAGTATAATGATAATTGGGGTTGCTGGCCACTCCAATGGTGGCACAGCAGTCCTTGTGGATGAGTCGAACCTCGCCACTCGCAAGGCGGATAGTGATATGCTGGGCCAGACGCTCCTGCTTCATACGCTCGCGCATGGAGAGGGGCTTCTTTTCGGCTTCCGGTTGCTCGGCCTCAATGTCCTGTTGCCGAGAATCACTACCCTTGGCCACGACAGTAGCGTATGTTCCTGCACTGCGGCACAGCTGGCCACCCTTGCCGGCTCGCAGTCCAACGTTGAAAATGAGAGTTCCCACGGGAATCATATGCAGCGGCAGACAATTTCCACGCCATGCAGTTCGGGCAGCCAGCACACCAGGATCAACTGTACCGCCCATGCTCTTCCAGAGATCCTCAGGAATTCCAGACATATAACTCTGCACAGTCTCACCAGCTCGCATGCCATCGGCGGCAAGGATATAGCTCAGCTTCTTGGTTTCCTTGCTGCGAAGCAGTGCAATATGGGCACTCCGGCCGGGATCATATTCGATTCGCTCTACCAGATGAGGTCCAGCATCCATTCGCATGAAGTCGACTGTACGAATTCGACGCTTGGCACCACCACCATGGTGACGGACAGTGACCTGACCAGAGTTGTTACGACCACCCTTGGCGTGACCCTTCTTGGGAAAGGTCAATCGGTGGATTGGGCGGCCCTTGTAAAGATGGTCGTTGACTGGACGGCGCAAGTGTCGCACACCGGGCGTACGAGGAGTGTATGTGCGAAGAAGGACACCGGCGGTATCGCGAGCCGGTGGCGGTGCAAACGAAGCACTAGGATCAATTTCCGAGCTCGATAGGGTGTTTGAAGGGGTTTCGAGTTCATTGATGGTGGAAGCGAAACGACGAGCCGATACGGAGGGTACGGAAGGTAAACACCTGAAGGGCAACCGAATGCCCCGGAGGGCAATTCGGGGTTGAAGCATCATTGAGAGAGAAGTGGGAGGCGAATATGAGCAGAAATGATGGCAAGGACAAGAAGAAGGGAAAGAAAAGACAATCCGATGCTCGAATCCCAATCCTTCTCAGGGCTCTCGATCTCCGCTCTCTAACTTGCTGTATCTTTGCCAGAACAAAAAGTTCTTGGGGTTAGTACACGTGACTATCGACACCGCCTCACGAAGACACCGCCACAAATATCGGGACAAGTGTGGCTAGTCCCGTGATCAGATGCAGTGACATAATCACGGCTCAAACGCCCTTCCCCGTTGCCCCGCAACTAGGTTGTTTACCCACCGCGACTCACGTTTCGTCCGCGACGTGTATCCACTGTTACCAATACCGTCCCTGCCTCTCCTGTCCTGTCCCCTGCATTTTTCGATCGACTTTCCCACATCTGGTCCAGACAAATTACATTTTCCAATTCAGTGTTTAATTTGCAATTTCCTCATACCCAGCATACCCTATTTTATTGTATTCTCAGTGGGAAAAACCTGCAATATCAACCCGCGACCCTCGGAAAGTGGGGCGTCATTCAGGTTTGACCGGTTTTCCACGCTAGCACAATAGGGCCAAACATCGCTTGGCCTTCGACTTCTTCCTTTTCCCTCCATCATTCCAGTCCAAGATACCCTTCCACATCCCTCCCACCCACCATATTACACGGGTCGATCCTTAGGTACAGATTCCACGTGTGATCTGAATACCTCTACGCCCTTCAATCCCACCTTTTCGCGTGTTTTTGTTGTGCTTCTGAGCCTGAGTGCGACACGGATTCTCGCCATATCAAGTTCGTGATCGTATGTGACGTGACCCGCGAATCATAACATCCAACCTACCCCAGTCCACTGTTTTTAGGAAATTGCACCAGTGCAGTTCCCTTTGAACAGACTACATATTCACGCGTGGTACGTGCACCTCGACCTCGACCCTGTGGTATTTGGGTTCCCCACTGAGGTAATGTCCACCGGAATGCTGACCTGATCCGAACAGGACTAGGAGAAGCATCTTGCTCTCCCTTTGTATTTCTTTCATCGCGTCCCCCTCTCCTTCTTTTCCTCCCGAGTCTAGCACGATGGCACCGGTAAGCAATCCCAGCCCTCTGCCAGCTCGTGTTTCAATGTTTGATGTGTCTTCATGTCATCTGAGCATTGGAACGCGTGCAGTTCTCTTTGTCTCTTGGCCATCTCTAACCTCTACACAGGCCCGTAGCCTCCGCCCCCGAGGAACCATGAACGAGAACGATGAAAACGGACCCTCGACGCGTCTGACGCGGGCGAAGGCCGCCCTTGGCGATGGACCTGCCGACGCAGTCAAGAAACCAACGCAGCCTATCAAGCGTGCATTGTCAACCACAAATGGACCCCCACGCCGCCGAGCCGCTCTGGGCGATGTCAGCAATGTCAACAAGACTGAAGGTGCTGAGGTCAAGGACGGCAAGAAGCCCGCTACGGTAAAGGCTGCTCTGTCTTCGAAGGCCACTACCAAAGCTGGCGCCATCCAGAAAGTCACTCGCGCCAACTCAACACGGGCAGGTCCTCTCAAGCCCCGCAGCGACAACAACAACATCAAAAAATCGCCAAAGAAGCGCAATCAGGTGATCAAGGAGGAGTCGTTGGATGAGCCTCCTCTCAAAAGGCACCACACTATTACCAAAACTTTCATCCAGGAGGATGAAACAGTCAAGGACGAGCCCGCTACTACAGAGGAATCCGAGCCTACTGGCAAGGGTGCTAAGGCTCAAGATGGGAAGCCGGAGTGGGAGAATCTGGATATTGAAGACTTGGAAGACCCTTTGATGGTCGCTGAGTATGTTGTGGAGATTTTCGATCATCTGCAGCAGCTTGAGCTCTCAACCCTGCCCAACCACGAATACATTAACCACCAGCCCGATCTAGAGTGGAAGATGCGTGGCATCCTTGTCGACTGGTTGATTGAGGTTCACACCCGCTTCCGTCTGCTTCCCGAGACCCTTTTCCTGGCTGTCAACATCATCGATCGCTTCCTGTCCGAAGAGCAAGTTGCTTTGGATCGTCTGCAGCTAGTTGGTGTCACTGCCATGTTCATTGCGTCCAAGTATGAAGAAGTCCTGTCTCCCCATGTCGCCAACTTTAGCCATGTCGCCGATGAAACCTTTTCCGACAAGGAGATCCTGGATGCCGAACGTCACATCCTCCAAACCCTCAACTACAACATGAGCTACCCCAACCCAATGAACTTCTTGCGCCGCATCTCCAAAGCAGACAACTACGATATCCAGACCCGAACCCTCGGCAAGTATCTTATGGAAATTAGTCTTCTCGACCACCGATTCATGTGCTACCCCCAAAGTCAGATTGGTGCCGCCGCCATGTACCTTGCCCGTCTGATCTTGGAGCGTGGACCCTGGGACGCTACTCTGGCCCACTACGCCGGATACACTGAGGAGGAGATCGACCCTGTCTTCCGCTTGATGATTGACTACCTCCACCGTCCTGTTTCCCATGAAGCTTTCTTCAAGAAGTACGCCAGCAAGAAGTTCATGAAGGGTATGTCGTATTCTGTCTTTCTATTTTGATTCCTTACCTTTGCTAACACATGTTCCCAGCTTCCATTCTGACCCGTCAGTGGGCCAAGAAGTACCACCACCTGTACATCGACAGCTCGCTTTCGGAGCCATACACCTACATCAAGGAGAGCGAACAGTAATGATGCCATTTACGATGTTATGCTAGCCCTGTGTCGCCCATGTCGTTTACCCTTTCATGACGATCCCAAGGCCAGCGGCTCGACCAGGGAAACTCGAATTCCTCCATATGTTGGCATTTCATTGTGCTGGTATCGAATACCTCTTTGCATATTCTTACGATGACTTGATTTGTGCGCTCTCGCATTTTGTTTTTGTGATGGGTTGGTGGTGTTCGGCGCTCAGTCCGGGGTTTTTATTTGTGCTGGATTGGCTCTTCATTTCTTTTCACTGTGCATGGGGTGCCTGGTCTCTCGCCCTGATACCTTTTTTAACATTCTCATTCGCGTTTTTTTGTGACTGGCGTCGGACCTTATTATTTGTCTTCTTTTCTTCAGATCGGAATTTTATCTCCTTACACCCGTGGATTTATCTTCGTTTGGAATGTTTTCCTGCGACCTTGGGGAATATGCGTTACACCTTGTGCAGCTCTCATGTTTATTGTCATTATGGCATCGCAGATGGAAAAAAAGGCGCTGGCAAGGCCAGATTTGTTATGGGTTCACTTGGGCCTGGAAGAGCTCCGGTGGGGAGTCTTCCATGGATACTGGAAGGGTTGGGCAGCGGTAATGAGCGTCAAGGTCCTTCGGTTTAAGCATGGGTTTTTATCTTTTTGTTTAGAGTAGTTGATTTCTGCACTGGGTGCTTAGCGTGGTTACTGGATGCAATCCTGATCTTTCTATGAATTCTTTGTGCTATTTTTTAATCTCGGTGTACATAGGCATTTCTTTCTTCAGGATCAGATGCGCTAAATCACCTTCACCTGCATTTTCGTTGATTGTTCTTCATCTTACGTTAACCGAGGTTGGATTCCACCGCGGGAAGATGTCGGTCATCTAGCTTGAAACTGCTCTTCATAAACACCAGTAACTACTGAACAACCCAAATCCTAGCTATTTTTTCAACGTACGCCTTGCCTTGGACCTGGTGCTCAGATTATTCCGCTCTAAGACACATCATACATCTCATTTCCAAGCCTCTCGGACAGCGGCGGGGAACCAAAATCACATCTATCCACCCCCCCTCGCTTTTCATACAGCCATCAGACAATATTCCCCATCTATTTATCTCAATTTATCCCCCCTTGTATCTAGCTCAATCTCCACCATGCCTGACCGCTGTCCTTTCTGCAATATCGCCGCCACAAACCCACCGGCCCCCTTTAATGAGCCCCCATCGGAATCCGCAGTCGCGGGTCCAATCTCCGATGCATCAAAGACAACGGCCCACATGATCCTGTCTACGGAACATGTAATGGCCTTTTTGGACATTATGCCTCTTACTCCGGGTCATGTCCTTGTGGCTCCGAGACGCCATTATGAGATGTTAGGGGATATGGGCGTCCAGGCTGGACAGGAGGTATGTATTCTTTTCCTTCCTCCTTACTATTTGTCTCGCACTAGTTCTACGCGTATTATGCTTTTCATCTGTCTTTTTTGTTTTGATCTTACTGATTCCTTGCATAGATGGGGAAATGGCTTCCCATTATCTCAAGAGTTGTGACGAAAACTATCTTCGGTGAGGATCCGGATAGACATTGGAATGTCGTACAGAATAACGGTATGTTTAATCGAATTCTTTCCCCAAATCGTGTCTTCTATTTTTGAGGTGTTTTTATTGTGTTTTATTTTGTTTTCTATCTTTTCTGCAAGAAATGCGACGTAAAGAAGTCTCTAACTCTAGTCTAGGTGCTCGGGCTGCACAGGTAGTGCCTCATGTCCACTTCCACATCATTCCCCGTCCTCAGACAGAGGGTGTCCACAAGCCTGGGTTCGCCATGTTTGGTCGTGGACAGCGCTCGGAACTTGATGATGATGAGGGTGAGGAATTATCCCGTGCCATGAGAGCTGAACTGGTACAGGAGATCAAACGTATCCACAGAGAAGAAGGTATCGATCTCTCGGCTGATCTCGTCGATCGGGGTAAACTATGAGTGCTCTACTAGCATGAAGATGCTGCTTGAGTGCTCTCTATCTCTTGACGATCAGCTTTCTTATTTTATGGCCCATGATGTATAGATAGACGTGCTGGTCAGCTCCCATTTGGCCTTGGGATGCTTGACATCACCAGTTTTTGGATGTCGACTGTCTTTTCTCCGCTAGTCTGCGGTCCCCTTGGTTCGGAACCTGTTGAAGTACTATACCAGGAGTGTTAGCCTCTTGTTTGAAAAGTAGCCATATATGCATATATACCTTTCGTCTGAAATCATTGACCTCGCTTGCCGTAATACCGGTCTTGTCGACCTTGTTTCTTCCCTGTGAGGTATCAGAGACTATACCTTCCGGAAGACGGCGATAGGTCATAAGTTGACGGGCCCCTAGATTGTTGTGAATAAGTTTTTGTCACGTCTGCTTCCAGGAAAGAATAGGTCTGTCACGTACAGTTGCCGAAAGACTGAACACAAACACTGACGACCTCCAGGTTCGGGTGCATGGGCACCTTCAAGTCATCGCCTTCGATAGCTGTTGGCATCCACATGGCGAGGCGACCATTCGTAACGAGGGTTCTAGACGCAAAGTCGAGAATATCTTTCTGCATTGCTTCGAACCCGTAGGGCTTCTTAGGCGGAATATATCCAGCTCGACTATTGGAGAAGTTAGCTCGGCAGCCTCAACTGCTTTAGTGATAGTTGAAGGCTGGGGATGACATACTAATGAGCAGGAACGCCATCAATCACGACAGGCTCAATAACCTTCCCGTTTCGAGTTCCCAGAACCCGAAGTCCTTCACGCACACCATAGGGCGGGTCACAAATGATACCGTCAAGAAGTTGACCATTTCGCAAAGGGGTATTGGTGAGGTCCGAAGTGAAAGCATCGACAAACTTGCTCATGGTGCCATATTGCTTATAATTTCGCAACAAAGCAATTTCACCATGTTTGCGCTCCTCATCCTTTCCACGGAAACTGCGAGGATCAATATCCGAGCCCATAGTCAGAGCCCCAAAGTGCGCAGCAGCCACCAAGAAACTTCCAGTGCCAACAAAAGGATCATAGAAGACCTTTCCAGGCGCCGCGAGCGCAATATTCGCCGTCACAAGACTCAGCTCCGCATCCATAGATGTAGTGGAAATATAGCTCCGTTTTTTCAAATCGTAGTCGACGATAACACCCCGGCCACTTTTATCCAGGTAGCGTCCAAAGTAGATATTCAGCGGCTCGGGATTCTTCTCTCTCTCGGCGCCAGGTATTCCACTAGGAGAAAGGTATCTCTCCATAATCAACCACTGATTTTCTGGATTCTTCAATTTGAGAGGACCGTGGAAGCCCAGGTAGGAGAATGACTTGATGATCTCTACCCTTTTAGCTTGGCTGCGCTTTCCTACGTATGCATCCAAGTCGAAGCCGAATTGGACGGTTTCATATTGGGCCCAGAGATGTGGGGTTCGTTGCTTAACATCGGCATGGACTTCTTCATAGTTGGTTCCATGACCCCATAGCTCATAGATGTCTTTGGCTAAGATGCAGCGCGCGATCAATGCGCGTGCAGCTGCTTCGTCTGGGAGCTTGACGATGCAATATGGTGACTAGTGGGGTTCATTAGCAGAGGCTCAGTGCAGGCGAAACAGATAATCGCCGAAAAAAATGCAATGTTTTCAAGAGTTTGGAAGAAGCTGCGTGTCATCACATACAGCGTCCTCATAAGAGACAATCTCAATGTCGGCCCCGATGACTGTGGCCACGGCTTTCAGTTCCGCGACGCGGAAGGATTCATGCCATTGGGCAAGCCGGATAAGGAATTCCATGACAAGGGTTTTGAATTTCTATCCCTTTTCAATTGGCGTAGTTTCGTGGAATGTTGGCCACCAGAACAAGGTGTGGTGGGGTATGAACTGCGGGATTGATTTTTTCGTTTCTCCGATGAAACGGGTCTTGCCGATATATACTTTATAGTAAGAACGCATAGTTTAGTTCAACATCAACCCTGAAATGTTTCAAGGCCACTATCAATATCTCAGGATTTGGATTGTAATTGTGAACCTTGTCGGAATAGACTAAATTCTTCTTCCCTGGTTATCATATAGTTTCCAGGGCTGTGCCTAGGTGCCAAATGTCGGGAGGTGGAAATTCAAAACCATGAGAGTTGACCAATTTACGAAGAAGAGCCTCATTAAAAAAACATTGAACAATCACCCTGAAGTTCATAATGGTATTGGCTGACCAAACCGAGTGAAGATGTACCCAAATAATGATAGCAAAGCGAAAAAAAAAAGCGAGGAAATCAACCCAGCCACGAAACATTTAATGAAAACCGAAACGCCATCTGTCAGAGAAGCTATTACCGAACTCCGACGCTATGCACCGACCACCTTAAACACATGTCGTGATTCGTATCCCTCCACGGGAGTGATCTCTACTTTCTCATCTGCAGGAATCATGTGGTGCTGCAAGTTCCAACCGGCGCGGCGGCAAAGCTCTGAAACTACCACATCACAGTCACCCAAAAGATCGATATCGAAATCGGTGTGAGTAACAGGCTAAAGATAAGTCAGTAAAATTGATCATCGTAACGGGATGTTCACCAGCAAAACTTACTGTGCGTGAGATGTAAATTTGCGGAACATTACGCGGTAAAACTCCCGGCACTTCTGCAACGGGGGCTACCTTAAGCGAGGTTCCAATGACGATGACCAGATCCGCCAGTTCCCGATCATGGTGAATAAGGCGCTGACCAAACTCATCCGGGAGGCCCTCACCGAAGAAGGTGATATCAGGCTGCAAAAAAAAAGTTAGTTAGGCGACAATGGCGCACATGCCCACTCGTGCGTACTGACCTTCATGACACCAGGAGTGGGGATTTCGTAGTCCTCTTCGTCGGAGCTTTCCTCCTTGCGATCTTTCTGGTTGCCGTTCGAGCTTCGCTTACGCTTCAAGCCCTGTGGCTTCAGAGCCTCCTGTTCGATGCTCTGTATACACGCTTTGCATTCCGGGATTTTGCCTTCCCTGATATCATCAAAGATCGCGTCGCCGGGGACCTTGAAATTGCACTTGACGCAAGTAGCATTGGCAAAAGATCCATGACACTGCACCATCTTTTCTGCAAGTACACCCGCATTTGCCTCGATGTTATCGATGTTTTGCGTGTAGTTCGTCAGGAGTTTTCCATGGTCCTGCAGAAGCTTGATAAACCCATGTGTTGGGGAATACTTCTTCTCGGTAGGAAGGATATCCTTCGCAATTGAGAAAAAGATGCTAGGATCTTCCCGGAAGATATTGATGTCAAATACTTCCTGGGGATCACTCAAGCCTAGATGCGCCAGTTTTGAGTAGAGACCGGTATCCTTTGAACGGAAGTCAGGGATACCAAGACTCGTTGAAATCTAAAGGCCCAACACAAATATACTTAGTGCTTAAACTCAAAATGGATGAATGCATAACGAGGATTGGACATACGCCGGCACCAGTCAGAACAATGATGTTCTTGGACTTTTGAAGCAGGTTGACAGCGTCCTCAATAGTGTTGTACTGAGGAAGCTTTGGCCGCTTTGAGAACTCCCGTGAGATAGCGACCGCAAGAAGCGGATGGTAAGCTTCATCTGGGGCATTCTCCAGAAACTCTGGCGGTCTGATACCGAAGGCTGTGCAGAGCTTCTTCGCCGTGACAGTTTCAAGCACAATAGTCTCTTCTACAAAAGCAACCTTACCGACATCATGCAGACGCTTGCGAAATGCAACAGCCTCTTCTAAAGTACAGCCACCCGGAACTATATGAAAGAAGCAATGTTAATATCTTTGCAAGGGTGGATTCCGGGTAGCGGGGATGTCCGGGGTAAGACGCGAGACATCCACGCAATAACGGAAAAACCTACCTTCATGCAGCTGGTCGTCACGAAGGAACTGGATGGCTCTCCCGCAGTCAGAATCGGCGTCATCGCCATCTGAATCATCGGAGTCGGTTTCAAACTCGGAGGTGACCTCCAGGGCGACCGTCTCCTCATCGGCCTGCTTCACGTCCACGGCATCCACATCGACCATGGGTGATTTCACCAGAGTCTCCCCGTTTGACGGTGGTACCAGGTCCATCCTGCAGGAGTTATATGACTACCTCAACGACTTGTTTGCGCAATGTCGACAAAAAATCGGCTTCTGCATGCGCGGAGACAACTTTATCCGGGCCGAGGCGGTTCAAGTGGCGAAGTTGAACTTTGGTAGAGAAGATGGGCAAAGTAAGGGTAAAGAGAAGTCTTTATCCTTAATATCAACAAAGAAACAGATAGTTGCGAGAAGCAAATTCAAACTTCAAAGAGAAAGACATAATATATATAGACATGCATGCATTAGATCATCATTTCACTTTTGTTTTATCTATCAAACATTCATGAATCAGCCATCTCGTGATCCTCATCGTCCGACTCTATGTCGATTTCCCCATCCCAGTCTTCACCCTCGCCCTCCGCCTCACTGTCATCCATATCCTCTCCAATCTCTTGGTCAATCCCCTGAACAATTTCTAAGGCATGATCCCGAAGACGATCATCCTCGTAGTCCAGTTGGTCGTAAAGCTTCAAGCTCTGTTTCAGCCACTCCCGGCTCGCGACCAGGGAAGCATGTCGAGGGGATTCAGATTCATCTTCTTTGATATCCTGGGGTGCCTGTTGCTTCTCTGCCAGCAGATGCAGACACCAACCGCCGAGGTACCACGCCTCCACACTCTGATCGTCCTCTAAGATCAATCGCTCCAGGACCTCCAGAGCCTCAAATTCCAATGTCACCTCCATGAGAAGTCGTGCAAGACTGATGCGCACCGGAAAGTCGGGCACCTTCGGGTCCTCGGGAGCCAGATCCTTCCACAAGCCAATACTCTTCTTCAGCGCTGCCTGGGCATCTTCAGTTCGCAATTGTGAGATCCGAATAGAGGCAAGAGTCTGAAGGATCTCCGGGGCCTCAGGTGTAGCAGCAAGGGCCTCTGTAATAAGCGACTCGCATCGAGCCTCTGCATCTTCCTCCCAGCTGCAAAAGAACAAGAAACGGGTTAGCAGTGCACTTAACTATTGGTAATTGGTGAAGTAGAACTCACGAAAGATCAGTCATGTAAATCTCAGCAACGGCACAGAGTGCATTCGCCAGCTTAACATTTTTCTCTTCAGCACTGGCAACATCCTCAGCACCAGTCTTTCCTTCCAGCGACTGCAAAGTCTGGCGCAGAGAGGAAACACCCTTCTCGAACCACTGGACGCTGTCCATTCCACCCTGCTCACTCAATTGAGCAAGCCACATGAACTTCTCTGCGCCGCCACCCTCGGATTCTGGTAACGATCCAGTGGGATCCAACTCAACGGAGTGCAGGAAACATTCTCTAGCGGTATCGACATCTCCCAGCTCAACGTTGATCTCTCCCAGCAAGTTCAATGCGGGCAGCTGCGCATTGCCGTTGCCAGCTGTAAGTTCTAGCGCTTGCTGCGCACTTTCCAACGCTTCCTCGACGCGGCCGGTCTGTAGGAGGATCGTGGCTTGATCGAGTATTTCGGTAGGAGTTTGGGCCATTTTGTGTTTCGAGACTGAGCCACCAGGGCCGAGGACGGACTTTGCACGGGATTTGGAAGACTTTTTCTTTTGCGGTCTAGGTTTTCCCATGACAGATCTATTCAATAAATATGTATGAACAAAATCAATAAGTGGACAAGTGAAAAAATATGAGTTATTGGTAAATGCGGGACACGGAATTAAAAAAAAAGTGAAGCTCTCAAATCCTAAAATTGGAGCTGTTTGACCGGTTTGCATGTGGGACGTTCCCTCCACTTCATTATTTCGCGACAGTGATACGATCCATATCCGCTAAGATAGCTCCTCTCTTACACGGTCTCTACATTTTCTTGTGATTGAGTTTAGGTACTCGACTGCACGATATTCGACTTTTCTACCCTCACCCCGCTCTACTCTCCTACCCGGTACCCCTCCAATCCGCAGGCGGATCGCAAAATGGGTCGCGAAGATCAAGTCGAGGAGCGAGAGGTTCTGGACTCAATCTTCCCAGATGAGATCACAGGTAAATTACCGAACTGCCACCCTGATCAGTCCATGTATGAGGAGGAAAGCCTTGACTGACTCCATATTCCCCGCCTCCAGACATTTCCGAGAATGCATACAAAGTATCGATAACGCTCGATAACCCCGAATTCGACCCTGAAGAATCCGAGCAGCCTGTGATATATCTGGAAGTTTCATACCCAGAAGAATACCCCGATGTCGCCCCAGAACTGAGCATTTCCTCTCCACCCAATGCCAGGTACCAGAGGCTAGATATCCAAGAGGACCGGGACCAACTACTCGAATCGCTGCAGGAGACCATTGAAGAGAACATGGGGATGGCGATGGTGTTTACACTCGTGAGCGCGCTAAAGGAAAGCGCCGAGGCTCTCATGTTGGAGCGCGCCAATGCCGTTCAGGTTGAGAAGGAGAAGGTCGCTGCCAAATTGGAGGAGATAGAGAACGCAAAATTCCGGGGAACACCGGTCAACCGGGAGACATTCTTGGAGTGGATGGCCAAGTTCCAAAAGGAGATTGCGGACGAGGAGCAGCGACAAAAGGAAGAGAAAGAGGCCGAGGACAAGAAGAAGAGGTCTGGGAAGGAAGAGAAGAAGCTGACTGGGCGACAGTTGTGGGAGAGAGGACTGGCTGGCAAGGGTGACTATGATGAGGAAGATGAGGATGCTATGCCTGCAATTGATAAGCTGAAGGTCACGGCTTAATTTTATGCATAGATATGTCGATATGAGCTGCTCGCCTCAAATAAAAAATATTGCTTCAATACATCAGACAAGAATGGGGTATCATTTCGCGATATAATACAGACTCAAGCGGGGAATCCAAATGTAGGTGGAGAAAAAGCTCCAAGTACTAGCAGATAATCCGCCGAAAATGAAGAAAGTTGAGTATAAAGGCATCATCATCCACCTGTGGGGCTTTTCCCCTCCGCCGCCTGTCTTTCTTTCTCTTCCTTAGCAGCCAGCGCGCGCTCATCAAGCACAACCTGCCACATACGCTCCGACATTTCACGATTATCGTGATCTGTCTGCTTGATTTTTTGACAAACGTCATCTAGGGACGCTTTGACGCTTGCAGACCATAATGTTGGATCTCCAGCCTTCGTCTTTGTGAGGTGGTCCCAGGTGTCTTCGTCCTTGGCGAATAAGAGTTCCACCTGCAGCCGTTCTCTCAGTTCAATACGATGCCAGCGCTTCTCTAGCTTCGACCGAATGACACCACTAAGATTCCTAGGCTGCGGCTTTTTAATGCGTAGGAAAGGCACTCCACGAGCATTGACCAGAACCGGCACTTGTCGCTTTCCGCTCACCTTTGGTCTGGGGCGTGAGAGGACTGATTCGGCATTCGGATGTCGTAGCCAAGTCTCTTCTTCGTGACGAACCGACTTCTGCCTTTGAATTTGTCGTTCAGAGAGCGGTTTCGGAGGACTCGGGGATTTCGATCGATTGATCTCCCTCTGTACGGCAGCGGATTTCTCCTTGATGGATTTTGCTTGCGCGAGGATTGCTGTGATTTGCCTTTCGTCCTGTCTGTTTCCTCTCGAGGCCGAATCAAGCAGGTCCAGAGCCTAGAAAGCCAATAGCTTAGCACAAGGAATGGTATAGTAGGTTGCCCGAGGGAAGCTTTGATACAACCTACCTGATAGCCGGCTTTCAAGGCATTTGCTACCTGTGATGGGCTTTGGAGATCTTTATATCTGCGGAATCTCTGCCGGGCGAGGAATCTGGTCTCGCTCAGCCATGGTGCATTACTCGTCGAAGGAGAACATTGTCGGAGAAGGGTTCGATAAAGTGCCAGACCTGGGGGGGGAACGGATGTCAGTTTGAACAATTGAGTAATATAAATCGAGATTTTGACTCACAAGCAAAGCGATGAACCCCAGAATGCTTTGGCACGACCACCTTATGCATTCCGTCCAAATAAAGATGCGGGAGAAATTGCGGAAGCTCCGACATGTGATTTGAATAAAATCAACACGTGACCATGTTCCCCGGATTCGAGTAGATCTGACGATGCAAAGCAAAAAAAGATAATTACATGATATCAATATTATATAGACTGACTACTTGCTTACTATACGAAACCCTTTGGTCCATCCAGCACCATTTATAATGAGTGGACTCGAGGTTGCATTAAGGCTGCACCACAAATTACAATACATGTCTTACCAACTTCTTTATCTCACGTTTTTATTCCAAGCCCTTGGTTCTTAGGACCGCTGGAAGTATACAAGTACTGACAAATTAGTTATTTTAGAACCTAGAGATGGCAGGTGGATGTTTTCCCTACGTATCATTCTAGGTAGCCAATGGTAACAACCGATCATGCCCGAGCAGGCTATTCATATACTACGAGAACATTTTGAGATTTTTTTTACAAGAAACCGCGCCGATGCTATTATGCATAGACTATACACGCTCTGAGAGAATCATCATAGGGACATGGAAAAGCAACTAAACCTCGAGAAAGATGACCGTGGGACTCCGGGTTCCTAGTGAACCTATGAGAATGCGGTTTAGAAAGTCGAGCCCTCTGGCGGCTGAGACAGCTTCTTATGCTGGGGCAGAGCCATGTATCTGAATGCAAGTTAGCTGGACAAAGCTTCAAGTAATAACGCAGAAAAAAGGACGAACCGGCGAAGATCAATCAGGACGGTCTCCATAGTAAATTCGCGCTTCCACTGAGCAAGACACGGGAGCTTTGTTGGGTCGACCTAGGGTGTTCGGTCGTCTTAGCAATTGTGCCTCCATGCTTTTGGTACTTGGTCTCATCCTACCTTTCCACTTCGCTGGTCGACACAGGGAACGTTGACTTGAGAGATAAATTGGATTGTAGGGGGCTTGTCGGGGTACTCGGGTCCGCAGTGGATGTTTACGCTGTATATCCGGTTCTCATGGACGCTCTGATCCAATCTAGTGTTAGCGACGGGAGGCACGCGACGGTGAGCAGAGTAGGTAGTGGGGTAAACCAACGTGGGGAGGACCGAGGATTGTTCCATTCCAGTTGCTCATCATCATATCTTCGCCATCAGCAAGTCCGTAAGAGCAAGCCTCTGTAATTGTTGGAAACAAAACAAGTTAGTGTTTGTGCTTCTAAATTCCGGAATCAATGGGTATATCCTACCTGCACCTTGACCCTTCTCTCCTTTCTCAAGCTCCTCAAGAAGCCTGAAGTTTCTCGGCACCGTGGCAGTCATGGTGGAAGTATTTTATTGAAAGAAACTGGACAGGACAGAGGCACCGGAGGGGGAGAATTCGTGATGAATGAGGAGGGGCACTTTCCGGCCGCTCATGCACGGCTTAATGACGAGGGGTCACGTGCGATACGTGTCTTATCGGAATTGCTTGGCGCTTTTGGAGATGCCACGGGGGATTTGTTGACCTGTGTTACGATTCCCATTGAACTTTCGGAGTGACAAGCGCGATCGTGTCGTGAAGCTCGAGGGATAGAGAAGTCCGGTGTTTTCAAGACTGACACTCTTTGCAAAAATACCCAGGAGCCGTGTTTAAAAGCTCCCTGTTCCATTGACACGGGGAGCGGTCACCAGGAATATTGGCGTCGGCCATGCGTTGATGCAGCTCTCTGATTAGAGATGTCTTCCCAATTCTTGCAGACGGAGCTTGCAAACCTCATTCAGGAGTCTAGACGAAAGAATTCTGATCTTCGAAGTGTTGGTCTTACCTCCCCCGAATAATCTCCTTGAATAACAAGGCTAACCGAACTAAATCCAGGCAGCAGAGCAATCGCTAAATGAGTTAAAAGCGCTACCCTCGACATCCGAGGCGCAAATAGCGGCAGGTATGGTCTGATTCTACACATGTCGATTATGGGTTGCAGCTAAAGTATGATATAGACCTTATCCGCAAGCCGGCCTTTGTTGAGCCATTTGTCATTGCATGTCATACTCGACATGCAAAACTTGCTGGAATAGGTGTGATCTGCCTTCAAAGATTGATTGCATCGCGAGCATTGCCATCGCATCGTTTGAAGGATGTGCTTGCAGGCCTGCGGGAAACGACTAACCTGAGTAAGCAACAAACAACAAGCAACACCTAACGATGAGGCGAGAGTTACTGACGCCGGCTAGGTCTTGATATTCAACTCAAAATTCTTCAATCACTGCCTTCTTTACTACAGTTTTACTCCAATGACCTTAGCGGAGATCTTCTCGCAAACACACTGGAGATATGTGCAACTTTGCAGGCAAGCAAACAGATCGCGGTCAGCAGTACTGCCGCTGCTACGCTTCAACAACTAGTTGTATCGACTTTCGAGAGGGTCTCTAGCGAGGACAAGCTACCCACTGATGGCAAAGTTACCAAGACCGTAAAAGTCGACGGCCAGTTTGTAGAAATTGGACGGTTTTCATATGATGCTTTACAGGTTAGTTTTTGTCTAGCTGATCGCCGCTATTCTCTACTGACTAGCTTTACAAGGTCCTGGATGACCTTTGTCGCCTCATTGATGGTGAACAATTGCAATTTCTTCGCACGAGAACCCTTTCGCCTCCATTCGTTCTCGAGCTTATTGAGAGCATCATACTTAACAGTGGCCGCCTCTTTGTAGGACACCCGGAGCTATCTCAAGTACTGCGGGTTCGCTTAGTGCCGTTGATTGTCCGATGCTTATCTGAGAGAACTACATTTTCCCAGACAGTCCGAGTAACTCGGATTCTTCTCATTCTGCTCAAGCGCCATATGTCTCTCTTAACCGCAGAATGCGAAATGGTCCTTGGTCTGCTGACGCATTTACTTGAACCTGATGGGACTGCACCATGGAAGCGAGTTCTGTGCATGGAATTATTCCGGGGCCTCTATTCTGAACCGGGTGTTGTTCGGCAGATCTACTCGCTTTATGATGCAGAGGAAGGCAGAAAAAACATCCTGCGGGATCATATGGCCTCCTTTGTGCGACTGGCTTCTGAAAAACCTTCGTTGATTGGCGTCAGCAATCAGTCAACATCACCGCCGCGCGCTGATCATTCACGGTCTGTGACTGAGGATCAGATTGCTCTTGAGACTGGTGGTGTAGCGGGTGTCATCGGAACATCGGTTCCTCAAAATGAGATGAGGGTCCCGGGGATCAGCACTCAGTGGAGTGTCGTCCGAACACCTTACATTGAGCTACTGGATAAAACAGAGCCATCGCTGCCTCCAGAGACTTACATTTATAGTCTTGTTCTGAACTGTATTAGCGCCTTTGCTGAAGGGCTTGCAAAGTTCATTCTCCCACTCACAGTCCCGGATCTGAAACAAAAACGGAAGAACAGACTGGCCAATACTCCTGACCAGGGGCCTGATTCGGCTAGATCGTCTCAGGACCTTCAATCACCAGATGCGACGAGAACACAAGCAGCTTTTTCGTTCAAGAAGCCCTCAGTACCCATAAATCCCTTGGAACTGCAGTCCCACATGCAATTCTCCGCTATCAAAACATGTGCGGGCATTATTGAGAATTGTTGGCCTGCTGTACTTGCAGCATGCTCAACCTTTTTGCACGCCTCCCTTGACGATGAATTCTACCACAACCTGGTTCGAGCTTTTCAGAAATTGGCCCATGTCGCAGGCTTGCTCAGGCTATCAGTGCCCCGAGACGCTTTTCTCACAACACTCGGCAAGGCAGCCATGCCTGCAAGCACTGGTAGTTCTAAGGCGCAGACCTCTGGTGCACCGGCTGGCGCAGGATCCCAGGCCCATGATGATTTTCAGAAAAAGCGAAAAAGTACCGATTTCTCACGAACCAGTTTATTGCCGGTGGATTCAACTGGTTCATCGGTTGGAGATGGCCGACCTGTGTCTCTCAGCACCAGAAACCTCCTCTGTCTCCGAGCTCTAATCAATCTTGGAATTGCCCTGGGGCCGACTTTGGACCAGCCAGCCTGGTCTATTTTGCTGGAGACACTCCAGTATACTGGCCTGGTTATTGGGATCTCGTCGAGTGCAATGGTTAAATCAGCCAGTGGCGCGGCGGAAGTTCCAGGCACTCCAGGGAATGATGTTCCCACTGCAAATCTTGGCACAGAAGTAATTGCCGTACAGGCTGCATCTTCCAAGCTGTTTGAAAGCACCAGTGATTACCCCACTGATTCGTTCCAGGACATTCTCCTTGCCCTTCTGGGCCTTTCCTCATTCACAGAACAACGAGACGAGCAAGAGGAAGTCCAACAGGTATCTGAGACTCCCCGGTCGCCACAACCATCCCGGCATCCTGGACGCATGCATCAGAATGCCCGGCGCGTGTCACACACGGTGGGTAAATCAAGGATGCAAGATGAGGAACTCAAGTTTGTTTTAGACAAAGGAAATGAATTGGCTAGAGCAAATCTAGACAGACTCTCTTCATTGGATGCAGCAGATAGCAACGCCTGGCAACTGCTGACACGAAGTCTCATCTCAATCTCTGCAAACATTGCGATTAGCCCAAATCTCCGCCTGCAGGCAAGCGGGATTTTGAACTCATTGGTCTTTTTGACGATGAGACCAAGGGATGGCGATGAAGAGGAGACACAGAACAAGGTACAGACACGGAATCTTCAAACTCTCAAGGATCAAGTTACATCTTTGTACGCATCAGATCTGGTTTCTTCCAAGTCTCTTCCAATCACAGTGGTTGAGATCCATGAGCAGAGCCTAGAAGTTCTCCAAAATATTCTTGAGCAGTATGCAGAAACGTTCCAAGATGGATGGAATCTTGCCTTCGGTTTGATATCCGGTGTCTTTCAAGGTGTCGCAAAGGTGGAAAGTAGTGATCAGCTATCTTTACCCACTGAGCGCAGATCATCCGGCCTGCCAGCCGGGCCAAGATTAGTTCGCGCTGCGTACAAGTCACTGCATCTGGTCGCATCTGACTTCCTCTCTTTGTTGCCTGCGGCTTGTCTCTTGAGCCTGGTAGATTCGCTCTCGAGCTTTGCTTCTCAAACACAGGATTTCAACATCTCTCTTACAACTACCTCATTTTTCTGGACTGTATCCGATTTCCTCCAGGGACAGATCGAAGAATTCTCCATTGAGCGTCATGTTGATGCTTCTGTCAGTGAAGAAGTTCTGGGTGATCTTGCTCAATCCAAGGACCTTTCTGTCTCGAGAAACTCGCTCTGGCTTCTGCTGCTGCTTCGTAATGTGGATGTTACCACGGATACCAGACCGGAAATTCGAAACAGCGCGATTCACACTCTTCTTAGGATTTTTGATGCCTATGGGCAGCAGCTTTCTCCTAAAGCATGGCGGTTGTGTCTTAACAGAGTCCTCTTTTTGATGGTGGAGCAAATTGAAAGCACACTAAATGAGCCCAAGGCCGTGAAAAACGACCTGAAATCTTGGGTGGATACGACGGTCGTGATGATCAATGGAGTTGCTAATCTGATCACGACTTTCTTCGAAACCATTGTGAGTGATGAGAAGTTCGACCAGTCATGGACCCGACTTCTGAAGTACCTGCAAGCATTGGTTGAGATGCATCTCCTTGAATTCAGTGAAGCCACGTTTGCTAGTATTTCATCTATCCTCATCCGAGTGCAGTCTCCCATTGGGCTGAGCAAAGATGCGCTTCAGTGTGCTTGGGATCTGTGGATTAATGGACACCCCGCCAGTGACGAAGCCAAACTCGATTTGGATCGACCTAATCAAGATGCTGCGCTGGCCTATATCCAAACATTCCAACAAGTATATCGTCTCTACAAAGACGATTTGACTACGGAACATATCGAAAAGATCCTAAATCACTTGCGACTGCTGGTGTGGAACTCAGTATCCCCACTTTATTCTCCAGATATTGATCGACCTTCCACCGTCCAAGCGCTGGTAATCGACTGCATCAAAACCCTATGTTTGGAGAAAGAAGAATCTCAGGATGCAATTCTTTTGTGTCTTGCTGAGCTCTCTGCTTCGGCATTATCCCAATGGAGTGCGGAAAGTGACTCGAGAAGGCCTACATTTGTGGCCTTTTCGAAGAACATCATTGATCTTATCAGCTGGTACATCACTGAATTTGGTATCAAGCAAGACATTTTCACCAATGGTGCACTGACAACTATCCTCGATCGTCTCAATGGGCCAATCGGGCAGAAGTACACATGGCAAGGAAAAGACCGCGAGCCTTTCCTGTGGCAAAAGGCCTCAACGGTGTCCTTGAACGTACTACAAGTCGCAGTCCCTTATGTAGAAACACAATACAGCGAGACCAACGCTGCAGAGATAACCCGCTTCTGGCAATGCGTCGTGGATGCTACGCACGGCATCGTCTCTGCCCGTGGTTTCCAAGCCCAGCAGCTATCAAACGCCCGCGTCCAAACCGACGAGGCATTTGATATCGCCGCATTCACCCGCCTGAAGACGTTGATTCTACCTTCGCTCGGAGCGTCAGCAATCGCAAGCTCAGTCCGCCGCGATTTCGCGTACGCTCTTTTCAGTTCATCTTTCATATACCCGCCCCAACGACTCGATCTCCCGGCCACTTCAATCGAAAAGAACCCTCTTCAGGACTTCTACAAAGTCCGTTCAGGCCGTACTTTCGACCCTCCGCCGACTCTGCGCCCAAAAATGGCCTACGCGCTCATGGACACTCTCTTCGAGCTTGCTACAAGTGCTGGTGCTGATGATGCATCGACGCCATCTCCACAGACTCTGCTAGCTCAATCGGTCTCTCCTTACCTCCTGCTTCGCTGCGCTATGTCGTTGAAAGCATACATCGCCGACCAGCCTCTGCGCGGTCTAATGCCTCAACCTACGCCTGCACGTAAGGCTCTGCTTCATCTTCTTGTTCACATGGTTCAGCTTCAAAGCGAGCCTTCTGCCATTCCGGATCCACCAATCTTGAAAACTGTCTCGGCAATGACCGACTCGGAAGATGATGCTCCACGTCATCACCGCAAGCATCTCGAATGGCTGTACCCTCTCATTGTCAAGGCGATTCAGGTGGCAGGTAAAGAACGCGATGATGGACAGGTACTTCAAACCCTCGGGCAGGCATTGAAGGAGACAGGTCGTTTCGAATAAGGCGCGCGAACGTGGATTTAGACTAGTGCGCTGGCTACCAGTGCTCCAATCATCTTCATAGACATATACGTCACATGCGTGTATCTATTCATTGTTCTATGTATCTAATCCCATATCTCCATGATGACGCATGGGAAAAGGGAGGTTATCCAGCAATTCCATTACAAATTGCGACCAAGCCGAATGGTTCACTTTGAAAATAGAGTATACAATAAAAGAAAGAACAGTAGGCTACAGTGATTTCGTAACAAGACCGTGGTAGGAAGCATTGATTGGAGACAAGAGAAATGTAGGTGGGATGAGAGTAAGAAGTTCGGTGGGTATAGAAGGGCTAGACGAAAACAATCAAATTATGCCGCCGGCGCCGAGACTGGCGGGGTAGTACTCTGTTGCTGCTGCTCTCGTTGCAGATGAGCGCTTGGAACTTCACGTCCTGGACCAGCGGTCGCAGAGCCCGGAGGCAGGATAGCCTGTTGTTGCTGGAGGAGGACCTGCTGTTGAATTGCCTGCTGCTGGGCGATCTGTGGTGTCGCGGCAATCTCGGGTGCTTGCCGGTAGAGGGCGATCTCTGATTGCTTGAAGTAACGACGGGCATCTATAAAATCCAACGTTAGTAACGGCCAGTAATGCATAGAGACGCCAGTCTAGTTCCACGCCGGATTCCAAAGTAAGTTTAGCGTGGGGGTGGGCAAGCCGAGACCAAGAATTGCTGTGGGATTTACTAGCCGGCCCGATCATTTCGGTTTCAAAGACCGTCGGCTATGTAAATTACCCAGCCCACAGATTCCACGGACTCCGCGGAATGACGGTCATTGGCCATTCAAGATTATGGTCTCCGCGAATAGGACGCATTTCAATGTTGCGTAACGCACCTTCATCGATCAGCACCAGGCTGAGGTAGTATCTTGTCGAGTATTTCTTGTTCACGTCGCGGAAAGTCGGGGTCAAGTCGAATCCACCAAGGAAAAGACGAATGGGGATTGTTTCACCTGCAACTTCGTCAGCAACCTGGATTATATTGACGGTTTGTTTAAATATCGAAGTGGTAAAAGCAAATGCAATGGACCAAATCTTAGGTGCAGGGGGGAAGGTACTAACCTCGAGAAGGTGAGCCATCCATGATCTAACTGATTGTTAGCAAGTCGTGCCCAGGCTACGATCACGAGACCTCCGCAAAGAAAGAGAGAAAAAAAAGGCAAGCTAGTGCACATACCTCGAAGCGAACCAACGTTTCACTCTCATTATATTGGTTGGGAGGAGAACCGGTGGTCTCCCGACGAATGATCGACAATTCCATATGCTTAATCTTGAGTCGCACGAGCAAGAAATAGATGCGGCCTACAATCACGTCCTTGAGGTGGTACTTGGACTTAGAGTATTCGAACTCAATATGCAGGCAGTCTTCGATTCCGACATCCATCTTAATCGCGCTGTTGGTCTCTGGCGGCATGCGGTACGAATAAACCCAGAGATCCTTCTCGCGGATGACGTCGGCCATCCGCCGCGAGACGGTCACCCGCACAAAGTAGCGCAGCTTGACGTTGATGCCATTGTAGGACTCGTATTGCTTCTCGACATTCTTGAAGTTGAAAGGAAAGGTTTGGGGGTGCAACAGCTCGCCCGGCGCAGCAAGTTCCTGGACCAGCGATAGGAATTCGTAGTGGTTGCCTCGGTCATAGAACATCTCTGTACAGATAGCTTGCTTAGCTTCTGATCCGGGATCGGACGGGGCCCAGTATCATGCCAACATACCAATTGTGCCAATGAACTGCACCTTGATACCTGTATGCTCCAATCGCTTGCCATCCTTGGGTCTAATGGTCACCGCACCCTTGACGGACTCCCCGTCCATGTACAGGGGAACCCGCTCGCGGCGGCCCTTGTCGAGCTTGACATCGACTGTCTGGCGATCATCGAGATCGTCTAGGACGACGTCGATATCGACCGGGGTGGAAAAGAAGAGAGAAGCCATCGTGTGTTAGTTAAAGATGTTTGGAGAAAGCGCGCGGAGATCCAGAACGTGGCCTCGTTGCTTAGTAAGACCCCGCAGGCAGCTACTTCTCCAACCAAAACACACGACTAGATGTATTCATCTTCCATATTTATTCGTGTATATCAATGGCTCAAATTCTGAGTTCATTTTAGCTTCGCGACGATTTTTTTTCTCAATCGTCTTATCACTGATCTGATTATGCAACTGTGAACCTGTAATTTTGTGAACAGGTCACCGCCTTATCTGTGTAGCTTTCACCCCCGGGAAACAGACCACCACAAGTCTTTCTACCACCTGGGCATATATATGACTCAATATGAACTGTACGAGTTGGATTGTTGATGAAAGCAGTAGGAGAGGCGTCCTAGCTAGGTGAAGCCTTCTTACACTCTTTCAATAGACCACCCAGGCGGATGTTTCCCGTCCAGCTCGTCCCGTGGTGGGCTAACAGGTTGCTGTGTGACCACCAACAGGTTCACCAGCCACACTTTATCGAGGCGCATTAATACTCTTGTGGAGTTAGAGGAGGGATGGGGATAGGGGTGGGGGTAAACGAATGTTTTTATAGGGACTGTAACTCGATCTATACCCGATTTTATCACTTACTGTACTTCGGGCTTCTAGTTAAGCACTAGAATCGGGCCTTCGGATCCACTCTTCTCTTATACGCATACTGGTGCTATTTAAGGCACTGCTTTCTCTTCTGATATTCCACAGGATCAGGTCGCCCGTATGGCCATGTTTGAGATCCTAGAACCGGGAAAAAAGATGATACTATATGAGGTCATACCTGGCTCTAATTCTTGGAACACGTTGAAGCGTAGTATATGTCCTACAGATCACTTTTACCGGAAGATACTGGTTGTAAAGAATCATTCCAACTTCCCAGATTCAAGGTGTTTCGTTGATTCGCAATTACCCCAATGTGATAATTGAAGGTTTGTTTTCAGAGACCAGGTTCCAAGGTTCTCTGACCGGACATCGGATTTTATTTTCCGAGATGTTGATTCAAAGACCATGGCCATTCCATGCTTCCTACATGATGGCTCCAGGGTTGAGTTGAACCCCGCAGATATTCCCCAGACTTTTACGCTTCGGCCTACCTAGAGGATTTTAGTAAGACAATGTTGTCATGCGCCTGGGCCATGCTTAGCCGGTCTTTAGCCAAGTCGGAAAGCTGAGATTCTGAGATTGGCCACATCTCTGCCCACATATTTGCCCACGCCCCTGTTTTCGTTGCCGTGTCTGTCATCCGAGAAATCGGGCCGTTTTTTTCTTTTTCCCCCCCTAATTTTCATTGCTCGCTTGTCCCACGGCTTGGCATTGTAGGGTACCTTGAAACATGCGTGGGGGGACATATTTTCAGCCGATTCAGTCTCTTCTGGTCCACAGATACGCTCTTAGTCTCCCGATTAAGACAGTAGACCCTGCATAGCCAACTATCACGGTAGGAACTATATGATGCATTTATGATGTATTTGGAGCTCATATATGGGTTCTTTATCCAAAATTTAGGATGCAAATGTAGCCAAACTGGCGGTGTCACTAGTGTGGGGGTACTTTACAGTGTAACTTACATACATGTGACATCATCCGAACCATCGGAAGTGCAGAGCCTCGCACAAACACCGTTGAGTCCAAGTCAATTGATCCATAGTTGTCCTACAAGCGATTGTTGACACCTATACTATTCAGATCTTTTCCAAAACAGAAGATGTGAGGTTGAACTGGCAAGACTCAGTCCGTACTTCTGTCGATCGATCTCCCGACTCCACGGAGACTCATCCCACTCCTCCACTCGGGTAATGACTATTCTTCACATCCCACCAATCACAGCCATACACGGCTCCTCCACTCGGCTTCTGGTTTCTTCTTTCCCCCGACTCCACCGTCATACTTAAAAATGTAGGGGAGATCTTCCTGTCGCGCGACTCTTCCGTTTTCTCTTTTCTTGCTACATAGTCAGACTGATTGCGCAAAATCTATTACTTCGCGAGAACACTACTAAACACCTTCCTTCTTATTACAAAAAGATATCCACGTCAGTTCCGTGGATCACCGCCTTATACCTATCATCCACTCACGGTCCATTTTGCAATCGCGAGAGGGTTTTATCTCCCCAATAAACCGCTCAATTCCACCCACATTCCAGCATCATGCTCTCCGCCGGTCAGCCACCGATCACACCTAGCCTCGTAAACTCGCCGTCCAGCGTACCCGTGACAAAGACGCACATCATGCCTGATCTCGAGCCCAACGGCACCTCCACACACGCCGCAATGCATCCCCGGTCCAATCAGGTCTCCCCGATCCAGCATATCTGGGTAGTGACAGGTCCTGCTGGCTGTGGCAAAAGCACCGTCGGTCAAGCCATCCGCCAGAAACTGAACCTACCATTCTTGGAAGGCGACGATGTACGTGGAAAGCCCTTTTACGGATGTCAACACAGGCACCATCCCAATAAAGACATCCCAATGTACAAGGACAGCAAAGAACAAAAGCTAACATGTTTCCCCGCAGTACCACCCCAAAGCCAACAAAGACAAGATGGGCAACGGCACCCCCCTTACAGATGCAGACCGCTGGGACTGGCTCATCTCACTCCGCCAGGCTGCCATCGATGCTCTCTCCCCCTCGGAATCCAATAACTTCCACCCACCCGCCGGCGTGGTCGTGGCCTGTTCCGCCCTGAAGCAGAAATACCGCGATGTGATGCGCGTCGCCGCATACGGATCGCCCTCCGTGCAGATCCACTTCGTCTACCTCAAGCTCACAGAGGCTGTTCTCATGCAGCGTGTCAGCCAACGCAAGTCGCACTATATGAAGAGTGACATGGTTCAATCGCAGCTAGCTGCTCTAGAGGAGCCGCAGGGCGAGTGGGATGCTATCACGATTAATGTGGAGGGATCACAGGAGCAGGTGCAACAGAATGTGTTGAAAGCTGTTGCTGAGAAGCTAAAGGAGTATTCTTGAAGAATACTAAGTCCTGTGGGAGTTTTTGCATACGGATTCTGGTTTGTGGACTGCTTTTTTCTCCACTTGGCGTTCTATGGGAGCTTGTGTTTGTTCTATACTCGCATTGTTTTTCTGGCGTGATGTTCTCATCGGCTTTGCCTCGCACGGCTTTTGATACCCTATGTCGGGGCAAATGGCATAGCAATGTCTATACTCCATAGACCAAATCTACTGACATTGGTGTTTGTGAAGTGTATTCCCGGGAATCATAAATTCAATTTCAAATCTATTCGTTATATTGTTCAGTATTCTATGGTTAGTCATATTAAGCAGTATGTCATTGGATTTGCTATGCAAGGGCCACTCAATCTCTTGGCAAACGCGCTAACTCACTACGATTATCCCTGTTTGGTCAGGATATTATACCCCGGATTCTCAATCTGGAATTTCGTATGAGCCATAACACTTCATTGGCATCTCCACCATCGTTCACCAAATCTTCTCCAGATCCTCTCACCAGAGGTCGGATGTCCAACCAGATGAGTATGTAGTAGGAGCTCATGGTGTCGGAAGAAAATTCTGCTTTCGTGGAAAATGAACGCATGATCAGAGTGACGAACTGTACTTTACAGGTGGAGGCTTATATTGAGGTTGTGAGTTCTGTCTATGGAAAACAAAGCTCTCGGGCTTGGCATTATTCATGTGAATAGAACGCAGACCTCAGCTTGTTACTCATGGATGGCATTCCGTCCTTCATGCATGCATGAGCTGATATTTCCTCTTCTTGCTCTTCAGAGACTGAAGACTTGTGTTCTGATAAATATTACTGAGGCTGACCCAAAGATGCCAGTCAAGGTATCTGCAATCAATATGGTAACATTGTCTCAGAACAAGCTAGAAACTTTGACTGATCTTGAATGGTATATGGTCTTTGTGTCAAGCGTGGTGATTAAGATGTCTGTTGGTAAGACACCGTGAGGGGAAGGAGTGGGGGATCTAGGCCATGATAAAGACGTGGTGCGAATGGCTTGATATAAGATACACAAACACCAGATCTCCTATTTGCTAACCGAATGACCGACGCTAGCCTTTCAACTCAGATGACATAATTTCCAAGCTGATTCCAACAAAAAAAAAAAGTGAATTGTACTCCGCGGCGATGCGGGGAAGATCACGTGGTTACCGTCGGTTACCGTCGGCGTAGAATGAAGTCAGTCAACAGATAAAGACCATCCTTCCTTATTTTCTTCAATCACATATAAATGCATACTCGCACCTCTTCCCTCGTTAGGTGACCGGATATCATGAATATCTTGCGCAGTGGGGGTAATATTCCCCGTATTCTGCGATCCTGTCAACCCCAGAGTGTTCTCCGCATTGGAAGCCCCATCACGTCCGTGCTGAGCCGGGGATTCCACGCAGGGCCTGCATTATGGGGTATCAAGTCACAGATCTTGAAAGATGTCGGGGAAGGTGAGCAAATGCTTTGTTTAAAGTCTACAAGGGCCAATTGATTGCTAATCTGACATTTAGGTATCACTGAGGTCCAGATCATTCAGTGGTATGTCGAAGAAGGGGCACACATTGAGGAATGGAAGCCTTTGTGTCAGTACCAGTCTGACAAAGCTGTGGATGATGTGAGTATTCTTGGTGTTTTTGTTATCTTCTGCTGCAGATAACTGACAAATATAGATCACATCGCGGTACGAAGGCGTGATCAAGAAGCTCCATTTCGAGGCCGATGATACTGTTCCAACGGGGCGGGTAAGTTGACCTTATGAAATTACCCGCCATATCCTGTCATTAACTTGTTTCTTACAGGCACTCTGTGACATCGAGGTTGTAGATGGAAAATACCACGATGACAACCCACCACACGAATCACAAGCAGCTCCTGAAGCAGCTGCGCCAAGTCCTGAATCACAGATAGTGGCAGCAACTCAAGCTGCCGAAGGCTCTACAGTACCTCAGTCATCCCCTCCGTCCTCCGAAGACATCTCCGAGATACCCAAGTCGAAGCATGCATCCCTTGCAACCCCTGCTGTGCGGGGACTACTCAAGACCCACAATGTCGATATCCTAGACCTCACCGGGACAGGCAAAGAGGGGAGGGTCATGAAAGAAGACGTCCTTAAATTTGTTGAAACTCGAGACTCTCCTACAGCATCTCTCTCGGGCCCAGTGCAAATTTCCAGTACACCAGACACCAAGCAGACCGAGTCCGAGGTCAAACTAACCCCAATTCAATCAGCCATGTTCAAGACAATGACCAAATCTCTCAATACCCCACACCTCCTCTTTGCCGACGAGCTGACAGTCGGCGACATCTCCTCCATCCGAAAGAAGCTTGGTAGCGATTCTCGAGATCCGAAGAAAATTACCCTCCTACCCTTCATTGTTAAGGCCGTCTCCCTCGCTCTCAACGAATTCCCTATTCTTAACGCCAGAGTAGACGCTAGCACTCCAGAGAAACCGAAGTTGGTCATGCGAGCCAAGCACAATATCGGCATTGCTATGGACACACCCACCGGCCTCATCGTCCCCAATATCAAGGATGTGGCAAGCCGATCCATCTTTGACATCGCAGCCGAGATTTCACGGCTCAGTGCACTCGGCAAGGCTGGAAAATTGACATCTGCTGATCTGGGCGGCGGCACCATTACTGTCTCCAATATCGGAAACATCGGTGGCACATACGTTGCACCTGTGATCGTGCCGACGGAGGTTGCCATTCTTGGTATTGGACGGACGAGGACACTACCTGTTTTTGATGAGGCAGGCCAGGTCACAAAGGGCGAGCTAGTAAATTTCAGCTGGAGTGCTGACCATCGTGTCATTGATGGAGCGACTATGGCACGCATGGGCAATCGTGTGAGGGAGTTGATTGAATCGCCCGAGTTGATGCTGCTCAATCTTCGGTGAATAGAGTACAGATAAATTCAAATGCATAATGAACAGCATGAATAGAATTGAAAGAACTGCGTATTCTCCAAATTGTCTTTACGATTACCGTTCCAAGGTTTAAGCCCGGCTAAACCCCGGCTAAATTGAAGTATACAAGTGTACCGTCATTTCTTGATCATTGGACTGAGCAGGTAAAATTCAATTCTCTTTAGTGTATATACATTAGCACCTACTCGCTGGCACCCAGAATGGAAGCCAGGGTTTTGCTATCGGAAGTGTACTCTCCCTGATCATCAGTAGGAATCTTCTGCGAGGCAAAAGCCAAGAAAACAGCCTCCCAGTGACCATCATCATACTTGAACAGCAGCGCACCATCCTCATAGATACCGTTGGAGTAGCTGGGTAAGCTACCCTGGTTCATGTGGATATCATGAATACCAGACCCATAAGACGAGCCAAAGATGTAAGCGGTGGCCTTCTGGTTGATGGCATCAGAGATGATCGGGTCCAAGTCGGCCAAAACAGTAGCGTCGGAGCCATCGCTGCCCTCCGACAGAACCTGTCCCTTCTGAATGTCCACTAGGTCCTTGGTGCGAATGAAATCCAGGCCTTGGAGGGTAGCAACCTGGTCGCGGCGGACGTGTCGGTGGTGACGACGGTTGTTGTGGTGGTTGGAGCTCTCGCTCTTCTTGTTGGAGCTGTTGGAGCTGCTGGAGCTGCTAGAGCTGGGCGACGTGGTAAGGTGGAAGCCAAGCTCCAGGCTGGAGAGCTGCTCGGTGATGGAGCTGGTGAAGTTGCGGTCGAACCAGTACACGAGGCGGGTGTCCTTGTCAGTGGACTTGACGTTGATAGCGGCTTCAAGGCTCTTGCTGGAAGAGGAATCGTCCGTGAAGTGGAGGTAGATGTGGGGGGACTTGGGGTCCTCCTTTGTGGTCTGGGCTTCGTAGCTGGTGGGGGTGCAAGCCCAGACACCGTAGTGGGAGATAGTCATTTTGGTATAAAGGGGGGTAAATTGGAAGATTGTAACAAGATTGAGGGGTTGGTTAATCTCCTTGTTGAGGAGGAAGGTACAGGTCTATTTAACTGATGGAATTGGGGTGGCCGATATCGCCTTGTTGTCATGCTGCCGAGATGATCTGGCCACTTATGCAGGCCTCCTTATCTATTCACAAAGCAAATTGCTTGGTCTAAACACGTGCTGGGGTGTGGCCAAGGCGAGCCCGCTTATCGAGCCATGATGTAGCTTGTCATGCAGCTAAACCTTAGCGTTGTCCCGCAGCGGAGATCAATTGGGTGTCGTCATGGCGATTCTGGGCTTTCGACTGGAATTGTGGGATATTGTGGCGCTGCTGAACAGGTTTCAGCTCGTCTGATTTTCGTGATGAATGGCTCGATAGGTCTTTTGTGACCTTGATGATGATGGTGTTGCACGATCTCCTCAGCTGCTGGTGGGGGAGTGTCCACAGCCCCACAAGAGGGGGTATTCCCGCCTGGGAATGCTGCCGACAGCTGTGAAGAACTAAATATAGGGAGTACGTAGCGGCATGGTGTGTAAGTCCTCCTTCAGGAGCTCTCCTGATTTAGGTTTATGGGTACGTTGTTGAAGATTACTGTGCGGGGAACGATGCGGGACATGGGCCTATCACCGATGTAGAAACCATGGAAGGCGTCGTCAGAATTTCTATTCTCAACCCTCTTGTATTCATCTCAACAGTACCTACACAATACATTATTCTTGGACCATTTAGATTTCGGCACCTCGGGTAGATCGGGGTCTTTCTTGGCAATCTCGACAGGAAGGACAGGTGATTCGTCCAAGAAGATGCTTTTCATCCTATACCAAATCTTGTTAATGAAATGGAATACAGCAAAGATGGCGATGTACAAGTACGAACATACGAAAAAAAAAATGAAGAAATGAAGGTTTCGGCTGCCCAGCCAGAAAGAATCTCAGCAATCATCAATCGAATAATCTCGTATCTCAGAAACATACTCTCCATGAGACCCCAAAATCAATTATCCACCCCAGCACCTTACCCCCTTACAAGTTTCCTCCGGCCGTCATTGAATATTCGAAGCGCGTTCCTCCATTCAAAATATCCCACGTCACCCATCCACAAACGCAGCATATTGTCGGCAAAAAACCGGGTCTGCAAATCAGGCGAAGTAGACTCATCGGGAATGGACGCAAGGGCAGGCTGACGTTCAGCCACGAGCTTTTTGTAATCCTCGGCGCCCTATGTTAAATATTAATCATAGAATCAAGCTCAGGTTCATGTATAGTCCACATAAACTTACTACCTGGTTCTTAAACAATCGCCGGCCCGCAATCTTGTGGGCATCTCGGTGCATGCTTTCCACGTGGAGAAAAGAGCGACATAGTTCCCTTTGTAAATTTGCTGCCGCAACACGGGTTTCCAGTGCCTGCTCTTCATCAAAAAGTGGGGAAAGCCAATGCAGATTACGGACCAGATCGTATGCATTTCCTTCCATGGCTTCAGAGGTCTAGATGCGTTTAGTATAAGGTCGCTGGGATCAATCAAAACCACGTACCGTCTCACAGATCGTTCCATGCTTTGGTGCACATGCGATGCATCTCGTATTGGTCAGATGCGTATCAATAGCGCACGAGATTCCGAACATCTTACCCTCTTCAGGCTTGAAATGTTGAACGTCTAAGCGCAGGCAAGGTAAACACCAAAAAAGGGTGGGGCGGACGATCATTTCGCTGGCGCTAGCCATAGTCTTGGGAAAGGTGATATCAGATTTGCACGTGTCTGATATGAGATAAAAGGCGTGAATATGGGAAGGGTTGTTCGTGTGCACCAGATTCGAGTTATCATAGGTTGATCAGAACGGTTATTCTCGCGTTACGTGCGTTTTATCACGTAGCGTGTCACCCATTTGACACGTTTAAATGTGATTTACTGAATTGATACTATATCACCTACAGGTAACTTGGATTTCCTAGCCCCTGATAACCTCAGTGAGGAAGCTAGTATAACGACGCTACCCTTTCATATGGGGATTTATCCAGTGTTATCTTGATTTTCATCTACTTGGAAATCTCAAGATTTGAAACATTGCTTAGTTCTATTAATTTGCAGTTATACGAAAGCCACTATATCTACTACTTTGCGCGGGAAAGGCTTATTATTTATTTTTGGTGTCTTCTTTTCTCCTCCATATACCGAGATAGAAATATGAGCTAAGCAGATGTTTCTGAGTTCAAGGTAGAAGAATGCCATCAATCTGATAACACGATCCATGGATGTACAAGATGTACCCCACATTTCGGAGCTGCGTCATTCTCCAATTTTCTCACGTTCCACCCGATCGGCGGTAGGATGTATACATGCACATTTGGGTGTGGATTGTGAGCAAACCAAAATGGCAGGTGCCTGAATTGCAATTCCGAGAATGGATCTCGGCGTCAGAAATCTTCGCGATCTTCGAATCAGCGTCGGGTGCCAAGAGAGAAGGCCCACGATCGCCCGCAGATCCTACGGAGGGGTAAAACTGCTCAGCTCCCCCGGGTTTCTAATACATCACTCTCACCCCAGTATACCAATTGCTCCTCCCGGGAACTTCCTCGCACCCAGGCTGGAAATCGCCCATCATGGTCGCCGAGTTTCTCACCATCCGCAACAACACAAGCACTCCAATCATCCTGAAGCGCATTGAGCGCTTCGGGCCCCCGGAGTCCAACAATGACTTCGGTATCCTCGCCAGAAACTTCACTCGGGTTCTCACGAACCAAACCCGTGCCAATGCGCCCGTTCTCGCGATCACCGAATTGACACAGCCGTTCGAGGAGCTGCAAGGCCTCGATATCCGTGTTGAGCCATTCGCAACCAAAACGACCCAGCGCCGAGCCTTCAAGAACTCTGAAAAGGAGCGCATGCGTCTAACCTTCGAAGTCGAGGGTGAGCGACACCAGATTCAAACACCCGTGCCAACCGCCGAGTCGGCTACCATGAAAGCGCTGGCCGAGCACCCCAAATTCCGGTTCACAGGCATCTACATCACCCCCGAGTCTCATTTGAGCATTTTCTCCTCTGCAAACCTGAATGCCTGGATGCACCAACTGCGCGATGATACCCTTCTCTCTGCGCTCTCGATTCCTGGAACCCACAACTCCCCAACATGCTATATAGCCCCACCTTCCGTGCGCTGTCAGGCCGTGAGCCCACGCGAACAACTGAAGAACGGTGTCCGCTTCTTCGATATCCGTGTCCAACCACAGTATCCCGATGACCCGGCAAAGGATGAACTGATCCTTGTGCATAGCGTGTTTCCCGTCTCACTGACTGGGAACAAGTACTTCCGCGACTTGATGAAGGAGGTCAATGAATTCCTCGAGCAGAATCCGTCCGAGTCTTTGATTATCTCGGTCAAGCGTGAAGGTGCCGGGAATGCGAAGGATGAACAGCTTGCTCGCATCTTGCACCAGCACTACGCCGTTCAAGGTAGTCGCTGGTGGGTTCGACCTAAGATCCCGACTTTGGGCGAGGCGCGTGGTAAGGTGGTTCTTATTCGCCGCTTCAACTTGCCTGAGCCACTGAAGAAGGAGCATGGAGGAAATGGGTGGGGCATTGATGCTGCTGCTTGGGAGGATAATACTCCCAGCGCGGTTTGCCCAAGTGGACAACTCTGTATTCAGGATTTCTACGAGGTCCAAGAATCGACTAATATTGAGAAGAAGATCAAATTTGTCAAGGAGCAGATTGATCGCGCCTCGCATGCTCAATATCCGTTGGGTGTGTTGCCCAATGCACAGGAGGCCCGGAAATATCCTTTCTTTATCAACTTTTTGAGTGCCAGTAACTTCTGGAAGACTGATACCTGGCCGGAGAAGATCGCTGCTAAGGTCAACCCGGCTACTGTTGATTACATTTGCCGTCGTCACAAGGACGACGATAGAGATTGCTCGACGGGTATCTTGGTGACTGATTGGGTTGGACATGATGGGGACTGGGATCTTGTGCGTTGTATTGTGGGCATGAATGCTAAGCTGCGCCTTCGACAGAACTAATAGACTTACTGTACTTGAAATGGGAGCTTCGGTGGGCTTTTTATTTTTTATCATCTTTATTGACCCATCATATTTATTCAGCTAGTAATGACCGAAACAGTCAAGCTTTAGATCCACCAATGTTAAATTAAATCCTTCCATCTTAAAATTTTATCTTGACTAGAGCGTTAATGGTAAGGCTGAGAAACCTTACACATTTAAATGGTGATAAGACTGTATGTTGGCTGTTGACGCGTCATGTATCTAGAGGCCAATCTCCACCCGCGGACTGCAAGTGACAACTCATCAAGCATTTTCAGCCTCACCAAAGCTTGCACTGCCGTCATACCCGGAGGTTGTCAACGCTCCAAACCGCCAACATGGAGGACCAGCAAGTACCAAAAAATATCCAGATGAAGAAAGCATCTAATAATTCTCTAGCATATCTTCATTCGGCGAATTCATCGCCGCGAACAAGAACTTCATCATTAGCTGCACATTAGCCGGCCTAATAGCCATGCTCATCCCACGAACCCGACATGCCATAATGTGGTTCTCAGGCAGAATGCACCATTACCGCCAGACAAGGCCGATCGAAACAGTCGTCATTCAATTTGTGGTTATCTTTCTCATAGCAACATTCCTGATCCGTGTCAATGTGCTTTCCAGCCCACCGAAGGTTGTCTACATGTTACTCGATTCAAAAAACGGGACGGAAACCCGTATTTCGCGTGAAGAGTTTAGTAGTATTTCGTCCAAGCAGGCTAAAGCTAGTGGATTCTCTGGCGATGAGTGGGCTGAGGACCAGGCGGAGAGGATTTCGGCTTATTATGCGGAGAAATCGGACATGCGGTTTAATGAGGAGCTTGGGAGGACGGGTTATCCCTTGACTACGACGAGTGAGGAGGCCAGGGCTACTTCTATGCTATAGGAGCGTTAAGTATCTTTGCTGCAATGGAGCTTTAGTGCTTCATCTTGGGGCTGCGAATTCCAGGTTTAGATACGCATGTAGTCATGTAATCATGCAATGGCTTCAGAATTCGGACTATTGGCGATATCCATGACTAAGTATCCGTAGACGGTTCGTACATCAACATACCTAGTACTTGGAGGGTGAGGATGATTGAATAATTGATTCAAATGTTAATTGCTAAGACAGTATACACCCTTCCGGGACAAAAGATGCTTCAGGATGAAAACCCAACTATATGACATATTATACAAGATTGCGAATGGCTTTAACCAAGCTAAGACGATTCGCTCTTCTCGCCCTCGGGCTTCTGCTCCTCCTCCAAAACACTTCTCCGACTCTCCATGGTGAAGTAAAGGCTCTTGCCAGCTCCCTCCAGGGTGTTGGTAAGGCTGGAGCCCATGCTCTGCAGGGCTGTAACAAGCTGAGAGCGCAGGCCATCCATGCCACCCTCAATACCTCCAACCCACTTAGTCTGGTTCAAGTCCAAGATCTGGCCATCCACACGGGCAGCCAAAAGGTTCAGCTTCTGCAAACCGATCTGCACAATAGGCTCGTGGTAGTCTGGGTTGGCTTTCCGAGTAGGCGCACGGAAGCCGGATTCCTTGGGAGTAAGAATCGACAAAGCGGCCTTCATGTGCTCGGGAGAAACAGCAGGGATAGAAAGGATGGCGATGGGACCGACAAGGACGTCGGCAAGTTCGTGGCGGCCCTTCAGGTGCTTCACCGCTTCATAGGCGGCACGCGACAAGTCGTGGGTAAGGGCGGGATCATCCCGGGATCCGGAAAGCATGGGCAATTCGGCGGAGGTCTGGGTAATGGGGTCGACGGCGCTCGGGGGCTTTCCGGAAGCCAATGCAGCCTCGGTAGGCCGGAAGTGCTCGACAATGCGCAGGGCAACTTCAAAGATGCTAGTCTGGACAGTCTGGACCTTGATATAGGGAGCTAGAGCTGGAGATGTTCGGCCCTCGGCGGCAATCTTCTCATCCACCTTTTCGAGTGCCTTGGTGAGTTCTCGTCGGATAGAAGCCCATTCCATGGACTTGAGGTTGTTGTGTTGGAACAGGACCATCAGGGGAGATGTACGAAGGATTGACGTATATTGTCGGAGAAGCTGTGACCGACGGTATTCAGGGTTACGATGCGATGGGGGCTGGGTAGGAGGAGATCGTGAGATTGGTGCCGGGGAGCGTGTCATTTGCTCAATGGGCGCCGCAGGAGTCACAGCTGCGGTGCTGGCTTTCCTGACGATCTGGAGTTCATATGGACACCGCAGGGCGGGTCGCCGAAGTGAAGGAATTTGTAACCGGGGCGGCATTGTGTGTATTGCTAGAACAAATCCCAGCAATGGCAAATGGAAGGAGTGGATCAAGAATCAAGAGAGCCCCCGGAAGAACATTGAAATTGGTATTTTCGGGTGATAATTTTTGGATCCCAAAGCAGTAAAGCGCCCTGCAGGCGGTATAATATTCTGCCCGACACGACCGCGCGGTGAGAGGGGCATTCTTGAGTCATGATGCTTTCTTTTTCTGTTTATATGCGTCACAACCTTGCCCATTGACCCGGTAAATTTTGTTCAAACAACATTTGCACTGTGTCAACTGCTCTCTTTTACAATGTCTAAACCCGAGAGCCCTCAGGAGCTCCCAAAAGTCTCCATCTCCCCCCTTCTCAAGCGTCTAGCATACCCCGCCAATCCTGGGTTCCAAGTTAGCGCAGATGATATTGCTTCAGCATTTGCACTGATCTTCGAGGATCAAATTTCAGATATCCAATGTGCAGCTTTATTGACATTGCTTCATTCGACTGGCAAAGACAAGGAGGCTGATGTAATTGCGAAATGCTCACATCGTATGCGCGCGGCAGCTTGCGCCATTGACAAGCCTTCTTTGAGGAAGGCCGTGAAATTGCGGGGTCGTCCGGAGGGCACTTACAATGGTGGTTTGGTGAGATCTCACCCCATAGGTACACAAGTATCACTCTTGCTGACGTGTCTCTATAACTCAGTGCGATATTGTCGGAACTGGTGGTGATTCCCACTCAACTTTTAATGTGTCGACAACCTCTTCGATCATTGCCTCGCCGCTACTGATGACTGCAAAGCATGGTAATCGTGCGCAGACATCCTTCTCCGGATCTGCTGATGTCCTCAGGGCAATCCCTCCCATTGCGCCCAACATCGATGCCGTCACCGCAGACAACATCGCCCAAGTGTACGCTGAAACCAACTATGCCTTCCTCTTCGCCCCCAATTTCCACCCTGGCATGATGTATGCCAACCCCGTGCGCCGTGGCCTTGGTCTCCGAACCATCTTCAACCTCATGGGACCTCTCGCCAACCCCGTCGATTGGGCCATTGAAGCTCGGGTTGTCGGTGTGGCCTACCAGGCCCTGGGCCCCGTCTTCGTGGAGGCTCTTAAGCAGGCTGGAGCCAAGAAGGCCCTGGTTGTATGCGGTGAGGAGGACATGGATGAGATCAGCTGTGCGGGTTACACAAACTGCTGGAGAGTCACCGAGCACCCCAACCCGAATTACAAGGAATACCCTGAGGGTGATGACGGCGACGACGACGACGACGATTCCAGTGACGACGAACAACATAACCCTCGTACTATCCTCAAGGTAGACACCTTCAAGATCCAGCCCTCAGACTTTGGAGTGCAGAGTCACCCTCTTACTGAGGTCTATGGGCGCAAGATGCCCAAAGACAACGCCAAAAAGTTGATGGCCATTCTTCGCAATGAACTTCCTCGGGACGACCCCATTCTGGAGTTTGTCCTCATGAATGTTGCTGCTCTGCTTGTGACCTCCGGAGTGTGTGAAGCCGACACTAGCGACATGGGTTTCGGCGATGACGGCAAAGTCATCACGGAGCGTGGACCGGGTGGTGGACGCTGGAAGGAGGGAATGCGCCGGGCGCGCTGGGCCGTTGAGAGCGGCCAGGCTCTTCACAACCTGGAAAAATTCATTGAGATCAGTAACAAGCTCCAATGAGCCCTGATACCGTCTTGTATCTTGGATTCTGATCATGGTTCAGATTCCGATCATATCTCGGGTCATATTTCGGCTTTGAGATCTTGCCCTGATACTACGTTAGATATCTGTTCGGATCAAAATGGTTGACCTCTAGTTATCTAGTTATTTCTATATCTGTAGAATACTTCGGCATGTATTTCTTTTTAATGGATTATGTGAAGAAACATGGGTTCCCAAGTTAAAGTAACTTGCAAAACTCCATACCTGAGTAAAGTAATCTTAAACTTTTTGTTTTTATGTGACGTCCACCTACAAGAGGCCGTCAAATCTCATATCGCATATGAAATTTATTTGTCTGAAACTCCCAAAGCGCCATTTGATGCATAATTCGTCAAAACGAGAATAAAGAAGCGCAAAGATATCACAAGCTGGGTTCCTTCAACTCCAAGACCGCAAGTCCGGTCCAGACCCATTATTCTCCATCATTGTATATTTCACCGAGCCTCAAACTGCACCATACTATCCAGCAAAAAAAGGAAAGTCAGCTAATGCGCCAGCAAGAAAGAGCACTTCCGGAGAAGCTTTGAAAGTCAAGGTAATCTCACCGCTTGGTACGCTCCTTGTAGAGCACACGGTGACCACAGTCCTTGCAGCGGATCGGATCTCCCTTCTTCACGGGAACACGGGCAGAGCACTCGCCGCACAGGTAGACAACGGAGGGAGAGTCGATGGCCATAGCGCCGTATCCGGTATCGTTGCTGAAGGCATTCTGGTTTCCGGAGACGGAGGAGGGGACCTGGTAGGCTTCGCGAGACATTTTGGATGGTTTGTGGGTTTGCGGAGGTGATGCGCTGGAAAGTTCTGCTGGGTGATGGATGCGATGGTCGTGGAAAGTAATTGTGGAAGATAAGCTGGCGGCGGGATTTTTCTTTTCGGCGCGGATCTTTGATGATTAGTAAGCACGTCATCGTTGGGCGAACTATAGAATCTTCAGACATGAAAGCTTATGTATGTGCGTCGATTTAGTCTTGCATGGCCAATTTTACCTACACTAATACTAGGCCGAGCATTTGAGGTTGCTTTGGTCAGACTTTACACAAAGCCTGGAGATTTCAAATTTTAGCCAACTGGGCAAGAGCTGGAGGCCAAGCTTTCTCCAACCTTCCATCACCGAAATAAAGGTATTCAGTATACGATGGAAGATTATTAGGCACTTGGTCAGCTCAGTCAGAATCTTTGTGGCTCGTAGATACAGTCCGAGCCCTTTCAATCTCAAATACCTCATGTTCAGATCTCACCGTCTCCACAAATCCACCACGAGAGATACTAATATTTCTCTTCGTCGAAGTCTTCCAAGCTCTCTTCCCCGACATGAAAACGTCATCGATTTGTTCAAGTGTCAATCTTGAAGTTTCGGGCACAAACAAAAACACCAAGATTAAGACCGCACCCGTAACCCCAAAGTAGAAATACCCAACATCGGATCCCATGTTGCCATACTTGACATTCAACATATAAGGCGTCCAGAACGTCGCTGCAAAACTGAAAATCTCGTACAGAAACGTCGTATTCGCTTGCCCATATGTTCGCATTCGAACACTATGCATCTCAGCTGAAGCAAGCCATACGCTTGGACCGATGAATCCGCCAAAGACGAATGCCCAGATACAGAGGAAGACAACCACGACGGTTTGGGATATTGAATTATGCTGACCCAGTGCTGTGCTGACAGCGGATAAAATGAGCATGCAGGCTGCCATAGCTGCGTATCCGTATAGCATGGCGAACCGTCGTCCGCCGTAATCTAGTACCAGCGGGCCGATGAAGGCGCCGCCGAGAATGCAAAGTCCCACGATGGCATTGACTAGGTATGGGTTTTCGATTCCGAGGCCTTTGAGGAAGAGCGCTGCGAAGGGACCCACGAATTGGACGCCAGTTATAGCGAGTCCAATGAGGATGAGTGCAGAAACGGCTGTTCGGCGAAGATTGACACCAATATAGATCTCTGTCCAGGATGTACTGGCGTCCAGTGTTTTTTCGAAATCGAGATGTTTCTGTACCTCATCCACTTGATTCTTGATAGCAGCTGAGTCTGGATCCAAATTCTGGAATTTAGCAAACGATCTCCGCGCTTGCTGGTCTTTCCCCTTTAGTAACAACCACCGTGGCGATTCGGGGAACAGCATCACGCCCAGACCGAGCATAACACCAAGTGGAATCTGGCAGATAATAGGCATTTTCCACTGCCAGTCATTTTTCGGTGATAAAGTTGCTGATCCGGCACATACTCCCGCTGCAGTCACATTTCCCAGTGCAAGTCCAATGTTATAGATACCCAGTAAGAGGCCCCGTTTGCTTGCGACAACGCACTCGGAACCGTAGACGATACTCGAAGCCAGGAGCTGACCGATCCCGACTCCATTGATGCATTTGCAGACCATGTAACTGAGGAAGTTTCCTGATGTACCCAGCATCCCGGCTGCACCGATGATACAGAAAAGACAAGCGATTTGTATAGTTGCCCGTCGGCCGAGTACTGAGCCGAAGAATCCTGCCAATGCACACCCGACTGCCATAAATAATATACCCACGCTAATTAGGGATTGTTGGAGTGTTGTCAAGATGCAATGTTCGATCGTTCCTCCGGTCGCTGGATCGGGGACTTGTTCGCAGTGGCCAAATGCTTTCTGGAATGCGGGCATGACTAGGGCGATTCCGGAATAGCCATTATCGAACTCAGCGATCCATGCAGCTCCCGAGACACAGATTGTCAGATATATCATTTGCGTGGTGATTTTCTGAGGAATTTCATCATTTGGAGAATCCGATTGTATGCCCATCGTGGGAGCTAGTCTGGGGCTGGGTTTTTGAGACATTGAAGAGGAATTGAACCTCTTGGGATGGGGATTTGATCGAGAGAAATCAATTTATCTTAACTGTATAAAATCACCAGTAGATCAATGGCGATGATTCATGGATATCAAAGCTTGGACGGATTAGTCTGGATGCGTGAGGTTGCATTGCATGTGGAGAGAACCAGAGCTCACCTCTTAGTATTCTTCTCATTCCACAAAACACCAGCCTACCCTGTCTAAACAATGCCATTTAACAGTCAACGAGGACTGCAACCTGCATTTTCTTTGTATCAATGCACAGGACCTCTTCTCATATTCATTCCAGGCGGCGGAGGAAAACCCTTGCAAAACGTTCGAGCCAGGATTGGAGGATTTTCTGGAACTTTGAGTTCTTGCAGTTCACTATATACTGTCCTGAATTGAGAAAATGTTGTAGTAGGGTCAAGATTGGGGTTGCGGCTGGGATCAAGAGTGAGAATGCGTTCTATGCGCGGACTACGCTTCTCCAGGCGGAAATATTATCATGTCCTCATGTTTTGCTTCCAGGTCGTCATTCGGGGTACAAAGCCAAACCGGAACTTTTCGCAGTAGAACTGATAGAAGCTTTACAAGTGCTGGGCATTGAGTGACAGATGACATCTCCAACGTGTTGATACCACAGGTCCAGATCAATTCGGCAAGAATATCGCATAGAGGGAATATTTTTGATTTTGCAAACTATGAGATAGAAACCATGACCTGATGTGCAGAATCCAATGTCTGTATCCCCATCTTTTTGGGGGGGGGGGGTGCGAAAAGGATGAAACCACCACGTAGGACGTTAGATATTGATAACCGGAACCAAAAGACGGCGCTTAGATTCATGATTCGGAAAACATCGCGCTGATATGCTGAATGACGAGTCGTGTCGAGATCAAAACAGTCTAGAATTCCACGGCCTTGAGTATGCTAGAAATCACGTTGATGCAAGCCCTGCCCGCCTTCACACGTTCATGTCCAGCACGACACACTGCTAAGTGGCAATCCTTGAAACAAAAGAACAAAATGGCCGAGCATCTAACTTGTCTGGAAAGCGTTGAATGCCTTGTAGGTGTACCCAATGAATGGCAGGCTCATCTCGGCTTCTTGGGAGTCCGGCATGGCACGGGCCTGAGCGCGGTGGATGGCGCTGGTGTCCTCCTGCGGAATCTCGTCGATGGGGAAGTAAGACACATCGATGTTCGAGCTGAGGCGTGGCTCAAATGGAGCACGAATGTTGCGGAGCTGCTCCCAGACCACACCCCGGAAGAAGGGGTGGTTCTTGATCTGGGTTGCACCACCATGTTGACCACCCTCATTACCTACACGGTGCTCGGGGTCACACAAGAAGCTTCGAATCAACGATTCAGAATCACGCGAGAGAACCAGCTCATCAGGGAAGTACAGGCATTCACGCCAGTTCACAATCTTGCGGTATGTATCCGTAGTGTCTTCAGCGCAGAACGGAGGCCAACCAACAAGACATTCGAACATGATAGCACCAACGGACCACCAATCGCACAGGTATGTGTATCCCTGGCCATTGAAGATCTCGGGAGCAATGTAGTCGGGTGTTCCAACAGTCGAGTACGCCATGGCACGACGAGACTTTCGCCAGGTGTTGATCTGTCCACGGTTGGAGACCGTCAGGTTGATGGCATCGTTGAAGTAGCCGGAGTTGCGGTTACGGTCCTTTGATGTCGAGTTTTTAAGGAGATTCTGGTAGTAAGCATTGTCGTGGGTCTTTTTGCCTCCGGTGGAGAGACCGAAATCGGTGAGCTTGACGTGGCCACCACGGTCAAGAAGAATGTTGTCTGGTTTGATATCACTGCAAGCATGAATTAGTATTGTTCAGGTTGAGGGCATGCATTATTGATCATGTGAATAATCGGCGTTCAATCGCTTACCGGTGAAGGAAGCCAAGCTTGTGGACGGCTTCAATGGCCATCACGACCTCAGCCATGTAGAAGCGAGTGATATCCTCTGAGAAAATCTCGTATTTGATCAACATGGTCATCAGATCACCACCAGGCAAGAATTCCATAAGCAGGTACAAGTAAGCCGCATCTTGGAATGAAGCATGCAACTTCACCAGCCACGGGTTATCCTTCGAGTCCGCCAAAATATCACGCTCAGCGCGAACGTGCGCAAGCTGGTCCTTCTTGAACATCTCCGTCTTAATTAAAGACTTGAGGGCATAGATCTTCCCGTCGGTCTTGCGCTGCACCAGTTTCACCTCACCGAAAGCACCCTTTCCGATAATCTTAATCGTCTGGAAGTTTTGAGGAGTTTCCTTGGTTCGAAGGAACCGGAGGAAGTCTGACTCTCTCTTCGAAATCACTTCGGCATCCTCGCTCTTCTTCTCAGCAGCAATGTTGGGGTCTCGGAGGGTCTTGTCAAGGTCCACGGATCTACCAAAGAGACAATCAGTAACCGGAGTAGATAATAAGATATAATAACTGAAATCGTCGCTGAAAAATCCAAAACTCACCGCATGTTACGATCGCGGGCACGCTCGATGTTCTCGTGGAAGAAGACTGTCACCAATTCCTTCGCAGCCTTACCCCGCTTGTGCACATTCTCGGAGTATCGGTCAGGGAATCGCTGCAACTCCTCATTCTCGGCCGGCGGGCGAGGGCTGCGAGGCACGGGAGGCACCAAGTGTGCGGCCTGGGCCTGGCCCTGAGCTGGAGAGCCCCCCGCGGTACGAGGCCGCTGAGAAGGCGAGTTTGTCCGACCGAAGAAACCCCCACGATTGGCATTGAGATCCTGGTTGGAAAACTGCTGGATCAAGCCATTGGTGCCGTCGTTGGAATAGCCCATGCGGTTCTGGTAGGCGGCCTGCGGTGACTGCAGGTTTTGTTGCTGCGCGTATTGCTGTTGCTGTTGCTGCTGCTGTTGCTGTTGAACATACTGGGCTTGGGCCTGGTTCTGGGGCGGGTAATGGTTGGCCATGAAGTAGCCTGGAGCGTAGGCCGGGTTCGAGGGGTCGACATGGTCCTGAGCCCCCTGAGTCTGATAGATCGGCTGGGGGAAAGCGGACGGGGTGGTGGGATAGGCGCGGCTGTTAGCCGCGTTATAGTTGCGGTCATTGTACCCGTAATTCATGTTGTTGCGGTTATTGGGGTTGTTGTTGGGATCCATCTTGACAGTTGCCCCGACTCCCAGGGAACTTTAGACAAAAAGATGGTGGGGGGAGAAGGAAGGTGATGGGTAAAGGAGAAGGCGGGGAGGTGGAAGGAGCGGTGGCTCTCAGGAGGCAAAGAATAATCCACCCCCGACCACTACTGGAGATTGTTATAGTTTTCCCCTGGAGTTTCATGACTAGTCACACAGACTGTGCCCGCTTTGCCTGTGTTTTTCCCTTTTGACTATATAACTTAGACCTTTCTGCTTGAGCATCTTATAAGAAAGAGACTGAACCATGGTGATCTAGCACCCATTGCTTGGATATTACCAAAGATGGTTTTAGATCCGGAGTCGACTATTGTCTCCTAACCATTAAATACATGATATCTATATTGTATACCTCATTGATCACAAAAATGCAGGGGGAGGGGTAGTAGCCCCCTGATTGATTCAAAAATATATGACATTCCAGTTGAATTGTTAACAGGGATAGCCTGAGTGTAGCAGCCACTCTCCGCGGAACCCACTCATGGAATTCCTGTGGACAACCCGAGTTGATGACTAGACATCGAGGCCAACACAGGAGATCGTATAGTCTCTTGATATCTCAATCATCGAGTTTCCATGAAGACTTGGGATATGAATTGTATCTCTCAATCAAAAAGGAAAAGAGATAACGTTATAATAATGTTAAAACTATAAACGCACACGTGACGCGGATCAATTCTGGCGCCGGTATTCGGGCGACTTTTTCCAGATTCAGGATGGCAACAGCAACTGTCACTGTGGTTTTCACATCCAAACAATGGCGGATTCGTCTAGTTCAGCAGCGCCCGCTGGGGCTGCTAAGCCCAAGGCTGCTCCCAAGCCACCCAACCCGGTCTTCAAAATGATGGGTAAAGCTTCACTGTCACCGGAAATTTACACATCGGACAAGAGTACTAACGCGAAATGCCAAATCACCAGGTCTGCCGAACATGAGCTTTAAGCTTCCTTCCCGAAACTGGATGATCTTTTTCACTATCACCGGATCCTTTGCCGGTGCTCTGATCTACGACCGTCGAGAGAAGCGCCGCGCGCAGCAAAAGTGGAGTGAGCTGGTGGCCCATCTCGCAAAGGAGCCACTGCCTGTTGAGGAGATGCGCCGCAGGCTGACTGTCTACCTTGCTGCACCACCGGGCGATGGCCTGAAAGTCGCTAGGGATCATTTCAAAGAATATGTGAAGCCCATCCTGACGGCCGCGGCTTTGGACTACACTGTGGTGGAGGGCCGACGGGAAGGCCAGGTGCGCGCCAGCACAGCGGAGAACATCCGAAAGCTGAGGCGCAGGGCCGGTGAGCCGAGCACAGATGCTCACGACCCTAGCGTCGACGAGGTTGTGCTGGCGAAACGGGATTCCATTGGGATTCATGATGAGCCCGGTCCTAAGGGTGATTTGGTAATCGGTCGACACGCCTGGAAGGAGTATATCCGGGGCTTACATGAGGGCTGGCTAGGCCCCATGGATGCTCCAGTCCCTCCGGCTGAGGAGATCACTGTTCCCGAGGTGTCCGAAGAGCCCATCCAGGAGATTGCGGCTGGAGACGCTCCGATCGAGACCCCGTCTCAGTCTCAGGTGCAGACTCTCGAAACACTTGAGAAGAAGCTTGAAGATGAAAAGCTAGAGGAAAAGAAGGATGAAAAGAAAGAAGAGGAAAAGCCATCCAAACCTACCGGACCTAAGCCTGCCTATATCACAACCGCCGAATACCCCTCCGCTCAACTCTCCCCTGCTATCCCTCAATCTTTCGACAGCTCCGTCCCCATCGAATTCCCTCACATCCTCGGCTTTCTGAACACCCCCATCCGCATGTACCGCTACCTCAACCAGCGTCACCTCGCCGAGAACATCGGTCGTGAGGTTGCCGGTCTCGTCCTCGCCAACAGCTCGAGGCCCTACCGCGACGAATCCTTCAGCGTCGACTCTGAGCTTACCGGTGCATCCGTCGACTCCGCTACCGACCTTGCGCGCGGTCACGAGCTGCAAACTGTCTTGGTGAAGGAAGAAGAGTCCTGGCACAAGTCCGTGCATAAGCGCGATGATGAAGAGCAGGAGCGCGAGTGGCTGGATGATATCGTCCTGGACCCTCGTATCTCCTCGCGCATGAACACCGCGATTCTTTCTCCTGAAGATGAGGCTCGCTCTCAGCGCATCGCTGAGCACCAGGAATACATCCTTGGTGAACAGCGTCCGCCGCCCGTCCCCTTCTGGAAGAGCATGTGGATTAAGTACGGATACGGTGAGGATGAGGAGACCATCCGCCGCAAGCCAATCATTGGCAATCTCGATGGTGAGTTTGATGCGTAATTAATGCATTATATTCATTACCCGACGGGCTTTTTGGGGGCCCGTGTGTTATAATAGAAAGGTGGTGTTTCCTGTTTCATCTCCTCAGCATGAAGGGTGTCATGTTTTCTCAGTTTAAAATGTTTGCATATCCACTCTCCTCGGCTTGTACATTAAGGCGCCTTTCAATGTTCTGTCTTTTTTTTTCATTTGGGATGTACATGGCAAGCTATGCAATAGATCTTTTGAAAATCTCCATCTATCAAAACCGTACATGAGTTGCGAGCATTTAAATGCTGCTGCGGATACATATTACTCCACGGCGTCTGCCCAGGTGGATGATTTGATTGGAGAATCTGTATATTTGATTGGTTTTTTTCTTCTTGAAATGGTGATTGATATCATATGTATAACGATAAGATCTCCCTTCCTGCCCTCGTGGAATTCGACTTAACTCCACTGGTGAGAAAGGATTCTAGTTCAGCTGGAAAACAGAAGACTCAGGCCACTTCTGCTTCGCCTTCTCCGCATAGGCGGCCTTATCGCCGCCCCACTTGGTCAGAAGGTCGAGAGCAAGAACGGCTTCATCAATGGTGATGTCAGAAGAGTCGAGGGTAGCCAACAGGTCCTGCTCACACTGGGCCTTGGAGTCCGCGTTTAGGAAAATACGACCAGAGAGAGCGGCCTGAACATGTGTGGCACTACCCTTGTTGGCAGACAAGAAAGACTCGTTGAAATCCTCGAGCTTCTGGGACTTGGGAAGCAGCTTCTCGAATTCAGCTTCGACAACCTCGGCAACCTTAGGGTCAAGAGGCTCAGCAGGCTTGTCGAGAGCCTTGCGGAATTGCAAGAGCTGCAGGTGGAGAGTGGGGTTGGAGGGGTCGATAGCATGGGCAGCTGAGAGGCACTTCACGGCAAGGATGTGCTTGTCTATGGAGTCCTGTGTTAGCAAGAACATCATACAATACGAACTGATCAAAACTTACTTCTGCGGAGGTAAACCTCGAAACCGAGGGTCTGGGACTCAATGTTCTGCGAGCTCAGGGAAAGAAGGGGTGTCAAGAACTTCATGGCCTCATTGAGGGGATCCTTGGTCTGCACCAGGGTGTTGCCAAATGGATCGGGGTCCTCCTTCTTCACCTCTCCGTCAATGCTCTTGGCATTGGCCGCAGCAGCCTTTCTTGCCTCGCGCTTATCGGACTCGATCTTCTCCAGGCGTTGCTGCTCTTTCTTGGCCTTCTTGAGAGCCTTCTTCTTCTCCTCGTCAGTCAATCCATCGGCGCCATTGACAACAGTGGGCATCGGTCCATGGGCGAGCTCAGGCTGGTCATGGAGAAGGATGTATGCCTTGATGGCAGAGGTAGCCATCCGTGTGTAGAAGGGATGCTCGCGCAGACGATCTTCCCAGCGCACCATGTCGACATAGGCACGAATCATACCCTTGCGCAGAGAGAAGCTGTGGAAGTCGAACTGATCCTCCTGCCAGGTATCAAAAATGTTGTACACGGCATGGAGGCGCTTGAGTGCCAGGGCCAGCTTCTTCTGTCGCAGGTATGCTTCACCATCCTCCGTAAGATACCACAGGCACTGCATCTCGTGGAGGTCACCCATCGCGCCACCAACAGTCTCGTTGCGGGTGAACTTGCTCATGTTTTCCAGAGCCTTCTCGTTCTCGTTGTTGCGGAGCCGGTATTTGGCAGCCTTGGTGTTAATGTGGCGGTCCTTCTCATCCAACAGACGGGCCTTCTCCATTTCCTGTGCTGCTTTGACCGGGTTGCCATAGTGCTTCCAGATTCGCGCCTTGGTCATCTGGTATTCCACGGCCTTTGGTGAGAGCTCGATGGCCTTGTCGACATTCTCCATAGCCTTGGACATGTTGCGGCTGAGGTGGTAGTTGTAGTGTTGGGCCAAGAAATAATAAGATGATTCCAGGAATTCTTTTTCTTTGGCATCATCAGAGCCATTCCCTTGTGCCGGGCTGCTGGAGACATAGCCCTCCACCAGTTCCTGCACTATGTCACGCTTGGCGGAGTGGGTGTACAGGGATTTGATGTTGGCGAAAAGGGATGGAACTCCCTTCTTCAGCATCCGCTGCAGGTAAATATCGGCGGCTTGCTTGAAGTCTTCCCCTTCTAGGATATCGAGGGGGATACGGCGAGCCGCATCACCACGCGGGTTCTTCTCCACCCATTCATCGTATAGAGCCTTCAATGCCTTGTGGTCGCTCTCCGCAATACCCTTTGCCTGTATCAAGCCATTATAGTAGATCGAGTTCTCAGGGTTCCGTTCCAAAAGCGCAGTGTATGCCTCCTCAGCCTCGGCCTTGCGGTCGGGTCCAAGTCGCAGGAGGTAGTCGGCCTTCATCTCCATGACCGCAAGAACATCTGTACACCGGTATCCAAATTTCTCAAGATGCTCGAGGGCTCTTTCAAGGTTGCCTGTCTCCGCGATAATGGTGTTCTTGTACAAAATTGCCTCTGAGTTCTCCATATCCGAAACAGGTGGGGTTCCCTTCAGTGTGTCCTCATATGTGGTAAGCACCTTCTCGGCCTCCTCCAAATCTCCGGACAAGTGGTGAGCGATTGCCAGCGCTGTCCAGTTCTGTCGCACGCCGGGGCGCGCTTGCAGCATCGCTGTGCGAGTCTGGATATAACCCTGGAAATCGCGCATCTGCATCTGAAGCAAGGCCAGATCCCTTTGGATGGGAGCTGATTCGGGTTCAAGTCTCAAAGCAAATCGGTATGCCTTGATCGCCTCCTCGTAGTTCTTCTCCTGTCGGTATAGCAGGCCGTAAACGTGCCAGGTAATGTGCGACTTCATGTCATTGCGCAGGGCCTCCTTGGCCAGCGTAAAGGCCTCCTCTGACTGCCCCATGTTGCTCATAATCAGAGCCTTCATCGCCTGCGTATCGCCATGTTTAGGGTTCTTCCGGAGAACTTGGTCTGCCGTTTTGATGCCTGTCGCGGTGAAAATGCTATCAGCTGAGCTCTGGCCATTGAGGAGGGGAAATGGGGCAGACCTTTCTTGTATTGCTTCAGCTCAAAGTTGCGAACCACTTGACGAAACAAGGACTGGTCCTTGGGGTTCAATGGTTGCGGCATGGTGGGCGATGGCTGGGAGGGGATTGACTTGTGCGAGAGAGGAATCAAAGTGTGCGGGGAGCAACTTCTCCGAGTCCGAACTTGGCAGAATGGCTGCCCCGATAAGATGCGGTAGGACAAGCCTGAGCACTTACATGCCTAAGAACACTACAAAACGGCCAACGAAATACATGATAGATATTCATTAGACAAATTGCCAGAGTACGGCTTTTTTTTTTTAACTACCTTTTAACTACCATGTTACGATCAGTGTTATTACTCGAGATAGTTCATGCCCACATGGTCATATTCGTCAGGCCATACGCTCCTATATGCAGTATAATGTACAAGGATATGAAAGCTGTAGGGGCAAATTTAGAGCCAGCCCATGCAGCTATGTGTTATGACAAGTTCTCATCGTTGGTGCTTGTGTCGCCAACTATTGAGAGCATCTTCCCATGACGAGCCAGCGCCACATCTTTCTGATACCAACCCCCATGTCCGAGCTCGTATGATTTCCTCCACCATGCGCTGGTTGCGAACCAAATTAGCCAGTGACTCGGTTCGAGGCTCCTTAGGGAAAAAGCGACCCGAATATGGGTCCAGTCGTTCATCAACAACTCGCTCTCGGTCCCGGGCGGACTCGTTCTCTCGAAGAATCAAATCCGGATCATCGGGATCGGGACTGGTAGCTACCCCAGCGCAATAATTCAAGACATCAGAGCGAGTCTGCCATGACGAGAAGAGCACGTTCTCTTTGAAGCCCTGGCAAGCCTCGGGGTGGATGACTTTCTGGCCTCTAGAATCGGTTTGCCGCACGGCGGTTGACGACGGGTCGAACCCTTCTTGAGCGGGCGTGATCAAGGCATTTAAGTTCTGTGTAATTGAATCGTCGATTGTTGAGCGGGATAAGCGAAGAAAATCTGGTAAGATACGATATCAAGGTCAGTGGAGGCAAATCCAAGAGCTCCGGGCGCAAGCTTCTACACACCTTGAAGGAGCTTTTCATTAAAACAGAACTGAGGTGTCAGTGCCGGGGTCTCCGAAACCGAGGTTCCTGACATCTTGTTGCGAACAGCGTCCTCGGACTGTCCGTTCGTCTTGCTAGCCCAGAACCACTCCAGCTTGGCTTAAGTGGAGACGGTGAGGAGTGGAGCAAGTGATCGAAAAATATAGGAAAAGGCGTCCAGTGATGATATCGGGAACAAGTTAGATATTGCACCGAATATCTAGCAGTATCGTGTATGGTTCGAGCTTTTTCGTACTTGAGGCTAGTTGACGTAATTCTGTAGCTGGAGTAATTTAGTGGTATGCTCTCTCAATCGGGAATGGTCCCGTCTACTTTCAATTCCAGTCAGGTGATCCCGCGTTTCGTGTTATGGCAGACGCGTTCGAATGATCCCTGCCTCGAGTTCTCATACATTTTACCAGAGAATTCCACCATTTTAGTGGCAATTTCACCCTCAAGATGCCCGAACACGCCGAGGTAGCACGCATAGTGCATTTTATCCGCAAACACCTGGTCGGAAAAACCCTCTCCAAGGTTCAAGCTCAACACGATGATATTGTGTACGGCAAGGTGGGCACCAGCGCCGAGGAATTCCAAAAGTCGATACAAGGCAAGAAGGTGGTGGGTGCTGGGCAACAAGGGAAATACTTCTGGATCGCCATGTCGTCACCTCCACATCCAGTGATGCATTTTGGCATGGCGGGATGGCTGAAAATTAAGGATGCCGATACATATTACTATCGTTCTGATAAACCAGCAGACAAAGAATGGCCGCCAAAATATGCGAAATTTTTGCTCGAGACCAATGATGAGCCTAAAACTGAGGCCGCATTTGTGGACGCTCGCAGGCTGAGTCGAATTCGTCTGGTGGATTGTCCTGCCGACGAAATTCGCCAACATACGCCTCTGAAGGAGAATGGACCAGATCCGGTGGCAGATAAAGATATCGTCACCGAAGCTTGGCTGATGGAGAAGCTGAGGAAGAAGCGGATGCCAATAAAAGCTCTGCTACTGGACCAAGCGAATCTCAGTGGAATTGGAAATTGGATGGCGTAAGCTCTGCCCTTTGGTTCCCCCAAACTGGTGCTAATGAGATTTCCAGTGATGAAATTCTGTACCACGCCAAGATTCATCCGGAACAAATAAGCAACACTTTATCCGATGATCAAATCAAAGAGCTCCATACAGCTATGCATTACGTCTTTACAACCGCCGTCGATGTTCTAGCGGACTCTGAAAAATTCCCTGAGCATTGGCTCTTTAAACATCGATGGGGTAAAGGAAAGAAAAACCAACCCTCTGCTCTTCCGAATGGCGATAAGATCATATTTGTGACCGTCGGGGGCAGGACGAGTGCTGTCGTCCCCGCGGTGCAGAAGAAGAGCGGCACTGTGATGAAAGATGAGGATACGAGCGACACCCCCAAACGAAAGCGTGTCAAGCAAGAAAGTGATTCGGAGGCTGAAGCAAAACCTGCCAAGAGCCGGTCTACAAACAGCAAAGCAACGATCAAGGAAGAAATCGAGATGAAAGTTGATACCGGGATCAAAAGACGCTCTACCCGGACACGCAAGTAAAAGAATTGCAGATAAATACAGGTCCAAGCGTGTTAATTGATGCGTCTCAAATAGTAATTCTCCTTCATAATTTCGAGACCCAAAACAAGAATCAAGTGACAACTAAAAGACGATCATCCCCCGAGAGAATAACATCATGCAGCTTATTCCTAAACTCCTGATAGTAATGTTTGTCCTCGCCCGCAATAGCAGATATGATATTTTCAAAGTATCCCGAAAAATTCTCCCTCTTGAAGCACTTTCAGCCATCAATATGCAACCTCAGCTGGGGTGGCCATAATCACATCCAAAGGTATTAACAACAAGAAGACTGTGATGTGTGCTACGAGCAACACGAAGAAAGAGGCGCATATTACGCACCATGTTGTTACGACTCACCAAACCATGATATTTTGTAGAACCTTTCTTAACTTCGGGCTGGTCCTCAACATTCATACTCATGACGGCTACCTTTTGAAGTGCCTCGGGCTTATTCATTCACATCCACGAGTATTCAACCTCTTCGCGCTCTCGGAAGATAATTACATTGGGAGACTATATGCATGGAATTTCCTCCTCTGGAGTAAGAAAGTATTCGGGTCGAAGTGTCTCGCTCATCGTGCTTCGGTAGAACAATTGTGCTACCTGGCCCATGGACCCGTCCTTCCAGTCACCACCTGGTTTCTGCAGGCCAGCGTCTAATTTCTGTGGACTAGCTACATGCAGACCACAGGCATCCTCCCCTGAGTCCGCGCCTATATATTCTTTCGCGTTCAAAAGCACAAGTGCCGCGTCAAAGCTATCTTGTGATGTGACCTTGATAAGGGTCGTTGGCTTCGCCTTGATATTGAGCGCTGCAGATATATTCAGAGGCAGGGCGTCACCATATCTAATAACCTAAGATATGTTGGGCAATATCTCTTTGTTGGATTGCAAGATAGAAAAAACTGTTTCTGTCGTCTCTTTGGCAACTTTTGGTAGCAAATCTTTGGCATGCCCTATCTGTTTGGGTTTTGTAACCCAAAGAATTTGAACAACATAATTGAAGGCTATATAGTGCTTCCGGAAGCCTGTGTCACTCGCTATACTCTTCTATTTTTTTTTTTTGGACCCTAATGCCAAGATGTATTAGGCTATATATAGACTAGGCTCGCAACAAATGTAATCCTATATCATTTAGTATATAGCATTTTACCTCAATTTGAACATGATGCCATGTTTTATGACCGTATGGGTAATAAGATAAAGCTAGGACATTTTATTGAAATACACTCGAGGCGTGGGTCTTGACGATCTGGCAAATGTAGTCGTTTTTTTCTTCAACTCCCTTGTCTAATTAAGATCTAGAGGCTGACTCGATCGTAGCAGTGCAATCAGTGGCTGAACGTACAGTTCTCTGCTTACTCACGAACGCTTATGTCTCTGTATAGCATAATAATCAGCCTGTTAGCCATAGTTTTCACTCATCCATCCACCTACTTCTTTCCTTAAGAGGATGACCAACGAGATATGCAGGGATAACATCAACAAAGCACGCGATGTGACCCTTAACAACTGTCTCGACCTCATGCAGATTTACGAGGAAGAGAGAGACTCAAAAATTTATTTCAAAACTAAATGCAACTGAAAGAATGAAGTAAAGTCGACAGCGAAATTAGCTTCCTCCCTAAAGATAGCCTTTATTTTCTCGGGCTCCAGTGCCAAGTGAGAAGAGAATCAAGCCCATCTAGCTCCCTAGATGGCATCAATTCTCTTCCCATCGTATTGCTCAGTCTTCAATGTGCTAACATCGACATTCTTCAGGGTTCGTCCCTGCATTCTTATAAGCCAACCGAAGACAGGCAAGCCAGCATATAAAGCACTTACGTTGATCGCCATAATACCGTCGTGTTCTCCTCCTTCGGCTCGAGCATAGACACTAGTCCCACAGTTGGGACAAAAGCCGTGAGGATATTTCATACTTCCGAAACGGTATTCCTAATCTCAGCTGTTAGTTGCCATAAAAATGGATGATCAGATAAGACGGCTAGGAAGACATGGTCCCGACCTTAATAGCATGGTCGCTATTATGGAAAGTAATGTTCGTTTTCTGGGTATAAACCAGGACATAGCCATTGATGCTACAGATTGAGCCTGTATGAAAAAGAATATGAACACTCATCCATCCACCTGCTTGTTTTATTAAGAGGGAGTCTGTACATGTGCACGTTTTAAGAGTCTGCTCTTCTATAGGCGAAGATAGTTGCGCAGTGAAGGTAACTTGTCCACAGTGACAGCTACCGTCATATGAGTTCGAGTTTACTGGAGTCTCGAACATGATGTGAGTAAGTTGCGATTTATTCAGAAACGTGTGAAGACTAGAAAGATGTTATAGAAAGCTGACAATTATGGGTTATGGCTTTATTTATGTAGTGTCACGTCCTAGCATCTCCTGCGATCCGTGCCAACGCCTATATAGCTTGTAGAATACGTAAATCTTTCAAAAGCCGGGAGTAGTCCTATTAGTAGAGTCTCCTTGATTAACTTGCTCGCTCACCGCAGTAATTAGCAAGTGCCTAGCCTACTCGCTGGTCTGGAAGTGGTAAGACGTAAGCACTAACGCAGAACGGGATTGCCAAGAATTAGTAATGTGCTACGTAGTGTCGAAGAGAATTCCCAGTTGGGACTATCATTAGGTTCATAGCCGTTCCAGCCTACTGTAGCGAGTGGTCATCCTCGTCGCTATGACCCCAATCCCATTGAGTGAGCTAGCTCGGCACCTAGATACCTACACCCGGCCCGCCTCCAAGAACAGCCTATGACCATGCCTTGCGCGTATACCACCTGTGAGATTGCTAGACAGTGTCATACGAAAACGGAATGGGCATCTTGCCGTAAACATATGAATTGTGTTTTTTATTTGGGTCCTCTCGAGTATTGGATAATGCACATGACTAAATTCTTTTCATGGGATTGGGTATTGAGACCTACCGGTAGTTGCGACCCTCAGGTTGGGAGCCATGATCTATCATACTAGCAGCGTGGAGGATCAGTTCTTCTAATGGACACTATGGTAGAAATTGAAAATGTACAGGAGAGGGGTGAGGGGGAGGGGGAGGAAATAGGCAGTACGAAGGCATTAGCCATGACAGGTGATTAACAGTGAAACGGCTTATGTATTTATCCAGTACTTTGTAGATCAATACATAAAAACCGGAGTTGCTTATAGAGTATACTAGAGAAAGCTTAAAGTTCCTTGGTAGTAGGGTTAATAAAAGAATAAAAGAGTGTATAGGTGATGACACCAATTTCCGGAAGCACTGTATAAAAAAAAACTGTAGTCTATCCATTGCAGCCAATCAGCGGGGCAGTCATCCAACCACGGGCGGTGAGTCCTTATCTAGGCCGATATCGCCACCGATGACAAAGCCCGCATCGCTCGTTGGCTCTCTTTATTCGGAACTATTCTTTGCTTCTGAAACTGTTTTCCAATTCCATATCCGCCTTTGCCTATTTTAAGTACTGGCCTTTTCTTTTCCTGACGGACAAAGGGACATTTCAATACTAAAGCAATAGGCTTTTTGTGTGAGTGGAGTCCCTGCCAAAGCGGTACCCCGCCACTATGAGCGCGATTCTGTCGGCCGACGATCTGAATGATTTCATTTCGCCGGGAGTTGCTTGTATCAAGCCTGTTGAATCCCTTCCAAAAAGTGCCAAGGAGCCAAAGGTCTGTGTCCCTTCAGCCGTTGTAATCTGGCTGCTTACTGACCTGTTCTAGAACCCCTACGAAGTGACAACAGAAGACAAAGTCGAACCAGAAAACCTCCCTCCGGCGCAGATTTCTTTGACAGACTGTCTGGCTTGCTCTGGCTGTGTGACCTCGGCGGAGGCAGTTTTGATTTCGCTACAATCTCATACCGAAGTTCTCAACACCCTTGACGCCTACTCGGAAATTCCATTGACCCAATCACACCATGGGACGACAGTTGGCCCGGCGGGACCGGGAAATGGAAAGATCTTTGTTGCCAGTGTGAGTCCGCAGGTTCGGGCGAGCTTAGCTGCAACATATGGCATCTCCGAAAAGGAAGCAGGGTACATGATCGATCAGTTCCTGCGCGGCCCGCAGGGATTGCGAAGTGGCGGGAAGCAAGGCAGTGCCTTTACATGGGTTGTGGATACAAACGCTATGCGGGAGGCAGTATTGGTCCTCACGGCTGATGAAGTGTCCGAGTCACTTGTGGGCGGTACAAAGGGGGGGCAAGAAGCCCCTCCCAAGCGACCAATTCTGTCATCTGCGTGCCCCGGTTGGATTTGCTATGCTGAAAAGACACATCCCTTCGTTCTTCCGCATTTGTCTCGACTCAAATCTCCTCAGGCAATGTCTGGAACCTTCCTCAAAACCGTTCTGAGCAAATCTCTTGGAGTGCCACCATCTCAAATCTGGCATCTAGCCGTCATGCCTTGTTTTGACAAGAAGTTGGAGGCTAGTCGGGAGGAACTCACGGATGTTTCGTGGCAAGAAGGCCTCGAGCAAAACATAACTGAGCCATATGAACCTGTTCGTGATGTGGATTGTGTTATCACTTCTCGTGAACTTCTCTCCTTGGCTTCTTCACGGGGACTCTCGCTTCCAAATCTGCCCCTCCAACCGCTCTCCTCGACATTCTCTCTTCCATTCCCAGAAAAGACCCTGGGCTCATTCATCTCGTTCCAAAACTCCCCTGTGGAACAATCTCTTGCGACAGGCACCTCTGGAGGCTATTTGCACCACGTGCTCACAACCTTTCAAGCTCGGAACCCAGGGTCTGATCTTGTCACGAATCGTGGACGTAACTCAGATGTTGTCGAGTACGTTCTCATGTCCAAAGACGGACAACCCATCATGAAAGCAGCCCGATACTACGGTTTCCGCAACATCCAAAATCTTGTTCGAAAATTAAAGCCTGCACGAGCATCCCGAATGCCCGGAGCCAAGCCTGTGGCTAAGCCCATGGCTGGTCGTCGCCAGCCTATGTCTCGCAATGCGGCAGCAGGAGCCAGTTCAGGCTCTGAATATGCTTATGTGGAGGTCATGGCTTGCCCTGGTGGCTGTACCAATGGTGGTGGGCAAATTCGGGTGGAAGATGCCCGGGAAGCAACAGGCTCTTCTCAGCCAGCTGATGCAGCTGTATCTGAAGCGTCGAAGCCATCACCCCATGAACAGCGAGCCTGGCTTGCCCGCGTGGACGAGGCCTACTTTTCCATGGAATCGGACTCGGAGACTGAATCAGTTGATAAATCCCAGCCTCTCTCCATTGTGGACAAAGAGACACAGGTTCACGAGAGCTTGCAGCGCTGGTCCCAGTTCATGGGTATCCCACTCTCTAAGCTTGTTTATACCACTTACCGCAAGGTGGAAAGCGATGTTGGCAAAGAACAGGCCCCTGCTGATGAGACCACCCGGGTGGTTGAACTTGCTGGAAAGATCGGTGGTGGATGGTAGTACATTCACGTTTTGTATAATCTTAGTTTGTTGCATGGCGTTGGGAAATTTTTTTGCATTTCAATGGGGCATATACCAGATCCGTTCATTTATAGATTCATGATTTTTAAAGGAGGTCTCACGAGACTTGTTCAGCTTTTCTACACTTGTATTCTCTAGACGATCGTATACGACAAATAAGAGTTAAAAGAAATCCGCGAAACTTGGACATATCTAGGCTGGTTAATAAGCCAATCCCACCAATGACAAAGATTAAGTTGGTAATTTAAGCAAACCACAGGAAATTAATCTGTTTTTAAATGCTCATGAACAGCAGCTGAAATTACTGTTATGGAGTGGTGCATGCATGCACTAACGTCCACGGGCATGATGCTGTTAAATGCGGTTGCTGTGCCAACGCCTACCTAAGTGGAGGCTGTCAACAATTCATAACTGTTGAAAAACCCCCCATCACGACTAAATAGAAAGCGACACTATCCACTGTGACAAGTGATGCGACAAGCAGGGTCCTCTCTGTGTCATTTCCGACCGAGCAAGCTTCTTTCCTAGCCGACCAACCCAACCGATATAACCACCAAGTGAACTCTCCCAATACTACTACGATGGCACGACTCAACACGGCCAATTCACGGGCCCTCAATGACTCTCCCCGGAAAGCATGCTTGACAACAAAGGCTTCTCAGTCGCCCGCAAGCCCTATTTTTCGTGATCTAGGCTTTGGAACCAGTTCCTCCGGGGGCTCAACACAAAAACAGAAAAAGGATTCAGGTACCTTCTTCGACATCTTCTCAGATGAGGACCAGTCTTTTGAAAATACAGGCTTGGAGGGTGATCAAAGCTCGTCATCTATCACCCCTAGGAAACAAAAGAAAACACGGACTCTCAAGCTCGCCAGAACCAACTCGCTCCTGCTTCCTTTGCAACAGAGACCACGCCAAAGACCCATTGTTAAATTGGAAACAGACGACTATGAGAAAGAGAATGATCTCACAGAATATGGAACGGACACAAACTCACCAACAAGGAGCCCTGCTCCACCGCGATCGCCGATTAGACGAAACGCAGCACGAACCCCAGCACGAACCCCCAAAACCAACACAACCACCAGAACTTTCAGCAATCTGAGTCCTGAAGTTGGAAGCGAAGATGTTGGCGACAATAGCTTTGCCTCCTTAGATGACTTTATTGTTAGTGACAATGAGGAGCTAAGCTATCATGAGACATCCGACTCTGAGACAGAGGTGCAAAAGAACCCAACACCCTCACCACCTCCTAAATCCGCTCGAAAGAGGCTCATAAGAGGACGGCGACCAGGCTTTGATCTGTTTCAGAATGTGGATAGAAACTCTTCCCCTTCTGATCCAATCTGTCTAGAGGTCAAGCTTCCTGACTCTGTGAAGCTTCCTTCAAGCCCACCGGTGAACCCCAAACAAACGTTTCAAGATGATCTTGATCTTTCTGCAAAGCTGGATGATCTGGAACTCAATGGCGACAATGAATCAACTTCCCAGATGGAAGTAGGTTCTACTCCGTATGTGTGACATCGTGCATCTACAAAATGGCATGCAGCAAGTTTGCTAATGTATATATCACAGGTCTGTCATCGAGCTGGACTCATCCCCACCAACGTTAAAAGCGACAAGCAAAGGTCCTCAGACACCACCATCCAGTCCATCAAGGAAGCGTTTCCTAGGATCTCCAACGAAGGAAAAGTTCCGTATCCCTCCAACACCTCATCGTGAAAGCACGGATGCTTTCTGGAGCCAGGACTTAACCAACGACTGGGTTGACCAACATTCACCACGCAAAGATAAAACTCCTGGGCGCTCTGTAATTGAATTGCTGCAGGACTTTGACGACTCAGACAACGAAGGCAGCAGCCAAGACACCACAAGCACTGAGTCCGACTCAATGACCAGAGTGCCTGCGAAGGAAGCAAAGACGCCCAGCAAAACCGCTCTCAAAAAGGCCGAGACGGAAGCCCGCAAAGCTGCCAAGGCCCGCCGACTCTCATTCGACAACAAGAAAGCAGACTTCGCGAAGACCTTCTTCCATGTGCTCGACCATGCAGTGGCAGGAGGTAAAGTCAGCCAGCTAGCTGAAAAGACTGGCGGTGTTGAGATTGTCTGGTCTAAAACACTACAAAAAACGGCCGGTCGAGCGCATTGGCGTGGCATCAAGACCAAGGATTCCGATGGTCGCCAGATCCCGGGCTCAGTCGTCCACCATGCCACGATCGAGCTCGCTGAGCGAATCATCGACGATGAGTACCGGCTGCTCAATACCCTTGCGCATGAATACTGTCATTTGGCAAACTACATGGTTTCCAACTGTCATGACAACCCGCATGGCGCTAGCTTCAAGCTATGGGGAAAGAAATGTGCTGAGGCATTGAAGGATCACCCTATCTACGGTGGTCAGATTAATGTCACGACGAAGCATTCGTATAAGATCGATTATAAGTATGTGTGGGCGTGCGTGGGTTGTGATCAGACCTACGGTCGTCACTCAAAGAGTATTGACCCTACTCGCGTTCGCTGCGGTGCTTGTAAGAACAAGATTGAGCAGATCAAGCCCAAGCCACGGAATGTGTCACCCAGGAAGAACCCCGGTACACCTTTCCAGAAGAAGACTGTGGATGACGTGACACGAGATTTCGGAAGATTTGTTTTATAATGTTGCATATGTTTTGTATCTACCATCATAGCGTGGAGTCAAGTGAATTTCTATTGTACATTGTTGATACCAAGACTTTTTTCGCTTTCAAATATTTTTGATTTGAGTCAGACTATTTTAGCTCCAAGGAGGTGTTTGGAATCTCATTGTAATCATTCATTTCATTGTCTATCTAAAAGTTGTACTACTTATTTTTAACTGCTCGCCAGGACTGAACTTAATTCCAATATACCAGAAACACCCTCATATTGGCCAGCAGCCAATCCCACATTTGAACGATTCCCCCTTTCCCTTGCTAATTAGAAGCAAAGCTTCTAAACAAAAAGTCCCCAATCCACAATTTCAAGCTTCTCCTCCACAGCCTTCATAATATCCTCTGCAGCAGTCTCCTCCTTCGACAAACCACGCGCATCTCCTTCCTTATCAAATTCTTCATGTGGCACATTGAAGAATGTCAACAAATCCGTCTCCTGCGCCTCAAGCCGCACAAGCAGGAAATGACATGTCAAAGTCTTGGCAGGCGGTGCACTAGAAGAGCCACCATTCATGGCCACACCCGCAACAGCTGAGCCTGCTTCGGCAGCAGGCAACCGCTGATCCCGACGACGAGGAGTTGTCTTAAACTCAACAATACCCTTGTACGCACTGACAGTGGATCCAGATGGCGCATTTGAAGGCAACCGGCCCAGAGACACGGGCTGTGGCGGCGCAACCACTTGCATGGAATCATCATCCTCACAGAGGTCATGAAGATGGTACAAGGCAGCTGCTTGGTTGACCGTCTCGGGTGTGGCGGTAGCGACACTGCCGCCGCCAATTGCTAGTGAAGGCTGCTGCTGAATAAGAGTGGCGAAGGTGCTCAGTGCATCTTCTTGGGAGACACGCTGGTTGATCTCGATGATCATGTTAGACAGTGTGTCGGGTGAGAGGAATAGTTCCTGGTGGTCTGGGATTTCACGGAGGTTGCTGTGAGGGATGTTAGTCATGGTCCTAGCTGGTGTCTTGTCGTGTTGTTTCGTTGTCTCCGTTGCTGAGACCCCATTCATCGGGGATCTTTGATATGGGCGCTAGGGCCGGGAAGGTGTTCCGGGGACTAAGAAAATAGAGATATACTGACCTGGCGTCAATCCAGTTCTGTGGCACAACACCCCGAATTGCTCCGCCAAAGAAGTCTTGCTCTTTGACGTTTGACATGGTTGAGAGAAGTCGCTCACGGGAGACTTGGATATTTATTTTTCGAATTTTCTGGACTTTGTCTTGGTAGAGATGATGATTTGACGAGGTTGTCTGCGATATAGAATTTTGATGCCAAGACCCCGCGTTGAGATGATATTTTTTTCTTCTTCTTGATTTCGTGTTCTGGTCTGGGGTCCTCAAGATAATTCAAAGGTTTTAAACTTGAAAAAGGCAAAATCAAGTTCAGTATGAAATGGAACTTTATGTTTGAAGGCTTTCAGTGTCGTTTTATGCTTGTAGGTAGGCTAGGCACACCAGAGGCAGCAGTTGCGGGAGGCAGTCTTCCGCCCAATGACGTTTGCCAAATGTCACAACCGTCTACTCTACCTGTTCCAGAATGATAAGTTGTAATTATATTGCGGGTAATTCTCAGTTTGCTACATATCAAGCTACTGTTTACTTCAAAATGTCTACAGTTTATTGCTAACCTAGTCACTCTCAGGCCATTTCTTCATGAGAATATTCATCACGTGATTCTATACTTTTAGCCCAATATATCAGGCACCTATGAAATACATGAGTCAAATGGATGACTCGATAACCGTGGATCCGAAATTTACAATGCAGCTGGAATAATCAGGGTGTTCTATCGCATGATATCGATGCAGTATATAGGTCACATGCTAGATGTTCTTAGTTGGATCGGGTGCTATACAGATCTTACTGAATACATTATGCTTCGGAAAAAATTAAACATGCATCATGATTACACCCATGTCATTGTCAGAGTGATTTTGACAAATCCACTTGCAAAGAAATCAAATATTGAAGCCCTACTTGTTGTGTGTTACATATTTTTATGCAAGATCCCATGCATATTAATCTTGATTCGTCAAATGGCCGCATGCTCAAATTCGGCTGCAGCGGCCCAGCTCAATAAATCCAGACAATATGATTAGTCCATTTACACAAGTGACTCCGCTGGATTCCTTTGACGAATCCATAATCACCCAACTGCACTTGACTTTTAGAAGGGGGTTTCACTCCTCAAGGAAATAGACTCCACCATGCGGAGACCTCCGGTTTTCGGCCCACTCTGAATCATCTTTTGATCAGATAATCTCTGATCCTCATTCACTACAATACCCGACCCAAAACTCCTGCTAACTTGGGTCCTGCTCTGTTCTCTGCCTGCTGCCGCTCGTTTTTCGGCCAGATCGCGCCATTTCCGCGGGCGGGGTTGTACATAAACACCAATAACGTGATCACCGCTAGGATCAGCCGGCATTATGAGTCGGTCCAACAGCGTTATCTCGAAAGATGCCGATGTCTGTGATCCAGAGACGCAGCCTCTTTTAGCGGGTAACGCGAAATTTCGAAGCCTAGGATGGAAGCGTCTTACCATTATCGCGATCGTTGAGGCGATCGCGCTAGGCAGTCTCGGGTTACCGTCTGCCTTTGCGGCGCTGGGTATGGTCACAGGTATCATTCTGACCGTGGGTATTGGCTTGCTTGCGATGTACGCAGGATACATTATTGGCCAGGTTAAGCTTATGTACCCCGAGGTCGCGCATTACGCAGATGTCGGTTCCCTTATTATGGGTCGGTGGGGATCGAGGATATTTGTTGGCAGCTTTGTTGCTCTGCTTGTGTTCGTTATTGGGTCACATGCTTTGACTGGTGCCATTGCATTCAAAACAATCACGCAGAGTGATTCATGCTCGGTCATTTTTAGCATTCTTTCTGCTGTTATCTTGATGCTTCTTGCTATTCCGCCTTCTTTTGCGGAGATTGCCATTCTGGGATACATTGATTTCGCCTCAATTGTTTTGGCTATCGGTGTCACTATGATTGCTACTGGGATTCAGAACGATGGTTCTTCGGATTGGTCTGCGTGGCCTAAGCCGGGTATCTCTTTCACTTCGGCGATTGTGGCTACGAACAATATTGTGTTCGCGTATTCCTTTGCTGGTTGTCTGCCCTCTTTCATGGATGACATGCATACCCCCGAAGACTACACCAAAGCTATGTGGTGGCTGGGTGGAGTTCAGATTTTCATCTACACTTTCACGGGGTCGATCATTTATGCCTTTGTGGGACAGAGTGTGCAATCGCCAGCTTTGCTATCAGCAGGGCCTCTCCTTTCAAGGATTGTTTTTGGCCTGGCCCTTCCAGTCATCTTCATTTCGGGATCTATCAACCTCACTGTGGCCAGTCGATACATCCATGGAAAATTGTATCAGAAATCCATTGCCCGCTTCATCAATACGCCGGAGGGCTGGGTCACCTGGCTTGGCCTCGTCTTCGTTATAACAGTGATAGCATGGATCATTGCCGAGGCTATCCCCATTTTCTCAGCATTGTTATCTATCATGTCGTCTCTGTTTGTTTCTGGTCTAGCTTTCTATTTCCCACCGGTTATGTGGTATATGCTCCTGAGGGAAGGCGCATGGTACGAAAAACATAACTTGAAGGCTGCTATCTGCAATGGTGTGGTGTTTGTGGTTGGCATGGTTATCTTCGTCTGCGGTACATACGCGAGTATCGCTGATTTGGTGAGCTTATATTCTTCCATTCCCGTTGATACTTTACTTACTATGTCCCAAAAGGTTCATGAATTCCAATCAGGGTCGGTCGGCAAGCCTTTCACCTGCTCGGCCTAGATGTATAGATTACTTTCGGCATTTCACAGCGATAGATCGCTAAATGAGTATAGAATAGATGTCATGATTCAACGCTGCTGCAATATGGGTATTCTTTTTTTTCTTTTTTTTTTTTTGGAAGTCTGTAGCCTTTTCTGGGGTAATTTCTTTTCTGAATTAAATCATGGATCATTATAATAATATAATATTCGCGCCCCAGATCATCACATTCTCACGGCAAACCTATATCAACAATATGACAACGTTTTCTTCCATCAAGTGTTGATGCCTTCCGACCATTCTGTCAGACACCTATTCTAATGCCTTCTCGAGATCTGCGGCCCACAAGGAAGCACCAACGGTATTGGTGAATGAGAAAATGATGGAAGCAAAGGGTATCATCTCCAGAGCAAAAGCAGCAATGCCAAGTCTGCATATTGGTCAGCATTGGAAGACAGATATCAAAAGGCTCACTTACCCAGTATATGCGCCTCGATTCTTGGCCACCCACTCTTCCCGTTGCACTGAGTCCCACCCTTTAAGCTGGAAATACCGTGCATGTAGCCCCGGGCCAACCCTCTTACCCTGGACGGCTATGTACAGCACGGTTCCGACAACGGGAATCATATTCAGGGGTAAGTAAAGCAAAGAGCGCAACAGAACCTGGGGCTTAAATTTCGAAAAGGGTTTCGAGAAAAGCTTCCCCAGTCTTGCAACTGCATCTCTTCCTGCAGATTGAGGTTTAACCTGACGTCCCTGCGCAACGAGAGACTCCTGCTGACGGGCAATAAGGGTACCATCAAACGTATCAATCAGAGCATCTTCACACAAGAAAGATCGAGAGAAAATATTTGTCAGAGTCGCACTTTCACTGAGAACAAGAACTGCTGCGGATATAGCAGCAATCGGACCACTAGTGAAAGCCATAATGGCCATCTGGGGAACGTAGGTGAAAAAGAACATGAACGATGTTACACCCAAGCCCAGACTGATGGTTCGTCCAGCCCGTGCGGTAAATGGGCCCCAGAGATCTTTGTGAGTTGCAAAGAAGATTATACCCTGGTATTTTGTATTAGTGACCCCTCAATAGTCTTTTGGCATTGACTTGTAGCTTGCCTTGAACGGATACAGATATGCGCCGGATTTGAGGACGCCTTCGGAGGCTGCCCGAACACTTTTGGCCTCGGCGATTGCGGCATCTTTGATGTGGTTGGACATTGCGAGACGACTGAGCGAGCAGCTCACACCTGCAAGATTTTGGGTAAAAAGGTTGAGGATGTTAGCGGGATTTGGAAGTTCCCGCGACTTTTCTCCAAACAGAAACGATGATGTCATCGGACCCTGGTCACCATAACTCATCCAAGATGAGCCAACGTCCAGAAAGGGAGATCAAGTCCCTAGAATCATGACTAACGCAGAGGTTGGGTTTTAGCGTAATATTGATTGATTTCACCAACACGAGAATTCATGTCCATCTCACTCCGTACACTACAATACTGTCACATTTAATGATTGGTCTGTTCGAATCTGTAAATTGTCCAGCGTCTAAAGAGCCCATAATATTATTCGGTCTATACATTATCATTATTTATTCCAGCCTATAAGATCCCTTCCCATTGTTCCGAACCGATTAACTTGGTGAGGCCCATCTTGGAAGCAAGGACCAGCCAGTCCCGAGTAAAGACCGATTAAAGTTGTATCGAGAATTCCAGGATCTGCAGAATAATTGATGTCAGAGACTTTGTTCCTTTATATAGATCCGTATCTTTATCGAGCCTCACCATTTATCGGAAATAATCGGACGGTCGTCCTGGCCCGCATACCTCCCAGGAGGAAAATTGTACTCATCGTCCCAGTACTCCTTAGCGGCCATCAGGGGCCCCCATTTCTCCCGGGTACGTCTGAGACTTTGTTTAATGCGCGACATCGCGGTATCATTGTGTGGTTTTGAGGAGGTGGGATTAATGTCCTCGATGTTGGAGCTTAAGGACTTGATAGAACCTGAGGTACTCATTGTGAAGCGAGAGATAGGAATGGATGGCAGAGCTCGAGTCTTGAAGTTCACATATTTTTTTAATGAGGACAAGCAGATACTTATATAGATAGGGACGCAAGGGTCGCTTCCTTTTTCCTTTGGTTCATACTGTTGTAATTCCCTCACCGATCTTCCCCCGTGCCGAGATATTTCCGCTTTTTGTTCGCCACATTTCTACACGTCAGATGCACTTTCCCAAAACGAACCTAGCGCCTTCCCTTATCGTTCACCCTGGAACCTATGCTTCCATGGGCATTGACCTACATGACACAGCTTGCTTGTTTCGGTTCTATTTCCTTTGATTTCTCGACCCATGACTGACATTGCTCGATATTAACTCCCATGCATAGTTGGGCGCTTGGGCACAAAATCAAAAACCTAGACCTCTAGCATTCAGTCGGAGCCAATTTCTTCTCTGAATCAAGATGACTCTAAGTCAAGATGATAGAACATTTGAAGGATAATCTCAAGGCTGTATCCTCATGGAACTCCGCATCCTTTCAACAAATCATATTCCCATGTTGAGCACCCCTGGTCTTAAACTTGAACCATACTGTGGCTTCTAGACGATGTAGGGTATGCCAACCCCTTCGGGGGCTTCGGGGGACTTACCGGCAGACTTTCGGGACAAACAAGTCTTGTTGGCTGTCTGATGGAAGATGTGGTACGTACCGTAGTTGGTGGATAGCCATATCCAATCATAGGTGAATCCTGCCAATGCTTTAACAAGCTATCAAAAGGATACATGCGTTAATGTAAACGAGATCGTCACTCAAATAGGCGGATGCTAGTAGCTCGAGTCACCCTCCGGGCCTTTTTCCACTTGTCCATCTCAAAGTATCTTGCTTCAACTACACGCAACAACGTGTAGGTCCTGGCTCTACCCCGGACACCCGACCCCACAATCTCGTCTCCTTGCCGGCAAGAGAGGTTGGGGCTTCTTATCTCAAGATCTGGCCAGAATTGGCTTCGTCGATCAAATTCGAGTTTGCATTGAGCGAACATTTTGTACGGAGATCGGTCGGAGATCGGTCGGCGCGACAATCGACGGAAAGTCTGGCAGACAAATTAAGGTTTCAAGTTTATCGCCTCCGTTCCAGCGATTGATCATGTACAGATTATTTTCAGAAAAAAACTTTAATCTCCACCTCTTAATGGATTTTCCACAGGTGGGGGGACTGCCCGGCACTTGTGTGTGGAGTAAAATGTCAGAGTTTAATTTTCATATCATATTACAAGTTATAAGTTCATGGAATGCGTATACCATCCCTTCTTTCTCTTTCTTTGGCCCTACAGTTTTTAGCCTGAAGTTCTTGATTCAGCCATAGTTACCGAGTACGACTGCTTCACGGTGATATGATAGTAGCTGTCCTGCAGCGACTGGTCTTTGACCAGAATGGCGGCCTTGTCACTTGCAGAATCATTGGACTTGATGCCTCCTTGGCTGCGTAAGACGTGGCTCCTTACAACCTCGTGGCTGTTCATCTCATAGGAGTAATTGCGAGATTCGTTTTTCATAAGCCTTTTGTACAGTGGACGGAGAACAGGGGCCGACGCGGCAATGTTGAGAAGGACGGCTTCGGCTCTGGGGGGTGTATCAGTAGGATTTCAGATTGAGGGAAAGGGAGAAATGGGGTTTATTACAAGATCCAAGTGAATAGAGCAACCGTGTTGTCTGTGGATATTAGTTTTGTTCCCTGCCAACGAATGTAGGGAGGATACTGACAGGTATAGTCGCCCCTATTCGCTAGGGCTTCGAGATTAACAATCTTCATTACAACGGCAATGACAGCACTGATAGGTCAGCTATTATCCATAACAGACTTTGGAAGGTGGGGACATACAGAATACTCAACCCCAAGAGGATGCCCACGCCGAGCTTTGTCCATCGGTTCATCTGCAAATTGCGAATCATGTACGCCGGGAAGAAGGTCAAGAAGAGATCAGTACAACCATTGAAAGCCGAGTGCGCATATCCAAGATACTGCGATTGTCAGTAATGGACACAATTATGTTTGGCCATTGATGCGCTTCACTTACAGTCTGCACATCCGCATTCCAACATGTACCAGATACACTCGAATCCCAAAGCAAGACAACATTAGTGCATTGGGCATATAAACACACCACAACGGCACCGTTGGTAATCAATTGTGCCGCAAATATTGTCCAGAGTCCTCGCCGCAATTTACGGTTGATTCCAAAGAGTGTAAACATAGTCGCAATGGTTGATAGACGGCCAAAAGTAGAGCCCAAGACTCCAAAAGTCTGGCCTATCGAATTGTATTTAAGGGCTTCGATGCGCTGGTGTGTGGTAAGCGTCTGCTGATGTCGACCCCAACCGTAGTGGTATTGCACGGTGATCAGGGATGCGAAGGTCAAAACAATGCACTGGTCGGTGAGTAAATGGATACCATGAATTGAAGAAGAACACTTACAGTGGATAAGGCCAACATCGCGTCACTAAGCCCAAGTTTACGCGTGATCCGCGCCTGTGTATAAATTCTGGCAATCGTCACGATCAAGGCAATGGTAGCGAGTGCCCAGCATACACCGAGGGCCGGGGCCCCTAAGGGAAGTCAGTTTGGTGCTGCAAGAATCATTCTTGGTTTCATACCGATATCGCTTTCATCGGACATGGCATGGGAAGCGACAGAGGCCTGGATTTTTTTGGTGGGGAAGAACAAACATAACGCCAAAAGAATCCAAAGGATTCTTGTTGTTATAAGGCTAACTTCCAGAATATTATTCCAAGGCTGCACCTGCAGTAACTAAATGAGCGCCACCTTCACCTTGCTGCCCCTCCTTGAACAAGGTCAACTTCCACAGGACGAGGAAAAAGCCGATTGGACCGAGTTCCGGACAAATTCTACGTAGAAGGTGTGCTCAAATAGGATTAGATATAGATGTTAATATCTCCATTCATGGCGATTGGTGCATCTATTGCTCGCTTAGGCTCCACTTTGCGGGACACGCTTCTAGATTTAGCCCCATGCCGGGGGAGCTCGCGGAAAGCCCGTGTAGTCCTTCCCATATCATGATTTGATTTGGCCCAGAGACATTTCCCCCTTATTTTTGCGTAATGCAAGACATGCCAGACACCGCTATGACGCGGACCCAGATTATGTTCCCAATCAGCTGTATAATGGGCAACAATTTTGTTCAACATGGCTAGCGTGGCAAGACCGAGATGTCGGGTTTAACTGGTTACAATTGAGAAATCCAAGCCGTGTGTGGGTCCCGGCATACATCGGCTACAGAGAAGTACACTAACGGGTACAGCGAGATGCAGCATTCCTGAACTTGCTGCAGGGGCAACAGTCAATTAGAGTGAACTTTTTAAGCTTACCCCTGGAAGGAAATGATCCCGGCTAGTTAATGGTTATTTCCGTGTTATCGCCGCCTCTCTACTGCGACTTCTCTATGTTATGCGCTATTCCAATCTCCTCAAAATTGCCGTTGGCAGCCCGCTATCAGCCCATTTTCCCAATCTAAATTAGTTTCTCCGAGGGGGGACGGCTAGCTCACTAGCGACTCTGTACTAGTTCATCCACAAGCAATGCCGGCATATATATTTGGTTCCACTGATTCCCCTTGGTGAAACAGCCCTCAACACAATCACTAATTGCAATGGCTCCTCTTCTTTCCTTGGCCTTTGCAGCCTGCTCCCTTCTAAGCACGGCCTTCGCTCTTCCTCATGACAGTGTGCCCGTTGTTCGTAGCAAGGCCGCTAGCTCTGCTGTTGATGTGAATGTTCTCTACAGCTTCGGCAATGGCACGTGGGCCGAGAACCTCGCTGTCCGCGCTAATGGTCAAATCCTTGTCTCTCGTCTGGACACGCCTGAGGTGCTGCAGCTTGACCCCAAGGGTATCAAAGAGCCAATCACAATTGCTTCTTGGAATTCGTCGACTTACATGGGTTGTCTCGGTATCTCCGAGACAACTCCCGACCTATTCTATGTAGTGACCTCGGGCTTTGTTGACGATGATTTCGTGCTCACTTCGGGTGTGAACAGTATTTGGAAGATTGACATGTCTACCTTCTCCGTCTCTGAGCACACGGGCAAGGTTGTTTCCAACGCTACCGTCTCCAAGCTGGTTGATGTGACAACCTCGGACTTCCTGAATGGTCTCACTACCCTGTCTGACGAATTGATTCTCGTTGCGGATGCCTACAATGGGTGGGTGTACCGTGTTAACACAAGCACTGGTGCCTACTCCGTTGCCGTCAACGAGGAAAGTATGAAGTTTGACTCGATTCCCAACCCCCCGACCAACATTGGCGTCAACGGTATCAAGCTGCTCGATGATTACCTTTACTGGTCCAACACCGCTGTCGGCACTCTGAACCGTATCCGCATCACGGCCAAGGGTGCTCCCATCGGCAAGGCTGAGGTCGTTACCAGCAACGTGCCCAAGGCCGATGACTTCATCTTCAAGAGCGATGGCGTTGCCTTTATCGCTCAGAACCAGATGGATGAGCTCAGTGTCTTGTACCCTTGGCATTCCGAGGCCACTGTCATCGCTGGCAGCAATATTTCGACTATTCTGGCCGGTGTTTCGGCTGGCAAGTTCGGTCGTTTGGCTGAGGATGAGCACATCCTCTACTTGACCACTAGCGGAGGTAAATTTTCCCCATCCTATCCATTTTGGAGTAATCTTACTGACAACGACACAGCTGAGGGCAAGCCTATCAATGGCACGGTGACCGTTCCCGCAACTCTTTCTTGGATCGACACCTCTGCATTTTAATTATTATAAGACATAATTACACGTCGCTTCTATGTTTTTGGGCTCTTTATCCTATGAGAGTTGATAATGTCATATATGGGGCAACGTCAAGGCCGTGTCTTGGGTCTATGTACAATAGGGAGAATAGAGACCAAGGCTCAACTAATAAAGGAACGGATTGAGGAAAATAATGTTGATGTGGGATATCTACATATTCATACCATTTATGATACTTTGGCACTACCTCGGACTCAACAGATCCAGTCCCGTATTCACGTGCACGATGGCAGTTTAATTATATTAACGCGCGGCCTCACTGAGCAGCTTAGCCACGGCCTCATGTCCGTTCTGAGCTGCCAAGCAATGTGACGTCTCGCCACTAGAATTCCGAGAATAGGGGTCGGCGCCATGTTCTAGTAGCACCTTGACAACTTCCAAACGTCCAAATTCTGCTGCACAAGACAAAGGTGTCTGACCCTCACAGTTTTCCACGTCCGGATTGACCCCCATACCAAGCAGGATCTTGACAACTATCTCATGTCCATTTCGTGCCTCCCACCAGAGTGGCGTCTCTCCCCCTAGAGTCTTTAGAATTGGGATCAACCCTATTTGTCGCAAGTAGTAGCTTGACTATGTCCTCGTGCCCATTTTGTGCTGCCAACCACAATGGCGTCTCCCCGTCGGAGCTCTGTGGATCAGGGTGGGCTCCTGCGTCAAGGAGAACCATCACTAGTTCGTCGTGACCGTTTTTTGCCGCCCACCATAGTGGAGTCTCCCCGTTGGAGCCCCGAGGTTCCGGGTCAACGCCCTCGGCGATTAGAAGCTTGGCTATTACCTCGTGTCCTTCCCGAGCGGCCCACCATAACGCCGTCTCGCCATTTGAATTATGATGTTCGGAATTCACACCCTTTGTGGCCAGTAGCAACTTAACAATGGTCTCGTGTCCGGCTTTCGCAGCAAGTACTAGAGGTGTCTGCCCATCCGAACTCCGAAGGTTGGGATCGACACATTTTTTATCAAGAAGTTTCTTGACCATTACTTCATGTCCATGATACACCTCCCACCATAGTGGTGTTCGTCCCTGTGAATCTTTAGAGTCAGGGTCAATGCCATCTATGTCTAGGAGCAGCTGCACCGATTCTTTGTGCCCATTTCGTGCTGCGCAATTCAATGCCGTTTCTCCTTGGGAATCCGTAGAGTTCATGCTTTCCAGGCTTACAGTCTCTGTCGCAAGCAGTGTCTTAATCACAGCCTCATTTCCATTCGATGCCGCCCACCACATTGGTGTGCGTCCGTGAAGATCAGGAAATTGGGGATCAACCCCCTTTGCTGTGAGCAGTATATGAACCACTGCCTCGTGCCCATTCTCTGCTGCCAACGAAATGGGCGTACGTCTATTTGAACTCCGATTATCAGGGTCAACACCATCAACTTTGAGCAGAATATCAACAATATCCTTATGACCATTTTGGGCAGCCCATGACAGAGGTGTGTACCCGTCGGCACTCCTGGAATCGGGATCGACATTTTCCGCGGTGAGTAATAGCTTCACAACGTCACAATGGCCATTGCGGGCTGCCCACCAGAGGGGGTAATTTCCGTCAGAGTCTGTGGAGCCAGCATCAATCGTGGTAAGTAAAATCTTTACTATTTCCGTATGACCGAGCTCTGCAGCCGCCGACAAAGCATTTTCTCCACGAGAATTCTCAACATCTGGATTGATATTATCTGCAGACAGAAGTCGCTTTATGACTGCTTCGTGTCCGAGTTCTGCTGCCACTATCAGGGGCGTCTCTCCCCAATAATTCTTGAAATTTGGATCGACGCCTTCCAAAAGCAAAAGGTCAACTATAGCATCATTTCCAGCACGCGCTGCTAGCAACATCGGTGTCTTGTAATCCCAATCTTCGATGTTTGGGTCGATACCTGGCACAGCGAGTAATGACTTGACGACCGCTTCGTGTCCGTTTTCCGCGGCTGATGATAGTGCCGTCTGGCCTTCCCAGCTTTCTTCGCGGTGGTTGACATCAATACCCTCTATTGTGAGTAGCAGTTTGACAACCGTCTCGTGTCCATTTCTCGCCGCCAATGACAGTGGCTGTGGCTCTTCCGGGTCGTAGTCTCCCATGAAATTTACTCCTTCCGTGGAGAGTATCAGCTTGACCACTGCGTCCAGACCATGCTCGGACGCATAAAGAAGAGGTTCGGTTCCATCAGTCAAGGACTGAGCGAAATTTTGCAAGGCTATACCGAGACTTTTGGTCTTTTCCTGGGACCAGGAAGTCAAGGAGTTCGGGTCAGATAGGACGAGGTTCACGTCGAGGTCATCCTCAGGCAGCAGATTCAAGTTGTCCAGAAGGTAGAAGACGAAAGAACTCAAAGTGATCTCCGGAGTGCCACCATCATCAATAAAGGCCTGGATTAGTGCTGCGGGTCTGAGGCGTACGATTTCTCGAGAGTCCTCATATTCCTCTCGAGCGAGCTTTCTTAGAAACACCCTTGCTGATTCAAGCTGTTGCAGCGTCAATGGGCTTCGTTTCTCTTGCATGGCTATATCTCGCAATGTTGTTAGGTTTTGTGGATTAAACTGGCTCAGTACACGAGTTCTCAATAGGAATCATAAACTAGCATGTTGAGTGAATGACTCATTTCGGTATATTGTACCCCGTATGTCAATAACTACCATGAATCATAGCGGTAATTTGGCCCCGCAAAAAGGCCGATAATTCGGTCTCGGCTCCGAGGCACCAGAAACAGAAGACGCGTGGCCATGAGTCTGAAAGGATGAAAGTGGGTTCAGCTAGAGTGGGCCGTGGAGCCGCGCGACTCAAAAAGTACTAAGCATTTTTAGAACCTTCAGTTTATCGCTTTACAAAATCCACCGTACTTTACTAGTGTAGAGCTGTCTTGGTGTTGTCAACGCCCATTTGACACCTAATTGACGCTGATTCACGGTTGGAATCCCGGGTTGTCTATTCCGATAAAGGACAATATCTGAACATACAAGCCAGTTGCTATTCACCTTCTGGCTATGGGTGCCTGTATTTCTTGAGGGAGTAGGTATTCCAATTTCTGAGTGATAGATTCATAGGTGGCAAAAGAAATACGTTGCTCGAACTGTGATTTTGTTTGTATTGAAATCAACAGGCCTTCAATTTGGAGGAGAAGTATCCATTATCCTGCAAGCATTTATTGCTTAGCTAGTGGTTTTCTCTTCTTTTGTCCACGGTAGAAACCATAACGTATTCGTCAGGTAAATCATTCAATCGGAGCATGTGGAGAATATTTTGAACAGAATTCGGACATGCCAACCACCAAGTGCTCTTGAAGATCGAAGGGATTCCCCTGCCTATTTAATCGACCCGGGATTTACCGGCCGTTGATATTGAAATAAATACCAGACTTGAGCGTAGCCGTTAGGTAGAGTGTCTCTATTCATCATGACTGCCTAGATATGTTCTCAAAATGTATTCTGTATTGGCCGAGTAATGCAGTTTCTTGCATAATACTTCAGCTCTGTCCTCTAATGTTTCCAGCCAGACGCCATTATTTTATAGGTTGTGCTGCCTGGAAAACCGTGGGTAAGCTCTTAGGTATCTTTGAACTCGAGATTTATTTCGTGTTATTTCGACTTATGCTGTGAAACGGGTCAACGAACTCGTACCGCCAACCATTCCGGTGTGATAGAAAAGTCTCTGCTGTGCCCCGGAATGATATATGAAGCCACTATCATGGGCAATGCTGAGACGGGCACATTTGAAGACCAGCTTTTCTATGGGTCTGGCCAGTGTTACGATCGATCCTGCGGTATTGATGCTCTTAGTTTGTATCACGTCAAGCGTTAAATGAATATATAAGTAACTTGTATGCTTATCGATAGATTTGAGAAAAGTATCTTTTTTTCGTGTTATTATGTAGCAAGGGCCCTTCTGGGCATGGTCATCTGGCTAAGGCCGCTGGAATTGTAGGTGCGGGGACTTGTAGGACAAGAAATGAGGTGTCGTGGGACCTATGTGCTTTCTGTCTGGCACATGCCCGCATAATTGGTGTTGCAATATATCATCTGGACCTTGTGAAAAATACCCAAGTATGGAGTGACACCATGGGCAAAAGAAGTCATAAGAGGACCTTGGCCTACAAAAAGCGCTGCATAGATTCCAACATCGTCCAGATCATCTTGATCATAGATCCGAACTGCATAAGAACCGGGGTATAATTCCTATTAGTATTTGTTGGAGCGGCCAAAAGTTGGTGGGGTCTAGAGAGAAAAAAAGTAAAGAATGAAAGGAAACGAAAAACATACAGTTTAAATCACAATACGCCAATTCATGGAGCGAAAAGGAGGACGCCAACAGAGCAAAAAAAAAATTGTACAAAAAGATAACAGGCCCGAGCCGTGGATCGAACACGGGACCTCGCGCAGGAGTGCTTAGGAGTTGCTGCCCTAAGCGCGAATCATACCACTAGACCACCCGGGCTGTTCTTGATATGAGGAGTTGGATTTATGAGCGTATAAATCAGTTTCTGTGTGAAGTGACTATGTGGGGGCCACTAATTTAGCGGGCCAATGATCGGAATTTGTGATCATCACGGTGTGAGTTTGGAAATTCAGGAATAGGGCTTTTATAGCGAGTTATCAACTATGTCAATTGACTATCTTATGGTCTTTTTCAAGTTTAGAGCTTCTTCCCTCATTAATATTCCGGATTGTTGGGAAAGATGTCGTCGTGGTGTGGTCATAGCCGCTCACTAACCAAGTTTCAGAGCTGCAATGTGTAACCTTGCCCACGTTGGCACCTAAGCACTTACACGCGTATCATCTGTTTTCCATTGAGTTCAGACATTCAATGGATAGTTGAGAGATAGTAGTACTATGTGTCTATATTTGTATATCTTAATTTGGTTCAATTTTCTTCTTCAGGATTGGATTGTTGGTCTGAGGCATGGGTGATATATCTTGGAGGTCAACCTGGGCATAAAGTTAAACTTCAGCACGAACCATTAAAACACTATATCCTAGGACATTCATGGCCACCACGCGCCCGGCTCATATATGAAGCTTACTGAAATTATTTATTCCGCCGAAAACCTCCATATGATACCAAACTCCCTTGCTAGAACCCACCGTCAACCTTGAACCATCAGGTACATAGCACTACACCTATACCTACATTGGAACGCCATGGGACCACAGTACCATATGTACTGCGCCAAGCGTGCTTCATCAGACCTCACATGTCAAGTCCCAATACGTCCCCCATATATTACTTACTCGCTACTCGCTACGACGTGAGATCCAGTATAGATTGTAAAACAATACATTACAATTGACAATTACAGCGGCGGAGGCCACTCACAGAACGAGCGCAGGGACTGACCCATTGAAGATTTTGCGGAGTACCAAGCAGGCAAATGCGAATGAATATGCCTACAAGACAGGTACGGCACCACAACTATAGACGTGCAAACAGGGGGGCACAGACCACCTCCTACGTCAACAAGCACAGCGCTAACACCGTACCGCAAACCAAGCAATGCCCAAATCTGGTCAAGGCACGAAAGGAAAGCGACTGAGACCGGGGAGATTGATAACCCCCAAACACGTCTCATCAAACCAGCATAAAACTCTAAAAGGCTGGACCCAAACGCGAGGCTGACACTGCATATCGCCGCAGACAAGCTGCTTACCAGAAGCAGTATGCCGGGCCAAACAGTCATGCAGGTCCCCGTGGAATGGATACCCTGCCGATCCTATTAGAAAAGGCGCACCGGGAAGGGTGCCCGGGCCCTGGAACGACAAGGCTCCGTGATCCGGCCATTCCTTTGCCATGCATCCACGCAGATCTCCCTCCCTTACATTCTAGGTCTCATCGTCGGAGGCTGGGGACCAGTCTTGTCTACGGTGATCGATACACATGCTATCCTTTATGCATGGTACAGGTAAGGATGCAGAGATTGCAGATGATTCATTTGATGTACAATGTTATCGACGATTGATTTACTATACTTTGTGGTGGACAAACTTGAATATGAAAAGAGACACCGTGTGATGGTTGTGTGGTGTACTATGGAGGGGCATCGAAGGAATCTAAATTCCGAGCGCTGCAGATTACGATGTACGTTGTATGAGCTGAGGTTACTAATCGATCAGGACCAGCACAGGGAAAATGTGAGCTCGTGGCGAACACATTTGCTCTCCCGACATCATATTCGTAATGTGGTACATGTATAATTATGTGTACCCTGTACAATGTGTAGTCGGAAGAGGCGATCGACTTGAAAGCGATTGGCTTTTGAACATGTCAATCTCCAGGTGAGGGGCGTATGGGGCACACAGCCCCCCTGATTACCAATCAAATAATACGACGCTTGACAGTTGGAAATAATCGTTTGTGTTTATCAGATATTAAGTGGCAAAACCGAATTTAAATCTCAGGGATAAGCCATGTTCTACATTCAGGGGCTCGGATACCTTAACAGGGTTGGCAATTAAAGAGACCTGACGAACAACTGCTGTGAACCCCTTCCAAAAGAGGACAGATTAGCGCCATTTACGGCAGCGGCCTCTGACAGCCGGACAAGCCACCCCGACGGACGGATGAACAATTTTAAAAACAGGGCAGTTCGAGAGCTGGAAATCAGCCACACCTACGCCAAAAGTGGTCAAGGGGGATCGGGAGTGGCCAGTCTTGGAAAAGGAGGCGGGTCATTACAATAAACTTGCAACGCTAGATGAGTCCACTGATGAGCGATCGTTGACTAGACCCTTTTGCTGGACAGGTTATTTTTGGCACCGTGAACCCCCCCAGCCCAAAAGAATAGATAGAACGGGGGGGAAATGGGGAGACGGGGACGGAGCACTCCATAAACATTGAATTTCGAGCAATCCCCGATAGTACGGAGCAGTTCAGGGGGAAGGAGTTGCCAACAGTCAGACTGGAGATGAAAGTGGATGGCCCCGTCTTCTTGCAGTGGATGTATCGTTCCTGCGCGATCCTGCTCCGAGTGCACATGTGGCAGACAGTGACGCTCCGGTCGCAAGTTCTGTATTTCTGCGGGTAATGAGGGTTAGTGTACAGAGTATATGGGCTACAGATCTCTTGGTGACATGGGTTATCCGAGACGGACAAGATGATCGGGACGATCGAGAATATTCGTCCAACAGGTGCAGTGTATTCGCAGGCTGTTGCGTACGCAGACCGTCCGGCTAGACCGGGGTGGCCCCGAGGCTCCAAATCAGAGAATAAAAGCATTGCGCGACCCACTTGAACAGCCCTGGAGTGGAACAGGATGCAGAAGCCTGGAACCAACGGTGGAGATCGACTGCGACGCTTCAATACGGGCGTTACCATTAGTGTGTACGGTGTTTCATACATGGAATTCAGCATAAATACAGGTTGCATTGAATTTATGTGAAATCAGATTGATTGCAGAGCAAAAGATGGACCCAGGAATTGATCGAACCAATCCATGGATAATATATAGTTCCAAATGTTTCGGTCGGCAATTAGAGGTGCAGCGGAATGCTACTGTTTATTTATGTATATCCCACTATACAGTATATACCTATCCAAAACCCCTAACACGTCAACACGCCACTAGTATAGATGCTATTAGTTGCCTAAAAAAAGACAATGCAAGATAGCTCGAAAAGAGGTTATGATCAAACAGGTTTTTGGAACTACCGACATTAGTGGGGTATCGTGTACGTATAAGGGCTTATTATAGGACAACACTGTACTGTGTGTGGGATAGCGCAACGGTGGAAAAGTCAAACCATGCAATTTTGTACATTTTGGGACGCGTGTGTGTATCGGAGTGGCGAATGGAAGCAAATTGAGTTTCTAGCGTAAAAATACCCAGTCCCTGGAGAGGATCGTTTGGTCCGGTAAACGACTACGACGATCAATGGAGTTTTCTTTAGACGGATGAATCCAGGTTTACATGGGGAAAGCAAAGCAAGAAAAAAAGTCATTTTTGACAAGAATAGTACGTGTCTGTGGGTTCCGTCGCTTGGAAGCCATGGAACTTGGACCAGTGGATGGGCCGAGTCTTTGTCACCCCGATAAAACTGATCTTGATCTTTAATTTTTTTTTTTCTCACCTACAGAGCAGATCATTATAGTTAGAATGATACCAGTGGGACATAGAAACGGGAGGAATGAAAAACAAAAACCTCGTGCAACGCTATCCCTGCATGCCGGGTGGTAACAATAACAAGGCACAGGCAAATCAGGACCTATTGTGGACGTGTAGCAGCTCTAATGGTATTTCCGATGAAAAGTACCCACCACAACCACATTATTTGTTACCACTTTACATACTGTAAAGGTACAGGTGGAGAAAGTCTCAGGGGCCGTCGCAATTCCCTTGGAATCCGGTGCTTTCTAGACAGTGTGATTGGATACAGACAGGGAGGTTGGGATACTCTGATTGGCTCTTCTTGGGATTAGATGTTCCAAGTACTTTTGTGTACATCTTGTATGGTAAATGAGGTTGGACAACAACGGTATCGTGAGCCCAGCCTCGTAAAACCCCTGAGGGAGAGATGATAGGGTGGAGTAGTGGGTACTCCCCTATTTCAAGGAAAAGCCATAGTGAATGCAGGTACCAGGTACTTTCCGAGCAGGCATACGTGTACCTGTGCTGTACGGTGACCGTAAATTAAACTTCCAACTCAAGCCCCCCCAAAATCCCAAAATAACAGCAACCGGATCTTTTCCTTCCTTCCCTAACCCCCCTTCCTTTCGTTCTCATCAACTTTCACCTTCCCTTGTGACACTCGTTCAGAAGGAAGGATTGGAGTAGAGTTTTGGAAATTTTGTTGGAAGTTTTGCTCCTTCCCATTGTTTTCATTTTTCTCCATTTTGGCTTTCCGTTCCAATTTCATTCGTTAGCATCAACCCCGAATTTGACATTCGGTTCACTTCGATCCCGGCTCGGCATTCATTTCAACGCCTTTACGTTTACGCCATTCGTTTCGTGTCGATGCGGCAATAATTTCGAAGAACCGTTTATCATCAATAGTAATACTGTGTATGGGTCATCGTTGAGGTGAGATAATTTGGGTGGATCGCGGATCTCCGTGTCGCGGCGAAGAATTAGCAAGGACCTGGGGCTGATCCATTGTGTACAGTGCTATCAAAAAAGCGTTCGATTGCGACTCCTTCCATCATGGCGGGCTACGAAGCAGGCGGCCATTATGATGATGGTTACGCCCAGGCAGGTCATGGTGACGCCTATTATCAGGATGAGCATGGGCATGAGCAGGCCCAGGGCTACTACGACAACCAGACATATGGTGATGGATACTACGATAGAGCCGCAGCAGGAGGGTATGCAACTCCAGACATGGGAATATGAAAACTGGAAATAACTGACAATAACGCAGTGAATACTACGACGGTGAGCACCCAGCAGGATATGCCGACGGTGGTCATGAGGCCGCAGGTGCTGCCCATGGGTCTTATTACGAAGGCGGCCAGCACGATGAATACTACGGCGACCAACAATATTATGACCAGGGCCAAGCTCGCGGCCGTCGCGGTGACTCCGAGGAGGATTCCGAGACATTCAGCGACTTCACCATGAGGTCGGAGACTGCCCGTGCAGCGGACATGGACTACTATGGTCGTGGTGACGAGCGTTACAACAGCTACGGGGGAAGTCAATACGGTGGTCAGAGTGGATATGGTGGCTACCGGCCCCCGTCTTCGCAGGTTTCCTATGGCGGAAACCGATCGTCCGGTGCATCCACACCTGTCTATGGCATGGAATACGGAAACGCGTTGCCGGCTGGCCAGCGTTCGCGGGAGCCATATCCGGCTTGGACTTCCGATGCTCAAATTCCTCTGTCCAAGGAGGAATTGGAGGACATTTTCTTGGATTTGGTGAACAAATTTGGTTTCCAGAGAGACAGCATGCGTAACATGTACGACCACATGATGACTCTCCTCGACTCGCGTGCCTCTCGTATGACCCCGAACCAGGCCTTGCTGTCATTGCATGCCGACTACATCGGTGGACACAACGCCAACTACCGCCGTTGGTACTTTGCGGCTCACTTGGACCTCGATGATTCTGTTGGTTTTGCCAACATGAAGCTCGGCAAGGCGGATCGGAAGACCCGCAAGGCTCGCAAGGCCGCCCAAAAGGCCGCGAAACAAAACCCGGAGAACGAAGAGGAGACTCTGGAAGCGCTTGAAGGCGACAACAGTCTGGAAGCAGCCGAATACCGCTGGAAGTCTCGCATGAACCGGATGTCTCAGCATGACCGTGCCCGTCAAATTGCTTTGTACCTTCTCATCTGGGGTGAAGCCAACCAGGTTCGATTCTTGCCTGAGTGCATTTGTTTCATCTTCAAGTGTGCCGATGACTACTACACATCCCCCGAGTGCCAAAACCGTGTTGAGCCCGTCGAGGAGTTCACCTACCTGAACGAGATCATCACACCCCTCTACCAGTACTGCCGTGACCAGGGATACGAAATTCTGGATGGCAAGTACGTGCGTCGTGAGCGTGACCACAATGAGATCATTGGTTACGACGACATGAACCAACTGTTCTGGTACCCCGAGGGTATTGAGCGCATTGCTTTTGAGGACAAGACCCGTTTGGTCGACTGCCCTCCTGCTGAGCGATGGCCCAAGCTAAAGGACGTTGTGTGGACCAAGGCTTTCTTCAAGACTTACAAGGAAACCCGATCCTGGTTCCACATGGTTACCAACTTCAACCGTATCTGGGTTATTCACTTGTGTGCTTTCTGGTTCTTCACTGCCTACAACGCTCCTACTCTCTATACCGATCACTACACCCAGCAAGCGAACAACAAACCTACTGCAGCCAAGTACCTTGGTGCGGTCGGCTTCGGTGGTGCACTTGCAGCCTTCATTCAGATCTTTGCTACCATTTGCGAGTGGGTCTATGTTCCACGTCGATGGGCGGGAGCTCAGCATCTGAGCAAGCGTTTCTGGTTGCTCCTTTGCGTGTTCATTGCCAATCTAGTGCCTGGTGTCATCATCTTTGGTTTCCTCGATAAGTTCGGCAGTGCCGCACACGCCGTCGGTCTTGCTCTTGGAATTGTTCACTTCGTCATGGCGCTTTGCACTGCTTCCTTCTTCGCCATCCAGCCCCTGGGTGGTCTGTTCGGAAGTTATATGAACAAGAACGGTCGCAAGTATGTGGCCAGTCAGACATTCACCGCCAGTTTCCCTCGTCTGTATGGAAACGATATGTGGATGTCCTACGGTCTCTGGGTTTGTGTCTTCGGTGCCAAACTGGCTGAGTCTTACTTCTTCTTGACCCTTTCGCTGAAGGACCCGATTCGCATCTTGTCTCCCATGTCAATTTGGGAGTGCACAGGTGTCTACTGGATCGGCAACGCTCTGTGTCACAAGCAGCCCCAGATCTTGCTGGGTCTCATGTTCTTCATGGATTTGACACTTTTCTTCCTGGACAGTTACTTGTGGTACATTATTTGTAACACTATCTTCTCAGTGGCCCGATCGTTCTACCTTGGTGTGTCTATCTGGTCGCCTTGGCGAAACATCTTCTCCCGTCTGCCCAAGCGTATCTACTCCAAGGTGCTTGCCACCACAGATATGGAGATCAAGTACAAGCCCAAGGTTCTGATCTCGCAAGTGTGGAACGCTATTATTATTTCCATGTACCGTGAACATCTCTTGGCCATTGACCACGTCCAGAAGCTGCTTTACCACCAGGTTCCCTCAGAGCAGGAAGGCAAGCGGACTCTTCGCGCCCCTACCTTCTTCGTGTCCCAGGAAGATCAATCCTTCAAGACAGAGTTCTTCCCGGCTGGCAGTGAGGCTGAACGCCGTATCTCCTTCTTCGCCCAATCCTTGTCTACTCCGATGCCCGAGCCATTGCCCGTCGACAACATGCCCACCTTCAGTGTCCTCATCCCCCACTACAGTGAGAAGATTCTTCTGTCCCTCAGAGAAATTATTCGTGAGGATGAGCCTTACTCCCGTGTCACTCTCCTGGAATACCTCAAGCAACTGCACCCTCATGAGTGGGACTGCTTTGTCAAAGACACTAAGATCCTGGCCGACGAGACCTCTCAGTTCAATGGCGATGTCAACGAGAAGGGTGAGAAGGATGCTCAGAAGAGCAAGATCGATGATCTGCCTTTCTACTGCATTGGTTTCAAGTCTGCGGCACCCGAGTACACTCTCCGAACTCGTATCTGGGCTTCTCTCCGTTCCCAGACTCTCTACAGAACTATCTCTGGTTTCATGAACTACAGTCGTGCTATCAAGCTGCTCTACCGTGTCGAGAACCCCGAAGTCGTTCAGATGTTCGGTGGTAACTCGGAGAAGCTGGAGCGTGAGTTGGAGCGTATGGCTCGTCGCAAGTTCCGTATCTGTGTTTCTATGCAACGTTACGCGAAGATGACCAAGGATGAGCGTGAGAACACCGAGTTCCTTCTGCGTGCCTACCCCGACCTCCAGATTGCCTACCTTGATGAGGAGCCCCCAGCCACCGAGGATGAGGAGCCCCGCCTGTACTCCGCCTTGATTGATGGCCACTGTGAAATCCTCGAGAACGGCATGCGCAAGCCCAAGTTCAGAATTCAGCTCTCTGGTAACCCGATTCTTGGTGACGGAAAGTCTGACAACCAAAACCACGCCATCATCTTCTACCGCGGTGAATACATTCAATTGATTGACGCTAACCAGGATAACTACCTGGAAGAGTGCTTGAAGATTCGCAGCGTTTTGGCCGAGTTCGAGGAGCTGACCACGGACAACGTCTCGCCCTACACCCCTGGTATCCCCTCACCTGAAACAACCCCTGTTGCCATTCTTGGAGCTCGTGAATACATTTTCTCCGAGAACATTGGTATTCTGGGTGATATTGCTGCCTCCAAGGAACAAACGTTCGGTACCCTGTTTGCTCGTACTCTGGCTCAGATTGGTGGTAAACTCCATTACGGTCACCCCGATTTCCTCAACGCTACTTTCATGACAACTCGCGGTGGTGTCTCGAAGGCTCAGAAGGGTCTGCACTTGAACGAGGATATTTACGCCGGTATGACCGCTCTCTTGCGTGGTGGTCGTATTAAGCACTGCGAGTACTACCAGTGTGGTAAGGGTCGTGATTTGGGTTTCGGTTCCGTTTTGAATTTCACTACGAAAATTGGTACTGGTATGGGTGAACAGATGTTGTCCCGAGAGTACTACTACCTTGGAACCCAACTGCCTCTCGATCGCTTCCTTTCATTCTACTATGCTCACCCTGGTTTCCACATCAACAACATGTTCATCATGCTGTCTGTGCAAATGTTCATGATCGTTTTGATCAACCTGGGTGCCTTGAAGCACGAGACCATCATTTGCCGTTACAACTCCGATCTGCCAGTCACTGACCCTCTGTTGCCTACCTACTGTGCTGATCTTCACCCGATCGTCAACTGGGTCAACCGTTGTGTTATCTCCATTTTCATCGTGTTCTTCATCTCCTTGGTTCCCCTCGCCGTGCAAGAATTGACTGAGCGTGGTGTTTGGCGCATGGCCACTCGTCTGGCGAAGCACTTTGGATCCTTCTCATTCATGTTCGAGGTGTTCGTGTGTCAGATTTACGCCCAGGCTGTGCACCAGAACTTGTCGTTCGGTGGTGCCCGGTACATTGGTACAGGTCGTGGTTTCGCTACGGCTCGTATTCCTTTCGGTGTGCTGTACTCGCGATTCGCTGGTCCTTCCATTTATGCCGGAGCTCGTCTACTCATGATGTTGCTTTTCTCCACATCAACTGTCTGGACACCGGCTCTGCTTTGGTTCTGGGTTTCCCTGCTGGCTTTGATCATCTCGCCCTTCCTCTTCAACCCTCACCAATTTGCATGGAACGACTTCTTCATCGATTACCGCGATTACCTTCGTTGGCTCTCGCGAGGTAACTCCCGATCGCACGCCTCGTCTTGGATTGGTTTCTGCCGTCTGTCTCGCACCAGGCTTACCGGTTACAAGCGCAAGGTTCTCGGTGTTCCCTCTGAGAAGAACTCCGGCGACATTCCCCGGGCTCGTTTCACGAACATTTTCTTCAGTGAGATTATCGCCCCACTGGTCGTCGTCGCTGTTACCCTTGTCCCCTACCTGTTCATCAACTCCCGGACCATGTACAGCAACAGCGATCTTTATGCTCCCAACGCCGTCCTCCGTATTGTCCTGTGTGCCTTGGCGCCTGTTGGCATCAACGCTGGTGTTGCTGGCATGTTCTTCGGCATGGCTTGTTGTATGGGTCCCCTGTTCAGCATGTGCTGCAAGAAGTTTGGTTCTGTTTTGGCGGCTATTGCCCATGCCATTGCCGTCATCGTGCTCATTATCTTCTTCGAGGTCTTGTTCGTTTTGGAATCCTTCAACTGGGCCAGAACCGCGTCCGGTCTCGTTGCCATGATGGCTATCCAGCGCTTCATCTACAAGCTGATCATTTCACTTTGTCTCACTCGTGAGTTCAAGCACGATCAGTCCAACATCGCTTGGTGGACTGGTAAATGGTACAACATGGGATGGCACTCCATGTCTCAACCCGGACGTGAGTTCCTGTGTAAGATTACTGAGCTCGGCTACTTCGCCGCCGATTTTGTTCTTGGCCACATCATCCTGTTCTTCATGCTGCCTATCCTTGCCGTCCCATACGCGGACAAGTTCCACTCCGTCACCCTATTCTGGCTTCGTCCCAGGTATGTTCACCAATGTCCTCGATTAACATGTAACCACTAACATCCACAGTCGTCAAATCCGCCCTCCTATCTATTCCTTGAAGCAGTCCAAGCTGCGTAAGAGACGTGTGGTTCGTTTCGCCATTCTCTACTTCGCCATGCTTGTTCTTTTCATTGTCCTCCTCGTGGCGCCAATTATCCTTCACAACATGTCTAGCATCTCCAAGCCTATGCTCACTTCGCTCTGGAGCGCAATCGGTGTCAACGGTAAGAACAGCCAGATGTTATACCTTCTGCAGCCCATGGACAAGGGATTGAACGATACCGTCTCCTACTATACCGGTAGCAACTTGCCGGATGGCTACAAGCCTGTTTCCACCGACGCTCAACCCGCTACTACTGGTGATTCTGCTACCTACGTTCGGAGGATGATTTGAGGGGGATTGGCCCCATCTTGTATGAAAATGGCTTGTACAAAGTTTTGTCTTTTTCCATCTTTCCCCTGCGATTCGCTGCATTCTTTCTAAACCACCGGCGTCCTTGTTGATCTTAATGGCTTCCGTGGAATGACTCGGTGTAATTTGAGTGATTCCGTCATAGCCCTGGGGGGTTTACCTTCATTCTTCGCCGTTCTCATTGCTTGTTTTTCTTTCCTTTTCTTTTTCTCACCATAAACATAACGGAATACAATCTGCATTGGCTTCATTTTATTATATATCATATGTTTGTAAAATAATATAAAATACTGTGGGTCCTTCCTGTCAATTGGGAAATTTGCTCCTCCTTGTAAGCTAAGTTAATCACGTGATGACCCCGATCCAGCCGGACCGCGTCCCCCGGACGCATCTTGTATTCTGAATGTCCCTGAATCCATCATCCTTCGCCGCTCCCTACCCAATCCCTTTTTACTGGAACAGATCTTGCTGGTGCTCTCAGCGACACTAGCGCCACTGAGTTACCCAACATGGATCTCGCAGAGACGCAACGTCTCCTCTCAGAGTACCTACACGAACTTACGACCCTTTTCCATCAAATACCCGGCTCAGCTATTTTCCTGCGCTACGTCAAATCAAGCTACCAAGATGATCCAATTAGGTCCGCGGTAGAGTTGTTCCTCTTTCTGTTCGCTGTGCGTTATCTGTTGGCCCCAAAGTATTCGACCAAGCCCGGTGTGGTGTCACTCTCGGAGGATGAGATCGACGACCTGGTGGACGAGTGGACTCCTGAGCCACTGGTTGGAGAGCCAACACCTCTGGAGGAGATGGAGGTTGCCAGGCGCACTGTGATTGTGGGGTAAGTCTTAACTATTCTTCGTCCCAGATGAGACCCTGTGGGTGTTGAACTTCTGCTGACGAATACCTGCTTCGGGGTTCTTAGTCCTGTCGGTCCCAAGTCCAAGCTCGCCAATGGTCGCACCGTTACCAATCTCAGCTCATACAACTTCTACAACTTTAATACCAACGAGACCCTTAAGGAGAAGGCGATTCTGACTCTTCGGAACTATGGTGTTGGCCCCTGTGGTCCTCGTGGATTTTACGGCACCCAAGATGTGCACCTGAAGACCGAGGCCGATATTGCATCTTTCCTTGGCACTGCGGCCTGCATCATGTACTCTCAGGCGTTTTCGACTATTTCCAGTGTTATTCCTGCGTTTTCGAAGCGTGGTGACATTATCGTGGCGGACAAGGGTGTCAGCTTTGCTATCCGGAAGGGTATCCAGATCTCGCGGAGCATTGTCCGGTGGTACGAACACAATGATATGGAGGACTTGGAGCGGGTTCTCGCCAAGGTGACGAAGGAGCAGGCCCGGAAACCGCTGACTCGGCGGTTCATTATCACCGAGGGCATGTTCGAGTCTTATGGTGACATCGTGAACCTTCCCAAGATTGTAAGTGATGGTACATTTGGGGAAGTAGCTAAGTCATTCCGCTAACCCTACCTGCAGATTGAGTTGAGGCTCAAGTACAAGTTCCGTCTTATTTTGGATGAGACATGGTCTTTTGGAGTCCTCGGTCGTACTGGTCGCGGTGTTACTGAGCACCAGAACGTTGACGCTGCAGAGGTTGACATGATCGTGGGATCGCTTGCGGGTTGTCTCGTGGGAGGTGGAGGCTTCTGTGCTGGATCAGAGGAGATCGTCCACCACCAGCGTATTTCCGCTTCGGCGTACACTTTCTCTGCAGCGCTCCCGGCTCTTCTCTCTACCACTGCCAGTGAGACTATTAATCTGCTCCAGAACAGCCCCGAGACAGTATCGCAGCTTCGCGAGCTCACAAAAGCAATGCGGGCTCAACTTGACCCCCGTAGTGACTGGGTCTACTGTTCTAGTTCCGTTGAGAACCCTGTCCTCATTTTGGTCATCAAGCCTGAGGTTGTCGCTTCCAAGAAGCTTTCTTACAACGATCAGCAGTTCCTGCTCCAAGATGCCGTCGATGAGGTACGTACAATAGGCCGCTTTCCTTCGCAATAGAAACAATGCTAATCTCTTTCACAGTGCCTCGCCAACGGTGTCCTGATTACCCGTCTCAAGACTCTCGAGGATAACTTTGAGCCCAAGCAAATCGTTCCCGCTGCGCTCAAGGTTTGCGTCACAACCGGCCTCACCAAGAAGGAGATTGAGAAGGCTGGTACTATCATCCGGCACGCCATCACAAAGGTGATGAGCAAGAAGAAGTAGATTATTCTTTTGCACTTCTCTTGAAAAGATGGCTGTCGCCGCCATCAATGACCGCTCATGCCCCCAATGACTTCTGGCATCCTCTGGTTTTACCCTATACATCCTACGCCCTAATGCCTCCTTTTCTCGTCTGTATTGTTAAGTTGTTTGTTCATATGCATCTTGCTATCGCTACCTTGTACAGCACTGCCCCCCATCCCTCGCTTTTCTTCTTTCCAGCGGGGTAGTATCACATTTTACCGGTGCATGGCTTTAGATTGTTTAATATTATTTTTCCATGGCTGCAGCCTAGTGCTGTGCTGAAGTTTTCACAAAGATGGCCTCGGCCTTTCCACTTTAATATTGTCTAATTGTAGAAATTGTCTCATTGAGCTGCCGTAGAACTCCTTGTCTCGTTTCGTGCCCATAGCCTAAGATTCCAAGCCCTTGATATTGCAGTCTAATCCTTGGTCTAGGGGGAAATCTCATCGGTCGCTCCCTGGCTTTGAGACTGCCGCCTGGAGAGATAAGATATCCCTCAAACACTACAGTAAATGTATCTCGTCTACAAGCTGATTGGAACCGGGGCCAAACTCTTAGTCTCCCGGGAACCGAGCGGAATGAGTCCAACATTCCATTGACCTGAGATGTGGCCAGGGGCATTCTTCGCCCTCCCATCAGATCTGGCCCGTTCGAAAAACAAGGTCGTATCTCCAATATGATCTGGAAACACACCCTAGCTAGACCTGTCTTCCCTCAACCCTGCGCACAAGGGGCACAGGGCTGCATTAAGTTGTAGCACTTGGCCCAGATCTCATTCCCCATGTCACCCCACATTGGATAACTATGCTCGGCATACCTGTTTTGTTTACGTATGCTAACTTTTTCGCCTAGAGGATCTCGGGGTTTTATCCCCAGAATATAACCCGGTTGATCTGCACAAATACCTTCTTCCCTTGTTCCTTGTTCGCGTGGAGAGGACTTCGAGGTCACTCTCAATGTTATGTCGGTGATCTACTAACCCTAGGTTCCATTGAAGGGCTCGGAAGTTCCGACCCAGGGATTTGATTTTACAATGAAGCACTTTACTCGGGCGCTATTGGCCTTGCTTCTTACTTCATCTGGGGTGCATGCAGTGTCTCAAGGTGAGATACCCTGCTCCATGTAGAACTCGATATGGATGTTAGCAGTGTACTAATATTCGAATAGATTCAAACCAATGTCTTGGAGAACTACACGGTGAATCTCAGGCTCGCACTGTTTCTGAGGTAGTCGTTGTGGTTAATGAAAATGGGGAGCCCATTCATACGAAGACAAGGCTTGTTCTTGCTACAACTCCTGCTTCGCAAGCAAATGTAAGTAGACTTTAACATTCTAAGGGCCAGTATCAAAGATCGCTAACGTGTGTTAAAAAACTTCTTAGACTCTGTCCACTCAATCACCAACATCAACCTCAAGCCCTGATGTGCCTCCGACAACATTGACACAGACAAAACCGCAAGATGGTATGACCACGAATGACGCTACCTCGAGCGAGAGAAAACAAAAGAAGCCACCCTCCAATGGCGCGCCCCATTCGCATGAGCCACAGCACCCTGAACCGCCTCACATCGAAGCTCCTGCGCATCCTGAACCGCCTCATATCGAAGCTCCTGCGCATCCCGAGCCAGCCCATCCTGAACCGCCTCACCACGAGCAACCTCCGCACCCCGAACAACCTCACCCAGAACCACCGCAACATGACGAACCAGCCCAGCATCCCAAACCCAACACAGACCCAACCCGCCAATTCGGCATCTCATACTCCCCCTATGACGCCGACAGAAGCTGCAAGACCCAAGACCGAGTCAACAAGGACCTCGACCTCCTATCGCAGTATAAGTTCATCCGCATCTACGGAACGGACTGTGAACAAGCCACTCTCGTAGCCCGAGCAGCCCGCCTTCACAAAATGCAAGTATTCGGCGGAATCTACGACTTAACCGACTTCCCCGCAAGCCTCAACGCATTCAAAGAAGCCGCAACCAAAGAAGACGGCACTCAAGATTGGTCCGTCTTTCACACTATCGCCGTGGGCAACGAGCTAGTAAACGGCGGCCGAAGCACCCCGGCCGAAGTCTCGGGCGCCATCACGCAAGCCCGCACTTATCTCCGTGGACAGGGATACAAAGGTCCCGTCGTAACGGTGGACACGTTTTCCGTGCTTTTGAAGCACCCGGAATTATGCATCGCATCGGATTATTGTGCTGCGAATTGTCATGCCTTTTTTGATGCTACGCAGCAGCCGCACAATGCTGGCCCTTATGTCCTTGGGCAGATGCATGCTGTTTCGGCTGCGGCTGGGGGGAAGCATACTATCATTACGGAGTCGGGATGGCCGCATGCTGGTCAGGCTAATGGTGATGCTACCCCATCGCCGGAGAATCAGCGTGTTGCTATTGAGAGTCTGAGGAAGAGTTTTGGTCATCGGGGGGATGATTTGGTTCTCTTTACGGCTTTTGATGATTTGTGGAAAGATGATAACAGGTACACGTTTAATGCGGAGAGGTTTTGGGGGATTCATGATGAATAGTTTGCATTTTACATTGCATTTGGCTTTTTCTGTTTCTGTTCTTTTCGTTCTTTACCTTTCACTTTTCTCTTTTTTTTCTTCTTCTTTTCTATCTTTTTGTCTTGATTTCTCCTTTTTGTGCTTCCATTTCATTTTGGTCCATGTAAAGTAAAGGACCTGAAAAAGCCCCTAGGGCAACTTTGGTTAGCTTTAGCTTCTTAGTTTATTAAAGCAATTCCGCCACACAATGAACAAATGAAAAATTAAAATGAAGAATCCTCTTATGAAATCGAAACATCAGTGGTAAAAATGGGGGCCAAACCTAGCCCCCTTCGGTGTAGCCTGATAGGTAGTAATGCAGCAGGATCATCGATCCACCCCAAAACCTACCATTGATTGGCTCCATCTGAGGATTCATCTCTTAAACTCTAAGTGTACTCGCATCTCTGGATCCAAAATACGCCATATAATCTGCACACATCCAGAACAATCTAATCCCGAGTCCAGTTCCTTTGGGTAAACACACAATCCTCCACTCCCCAAAAAGGTTATAAGACACTACGGAGTACACTACACACCAAGCAAGCCTTGGCAGTTCACACCGAGTCAAAATGTCCCTCATCCTGCAACCAGTCACAGAAAGCGATATTCCATCCCTCTCAGAACTCTGGTACAAATCCTTTAGTATACCCATCAACCTCCTCATGTTCCCAAACACACCAGGCATCCGAGCATGGTGGAACGAAGCCAACGGGCACGATCTGCTCCACAACCCGCATCGAAAATACCTCAAAGTTGTCGATCCCGTGCCCGTGCCTGGTGCCGTGGTTGCATACGCTAAATGGGACCTGGACCCACAGCATAGTGGCGCGCGTTTTCCCGAGTGGCATACGGAGTCCGATCGGGAGACTTGTGATCAGGTTTTTACTGTTTTAGACAAAGAGAAGAAAGAATTTTTTGGGGAGCGGAGATTTTACTGTATGTGGAAATTGCGATTTATGCTTATATTGCGCGGGTGCTTACAGTGCTGATGCTTTAGATTTGGACATGCTGGTTGTGGATCCGGCGTATAGGGGACGGGGCGCAGCTGCGATGTTAATTCAGTGGGGCTGTGAGCTTGCGGATCAGGAAGGTGTTCCTGTGTATCTGGATGCGCACATTGATGCTGCTCCGATGTATCGGAGGTTCGGGTTCAAAGATCGCGATAAGGTGGTCACTTCTGAAGGGGCAGTTTCGATGATTCGAGAGCCTGGGACTAAGTAGTTTACTCGGCATAGAAGTAGTTGTATGTAGCTGCATTTGTCTGTTCCAAGGGTATACATGTATGAGTCTAATCTCATTTATTTAATTTACAAAGCACCCGTTAAATCATTATGGATTTCCAAGACTCAAATCCTGTTCCTAACCACCTGCATTTCATACTCCTCTTGCACTATCCACTCCTGCGTTTGGTGAATAATCAGCTGTCGCGAGTGCTGGCTTTCCTGAGAATCCCGCCCACCCTCAATCGCATCGTCCTCGTCTGCATCTCCTGGGTTCGTCGTGTAGACTCGAGAATGATTGGTAGATCCGCTGTTTCCAGTCGGAGTGAAATATGAGCTCTCGCCATAGCTGTTCGTGACACCTTGTCCCCAGCCTGTATTGAAAGCAATCACGAATGGCTTTAGACACGGTACGGTTGAGACCATGAGGCTGCAGTGAATGAGGACGGCAGTGGCAATTGTTGCTTTGGATAGAAGAAGAGATGGATTGGGGTGGTATAGTGCGTCGTCGAGATAGGCTTGACGAAGGATAATTAAGATAATAGTCCTAGTCAGAGGAGAAATGGTCAGCCTTGCAGTATTTGCGAGCGATATCAAACACATACGGCGTCCTCGTTCCAAAGGCAAAGATCACGGTAGCCTTCTCCTTCCACCGCATCTGAATACCCCAGACCAGGAATATACTAAGTCCAAACGAGAGGACTTCCGTAATCACATCGAAGGCTGTGATGGTCTTCCAGGCTAGGTTCTGTTTTCCATGGTTAGTTGGATGGTACAAGAGAGCTGAGGATCACGTACAAGGTTACCGCATTCCTGCGCCATAGCTGATTCAATCAATAGATTTTCTGGGTGGCAACTGAGAGCAATGGCTAGAAATGAAGCAACTGTCCATGCTGCCACCACCGCCAGAAGAATTTTCGAGCTGAGGAGGTATTTGTCTTGTCGGCCCAGGCGTTTCAATAGCAGGCAAATGGAGATTTTGGAGGCTCCGTGGGCAGCTAGAAACAAGAGGTTTGCTGCATAAAGACCCTGGCATACCCGTGAGCTGATATTTTCTTGCTTGCAGCGTTTGAAATATGGAGATGAGTTACCTCTCCGGCTTTTTTCAAGCTTGATACCGAGCTTTCATCTTGCGGTCGTCCTAGGCCATGGTTGACGGCGTCCATTATTGTTCCTACATGGGCGACACCTAGTCCCTGTACACAGGAGCAAAATTAAGCTATCGCTTGCCTTAAACATAGAAATGGCTTTGTAGAGGTGGAAGACCCCGTTGGATAGATTGTATAGAGAAGACTTACACTCCCGACAAACAACGCCAGATCATCAATCTGCACGGGTCCATTGATCGCAATCCGCATATACAACCGGATCAATCCCACAATGATCATCCATGACATAAACAGCGTCTCGACAATAACGATCAGACCACTTCGATCCGTCGCGGAGATCCTATAAGGGGAATCGGACGCCATGGTGCGAAACAAAAAAAAAATGGCGACAACGATTGAAAGCAGGGATTTCACGATAGCATTATAATACTACAATCTACGTTACGACTTACACTGTAGGACTCGAAGGATCTATGAATTGTACAGGGGGTTTGCCTTGGTCCCACGCATATTAAAGTAAAAGTATGACAATCCGAACCCGATTTCGCCCCAAGATAAAAAGTCTCCACCCATAGCCCCTCCAGGGATCCGAATAAAATCAAAATGTCTAGGATCCTTGCAAGCGATGGTTGGTATTGGATTTGCCCCCTGTCGGGTTACGAATCTCGATATTACCGCTATCCCAATAACAGGTGGTGATCGGCACAACGCAGCGGGTGGAAGGATTTTGATCCAGGTTCACGAGGAATTGGGATGGAACAGATTAGCGGCACGATAGTATCGAACCAATGATTCTCCATTGATTGTCTAAGAGTTTATTTTCCAACGCTTGACGAACACTAAAGGATGGAGATTGGGCCAGCTCGCAGTGCTTTAATCTCACTCACATGCTAAACTAGCGCGTCTGCCCTAATGCAAAGGATTTTTGCTTCTAACCAACTATGATCCCTGTTTGTTGTGCTGGGATTCATAGATTTCTCGAAACATATATTTGTATTTTTCCCGATTTTTATTGCTCCGAAGCCTGCATATGCTACCGTTTCTTGACTCCACTGGGCTTTGCTAGCCTTGGGAAGTCCGAGTCTGCGCGTGTGGTTGCGTTTTTTAACTTGATTTTGCTATAATTGAGTTCATACCCTTGATCTTTTTCCCCTTCTCTCTCTTTTCCTGTGGATGACACCCCTTTTTATCTATCCTCATAATTTACTCCATCATGGGCTTCGAGGAAGGAGTTACGGCAAACGTCAAGGGCTCGCCTGCAGGTGAGGATGTCGCCGACCCAAAAACGGGTACGACGCAGGACAAGCAGGATATGTGGCGTGTTGGTCGCGATCAAGAATTAAACGTATGCATGATTCTTCAACGAAGAAAAAGCTAAACAAAAACTAAAAATAACGCAGAGAAACTTCCGCTTCCTTTCCGTTCTGGGCTTTACGGCGGTACTAATGTGCACATGGGAAGCCGTTCTTTTGTAAGTCTGCGATGGTAATTCTATTTTGTGTCACTAACGTTTTGGTAGTGGTTCATCTTATGGCTTGACCGATGGCGGCAAGGGAGGTATGATCTACACCTACCTGGGTGCCTTAGCAGGGTTCAGCTTCGTGATCCTTTCCATGGCTGAAATGGCATCCATGTAAGTAGAAGTCTTGGCAAGGCTTGGCCATCTATGCTAACTTGATCCCTAGGGCCCCTACCTCTGGTGGTCAGTATCATTGGGTATCGGAGTTTGCACCCCCAGGCTCCCAGGCTGTACTGAGTTACATGACTGGTTGGATTTGTGTACTGGGATGGCACACTGGTATCGCAGGATGCTGTTATACTGTCGCTAACATGATGGTTGGTATTGTGGCCATCAACTATCCTGATTCGTATACCTATCAACCATACCATGTCACGCTGATCGTCATTGCCGTGGCTATAGTGGCTATCTTGTTCAATACATTCCTGGCCCAGAAGCTGCCTATGATTGAGGGTATCATCCTGATCGTACATGTGTTTGGCTTCTTTGGTATCTTGATTCCTCTCTGGGTGCTTTCTCCCACTGTCCCTCCCTCCGAGGTGTTTGGTTCCATCGAGGATCGAGGTGGATGGGGAAACAATGGACTTTCCTGCCTGGTCGGACTGATTGGTCCCATTTATGCTTTGATTGGTATGTCCAACATTGTTCTTTTCGCCGCAACATACTAACAGTGTCACAGGCCCCGACTCCGCAGTTCATATGTGTATGTACCCTTCCCTCCTTCCAAAATCCCAATATACTAATAGATTAAACAGCCGAGGAAATCAGAGACGCATCTCGTGTTCTCCCCTTGGGCATGGTCTGGACGCTGGTCCTCAACGGGTCCACTGGCTTCGTCATGATTGTTACACTTGCATTCTGCGTCGGCGACATCGATGAAGTCCTCGCTTCCACCACAGGCTTCCCATTCATCCAGGTCTTCCTCAATTCTACAGGATCAGTCCCCGCAGCAACCGGCATGACAATCGTGATCATGATCATGCAGTTTTGTGCTGCAATCAGTAACGTCGCAACAACCTCCCGCCAGATCTACTCTTTCGCTCGGGACAAGGGACTCCCCTTCTCCGACTTCTTCGCTACTGTAAGTTTTGCTTTTTAAAAGCCAAACCTCTCCCTGAACGCCTCCTAATGAGCCTGAATCTTTAGGTCAACCCAACTTTCACCGTGCCTCTCAACGCCCTGTGCGTGAGTCTAGTCATCGTATCACTCCTCTCCCTCATCAACATCGGATCCTCGGTGGCTTTCAACGCTATCATGTCTCTCGGCACCGCCGCTCTCCTCTCATCCTACATCATCTCCATCTCCTGTGTTCGCCTTCGACGCTGGCGTGGCCAGCCTCTGCCTCCAGCACGCTGGAGCATGGGGAAATTCACACCCATTTGCGACACGATCTCCATCATAGTCTTGTTGATAATCTGGGTCTTCTGTTTCTTCCCTCTGACAAATTCGGCAGCCCCGACTGATATGAATTGGGCTGTGGCCATCTATGGCGCTGTTATTCTTGGTTCGATGGGCTACTATATTTTCCGCGGCCACAAGTCCTACAAGGGTCCCGTTACCCGGGTAAAGGTGATTTAAATAGTAATTAACGGATTCGTTGTTTGAGTAATAAGCGGTGAAAAGCTGTGTATTATTTGGTCTCAAAAAATGATGTCTTTCCTGGAATGATGAGAATATGTTCTGATAGACTTTTCTCTCTTGTCTTTTTTCTCATTTCAAATAAATGTCAGCTGGTTCATATCTATATGATGACGGGCTGCAGGTTATCCGGGTTTCAATGGTCAAAGCCCGATAGAAAGTGCAACTTATCTATGCAAACGGTAGAACTTGATTTAAACAGTCCCTATTGTTGTCCAAGATACACGCGCGGCTGCATCAAAGAAAGTACTAGGTCATGAATCAAGAACGAATGATTTCTTCCATACACTGGGATTGCCCCAACTGGAGCTCCAGCCTCAAAGCAATCTTTCAAGTCAAGGTTTATTTCGTAGTATTCGCTAAATCTATGCATTTGAGATACGTAGCACCCTTGAAATATTAAGCTCAAGGCTTAATTCGCTAACAACATCAGCATACGTTTTTTCACATATGTAACGACCAACACGCACCTGAGTTAAGGTAAAGCTAAGTCTTCAGACCTTTCTTTCCTAGGACGGCCCGAACGAGGAGCATCAATCACATGGGCTTCACAAATCTCAAAAGATCGATGTGAGGGATCAAATCCTCACTCAATCGCTCGGGCTCATATCGAATTAATCGTTCGGACAGGCATCTCAGTCAGAGTAGAGATACGAAGTGAATCCATTCCCATCCATTTCATGGTGATGACTAGCGTACGCATGGCCATGTCGTATTCAACCATGATGACGGTGAGCAGGTAGGCAGTTAAATAGACAGGTGAGCTGGGGTACATAAAGGTGTGGAAGGGGGAAAGGGGTTCGTGTATGGCCTAAAACGTACTAGTGATGTTGAATACCACCCAAAAAGCGAATATGCAGCTATTTTGACGGACCTCCGTAATGGGCAGGCAATGTCTATGTTATTGCTATAATCTACACACGATACCAAATATAGAGCAAGATTGGACTACGAGTATTAGGAGAATATGTGAAAGCACGATGAGGGAGCAGCATTTTATGCAGGACTATTTAATAGAGATGAGGTGTATAGCATGTTGATATTCCCACAATTTAAAATGATGCGAATGAGAAATCGCGACCATTTCAATACAGTTGGATTCCAAGCTTATATAACGTCCAGATTATGCTGTTGTTCTTTCTGTCCTTGACCAGAACCATGCGTTACTAGATCGGTGGGTCTGCTGGTATATGTGCATAATTCTACGAATTATGACGGTTACAATAGCATAGGTGAAAAGCCCAATCCGTCTATTCGGGAAGATATCAGGAGTATTTACACATTGAAGAGCCTCTCCCATGAGTCTGCCCATGCAGAAACAGAATAAAGAAACATGCCCTCCCAAAATTTCGGACCCCGACCCAGCAAAGGTGTGCTTTTGTGTAAACCAAGGGTACAATCGCCCGATCCTGTTAAGATAGTCTCTTTTTTGTTTTGGTTTTGAATCCTTGTCGTGCAAGAGCTGGGTCGGGGTGTACCGGGCATATAGGAGAGTTTGGCCTGAAACACAATAAAAAAACCAAAACCAAGAGAGGGGAAAGGGTATCAACACCGTGACACATGCTGGGGTGACATGGAGAAGGAAAGGAATGGGAAAAAGACGAGAACACAAGAAGAGGAGCGTGGACTTCATGAGCACATAAAGAGTAAAGAACCAAGAGATCAATAAATGCGAGTGCATATGAGGAATTTCTTCGATCAGATTTCGTTCCGGAGATCTTCGTGGGAGTGGTGACCGGATTGATCACGTTCCTTGGCCTTGCGGCGGGAGGGAGCGGGAACAAAATCGAAGAAGCGATATTTGCTGGAGCTCTCCTTGGTAACACTGGACCTGCGAGCCTTGGAAGTCTCAGAATGGTCGAGGGAGTAGGTAGAGGAATTCTTGGAGCTGCCAGTGCTATCACGAGCATCAGACCATCGGGGTATCGTGAAGGGCATGCGGGACTGATCCCAAGTGGCAGAGGAAGAGCTGGGTGGGGTGTCATCCTCCTCTGGTCCACAATCGGTTGATCGACGGGGTAGGGGTGGCCGAGGTGCAAAGAAGCCAATGGAACCTCGATGACCTGGAGTTGCCGAGGCAGCAGACCCTGGGGCAGCAGGAGCAGTAGCAGACTCTGGAGCTGGAGTAGATGGTTTGCTTGGACTCTCATCATAAAAGGTCACAGCCCGCTCCATGGAATCCACCAACTCCTCCCACTTGATCTGAAGCGTATCATTTGGGCGTTCAGCTTGCTCAGCTTCGTCCAAGCAATCCTCGGTGCGCTCTTGCAGGTGAAGTGCCAATTCATGAAACTTGGAAAGGAACGGATCAATCTCTTCCAGTTCAGAGAGTCGCTCCGGGACAACTTCCAGCCAAATATGAATCAAGTTTGCGAAACACCGGGATTGGTCGACCAAGAATGGAAGACTAGGGAATCCCTCGCGCGAGGTAAGTGGCAGCCGTCCAAGAATTTGTAATGGGGTGGTATAAGAGGGGGTAGGAACAGGAGCCGTCGCATTGGACGGGATATCGCAGATAAGATCGACGAATTGTTTGAATTCTGCACGGTTGCCGACCAGGAATTTGTTCATAGGCTCCATCCATGGTTCTTTGTTGCCGAATGTTGTCATGTTGGCTAGGCCCTGAAGGGCCTTGGCGATGAGGGTCAGAGTGCGCTGGGCTCGAGGACGGGGATGATCTAAGAGGATGGTGAGTGGATGAAACAAAATATGGCATAGAAGGGGCTCTTACCTTTCAAAAGCCCGAAGAGCTTGGGGTTGAGGATGGCCGGGCAAAAGAATCTCAAGAAGAGGAAGCCAGAGACACTACTGTAAGTCACAGAGCGTAAGAAGTCGCCATAGCGGTCCTCAGCGCATGCTCTGACGTGTCGAAAGATACGCCTGAGCTCAGCAGGACACCGGGACCATGAGATTGCAATGGACTTCCAAACCATGGTGGTGAGATTGATCAGGTTCCGCCAGTTGCGATCAAGGTCTTCGGCACGCGGTACTCGGGCTGGGTCCACTTCACACTCGGGATCACTCTCGTCGATTTCACGCAAGCGTTCTCCAATCGTTTCTTCCAGATACTCTTTACCCAATCGACGCATGTGCTGATCGAGTGCTTTGGTCAAGAGTGAATTGCCACGAAATAGGAGATTGGCTTCTACAGTTGCTGTCCTTCCCATATCTCTGACTAGGACGTTACGGTCGTGACCAGAAGATTCCCGGGTGTCATTCGAATGAATCCTTGTCGTGTACCGCAGGTGACTAGTGGTAGATTCTTTGTGGAGACCATCGATCTCATCCTCGACGAGCGCCGAGATCCAGTCTACCGTAGACCCAGAGACCTGATAGATATTCAGAAGCATCTCAGCCAGCTGTGTCAATTCGGACGACATAACTTGGCCCATGTTGATTGTGAGACCATTGGTGAATTTGTGGAGGAGCTCCATCATCGGGCGGTATTCCTCGGACATCAAGACTACCGTTTCCTCCATCCGAGCTCTCATGAACATTTCACCAACTGCTTGGTCATGGTCATCCAGAATGGGCCACCACTTTTCTGAGTCCACACCTGAGTCCAGTTCGTCTAACCGCAAATCTACCCGTCCAAATACCGCGTCATTAGTAGAGATCTCAATTTCATCAAGCATGTTGACTGCGTTGACTTCTTGGGTGGACGAGTATGTCCCTTGCGCGATGAGCGTCCAATCCCTCTGTGCGTTGAGGGTTTTGACCAATATAGAAGCCTGCGACAGGACTGGAGGTAAATCATTAAAAGTGAAATCTTCTCGCCAAAATGGATTTGTGGTCCGGTATTTGACAGCAGTCTTCGCGCGAATTTCTCCGTCCAAAAGAACCTCGGTATAAAAGTCGCTAACCTTGGGCGAGGCCGGAGCGGAGTAACCATGCGATCTGGATTGTTTTCGACTCCGCGGTGTTTCCTCCTCCTTGGTACGAAAAAGCTTCGCTTCCGTAACTCGCAAGTGCAAGATTCTCTCGATTCGGAACATGCCCTTAGTGGGGGAAGTATCGGCTTCAGGGGTTTTATTCGGATCTTCCACCGCAGCTTGCAGTTGAGGACCATAGAGCTCTGGGATGGTGAATGCACGCAGCAGAACGAACCAAACCTCGAAAAGGACGCGGGTTTCCAGAGCGAGATAGATGGGACGCATCGCTGCGTCAGGAACGGGGTGTGCTGTGTATTGCGGGTAAATAGCGATGCAGAACTCGTCGTCCAGCACCGAGGAATCCAATTGTTGAATGGCGCAGCGCGATAATTGAGAAAGTTGAATGCATGCCACAAGAGCAACATCGGACTCAGTATAGAGCTTGAAAAAGCCGTTTTCTAACAGTCTACAGCTCACTCGCTGCCAGGAGGAAGAAAGGGCTCTTGACTGTCTGTATGTGGAAACTCGGCGTGCCGCCGATGCCGGTCGCACTCCAGCCGCCGATGGTTTGTCCCAAAGAAGCATCTTACCAACTTTGATGATGGCGGCATCTTTTTGGGACGCGGTTTCTGAATTTCTTCGGCGTTCAGGAATTCGTCGGTCTCCAATCATAACGGATTGAGGTTTGGTCATTTTATTCTGGACGCCCTTGGGACGTATGGGTTGCCAACACAATAAAGCTGCGAGCCAAGAGTCGAATGTTTCGTTGACATGAGGTCGTAGCTGGATCCCTAGCCCAGAGGTGAATGTATGAACGCTCAGGTAGGTTGTCTGAAGCTCTGAGTCAAACAATGTCCGTACCCGGCAGCCGCGGAGATCAGGGATGAGGGTCTTTGCCAGGGCAGGTTCTCCTTTTGCCTGGTATATGAGACTTCCAGTAGCGACATTGATTGCACAGTATCCAGATGTCCAGGGGCTGGACCCCCAGGAGGAGTTGGAAGACGTTCGGAAAGAAAGAATTCCATGCATCCTTCCGCAGGTGGTCTTCATCAATTGGAGTATTTTGGCAGCATCGGTGTTTGAAAGGGGTGAGGCGAATTGATTGTGTGCGACTGTTGGGGATCGGCTACTCCCAGGGGATTTTCGCTGGCGCGTAACTGCTTGACCAATATAGTTGGGAGATTGTATCGATGGAAATCCAATGGAAGATGAGGAATCCTCGGAGGTTTTACCTTCGGCCGTCTTGGGCTGGGATGAGCTGGCGGCATTGACCGAACCAATCCTTGCGCGAGACTTCACAGTATTGGATGCTATATCGCTCCGTTGCTCCTCCATCGTTGTGGTTCGTGATCGCGTCCGCACGGTCCGTCCCTCCGTCGGCGCTTCCGGTTCGGTTCGTTCGACGGTTCGCGATCGCATGGTAGTTCGGGGGGAAGGCGCGCTTTGTGTAAAATGTTCGCTTTCGGATAAAGGGGAGTGTGACTCCGGGGTCACAGTACGAATGCCGGTGTCTCGAAAGCTGTCTGGATAGACCATGCCGTGGCGGTCCCTAGATGATGACTTCTTGCTCGATCGTCGCTCCACGGGGCGACTATATAATGCTTGGTGTATCGAATTTCGTTTGGTACTATTTGCATTGGGGTTTTCTGGATCCATGCTGCCCGGTCGTCACTCTCGCGCGAGCGGACGGGAGCGTGATGGGGAGAAGGTCCACACCGGAGGGAGCGCTTGGGCTACCTTAACACCAATATTATAGAGATTCCGTAAACCTGCTCAGCCGCACGAATATAAATGAAAGTCGTATATTGTGCAGGACGTTATGAAAACACATGGAGTCCAGGGGAAGGAAGGTGGCCGGAGTCGTACATTCGGTCGAGACGGCGGGTCGAGACAGGGACAAAGGGGAATCGCGGGTCACCGTCGTTTGTCTGAGAGATGCAGAATCTAGCAAAGGTACGGTGAGCGACCAATTGTTGGACAGTTTGATTGCGACGAGTGCCGCGGTCGCGGGAGGGGGAAAAGGTGTAGCGGCGTGTCGGTTTCAAAGCAAGCCCGAAAGAGAGATCCGGGGCGAGCGTGATATCATAATTATCGAGGGGGCTGGAAGGGAAAAGGGAAGCGATCGGGCTTATGGACAAGCATTATAGACATACCTTCATCAGTCCCCTTCAAAATTGGGAGGTCTTGAGAATATGCCGGGGCGGGATGCTGGGGAGGTGGAGGGAGGGGGCGCTTTCGTTTGGAGTGGGTTTGTGTGTGTGCGTCCGTGTTTTGCAGATCCCCCAGCAGAAAAGTAGACGTTCCGGGCGGAGCCAGGGAATGGCAGGGATGGGGGATATATAGATACTCCGGACCGAAGATGAATTGTGAATTTTTTTCTTGGTGAAGGGAAGGGAGAGGGGCGAAGGGAAAGGGAAGAGGGGAGAGAAGTGGATAACGGAGCTGAGGTGTATAAAGGGGAGAAGAAATCCACCGCCAACTTCCCTACAAACATCGAATTGATGACTCCAACGGTTTCGACTTTATTATTATTTTTGGATAAGATTTTCCTCTAGAACCTCAAGTTGAGCCTTAGCAGATCTTCGTACCTCGGAATTCCGCGCTCTCGTTCCTCCAGGTACAAAACGCAGACCAGATCCCGCTCCTTCTTCCAGCCTTTAACCGGGAATACCAAGATTACGCCAATCGGGAGTGCAGAGAGGCGCTAAGAGGCTACACGGCAGTAGAGAAGGCGATTCCCCCTAGTTTCCCTTAGTCCTAAGTTCCCAAGCTTTAGCGTCGGGTCCAAACCAGGCCTCTCCGGATACAGGATAGTGTATTGTTTCCAAGATTATTTTACTCGAGCAGTAATTGCGTGGCACCCATTTTGGGGCAGGTACTTTAGTGCTGGTGGACAGGGGCGAATCACCATGAATCCAGAGTAGCCACAGGCTCAACAATGATCCCGGCTGTTGTCGATCGGACCCTCTTTCTGGATCCAATGCCACCGTGAAAAATCTCCTGTTGATGCGCCCTGGTTCCATGCATAAGCGCACTAGCTACATAACTAACTAGGTGCAGCTCCAGGGGATGTAATCTGCCCAAGATTATACCTCCTAGCAAATTTCGAGCTTATATAGAAGAAACTTTAGCAATTTCGATTGAAGCGAAATGATAGGAAATCCCGACACCTTCCTCGGAGGGGAAAAAAGACGCGGGTGCTAACTTCAAAGTGGATTGCGGACTGGGGCCGTGTCATCAAGTAGATTCCCGCTTCTTAAATCCGTCTCCTGAGGTCTGGAAATCCCCCGAAGTGGAGACGTATGTTCTTCGAGAAACAATTTCTTCAAGTCACCGCCAGATTGACGGTTCTAGAAAGACCAAAAGCGCAATTGCAGCGCATCATGCATACTAAGTTAGTGTACCAGACTGTTCTTCCTTCCCGAGACCCCGCACTGACTAAGCCATCCACATGACTCGTGTCGTAACTAGCCATGATAAGATTGTGGCCTAAGGCTGTAATATTATGTCATTGTCATTCAGATCACGACCACCTGATAGCTTCCTAGAGGTCCACGCGGACATGATCAGATGCCCTAGGTCATAATCTCCCTTTGAAAAAGAACCACTACTCTCTGAGGAAAAGGGTAAAGGTAGATTATATTTTATTGCAGTCCATGCATCGTTGTATACGAGACTGAGAGCTGTTGTGGATAGTGACCGCGTCCCCACAGCAGCACAGCTTCGTGTTGACCTTATCGGCATACCGCCCCCGAGCTCCGCCAATCCATGGCGATTCATCCCAAAGACTCGAGAGTACCAAATTGAGTCAGTTTAAAAGATGATGTCCTCAAATATACTCTCGCGCTTCCTTCCACCAACAGACTCGCCATCCGTCTATGAAGCCATCCGAGAACACGATGCCGAATCCGATTCCTCTGATGTTGAAGAACGCGCAGGCATGGGCCCGATGGCGAACCAGGAACATTTCAGTGATGGAGAGCTGGAGGATGCGTTGGCAGATGCAAGGGATAGCCAGCTGTCTAGCCCAACTGCAGCCCTGCTGAGTCGGCCATCACCAAAGGCGAATCCTCGCGGCTCTCCGTCAGTGTCGCGTCGTCGAAAACCTTCTAGACCTCGATGGATGACGCAGGCGTCGCCACAGGGATATGAATTTGATGATCGAGATGATGATGTGCCACAGTCACTTTTGGTGGAGGGACATGACGATGAGGACCTGAAGTCACGGCTCCCTCCCCCGCCTCAGATGATGCCCAGTCGCTCCAGAACCCCCAGTCCTCAACCATCTCCCCATCCTGCACCCTCACGACGCTGGGAAACATCCCATAATCGTCACACCTCAGATACTGATAACCGTCATCCTTGGACGCGGTGGTTTTATGGACAACATCTGAGCCTAGCTAACGTTGACCCTAAGAAGAAAGCCATGTGGCGCTGGGCGAATGTGGAGGACTTGGATAACTTTTTGAAAGATGTGTACATCTATTTCTTGGGAAATGGATTTTGGTCCGTTCTTCTGAGTCGCGCCTTGAACCTGTTGACCTTTGCCTTTGTAGTGGGGTTCTCCACATTTCTCACCAACTGCGTCAATTACCACAAGGTTCGGGGCAGCAAATCACTGGACGAGATCTTAGTCCCCAAATGCACATCGCAGATGTCTGGCTCGACACTTTTTTTACTATGGTTGTGCACTTTCTTCTGGATTGGGAAGCTCTTCCAATATTTGCTGGACATCCGAAGGCTCCAGCACATGCATGATTTCTATTACTACTTGCTTGGAGTCTCGGACGGAGAAGTACAAACTATCGCGTGGCAGGAAGTTGTCAGTCGGTTGATGACGTTGCGAGATTCTAATCCAGCCACGGCAGCGGCAGTATCTGCCAAACACCGACGATTCATGGGCAGCCAGTCCAAGCAGCGAATGGATGCTCATGACATCGCAAATCGTCTGATGCGCAAGGAAAATTACATGATCGCCTTGGTCAACAAAGACATATTGGATCTGACGTTGCCCATCCCATTCCTGAGAAATCGTCAGCTTTTCTCTCGCACGTTAGAATGGAATCTCAACTTATGCATCATGGACTACGTTTTCAATGAACAAGGTCAGCTGCGCACCTTATTCCTTAAGGATACCCATCGAAGAGCGCTTAGTGATGGGCTGCGGCGACGCTTCATATTTGCTGGCATCATGAATATTTTTGTCGCGCCATTCATCGTGGTCTACTTCCTTATGCATTACTTTTTCCGCTATTTCAATGAGTTCAAGAAGAACCCGGGCCAGATCGGATCACGTCAATATACCCCACTTGCGGAGTGGAAGTTTCGCGAGTTCAATGAGCTTTGGCATCTGTTTGAGCGTCGAATCAATATGTCTTATCCATTTGCCAGTCGCTACATCGACCAATTTCCCAAGGATAAGACAGTTCAGGTAGCACGGTTCGTGGCATTCATCTCTGGTGCGTTGGCTTCTGTACTTGCTCTTGCGTCACTGGTGGACCCCGAGTTATTTCTTGGATTTGAAATCACTCCTGACCGCACCGTTCTCTTTTACCTGGGTATCTTTGGTACGGTCTGGGCATTTGCACGTGGGCTGGCTCCCGAAGAAACCGACGTCTTTGATCCCGAATACGCACTTCTCGAGCTGATCGATTTCACTCACTATTTTCCGAACACCTGGAAGGGCCGCCTGCACAGCGATGATGTGCGCAAAGAATTCGCTGTCTGCTATCAGATGAAGATCGTCATCTTCCTCGAGGAGATTCTTAGTATGATTTTCACGCCCTTCGTGCTGTGGTTCAGCCTACCCAAATGTAGTGATCGTTTGATAGACTTCTTTCGCGAGTTTACCGTTCATGTTGATGGGATGGGCTACCTTTGCTCCTTTGCGGTCTTTGATTTCAAGAAAGGCACAAATGTCATGTCCGCTGGCCGGAGAGACACACCCGGCAAACAAGACCTGCGGGCGGATTACTTCTCGACAAAGGACGGAAAGATGCTTGCTTCATACTACGGGTTCTTGGATCACTATGGCACCAACAACCAGCCTGCTGGACGACGGCCTTTCCATCCGCCCCCGAATCTGCCCACGCTTGGGCCTCACGAGATGGGCGGTCTCCATGATCGATTTGATCCCCAGCCACGATCGGGACCGATGGGACAATTTGGTCCGTCCCTTGTAGCATCGAGATTTAGATCCATGGCAGCCGACCATACTCGCTCACCAACCACATCTATGCTTTTGGACCCGCATAATCAGCCATCCACATCTGGCTTCCGCCCCGGACGGACTGCCCCCTACCCCCGTTCCCGCCTTGCTCGGTCACAGCACCCCATGTCTGATACCGCTGAAGACGACGAGTCGCCATCGGAGACTCGTGATTCTTCAACCCGTGCTCCACGCCCCACTGGTGCGTCAAGTGGCGGCGTTGGCACGAGCGATGGAGAGTTGGGAGATTCTTGGCGAATGAATCCACTAGCCAATGAAGAGGGAGCTGCCGAAGGCAATGAGGGTGAGAATCTGGATGACATCGCTGGAGGAGCCGGTGTTCTGGGCCTCATACAACAGTTCCAGAAAGCCAATACGGATGGTCGACGGACTACGGTTGGAATATAGAGTGGCCAAGGTATCATTCACGCACATTGGGGAATAAATCCAGAAGATGCAACCATACATATAATGTCTGGATTTCCCCATTTCTGAATTGATTTAGCGACGTAGAATTGATTTTTTTAATTATTGATTTTTTAATTTTTTTAGTTCCTATTTGGACTTATCCGTGTTGTATAGGGCTAGCAGGTGCAAGGTTTATCATCAGACCACATATACCAATGTCTGGCAAATTTTTATTTTCCCTTTCAGATCTAGTGCTCACCCATTATCGCTTTTTGCTCACGATTTATAAAAAAGATTTAATACCTGCTGTAAGAAATTGAAAAAGTTTTTGCTCACGGCCAGGTAAGTCTTCCAAGACTGGAACCTAATTGAACTAATTGTCGACAGATATTTCGTGGTTCAGTCTTCCAATCAATAAGTAATCCACTAGATAGTCAAGAACTTGCCCCATAACGGGGCGCGGCAGGGTTCTCATCCGTCATGCATGCTTTGCTTCTACACCAAAGATTCAGTAATTTTCACCTCCCTAGATAATATGATACAAACGATCCTTTTGCTTGCCCAGCTATGGCCTGGTGGGATCCCGGTCGTTGTTCGCCTGCATCCGATAGTGATTTAGATGACCCGCTAGAAGAAGTTAAAAGGATGGTGCCAATTTTTGATGGTACGAATCTTCGTAAACTCACCTGGATATAGCATCCTATTAATGAATTTCGATCTCTTGTCTCTGACCCCAGAGGAGGATAGGGCCCAACGACGGGCTCTAATAGAAAAATGGGCATCGGCAGATCGAGCTTCCGTGATGTACATCGAGGCTCTTGTCATGTCCATATATGTAAGCCTACAGGGTAAGTGGAGAATTCTGCTATTGAAGCGCGTCCCTTCCAAGGTTTCGGGACTGCTCAAATTTAACAGCCTTCATGCATCTAAGCGCTTTGTCTGCCTTGTCGACAAGCCTTAAGAGCCCGAAACCAACCTTTTTTGGAAGCTATTAATCCTCTATATCCACCTCGAGCAGGCACCCGGTCACCCGCTAAGCTTTAAACATGGGGTTTCTACCCGGCGGGCATCTCCCAGCATTCATGCTAGACCCTACCGCGGTCATATCATCTACTACTAATCACTATGCGCGACTCCTTGTGCCGGAGAATTTGCTTACGAGCTACTACCTCGAAACTTTCGACTTTAGCGCAATTTTACGACCCCCACTGGTACTATTACCTTTCAAAGCATAGACTGGCACGCCTACTCCATGAATGATACCCAGAGGTGTCAGGACGGACGCATCCGCCTGCTGAACTTCGCTATTGATGGTCAGGTTGCTTACCAGGCGCGGACGCTCCTATTCCAAAAATATTTCCTCACGTTGACCCACCATTCACCAGGCCATGATTATAATGAATTTCCGAGAGACCCCAGTTGGATCCATGCTATAGCCTACCGTCCGTGATTGTGATTGTTTACATCTTTTGTTCCCCACCTGAAATCCATTTCGCGGCAATATGAGCCAACGGAAAGAAGACCCGACAACAGAGTCGATATGCACCTATCAGCCATCCATAGGATGGAGGGAATCAGCGAGTGCAAATGCCTAGGTTTCATGAGCGACTTCACCACGGGCGGATGGGTGGAGGACTTTGAGCTCACCGGAGTGACTGGCCTATGAGAGCCAGGACGGGGCGGCCGATTACAGATGGGATCGGCTTGCGGATGTTTCGAGGGATCCATTCATGCAGTAAAACACTCTTCGTCAGGACCGGCAGCTTGCCATAATGCAGGGGCGATGTTCTACTTGATAAAGTGGGAAGAGCCTTCTTATTGGTAGAGGTTCTGAAGAGAGCTTCTTCCAATGAAGCTTTTTATTTGAGCCGCATGACCCAGAAATTGACAATTGCACTTTTCTGCTTGATCGAGCAGCTTTTAATGAAATACGGCCCGAAGAGAGCAGAAACATCACAACATCAGTATCAGAGAATGCATGGCCTTAGGCCGTCACACTCAGTCTACATGCATCTACTTGCCTCATAAAGGCGGATCTGAACCCGTCTGCAAGTAACACTTCAGGAATTCATTTCGGTTAGTACAGATACTTCCTCAAGGCTTTCCATTCCTCCATCTTGGCATTCCTTGGCGTTCTTCGTATTAGGAGCATGACAGCCTCGGGTACTGAAGCGAAATTGGGTACAAAACTCCAACACGTTGATAGGTCGATCCTCTGGACCCTTACTGATCCGCTCGAGCGAAACAAGCCAAGGCTGCAGTCAGTCTAGACTCGAATAGACATGTATCATTCACGATCCGAGGTAACCTGTTCTTTGATTGGATCCCCCTGCGTTTGACCCTCGGTGGCTTACACCCCCTCATCCAGTTGTGGTCCCCGAAGACCGCGGTTGGAAGCTCGGCAGGCTTGGCTACGGTCGAGAACCTTGGAGAGCTGAACCCCGTCAGCACTTATTCTTTCCCCCCCTTTACTTTGGAGATTCACGCATTTCTTCCCCTTCTTGTGTACGGAGATTGAAGTGCAAAAAGGATCATGTTTATAAATAGAAGACCTTCATCTCCCAGTCGGGCAATTATGCCTAAATAGGTTTAATGTAGACACTAGAGTAAGTATGGAGCAGGAACTAGAGATCTGGATCCATACAATTAATCCAATAACATTCTTCCTTCTATCGCGCGTCACTCATCACATGTGGATCGCTCATTGTTTTAGTCTCGTGATGCCAGGCTGAGGTCTTGAATTTAATCTTTTCTTTGAATTCTATCCGATCTTACTCTTGTCCTTCCTTTCCTTTTCCTCTTCTTTCCCGACATTCATTTTACCCATCCCGAAACCCGGGCCCGTCATGTTTCGCGCTCGACGCTACCGGGTGCTCCTCGTATTCGCGGCAGCATTTATCCTCGCAACCCTTCATTTCGCTCGGTCGCGCGATTGGACCGATACTATAATCGAGACCCCTGAAATACACTACCCGGATACTGCAGCTTATCCAAATTCCCAATCCGCGCCGGACGCGAAGCCCATCCCTGGTGCCCCAGTGTTGGACAAGGGCAGCGGCCGATTCGCGCCTGCGGAGCCTGACTATAACTCCTTTGGATCTCATTCTTCTGAGAATGTCAGCCCGCCGACTATCTCGAAAGCTCCGTTAAAGGAGGACACTAAGAGTTCGTCTTCGTCTTCGGGGGCGGGCTCGTATAACAATGCACAGGAGAAGGTCCCAGAGAAGGGGACGACAGAGGGTCTGAAGAATACCGATTCCACTCTCAGTGATGCTTCTAGTGGTCTTATGCGCCCACCTACGAGCTCGGCTTCGAGCTCTGATCTTCTGGAAGAGATCGATTTCGGCGGCTCAGGCAGGGTGGCCACTAAGCACGCAGAATCCGGTGCACCAACCACGCGATGGAGAAAATTCCCCGATAGATTCCCCGTTTCATCGGCCGAACTCATCAAACTACCGAAGACATACGCGAAGTCCATGCCGAAGCTGCAGGCCAAGTTCAAGGATGAGGCGACTACCGACAAGCAGGAACGAATGCAGCAGCTCAGTACGATCAAGGCGGAGTTCAAGCACGCGTGGGACGGGTATAAAAAGATTGCTATGGGCCATGATGAGGTCAAGCCTCTTTCCGCGGCATTCGAGGACCCCTTCAACGGATGGGGAGCGACATTGGTGGATTCGCTTGATACCCTTTGGATCATGGAGATGAAGGATGAATTCACGGAAGCGGTCGATGCGATTAAGAAAATTGATTTCGCGACCTCCGCCAGAGAGGACATTCCCATGTTTGAGACTGTTATTCGATATCTGGGTGGCTTGCTTGGTGCCTATGATATCTCGGCACAGCGATACGATGTGCTCTTGGAGAAGGCAGAGGAGCTTGCTGAGATCTTGATTGGCGCTTTTGATACACCTAACCGCATGCCCGTGCTTTACTACCGTTGGACACCGTGAGTGTTGTATCTTCTTCACGTTTGGCTAAAATGCTGGAACTAACATGTTTGCAGAGACCATGTTGTTCGACCCCACAGGGCGTCATCTAAGGCCGGACTGGCTGAAATTGGATCTATGTCTTTGGAATTTACACGATTGGCCCAATTGACCCAAGAAGACAAGTACTATGATGCCATTGCACGAATCACGAACGAGCTGGAGGGGCTGCAAGACAAAACCTCTATCCCAGGACTGTGGCCCATGAAAGTCAATGCGCAGGGCTGTGCGATATATAAGACTTACCAACAGAGTAACCGCGGCCATTCTCCCAACAAAGAGGAGCCTCGAGCCCAAGAGCCTCTGGTGGAAACACCAACAGAGACACAGAACAGCACCACGACAACTGTAGCCCATAAGCATTATGCCGCGCCAACTGATCTGGACAGTTACCTCAACTTGATCTCACGTGATGCCTTGATGGACGACTTTGCAGAGTCAGAGCCGGCCAACTACCACAAGAGCTCTGGCACTTTGGAGGAGGCCGAGGCGGTTCAACCCAAGTGCGACGGGGGCTTGCTGATGCCCAATGCGTACCGTGACAACAAGTATACGATGGGAGGAATGGCTGATTCGACATACGAGTACTTGCCCAAGGAGTACCTCCTGCTCGGCGGTGCGAACGACCAGTACAAAAAAATGTACACCAAGGCCATTGATGCAGCCCGCAAAAACCTACTTTTCGCTCCCATGGTCAAGGGTGAACGTGACATTCGTTTCATGGGGTCAACCTCCGGCCTGGACCTCGGAAACGGTAATGCGGATATTCAGTCTATGTTGATGTATGAGAGCCATCATCTGACCTGCTTCGTTGGAGGCATGGTCGCTGTTGGAGCCAAGGCCTTTGGCATCGACGGAGACATGGACCTTGCAGCTAAACTAACCGACGGCTGTGTATGGGCATACGAGTCCACGACCACCGGAATCATGCCCGAGCGATTCCGCATGCTACCTTGTGGCAAGGACCGAGCATGCGAGTGGGACCAGACGCGCTACGACGACGAAGTTAAGCGCTACGGACCCGTTCGCGATTCCGCCGCCGAGGCCCAGTTCCGCAGTGGAGAAAGCACATACGGACAACGCGTTAAAATGTCGTCTGACCCCAAGTCTGAATCTGGAGCCAGTGACAGCGGCGTGGCCGTTCCTCTGCCCATGCCGGGCTCATTGAACCCGCACGACAGAGACCCGGAGGTTTATAAGCGGGATGGATTTGCCGTTGGTAGGGAGGCAACAAGATCCGCTATCCCCACGCCAGCTCCCACTTCCGGAGCTGTCAGTGACCTCGAGAACCGAGACGCCCCTCGTGCCCCCCAGTCCGGCTCCTCTTCATCTAAAACAGACAGCGACTATCATCTCCCGGCGGGTATGGTCAGCATTGCCTCACCGGATTACTATCTCCGACCTGAGGCTATCGAGTCTATTTTCATCATGTACCGACTCACAGGTGATGATATCTGGCGCCAGAAGGGCTGGAAAATGTTCGAGGCAGTCTCGAAGTACACTCGAACGGAGTTGGCAAACGCTGCTATCACGGATGTTATGTCTTCGAAACCAGTACAGAAGGATGCCATGGAGTCATTCTGGTTGGCAGAGACCCTGAAGTATTTCTATCTGCTCTTCAGTGATCCAAGTGTGGTGGATTTGGATAAATTTGTTTTGTGAGTCCTTCAATGTGAACACTGATTGAGTCTTGAACTTTACTAACAGAAATTAACAGGAACACCGAAGCGCACCCTCTCCAGCGCCCTGTTGGAATGTAATGTTGTTTAATTTCTTTTACTTGCATAGTGATACCAGCGAAAATTGCATATATTGTTTTCTTTCAAGTTTCAGCGTTCCAGATTGTGACGTCCTTTCATAGGTTCTCCAATAAGATAGGGGAAGGGCAGTGATAGCCTCTAGCCCTACAAACAGCTCAAGCCACAGTATAACCTAATTGGGTACCTGCCATTTTAGTACAGATCCCAAAAAATCACTGTATGATGTAGCTCAGCCCTACCTGATGGAATATCAGACTGGAGCACATCAGGTCGCTTATGTAACAATAATAGTGCAAAAAGCGGCGCGGAACAAACACCCAAACGGGAGAGCCAAGGTACGTACTCCGTTGTCGCCCCGCCTCCAATCCCGCATCTCCAACCTCCCAAAGGGGCCCGCGATGAGTGCTCCCTTAACGCCCCGAAGACGCAGATCGAGCTCGGGAAATGGAGCAAGAGGTCTCGGAGCCCGATCAGTTCTGGAATGGTAAGTTCATACTACCCCGGGAAAAAGCCAAGAGCGATCGTTCTGGTGTTTCCCTTTCCCCTCCCCAATCAGACTTATTGATGATTATCCAATTCTCATGTGACCATGCCGTTCCCCCAATTAACGATCAGCAGAACTCGATGCGATCGTCTCTAAGCCTGCCGACTCGGAAGACCTTATCGATGATGTTTTGAGAGCTTATTTAGGCTTTACGACTCAATACAAAGGTGCCTTTCCCTTTCTATCGCCCCGAGCTGTGTTGCGTCACTGTCGGCAGATCTGTGTCAATTCATTTCGACTTTGGACTAATGTTGTTTTCAATGGGTTGTAGATGAATTTCTATTGTCAGAGTGGGATATCTCGCAATGCTCGTATAAACTTTTTGCGTCAAGCATCTTTGGCGAAAATGTTGATTATGTTCGTCGACAGATCATCTACGGTCTCTTGCAGGTACGTCACCCACTACGAAACCTTTTCTGTCTTAAACACTTGGATTGTTGCAGCAGTGCGCTTATACTTCTCTTATTACAGGAAGATGACCCAGACACCCTTCACCTAATTACGTCGTTTCTACTCTTCGATGGTCGACAGAATGAAGTGTCGCTGCAGATGATGAATGAGGAGGGTGTTTTCGCCAGACTATTGGAACTTATCCAGGCGCGAAGGAGGGAGGATATGGACAGCGAGGCGGGTCTGCACCGGCTTTTGATGGATCTTTTATATGAGATGTCAAGAGTCCAGCGCGTCAGGATTGAAGACTTGGGTATGTTCCTTGGGCGGACTACCTCTCGATGCCAGTAGGCTGATAATGGGTCTTTTCCCTTCTGTACAGTGCTCGTGGATGACGACTTCATTCGGTGTCTTTTTGACATTATCGAGGATTTATCATATGATGTCACGGATCCATATCATTATCCAGTCATTCGAGTCTTGGTAAGTTGATATGATATTTTATCCCGGAACTACAAGCTAATTGGTCAAACAGCTTGTCCTTAATGAACAATTCATGATCTCCGCTCATGATCCGGTGGATGGGCCGTCTTCGTCGAGCAAGTTGACCAACAAGGTTATCAAGGTTCTGTCTATGTATGGCGGTTTGTACAAGACATTTGGGGAAAACATTATTCTGCTTATTAACCGCGAAGGTATGTATCTCTGCTTGGCGGATATTTTCAGACAACTGATCATGTAATAGCCGAAACATCACTGCAGTTGCTCACACTAAAGCTGCTTTATCTGATTTTTACCACCCCGAACACTTATGAGTACTTTTTCACCAACGACCTCCATGTTCTGGTAGATATTTTGATCCGGAATCTGCTCGATCTTCCTGAGGAAGCAGCAGCACTTCGGCATACCTATTTGCGTGTCTTATATCCGCTTCTAGCACATACTCAGCTAAGACAGCCACCACACTACAAGCGTGACGAGCTTAGGAAGGTGCTCAGCCTCCTAGTTCGGGGCCAAGTATCTTATGGAAATGATACTGAGCAGGCGAAGATCCTTCATTTTGAGGAAGTTGACGAGACTACGCGGAGACTTGTCGCTCGATGTGCGACGGTGGATTGGCTGCGCAATGTCGAACCCGACATTAATGCTGCGCAAGATACCCCCACTCAACTTGCAGTTACGGCTAGTATCGATACAGTACTGGAAGACAATGTTCCGCAGGATTCGCCAATTGATATCGGAGATCCGCTTGACATGACCCGTTCACTGTCCCGTGCCAGCACCATCCCCGATTCCCCAGGGGCAGTATCGCCAACGAGAATTGACTCCCGTGGCTCATCCGAGGCGCCGGAATCCCGTCGAAAGCTTAGCGCGGTTGCACGGTTGGGAATGAATCTCGAGCCAGCCAGCTCTTCCTCTCTAAGCGTACAAGCTGTAGCAGCCCTGCACGAGAAACCAGGTATCATGACACCCAGCCGCAAAGACGGACCTGCAGCTCGACCACCAAAGATCAAGCCCGAACCACCAAAGTCCCGCCGCTGGCGTGGCCGTCGCCTTGGTGCAGACGAAGAAGATCAGCAGCACTCGGTCGACACAAGCAGTGAGCGTAATAGCAACAGCAACTCCACGATCCCCGAAGGGGTGGAGGTCAGCCCTACAGCTTACACTGCTCCAACTACACCCTCCCACACTGGCCATCACATTGATCGCCGAAACTCCACCACAACGTCCCATCTCGTGCCCCCAGGACACCCTCACATACGCCGCTCCGCATCAAACCCACCCCCGGCTGTGCCCCCGCCCCGTCGCTCCGCAAACAGCACACCATCTACTAGTCAACACCGCCCTTCTCCACCCCCAGGGACAGCGGTACCAGCACCATCTCCCGCACCATTAGCAGTCGGCAAGCACGGCGCAAAACCCCTCCCGCCAAAAGCTCGCCGCTGGGGCCGTGGCAAAACGCATATGCCCACTGACTCCGTCGAGAGCGGGACTAGCACTGGTAGTCTACCCAAGGATGACGGTGAAGCCTGCATCATCACAGAGACTACTCTACCCCCGACGTTGAAGACAGAGACAGAGCTAGAGCCACGGCTACAGGACCATAGCCACCCTGTATTATCTGATGGTAATGGTGACCGTGATCCCTTCTCCCCCACATCACCGACATCACCCACAATACTTCTTTCTCCCACTTCTCCCACCGCTGAATTTGACCCGCGAGTCGGCGATGAACAAGGAATCGGGAGTAATGGGTCTGCTGCGCCTGTGAGTGTAGAAGAAGCGGTACAGAATGTTTCGTTGCATTAGACCGGGTTTGCTATATTCTAGTGCTACTACTATTTGGGTAGCTAATCCCAACTCACACACGTTTGCCTATTGTACCTATAGGTATCGAATTTTTGTGAGTCTGGATGTGACTGATTGCATTTGGTTTATAGCCAGCCACGCATACTTGCGTTTGAAATGATAATGACACAACACCATTGAGCGAATATATCTGATTCGTGAAAGAGAGGTCCCAATTTCAATATGAAACGTAGTTCTGAAACTACAGTGCCGAATAGAGCGATGTAGAAGCTAGAAGCTAAGCAAGGTTGCTGTCTTGAGGATTCACTTTTAATCCCCTGAGTATAAAGGGCTCTGAAGCAGCACAGATTACCTTCTGAATGTGTAATTTTTGACCACTTTTCCTTCTTTCTAGATGACGGTGCATTTCGTGGATCATGAAAAGATGTATCAAGATAAATTATTCCGTAGAATATAAATAAAAAGCCGAGAATATGAAATAAAAGTACAATCCACAGAGGATAGAAGGCACCGCTATACGGGTCTAGATTCAACAAATCAATTGATCATGAAACAACCGACTCCAATCAATCAGACAAGACAATAAAACTGTCTAAATCTTCAACCCATAACTCCTAGCCACACCAACAACAGTATTTCCAAAGAATGAAGCACACTGCCCGACAACCTCAACCTTCTTGGCCAAATAATCCTTATCCTCAAACCTCCGCTCGACAAAGCTCTCCGTCTCACCCATATCCGGTGTCGGGTCGCGCGTCATCACAACCTCCGCACTGGCATAGATAGCCGCAACTGCAGCGCGGCGCGTATACCAGCTCGCATCGACGGAGGTATCTCCAGCCAAAGTGAGGATATCGTTCGAAAGAGCATGTAGTTCTGTGAGGGCGAGAGGGATATTGCCGAGAAGGGACATTTGAGCGAGGGCCTGGTTTTTGTTAGTATTGCAATCAATAGCAAGGAGATTAGATCTAGCGAATCTAAAGGTGAGGCTGTTCTTACATCCGACCATTGTCCCCTGATCTCCTCGTTCATCTTCATTCTCTCCATGATAAGAGTCTTAATCTTAGATTGGACATCCTGCCCCGCGGGGAACTGGATTTCTCCACTTTCGACTGCTGCGCGGAGTAGACCGCGGCGACTGGCTAGCCAGAAGAGGATGAGGTCGTATTCGCCATTTGGTAGAAGCTGGATGCTCACGTCCAGAAAGCCTGCGTCACGGGCACCGAGGAGAACGGATGTGTTGGTGAAGCCATGGACTGGAGTGTGGGCGAGGCTTGCTTCGAGGATGGCGATTTGGCTGTTTGTGTATTCGTGGACTGGGAGGGCTGGGTGGAGAGTTGAGTGGTAGGGTCTTCTTGTTTGGTAGGATTGGCGTTTGGAGAGAGGTTGTGAGTGGTGGCTTAGTGGTGTGGTTGTTGGTCGGCTTGTGCGGATAGAGGCGGTTGTGAGGGGGCGGAGAGTTTGAGTTGGTTTTAGTGAGGAAATCAGGGCCCTTCGTGGGCAGATTCGGGCGATTGAGGCCATGTTAACTTGCGGAGTTGGAGAAGGTTAAGTTTAGACTACGCGGAAGGAGTTCAAGTAAAGTTGCTTATTCGGTGGATCGGATCTGCACGTGCACGAGCACAGACGTTTTCCAGGCTAACGCAGATCGAAACTCATTCAACAACAAGGGAATAGGGAATCATCAGAGAAGCGAGATAGAAACAAATAAACAAAAGAAAACCCCAGAAAATCTCCCCTAAAAGAATACAGATCAAATCACACAATGTATACATTACATGATCTGATCTTGAGTGATGCCAGATGTGGGCTCAGCCTCCTCCATCATCTCAGGTCCAGGTCCAGCATTCAAGTACTTGACAAAGGTGATGCCCAAGGGGCGACCACCATACTGGTAACCAGTGAACTTAGCTGTAAAAATATTAGTATATAATCCGCACCAAGAAATTGGGTAATGACATACAAATGGCAGTATCGGCAGTGTCGGCAGTATCAAACTCAACGACACCAGTGCCACGGGAGCGACCGTTGGGCTCGTACTGGATCTCGGCCCGCTCAACCTTGCCGATGGTCGAGAACAAGTCGATAAGGTCGTCGTTGCAAGTGGACCACGGAAGCTACCATTCTGTCAGCCCTGGGTCCATAGACTTGGCCTAAACATTGTACTTACGTTGCGCACGTAGATAATCGCGCTCTTTTCACCGGCAGAGGTAGCAAAGTCGGTGAAGGGGTTCGGGGGCACTGAAGCAACAGCCTGGTCGAAACCACCACCGAAGCCAGGAGCACCGCCAGGAGGACCACCTGGACCACCTGGACCACCTGGACCACCTGGACCACCTGGACCACCGAAACCGCCACGGCCGCCGAAACCACCACCGAAGCCTCCACGACCACCGCCAAAGCCTCCACGGCCACCGAAGCCACCGGGACCACCGAAGCCACCACGGCCACCGCCGAAGCCACCACGGCCACCGAAGCCGGGACCACCGCCAGCGAATCTATCCTCACGGACCTCCAAGGGTCGGCCCTGCCACTCGTATCCGTTGAACTGGGCGATGGCGTTACGGGCATCGTCGGGAGACTCGAAAGCAACAATACCGGAGCCCTTGGGACGGCCGGTGGGATCTGTGTGCACGTCGGCGCGGATAACAGCACCCTGCTGAGCTAGAATCGAGGGAGTTCAAGTCAATTTCACCAAGCGTTCACAAAATAAAGGAAAGAAAGATGCCGAAAAGGGCATCCTGTCAGTGCAAAACTTACCCGCTTGGCGGAAAAGATCCTTCAAGTCTTGCCATCCCACGTTGAAAGGAAGCTACAATGATGCGTTAACAGCCTGTCTAATGAAAATTAGTATCTCTGGGGCGGAGGATAACAAACGTTCGACACATAGAGCTGACGACCGGGGGCACCTCCACCGGGAGGACCGCCATGGCCGCCACCAAATCCACCACCGAAGCCACCGCGGCCACCACCGCCGAAATCGCCGCGCGGGGGGCCACCGACGAAACGGGGCTCGGCTTCACGGTCCTATTGACTGATTCAGTATGGAACCCCGCATTCTCAATCTTGGTGAGCAACATACCTCGCGGACATAAACAAGACGACCCATCAAGCTTTGGTTGCTGAGCGAGTTGACTGCATTTTGTGCTTGCTCCCTCGTAGCGTATTCCACAATCCTAATGCGCATTAGCTTATTGTCCCTCAACTGATTTTCAAGGCATTGAAGCTTACCCGCATCCCTACAATATCCGGACGGCCAGGCCCAGCCCGTCAACCCAACAGTCCATGCAAGGAAACCAGAAACCACGAAAAATCAGGGAGTAGAAAGGGATCCAGCCACTCTACGTATTGGCGCCCACCTTCGACATTCCATTCGGAAGAAGTAACACATCGGCAAAGAGAACCTCTCCAGCTATACGGCCACCACCAAACCATCGGTCAGTCTTCCATCTTTGTACTCTCATCACACCCCCGCATTGGATCCTTGCTCACCCTGTCTCATAAAATCTTTAAGGTGATGCCACTTGACGTCGTATGCCAAGTTACCAACATAGACCCGGCGGTCTTGCTGGGAAGAGTCGCGAACGGATTGCATCATATTTTCTTTGTTGACGGAACGATCGTCGAATGACCTGCCCGGCGCGTAACCACTGCGTCCACCGTAAGGGGATCCCGATCCAGCTGCACCAGAAGCACTCAAGGGAGATCGCGAACGGCGATCACTGCGACGGTAATCGTCACGGCTGCGAGAGCGACTGCGAGGAGTGTACGAGCGACGGCTACGTCGGGGGCTGCGAGAAGAACGACGACGGGGCGAACGAGATCTCTCACGCTGCTGCATTCGGTCAGAATCGGGGTAATCGGGATATTCGGACATCTCAACGAGAGACTTGCGGAGATCCGCAGAGAACGATAGATAAAATGGGGGAAAGGAAATGCGAAAGTTGAAGGAGGGAAAAATAAGAGATGCGGGAGTCTGATTGCAAAGGTGGAGTAACAGGAGTTTCGGGGGAGGTGGGTCAGGTGACTAGGAGGCTGAGACAACGCGAATCGAGGACCCCGGGGGACGCGGGAGAGGCTTGGACACAGCATCCCCAGGTTTGCGCACACAGCGCATTTTGTGACAATTGCTCGAGAGCCTTCAATGCGTTGTGCGCGGGCTTTTTTTTTGGGGGTTTTCCCCTCTCCTTACATCCAAGCTCGTGGATGATAGATCCCGTTCCATAGAAGCTTCCGCCCCCGCACTGACCATCCCGTCGCGATAGCTTCATGAGCGCAAGGAATCGCATTCCATACTTGAATGCATAGGGAAGATAGAAAAGTATTATACAGTATAAGATGCAAGAAGAAAAAATTCCAAAAGAAATATGTCAAACACTTACTTGGTATGGTCGATAGACGTCGGCTGGCTAAGTTAGCTAACAAGAATAACGATAAGGGGGAAATATGGAAGAGGAAAAGAGAAGGAAAGGAAAGCGGGGGAGGACGAAAGAGAAGAAGAATCAGGCGTCAAGGTTCAACTTTGGGGGGTGAGCAGCACGATGATTGGATGAGGGGGGAATGACCGAGGGTGAGAATGTACCAAGGGGATATGAGGAGTAATGGGGAAAGGTATCGAGTATTACAAGATACACAGGGGAGGGGAAACACGTAGAAATGAGGAAATCAAGCGGGGGTAAAATGGAAATATTATAGACACGGAGCACATACCCATGATTGAAAAGTGTGGTGGTCGAGTTCGAGTGGTACAAATAGAAGAGAAGAGGTTGTCGGGGAGAAGAAGATGAGAAGTTGGAAGAGAAGACGGGAAGACTTGAGGTTGTTTTCCCTGATACTTGTAAACACCGAGCCCCACCGCCCTCCATCATCGTCTTGATTTCTACTATATCCTGGATCTGTTGATCTAGATGGTTATTTGTGATTTCTTTAATTCACTTGTGAAGCCTGGAAATCTTTCTTCGTGAAGTCTTGCAGTTGCTATACAAAAAATACCCGTCTAATTCATGCAGTGATAAAAGGTTCCCACCATTGCAAACCCGACCTTCCTATCACAGTCTGGCCTACGTGGTGTCACCATGCGTGACAAGGACTTGTGATTGTGACTGACGTATTGACGTATTTTCATTACTCCAATTGCCACGCCCTTTCCCCTGATACATGGAACACCGCACCTGTAAAGATAAAGATAAAGTCCGAGATAAAGATCAAGCTATATAGTCCCAAATAAAAACTTTCATTTATAACTCTACTCCAATGTCCTTAAACGAAAGCGCGGGTGCCCAACACCCAGGATATCAGAGAAAGAGGGAGACTGCCAAAAAAAAGAAGGAAAGGGTAATCCACATGCGCCTCACCCGGAATGAACGCCTAAAGGCCAATGAGCGGGCCACCGGAGCGTATTGACCAAAACACCTAAAAGCAAGCTAAAAAGTGTCGGGGGATTTCAGGATTGTTTGTACATGTACAACAGACAGATCCGAGAAATATATCCATGGAAACCAAGGACTATTGGAACAAATGGTGGGAAAAGACAAGATGATCAACAGCGTCAAACAAAGAAAAGCAGTGAAGGTGGTAAATGCGGTAAAGATGAGATATATGTCAATTCATTCATGCAGCCACATTTGTTGGGGGGTAGCGGCCGGGAATTTTCATGTCAATGGCTAACACACTGTCCATCCTGTCCTGCTTGGGCCGGTACAGGTCAGATCCAGTCATGTCGCCTTTGCCTTTGTCAGTGAACCCATCCCCGTAGGGTACAGTGCCGACAATGCCAACATCACCGGATACCGGAGCCTCATCAACGGAAGTGGCCATGGTGTTGTTGGTATAATCGGTCTGGTTGGTGTTGGTTGGTGCGGTGGAGACGCTCTCACGACGAGCGACATTAGGAGGAGCTGAGTTTTCACGGCGGTCTGTGGCACCAATCACACCAGACATTGCAGCTATTGAAGCATGGTCCCCGTCTGATCGAACCTCCCGATCATCAAGGGTTGTCTCGGGTTGCTGATCCCTCTGTTTGGCAACAACGACAGCGGGTCCCATCCATTGGCCGTAGTAGCTATCGTGTCGGCTCATTCGGTTCCGAGACTGATCGCCAGGGCTCTGGCTTGCAACACGCTGAGACCGGCTATCGGAAGCACCATTCTGCTCATAGAATTGCGAATTGCTGGCCTTGGCATTGTTGTCCGGGTATCCCGCGGCGGCGGCAATCACATCTCTGCCACCTGAGCTGGCCCCGCTAGAGGGAGACAGGGGTTCCGGTTCCTGCAGATGGCGGTCGATCTGGACATCGCTGGGGAACGCACCACCAGCCTGGCGAGTGGCAGACATAGGTCGCTCCACTGGTCCCTGGGCCAGAATCACTGACTCGGCAGAGTAAGGGGTCTGGTCGGCCTCATCATCTTCCAGTACATCGTGGTTCGACATGCCACTCACGCTACGGACGTGGCGCCGAACAGAGGCATGTCGGACAAAAGCGTCTCGGGCCTCTCCGGTCTTGTTGATTAGGCTCTCGATGTCCTCATACCACGACATCATGGTTTCGTGAGATTCGGCACGGAAGACCCAGGAGTGGCCTCGGTGCATGGCACCGGTCTGGCGGCCCTTCAGCATGAACTTGTGGGAGCTTGAATCTTGATTCGAATGCGAGCCCAGTTTTTGCTCAGGCAGGTACAGGGACATGACTGGAGTTTGCCACTCCACCCGGTCCGCCGACTTGAACTCGTGTAGGTGAGTCGGGGACAAAACATACCAGCCCGGGGTATAGCTCTTTAGATACTTGCTCTTGCGTTCCAGCATCCCAGCTCGAACCTCGGCCGCCGCAGGGTGATCCTTACCAGAGTAAGTGATGCTCTCCACGTTCCGCGGAGGGATCCGAGGATCGACTAGTTCATCGGTGTTGGCGACAAACGCATTCCACTCATGGTCCTGGGGCATCGAGATCGGACCCACCCGGAGCTTTTCAACAGTGTCATATGCCTCATCCGCCTCCCGCTTAAGGATGCTAGCGTAGGCGTTGTAGGCCTTTTGAATCTCGCTGACCACGATCGACTCGAGCTCGCGGCCCGAATTCTCCAAGTTCAAGTATGCCCTGTGAAGGTAGTTCTCCTCCTCGATCTGCTTTTCGACTTGGCGCTCCACATTCAAACGCATCAAAAATGGGTCGCCTTTGCCTGAGGTGGCAGACGGGTCGGTATCCACCAGACCCAGAGATTCGTGAAGGTGGCGAACAGCCTTGCGCGTGCCATCAATCTCCTTCTCAACGGTGTTTTTAAAATCGCCAGACAAGCTTTTGATTTCCTTTGTCTTCTTCTGTAGATCGCTGCGGAGGCCGGTTAATTGGCTAATCACTTCGACCTCCACCTCGACGGCTTTGTTGGCTTCAGTATATCCTTGACGGTGGAAATTGCGTAGCATCTCCGTCGCATCGGCGAGGCCACCCGACTGCAAGAATGCAGCTGGCGTCGTTTGGTTGTTAATGACATTTGAGGCGGATAGGAAGAGCTTCGATCGAGTCTCGTAGGATTTCTGTACTTCCTTAAAAAAGACAATCAAGTCCTTCAAGATCTTGCGCCAAGCTAGGAAAGGTCGTCTCACGTCAGTTCGGTCCCATAGTCATACATGTCGGAAGTGATAAATTGCGCCTCTTCCCCCACATACCTTGGAAACGTGTTGATAGCACCTCGGTCGGGTTTCCGCTCGTTGGGATAGGAACCATAAAAACACTATTCACATCTTCTGTCCCATCGGGATACTTTTCCCGGTCGCCAAGGCTCAGACTCTTGACACTGCCCGCGCCTAGTGATCGCCGACTGCCATTGCGTCGCAAGCTACCCTTCTTGCTCAGGGAAGCTTTTTTGCGCAAGGTACTCGTCCCCTGGCGTGAAGGGGTGGTTGAACGGGCCTGGGACGCCGTCGAGGCCGACCGGTGCACGATGGACGGTGGACGATCCAGCGCGATGGAGCTACGATGGCTAATCGTGTCGAGTTCTTCCTTGAATCGGGGGTTATAGGGGATCTGCGACGACTGCTCGGGGGTGCCGTGGTTGTAGTGGAAGGCGGAACCGGTACCAGCGTAGGAACTGGGTCGAGAGGAAGAACGTAAAGTGCCGTATCCGCGATTCATAACACCGGGGTCATGAGCGCTCGGGATCGAGTATGCATCCTGCACGGGCGTCTGTGGCCGCGCGGCCATGGCCATGACGGGAACGTGGGAAAGGGAACGGGAATCCGGGGATGTAAGGGTGAGAGATAAGAATCGGAAGAATAGAAAAATAGATCAAAGGGACCAAAATCAAGCACAGAAAGAAAGTAGAAAGGAAAAACAGCAGTTCAGGGAAGATGGCGTGGATTTGGTTACCAGGCGAACGGGGCTTAGTACTAGTAAAAGTGCTAGTCTTGCATCTAGATTTCACCTGGAGTTTGTGGGGTTTGTTCAAGGTCCCCTGTAAAATTTAAATCCTGGATGAAATCTCAATGAGTTCCAAGCGGGAATATGATCATTATGATTTAAAAAAGGAAAAGGGGAGGGGTGAAGTAAATATGAATCTGGGGCTTTAAATGACGTCTACGAGATTAAGAGGGGTGCGATCGGGGAATATGACGAGCCAAAAAACCAGTTCACTCCGGGATTCCCGGCTCTCAAATATCATGAAAGCTAATTCTTTAGTTGACGTCGAGGACTTTCGGAATACTTGACCGGATGGTTCCTGAGATTTTGGCATTTAATGCATAGTGAATATAGCGATAAGGGGTTCCCTCGAAAAAAAAGGGGTACTTTTTTCGAATCCTATACTTCCAAGTATAGTTCGCTGGATGCCCGATCAATCTCGCTGCCTGTTGTGGCTGATGGGTCTAGTGTAAGATGATTCGCACGATCTGTGGCTGAGGGCTCAATAGGGGCGCTTGCTTCCCCCTGATCGGCCATGTATGAACACTGCATGACGTCGAGGAGATATCGAAGCTCTGTAGAAAAAAAAAAAAAAAAATCAGATCTCCCCTTAGTAGACATGGCTGTAATTCCCCGCGTGCTTCCGATGATCGATCATCATGATCCTCAAACTACGACGTCGCTGTTTCGTCGTGGCTGACCGTTTCGGGGTAATCGGGATGATATCACATATGGTCCTGATGCTGTTCCATGGTCATGCACAAGAGACTTTGGAAGGTTTCTCCTGGTGGAGACGAACTCCGTAGGGCCGAAGTATCATGTGCGGTGCATGTGCTCCATAGATGTATGATCGTCCATGGTTATGATGATCGGTGTCTCCGATTCCTCTGCATTCAGTGGTTTCTGCCACGAGATCCAAACCGTGATCGATGATCCGGATTTTCATTCCCGAGGCTTTATGATTCAAGTGTGTTTGTCATGTGGTGGTTTCACTATACCACTATACCCAATGCAAGTTCCTGGAGTTGGAAGTTGGGGATATCGGAGTTTGATATACCCGCGTCATCATTGGCCCGTCTTGAACATCCCCTCCCCCCGCTGTACATTAACCTCCACGTTCACCAAGACATCCCACATCTCTCATTTGACCCATTGAGTAGCTGCTAGCTAGAGATGATCATTGAAAATTGCATGCCGATCTGCATTTTGAGTTTTGGAATACCTAGTGTGCTGTAAAAACTGCACACCTGCTATATCATGTCTAATTCAAGGCATTTGCTCCTAATCTACGTCACTTAGACTCCGTATAAACACAAAGAAAATTGAATTGGATTGACGTGCCCGGCATGCTAGAGAGGCAACTATGATAAAGGGGGATAATTTACACAACGCGACCGGAGAACAGATAATGGCATGAGAAAAACGCAAGGAGACAATTTTATGATGCAGGTACCTTCCCTGTGGGAACGTCAATGCCATATGCCTCCTTGATGCGCTCAGCGCGGCGCTCCTCGTAGTTGGGACCGTAGATGCCTAGGTGAGCTGGTTAGTATCACAATGCCGAATATGCCGTGCCAATTAAGAGGTTCCAAGGTCTCAACATACCACGTCCCTCGCCAAGCTCGGCAAAGGTCTGTTCAGCCGGTGTCTGGTAGTTCTTCCGCAACTTCTGTCGGCGCTCAAATTCATCCTCTGAGCGGTCCTTCTTGTATCCGTACAGACCATTGGTGTACTCGAAAGCGACGAGAACGGTGGAGAGGGCGACACCGTAGCCGAGGACAGCGGGGAAGGCGCGGGCTGTACAATTGTCAGTATATTCCTCCCATATCCGAGTAATTGGTAAAGTCCGATCATCACTGACCTCGCAGACCCAGGATAGAACCAGAGAAGAAGCCACCAAAGGCGGTGTTCCAGGTATCATCCACCTCACGCAGGTTGGCCGAGGCGGTCTTCACAAATTCGTAGGTTCCACCCATTGCGGCTAAAGGAGTCAATATCTTAGCATTCAATTGGCATTAAAACATAGACAGAGAAGACATACCGAAGATACCGATGGTACCTCCAGTGCGCATGAAGATGCCCATGGAGCCAACATTGCGGCGGGCCAGGGTGTTCTGCACGGCGGATCCAAAAAGACCAACGGCACCAGTCAGGGCAGTGGCCTTTGTGGCTGCTGCAATAGCATCCACAGGGTGGTAGTGGTGTTCCTCCTCGTGGTTCGCCATGGTGTGCTGAGAGGGATGGAGCTGCGGGTTAGACGGGAAGTTGACGATGGGATTTTGGATGCGTTTTGCTAGTTTGTACCGCCTTCTCCTTTGACAACCCATACTGCCAACCATGACACAGTTCTGCCATCCATGACCGAATATACGACCGCTCATTGTCTGGGGCCGATAGAGCTCATTCATGTCAGGCATGATATAACTAGATCACCTTCCTTTATCTTGGTGTTTCGTCGCATTTATTTTCTGCCCTACACTTACGGGAGATTTTTCTACACAACACTCCTTTCCATTTAACTTCTGTTGAAGCTCCCACCAAGCTTCCCGCCCGCTGAAGCCCAGTGCGGTGGGCTCCCCGCTGTACCTAGAATCTCGTCACACTACAGATTGCCGTTGACGCCTGCACCGTTCTTTGAACAGATCCCATGGGTTGATTGCCCTTGGGATCTCCTACATATCCGGTTACGAGGCTCATAACGGGTCTATTTCATCCGTAATTGCCTGTCGCCTGTCAAACAACCTACATAATGGCGTATCTACAAACAGCAGGTTGGTACTCTGGAAGACGATTTGATTGTGGCCTTTTCATCCATCTAGCAATAGGTTACTAATCTTATTCCTCCTACAGGTAAAACTGCCCCACGTTTGGCTGAGGATATCCAGTTGTACGATGCCGTCTACCCTCCTGGCAACGGTCGCAACTTGCTTGCACAGGTCCCTCCAGTATACCCTGCGAACTACCGTGGACCCCTAGAGTATATATCGCCAGATGCGTGTCGGCATAACTATGTGACAAAGACCGATCAAACCCACCTTGCTCAGGCCGATCAGCCCCGCAGACTGGGAATGTCTAAGGTATCTGCGATATGCTCCAAATGCCGCCGTCATCTACAGGTGGTTGTTAACTACACAAATGGCATGGGTGCGCCAGGCAATGGCCCAGCGGGACATGTCCATCATTTCGTATACAAATCAGGACGGCAAAGAGGTCCCTGGACAACTGAGGAAGTGATGGGGACAGGACAGACCGCTGAAACGTTCCATTACCAATGTCTACACTATTCATGCTCGGCCGTGGTGTCGCTGCGAATCATGTCGCCCCTTCTCAATGAGGAATTCACCCAATTGTTGACAAACCCGGACATAATTAAAAAGCGAGCTGACGAGGCATTTGCATCTCAGCCAGAGCGCCTCGAAGGTGTAGCCGCACCTTTGCCCATCACTGTTCTGGATAATCTACGTCTGTACCTCACCAATGCACTTCGCCATGGTGATCGCAGCAAACCTATCACCCAAGTGAACAAGCGATTCATGGTTTCGTTCGGCATCAAGGGAGAGCCTTGCAGGGAGCTGCTAGAGTTCTTGGGATTTTCTCGCAACGAGGTTAGTTATCATCCAGTCTTGCTCCTAAACAAGAAGAACAAAGAGACACTAACGAAAAGTTCAGAACGATGCTGCCTGGATCCCTCCTCCAGTAGACGCAAAGGCTGCGTTGCCATATCAAGATGCCTTCTGCATTTTCCTCGACGATGCCATTCTTGAGTTGGTCTGCTTAATCAATCAAAGGCCTGCGTCAGAACGGCGTGTAATTCAGTCTACTCCCCTTCCTCCATCTGCGAAAAATGATATTCTCAATGCTTTGGAAGCATCCGACTGTCTGTATCACTCTGATTACTCTAAACTCTTGTGGCTGACTCTTTCAATAGACCCGAAATCCAAGCGTGCACACGAGTTTGAAATGGCACCTGCTCCGTTAGTTCCCCCTACCCTTTGGGTTCAAGGCATTCTCTTACCGATGTTCTGTCTTACAGCTTTTATGAAGACCTTGGCGCTGTGGAGGACATGTCTGCTTCGATGATTGTAGATGCATATCAGCACCAAGTGCAGGCAGACCCTTCACGAGCTCCGCGTTACTTAAATTGCCTCAAAGCGATTGGGACTCTTCGGGGTGGTGAGGATTGGGAGATTATCGACCAAGCCGTTCAATTCGCCTACTCGGAAGGAAGATACACCGATGACGACGTAGTTGAAGCATATAGGTACTTTGGGCTTGAGGACCCCAATCTCACCGAGGAAGCTATCATAGGTAAATTCTACGCGTTCCTTGGTTCAACGAATCAAGAAACAGAGGTACGGCGCCAGATGTGGATAATCGCCCAGGATCGTGGAAGTGAGCGCATCAAAGCAGCCTCAGAAGATCGTGAGTGGATATTGATTTTCACAGCAAGTAACTTGCTAACGACGAAAAAGGCGTTTCTACGGTTGAACAGGCCCATGTCTTCCTTGGGGTGGATGATAAGACTCCAGATGATTTTATCATCACAATGTACACTGCAAAGGTAGGCCCGAATCAAGTTTTGAAACTTTCTCACACATTGCTCACATAATGACGAAGGTCAACGACAACCCCCCTGCAAAGATTTGGCAGATAAAGCAGTACAACTTATCGCGGAGTCTCGCAAGTCCGACGGTCTAAGTCATTTCATCAAAACAGGAGAGACAGTCGCCGGAGATATGGATAGCGGGGACGCGTACCGCATGCTTCAGATCCCCGACCGAACTGCAGACGAAGATGCCGTCATGGCTGCTTACACAATCTGTATAGATGAGAACCCTGGTCAAGCTGAAGTCTATGGCCGTGCCCTCCGCCTCATTGCCAGGGAAATGGACAGCACCTTGCTAAAGAGCATGGCAGGCATCACGACTGAGACGGAACAGAACCTGTCTGAATGGCCTGTCGGACTACAGAATATCGGCAACACCTGCTACCTAAACAGTCTCCTTCAGTTCTACTTTTCTATCAAGCCGTACAGAGACCTCGTCTTAAATATTGAAAAATATCAAATGGATACGGCCAATGAAGCAAGCATGACAGGAAAGAAAGTGGGGTCTCGCAGAGTGTCTGGCAAGGAAATTGAGCGCTCACTTCGATGTAAGTCACTTTCCCTCAATGCGACTTTCCATTTTACTGATTGCTTTCAGTCCTCACGGAACTCAGGGTTCTGTTTCGTGACATGATCTCTTCGCATAAATCATACGTCACTCCCAGCCAGGAGCTTGCTCGGTTGACTCTCATCAGCCCCGGAAACGAAGCGGCGATTCGTCGGCGGTCCACAATAAGCGCTTCCAGGACTAACGGTCTCGGCGATATCAACGGGGCCCCTGTCTTGGGCCCGCTTGGTCCCCCTCAACCCATTGCTGAGGACCAAAGCGAGCAGCAAACCACCTCTGTGGCAGATAATGTTGCGATCAGCGACGCAGGGAGTGAGGCAACATTAGTGTCTGAGAATAATGGCAAGGGTGTGGTTTCGCCACCCTTGGATGCTGAACCAATTAGCGAAGGCTATGTGAACATTTCTCCGACTCAGACTGAACCTCCTACCCGTCCGCCACCTGTTCCTCCGCGGCCTGCTCCGGAGATTGACCCCAAGAAGCAGCTGATTGAAGAAGTGGAGATTGGTGCACAGCAGGATGTCACAGAGGTCATCAACAACGTACTCTTCCAGAGCCAGTGCGCCATCAAGCCTCGGGAGGTTGCGTCGGATGGTGAGCAAGTTGACCATGTCAAAGAGTGAGAGCCCTGACTGTTCCCTTTCCCGCTCTGTGATACTAACACTTCTCAGTATGTTCTATGGTCAGACTCGGTCCTACATTACCACCTCCGGGGGTACGCGATCGAAGGATGAACGCTGGTGTGATATCAAAGTCGACGTGGCTCTTGGGTCTCGGGACATCTATGATGCCATTGACGGGGCCTTCGATGTCCAAAAGATCAGCGTTGAGAACGCTGAGGCCGAGCAATACGGATCCATCACCCGCATTCCCCCCATCCTTCAAATCCAGGTGCAGCGTGTACAATTCGATCTGGTGAAGAAGACTTCTTATAAGTCGACCAACCACTTGCAGCTTTTCGAAACGATTTACATGGATCGGTATATGGAACATACTTCAAGGCCAGACCTGCTGGAGGCGAGACGTCAGTGCTGGGAGTGGAAGAAAAGCCTTTCAGGCATTGAAGCACGCCAAGCAGAGCTCTTGCGCAAACAGGTATGATCATGCTCTTCGAGTTGAACCGTATGTAGGATCTATTGAGGCCACGAAGCTAATATTTTCTTAGGAAAATGATGGGCTTGACATGGCAGCTCTCTTCCGCGATGCCAAGGCTGTGCTCGATGACTCGAATCTGGACGATGAAAGCACGAAGCAAGAAGACTCTACGATGCTGGAGGCTAAGGAGTCATCGGCCAAATCTACCTCTGATCTCGATGATTTGGAGATCGACGCACAGCTCTCCGAGGAGCTCCAGCAGATCTCTGAGGATGTGGAGACAGAGTACCAAGGTGAGAATAGATGTTTGTTACATTGCAACTGAACCTGATACTAACATCAAGCAGCCCTCGAGCAGCAGATTTCAGCCACAAAAGAGCTGATTGCCGGCAAGTTTGCCAACTCCCAGAACGTCCCATACCACTTGTATGCGGTATTTGTCCACCGCGGATCCGTCTCATTCGGCCATTACTGGATTTACATCAAAGACTTCCAGAAGAACATCTGGCGCAAATACAACGACGAGTACGTGACTGAAGTCCAGAATGTCGACGAAATTTTCGGGAACAAGGATGATCCCAACCCGCCCACCCCCTATTTCCTTGTCTACATCCACGGATCCAAGAAGGATCTCCTGGTTGACCCCGTCTACCGCGATATTGTGGAGGATACACAGGTAGAGACTTCAGCCAATGACTCCTCCGCCATGGAGGGCATTCTCACCCCAAATCCCATCGAACAAGCACACCGGGACTCTGTGACTGAACAGCAGGCTCCCTCGGCTCCTCCTGCGACTGAGGAGTCTCAGGATGCCAACATGAAGGACCTTTGATAGGTCAACGTTTGATGTATGGCACCCAGCGACAGGCATGTTTTGACCATGATGATGATTATGATGTTTTACTCCCTTGTTTGCCGCTCTCTTTTATCATGAGTTCCCATATCTCTTTATGTCTCCTGCATCAGCGAGGTTATCATGTTTGTGTACATAAATGGAGATACCATGGACGAAGAACCTAGAGCCCCGGATTAGGATTACTACATGCGGTGCTTTCCAACGTATTTCATATTTCAGTCCATGAATCCCTACTACGCGCAATGATGCTTCCTATTCAAGTACATACGTACATTCTACATTAAATCATGATTAAAGTTCATGAGAAAGTGATGTGTAGATGCCCAGGTTCTTGTTAAGCCTTGATATGATTGCTAGTACAGTAATCGCAGTGGCCATAATGGCACAGTGGTCAGTGGCTGTTTGAATCGCAGTTGTTGTTCGTGTTTCCAATTTTCTTCTTTTCTTCTTGTTTTCCTCTAATCTTGCAATTGGTTCTCTTGGGACCCTGAGGTTTCGCATCCATGGACCCCGGATATGACTCAGCAAAGGCGGCCCGCGGGATCGGCTGCGGATCGGTTGTTTCGGCTGGGACATTAGGCATGTTTTCTCCAAATACAAGACAAAATAGACGATAAAAGTTGATAAATAGGCGCAATTATTTATTATGGAACTGCTTGTCAAGGTTGTGATAGATAGCTCTATTGCGCTTCATCCTATAGAGTAATATGTGTCAAGCCTGGCTAAACCATTCTGCGGGGAAGTCCAGAGTGGATCCGTGCGGATTCTTGCCGCCCCCGGAACTATAAGATGTCACCCGCGGTCCTTGCCCCGGAATGCATCGGTTTGATTCTTCCTCTCTTTCTTTATCTTCCACTCTCCCCAACCTCTCCGGCTAGGTTTCACTGCATTATTACACATTCCCGCAGCCATGCCTTCTCAAGTGGCTACTTGTTTGCGCCTTGCGCGGCAGTTCTCTGCTAATCCAGCCAAGGTAAGCTTCATCCCCCGCGGAATGAACTGCTATTCAAACTCATAGCTGACCCCATTCGCCACAACAGCACCAACGCTTCTTCGCGCGCTCCTTCTCCAGCACTATCCACCGCGCCGCAATCAACAAGGTTGTCGCCTCAGCCGAAGAAGCCGTCAAGGACATGAAGTCGAATTCCACCGTCCTCGCCGGTGGATTCGGATTATGTGGTGTACCGGACTCACTCATCAACGCCGTGCGCGCCAATTCCTCAATTACCGGTCTCACAGTTGCGAGTAACAACGCTGGTGTTGATGGTTCAGGTCTTGGTCTCCTTTTGCAGTCTAAGCAGATCAAGAAGATGATCTCTAGTTATGTTGGCGAGAACAAGACTTTCGAGCGCATGTACTTGACTGGCGAAATTGAGCTTGAGCTTACACCACAGGGCACCCTTGCAGAGCGATGTCGCTCCGGTGGTGCCGGTGTTCCTGCTTTCTACACGCCTGCAGCATTCGGAACCGTCGTGCAGACTGGTGATCTGCCGCTGAAGCACAATGCCGACGGCACTGTCGCGCTATACAGCCAGCCGCGTGACGTAAAAGTGTTTGATGGAAAGAGCTATGTCATGGAGGAGGCTATCAAGGGTGATTACGCCTTGATCAAGGCGTGGAAAGCGGATAAGCTTGGTAACTGCCAATTCCGATTCGCCGCAGCCAACTTCAATGGCGCAATGGGTCGCAATGCGAAGATGACCATCGTGGAGGCGGAGCACATTGTCGAACCCGGTGATATTGACCCCGCTGCCATTCACCTACCTGGTATATATGTGAAGCGAGTCATCCAGAGCACAACAGAGAAGAAGATTGAGAAGTATACTTTCGCTCAGGAGGAGGGCGCTGATACCTCAGCACTGGGCAAGGGTGACACTGCTAACAAGCGCGAGCGCATTGTCCGTCGTGCAGCCAAGGAATTCAAGAATGGCATGTATGCGAACTTGGGTATTGGCATGCCCATGCTTGCGCCGAACTTTGTCGACCCTTCCGTTGAGGTGACTCTGCAGTCTGAGAACGGTATTCTCGGACTGGGGCCCTACCCCAAGAAGGGCGAAGAGGATCCCGATCTGATCAACGCCGGCAAGGAGACTGTCACACTCAACCCCGGTGCCTCATGCTTCGGCAGTGATGAGTCCTTCGGGATGATCCGCTCTGGTCGCATTGACCTTACAATTTTGGGTGCAATGCAGGTTAGCGCAAAGGGTGACCTTGCTAATTGGATGCTGCCTGGCAAGATCAAGGGCTTTGGTGGTGCGATGGATCTCGTGTCGAACCCAGCTGCTACTAAGGTCGTTGTGACAATGGAGCACACCGACAAGAAGGGCAACCCTAAGATTGTCAAGCAGTGCGAGTTCCCACTGACTGGACCTGCTTGTGTCAGCCGCATTATCACCGACCTTTGCGTCTTTGACGTTGACTTCACCGATGGTTTGACTCTGGTTGAGATCGCCGACGGCGTTACTGTTGAGGAAGTCACCTCTAAGACAGAGGCTCCTTTCAAGGTCTCTGATGACCTGAAGCCTATGCTGTAAAAACCGCATTTTCTCGTCTTTTATCTCAAGTTTATACCGTCGGAGCGTTACATACCACATTTGTATATAGGCAGTTTTTGGTGCTTCAATGGAGTTCATCTACATTGGTTTCCCATAAGATTTTTCCTTTTAATATCCATTAGCCCGCCTCACGGGTTAAATATTTTATCTTTCTCAGTAGAGTAGTGATACAGTCCGATCCCGCAGAATAGCGGTACAAATACAAGTAAATGCAATGCAATCCCATAAACCCCCAAGTGCCAATATAGATATCAAAGCACGGATATCCAAAGTACAGGAAACGAAACCCCCAATTATACACAGAACACCAAAAACATGGTGTAAGAAATCTTAAACTCGACCTCCGAGTTCATCACGAAAACCGGAACAATCCACCCAAGCGAGCCTTTATGCGACCAAAGAAGTCCCGATCCGGTGCCTCCTCGAACTCGCGCACAACATTGTCGTAGTGTTCTGGGTCACTGGCCGGGTAACGGATCTTATTCGACATGGGATAGCGACGGGAAAAGCGGTCTTCAAGGAGTGCTTGCAACGCGTTTGCGGAGGACTCGGAGATCACGGGCTGTCTGAAGGGCACGGCATCGGGATCGGCCTTGGACTTCTTGGGTTCAACCTCGGGCTTTTGGCCTAGGGCAGCTTGCAGGTAGGCTTGCACTGAGACGGAGGCCGGGCGGACCTTGTCTACGGGCCAGTGTTTGAGGAGGTGGGTGAGGCGTGTTTGGATGGTGCGCTGGGGTGTGTTAGTGACATGGATTCAATCATGAAATTATTGCGCAATTGAATTGCAAAATTAGGAGACAGTAAACGTACTGGAGGGGTAGCCATGTTGGATGTGTTAAACGGGAAAATGTTAAATGTATAAAATCATCGAATCATCAAATCATCAAAGGCAAATCCATTTTAATTTGTAATCTTGACTGCCTCAGGCAGCAACCACTCCCTGTTGCCTTCGAACGATTACGGAACCCGGCGCTTCCTGTCGACACTTCCAAGGTTCCATTCTCACCCTTATTCATTTCCTTCCCTAGATTGCTTTCTTTCCTTTGATTTTGTTTAATACTGTTTTTCTTTCTTCCTCTCCCGCTCAGCTCGTCATGAGCTCGCAGCGCTATACCCGGGTTCGTCATCCTCCCCGCTGATCCCACTCAGTCCAGATCCTCGAGACCCCCAAGATAACGATCCTGATCTGATCTAACATTATACAGGTGAATGCCCAAGATGAAGAAGATAACACCCAATCTTATCCGCTTCACCCTACACGATCAAACCTCTCACCAAATTCTCCGCCTCCCTCCTTCCGTTCCCGGTCCTCTTCGCCATCATCGAGACGACTACTGCATGGCGACCCTACTCGACAGGATGAAGATGATAACGCCCTAGCCGATGCCTTTGGGAGCGAAGATGATTCCGACGACGAGGAAGAGCCTGATGACCGACAACGGCTGATGCGTGCCAACCCGGATCCCTATAGTCCCGCGGATAACGGTCAGACCGCCACCTCCTCCTCGTCGGAATCCAGAACCGAGAGCCAAGACCGGTCAGCGGTGGCGGCAATGACTCGACGGCCAACGATATTACCGACTTTTACTACCACGTCGGGCAACAGTCGGTCGGTCGCGCAATCAAATGATGGTGTCTTTGCCAATCTAGCAGCCAAGCCGGAACGGGGAGAAAAGAATGAGGACTTGCCTCCTGTGAGTGACTCATTAATATCTCATACTTCATTGTCCATGGATCTTTATATGATTGGTTGCTAATTATGTGAATGTTTATAGTCTTATGAGGAAGCCGCCGCCGATGCAACCCCGCCCTACTGGGAGACCACGATTGTGGCCCCCGGTATCTCTTCCGATGAAGTCTACGTCGATGGACTCCCCGTTGGATCAATATTCTCGTTTATTTGGAATGCGATGATTTCGATGTCGTTCCAGCTGGTCGGATTCCTTCTGACTTATCTTCTCCACACAACTCACGCCGCAAAGAATGGCAGCCGAGCCGGTCTCGGTCTCACCCTGGTTCAATACGGCTTCTACATGAAGGGAGGCAGCGACTCTTCCACTTCTGATGGAAGTGGAGGTGATTCATACGTCCCGCCACCCGACCCCAACAGCCATAATTTTGATCCCAACTCGGTGGGAGATACTGCTGGAGGTGATAGTGGATCCATGGCCGGCATCAGTACCAGCGAATGGATTTCATATATTCTCATGATTGTCGGTTGGTTCATTCTTATCCGCGCTGTGAGCGATTTCTTGCGGGCTCGTCGCCATGAGCAGCTTGTGTTACAAAGTCCGGATCGTGGTCTTGGTGTACCTATCATTGCTGAGGGAGAGCGGTCTGAAACCGTCGTCTAATGTTCATGGGATTGTCTGGAAACTGGGATAGGATTTGTCATTTGCGGCGCTAACAGGACTTGGAGTTCTTCACTTTCATTTGTATGAACACCCCATCTTGCGGAGGACTCCCTCCTTTTATTACATCATTCTACTATGCATTGTGCGCTTTACTTTATATTTATAGCCGTGTAGCCACGCGGGAGATACCACCTGTTGAATACGTCAACCAATCAATTTTCTTTTTCTCGTTGAATTCATATTAGCTTTCGTAAAGGGCGTTGCCCAATAACACATACGGTGCCTGACTACGAAATGGATAAATACCATGCTATATGTCCAGTAGGGTTTAAATTTTTGTGAACAATATCTATCAGGGTAATATCTACCTAACTAGTACCCAAGACAAGAATATAGTTATCTGGTAGTAAATGGGCGCCCAGTATCAGATAGATGGTTAGGTTCCTAGGTACCTGGGTGCCTAGAGCATTGAAGAAACGGAAAACTTAAATGTAAAGTCAAATACTGTATGTCTGTGATAAGCAGACTAGTGATTTTATAATATTTCCTAGCTAGACACTGTACGCAGATCTCAACGTAATCAATCACCGTTGCCTACGCAGGCCGCGTACTGCGCCACGATCAGGCTCAGCAGTTCGTTGCACGTAGCCCTTGCTTCTTTTTTAACCTTTGTTTCAGGCCAGAGTGTTACGTCGACGATAGAGACACCCTGTACTAAATAATAAAAGTCGTCAGGCCCCAGCGATTGCCCCAGGGCCCGCCCACTACCGAACCGGACCCGCTTTCTACCTGTTTACTCGCAGCGCATCCCGGATTCTCCAAACCTTTCCTAACAACTAGGCTCCTACATCGCATTGATAACTCGCTTTTCACGGCCGGCGCATCGCAGCCGTGCCGCCATGTCTACCGTTACCGCGACGCAAGGCCCTGTTGAGGCTCGCTCACTGTCGTCGATCACCGCCATCGCATCCAATCCCCCCGCCTATCCGCGCAATCCCACACACGAGAAGCTTGACCCGCTAGTACTATATATTGTACGGGTTCCTGGGAGTCAAGGTATGTCATCTTGCAGAGATTACGAAACTCTTTAAGGCCCTCCCCGCACTGCGAATGCAAGACCTTATCGGGGCCTGGAGAGATAAGCTGGATATTAACCGGTGCTGCATGACGCATGAACAGACATCTTCCTTTCACCTGTTAAACCGCCAACGAAATCCAGTGTCTCTGCCGAGGCGGTTAATGCATCGCTCTTCTATTTACACGTCGCGACGCCCGAGGATGACGCGCTGCTGCAGGAGGTTGAGCTGGAGCGCGAGAAGGAAAAACAACGCCGGAGGGAAGAGCTTGAGGCGGCTGGTCTTGATGACCCTTCTCAGCGGGAATTTGCTCGCCTGAACTACCCCAAGAGGAAGCCTGTAGGTGGTGCAGAGGCTATTCCGGACATTGCGCCAGCTTTGACACAAGAGAACATCGCTGCCCCGCCGGGTAATAATGCTCCTGCGTTGCCGCCACGACTGCCCCCTCTGCCGCAGTTCTCGGCGGAGAATATATCTTTTATGGGGACTCCTGTTGCCAATGCACCACCGGTCATAAGCCATGATCTTGTCAAGACACCCGTGGAGCCTACAGCCCCAAGCCCGGTCTTGCGGCGACCTTTGCCTCCTGTGCCGCCCAGTGAAGAGCCGTTCAGTGGTCAATTAGGCGATGAAGCGCAATCAAAAGTGGAAAATCGGTGGAGCGCATTTGCGGGACAGGAGTCTAGTAAAGGACGTGATTCATGGAGAGACAGATATGAGGCTTTTGCGGCCGGTCGTCATAGTCTTGATGCGAATAGGCCGCCGTTGCCGCCTCGCCCGACACAGCCTCGGACAGCATCGCCATCAAGAAGTCCCGGTCAGTCTCCTTCTAGACAGAGGAGAGCAAATCGGCCAGCTCCAATCAACAGCGGCAATGACACTGGTTTCCGCCTTACGCTCATCCGGCGTGACCCCGCGTCTGGTACGCAGTGGAACGTCGCGACGATCTCAACTCCGCATATGGATCACAATGCAATTGAAATTGAGATTGCTACACCGGGGTATAACAGATTTGCTGGTACAAATGAGCAACTTTCGCTTGCCAGTCTAGCCGCAAACCTCCCCGCGGGAATGATGCGAAACTCTGGGTCTTCTATACCTATTCCGCCATCAGCAAACGTCGATAAACCCACCGAGCAACAGCAGCAGCAGCCATCATTCGGACCACGCAAATTTCACCGTCAACTCTGTGTCTCCAAGCCATTTGAAGACTCTGTAAACTCAGAATTAAAAAGCGGCTACTACGTCTTCAACTCACCCTGGAACGGCACCTGCACATTCGCCAGCAGCGTCAACGGCCGCAGTCTGAAATGCAAACACATGATCCAAGGTCCAGTCGGCGTACCCCAGCCAGGCGACGACCCCAACCCAGCCGTAACAGTCGCCGAGCTTCGCTTCAACACGCCCTTCCAGGCCGCAAATCTTCACTACCACGCCGCTCCACGAACACCCACAAACCAATACCCATCTCCAACCTCCACATACGACCCTTCAAGTCCAGACAACCAATCCTCAAAACGAGCCTCACTATCTCAGTTCCTGAATCCAAATACCTACGCCCGACCTCGTGCTCACTCCGGTCCCAATGCCCCTTCAACTGTTTCTCCGAACACAGCTGATCCCCAACGTCCACCGTTCAACCCTGCTGCTCTGCTCCGCCGAACATCGCTTCGCGCGGGCCGCTTTGCGCAGCAGCAGAGTACTCGGTTTGGACATCAGCCTTTTCATCATAGGAGTATTAGTACTAGTAGTGGGGATTCGGATGAGGATCGATTGGACTTTTCGCTTGCGAGGGAGCTTGCTGGAGGTGGGATGAGGGGCAAGAGTGCTAAGTTGGGGAAATTGATCATTGAGGATGAGGGGATTAAGATGTTGGACTTGGTTGTTTCGGCTTGTATGGCTGTTTGGTGGAGGGGATATTATCATTGATGTTTCTCTTGAATGATTGGTTGCATGAATTTGGATTTATTACTCTCATTTTTGGCTTTTTATACTTTTAGCTTTTTAGCTTTGGGGGTTGTGGTTAGTTTTAGCGTGTCATGCCATTCTAGCATATGAAAGCGTCTTTACTTGTTCCCTTACCCCATCCAAGTGTTGATATGTAGCAGATATACTGTGAGACAGTATTTGTATTCAAATACCTTCACACATGAATACTACATAAAAGGAACCACTGCTAACAACCAAAATACATCTTAATCTTGCAGTCGAAATTTCATTTTGGTATGTTTGGACCACGGACAAACCATCTATCTATCTGATCCAACAAAAACAAGGTAGGGAGGGAAAGGGGAGCTTAAATTCAAATCATGAAACCAAAGACTCATGCCCCAAGGATAGCGCGAGGACCCATGAACACACCAGTAGACCAGATACAATCATGAACGCAAAGCGAGGAAGGACAAGCGGAATTAAACAAACGCAAAGCACGAGGAATCTGAATCTGAATCCGAATCAAGCAAAACAAACACATATCATGCAATCGTCCGGCCTTTCTCTCGGAGGTATCTCTTTGCTAATTCATTATATCGACATGCAGGGTGATCGAGTGCAGTTGGCAGGGTACGAGCCGAATCGAGCTGAATACGAAGAAAGCACAATGACCAAGCCAAGGAAGGAGGGTGGGATGAAAGGAAAGGAAGGGAGGGGAAGGTATCAGTGGTGCACGTCCATACCGCGCTGCAGCGAGGACTCCAGATCGTTCAGGTGGCCACCGCCGGCGGCAGCCTCCTGAGGTCTGGGATCCTCGGTCTTCCAGGCGCCCTGCTGGTGTTCCGGAATGGGAACGTTGGTCTGCTGGGCCATCTGCTGTTGTTGAGCGGCGTGAGCCTGGGACTGCTGGCGGACGGTATTACGGAAGCGAATGACCTCATCGAGGATCATCTTACGCATATCATGGACCTCGTCGACGACCTCGAAGTGGAAGTCGAAGGTGGTTGGGCATGTAGGCTCGTCGGAGGCGTCGTGCCAGATGTGCAGGTAGGGGTGCTCGAGGGCTTCCTCGACGGAGATTCGGGAGGAGGGGTCAAAGGCCAGCATACGGTCCAGCAGGTCCAGGGCATCGGGGTTAGCGTTGGGGAACAGGCGCTGGAAGGGAATCTTGGGCATGAAGGGCAGGTTGCGGACATATTCCTGGGCGCGGGGGGAACCGATGCGCGCGAGGGTCTCTTCGTTTGGAGTACCCAAGTAGTGCAAGATCTGGTTCAGCTGGTCGACGTAGTCACGACCCTTGAAGAAGGGACGGCCGCCCAGCAGTTCTGCGAGAATACATCCCACTGACCAGACATCGACTGTAGTTGCGTTAGGACTTTGCTTCACAGATAGTGGAAATTTTTACTCGTGACATACTGGCTTTGGTGTAGCTCTGGAAGCTCAACATGATCTCCGGAGCACGGTACCATCTTGTCGCAACGTACTCGGTCATGTAACCGGCGTTCTCCTCGGGATCAATGGAGAAACCACGGGCCAGACCAAAGTCGCAAATCTTCAGCTCACAGTCGGCATTGACGAGCAGGTTGCCAGGTTTCAGATCACGGTGCAGCACGTTGGCAGAGTGGATGTACTTGAGACCACAGAGGATCTGGTAGATGAAGGATTGGAAGTGCGCATCGGTCAAGGGCTGTCCAGAACGAATGATGGCCGCCAGGTCGCACTCCATCAACTCTAAAATATTGTCAGAGCCTATTTTTATCGCATATATGACCTGAATAGAGCAAGGAGCCACAAACCCTCGTAAAGATATGTTTCGTTGAAGTTGTCCGGTCGGGGGATGTCCATATCGTACAGGCATGTAATCTAAGGAGGGGTCGCAAGTCAGCCTCACGATCATGTTATCTGTGGCGGGGGAGGGACATACATTGCGGTGGCCCCGGAAATGCTGGAGTAGCTTGATCTCTCTCAGGGCTCGCTTGGCGAGAATCTTCTTGCTGAATACATTGGTGACCTTCTTCACGGCGACACCTTCGCCGGTCTGAACGTTGGTCGCAGCACTGTTGACGACGTCAGTTCTCAGCCCACCACCCTATCACGGTAGATAAAAGCCCCACGCGAGCTTCTGGAAAGTTTCGAAAGTTTCGAGGGAACCTACCAGACGATACCGTATGCGCCCTGGCCCAGCTCTTTGGTGACATTGTACTGCTCGTTCACGATGAAGTCTTGGTTAAAGACCTTGAAGACCTTGCGACCCTGCAAATCAGCCATGGCGGGGAATTCTTCACCAGGGGTGAAGGGAGGAAGAATATAAGGGAGAAATGAAGTGGATCCAGAAAAGTCGATAACGAAAGAAGAAGAGAAGACTGGCACAATTGAAAAAAGGGGAGGGCCGCGACTCGACGTGTGATGAGAAACAAGAGCCCCGCAGTCCCCGCGGGTGATCGGAGCGTCGGTTGGATGAGGCCACGCAAGTATATTAAGCTCAAGGAAAGAAAGATCTTTTACGTCTAATTATATATAGGTTTTATTTTTCATGTTTACTACATCTGTGCATCACATTTATCTTTGAAAGGATCACATTCTTTGTTCAACCCTTTTGAATGGACGCCTTCTTCGTCCAGCCCTATAGGCGATCGGTTCCAAGGTTTGGGCTAGACCCTTGATACAAAGACGTGAGATAAATATATTGGTCAAAGCCTAGGTACAACCTGGGCTTGGGCAAGAATGCCTGATACTGCCGTGGTATTGCTTCACATGTCTATTTGCATTGGATTTGTTCGCAAAGAACACCTGGAGGCCGCCATAATGAAACCGGGGTCGTTGTTGACGATGGGCTAGTAAAGAGGGGACCAAAATATGCCCTCAATCGCTGATACGGTAACAATTGTGCTGGAATCGAACGCGACAAGATGAGCAAACCGGTTCATTTACCTAATTTTTGCCCAACACAATTCACTTATCGACGATGATCATTCAGCATTTTGACAGCATTTACGATACCCATCTCCCATCAGGAGATGGTACGCCATCAAGGCTGGCTACCTACAACTGTAATCCCGTGTGATAGTAAAATATTCTTGTATCCATATTCTTGAACAGTGCCTACACTAAAGCCAACTTTCTCTATCCTAATTCTGTCCCTAATAGCACCCCATCATTATTGAAGTCGTTTGATTGAATACCATCAGATTAGTCGAACACTCTCGCTAACCTCATTCAAAGTAATATACAGATAAAATGCTATCTTCAGTTTTGAAGAACATACAGATCCCTCTCTTGATTCAATTCAACATGCAATATAACGCTTCGTTGGCCCCAGCCAAAATAGACACTCACAATCTCACAAGTTAATTCTGGGCAGAAGAGATATCACTCCAGAATCGAAATATCTTCATCTAATCGATGTACATTTGGCCATAATAATGCTGATTATCAGGACCAATCGTAAGAGCAGAGATTTGGAAAAGGTTAGAGAATAAAGAGCGGTAGGCTTAAGCTTTCTAATAGTAGAACCAAGTAGTTCCAACTTCGAACAAGCACTCCCGTCTTTACAGTCCGGAAGAGTTTGATCTATCTAAGATGTTTTCGCTTTCCAAGGGACTGCATTCCGTAGCTCAATCCAAACCCTTATTTACTCTACTACATTAGTTATATGTGATATATTAGAGTTCAGTAGGAATATTCGCATGTACTTCATTTCACTTTTCATAAGTCGGTAACACATCTCTACTACCTCTTGTCATTTTCCTCCCTTACAGAGCGTTTTCCAACCGACGCTCCTTGCGCAATGCTCGGAGCTTGGTTCGCACCTCATCCAGAGGGACCATGACACCTTGCTTCTGACTGGCAGGATCATCACGGTTGCGAACGTTCACAGTGCGTCCTTCTTTCTCCTGTGCACCCACAACAAAGATGAAGTTGTACATAGCCAACTGAGCGGTCCGGATTTTCTTGGGCAATGTGTTGCCACTGATGTCAATGTCGACATTCAGCTTGTCGCCACGCAGAATCTCCTGCAGCTCCTCGGCATACTCGTTCAGAGCGGGCATGACGGGCACAATCATAACCTGGCGAGGACTGAGCCAGAAGGGCCACCTTCCGCCGAAGTGCTCAATCAAAATGCCTAGGAATCGTTCAAAGCTACCAATGATGGCACGGTGAATGACAACGGGGCGGGCACGGCCAGCCGGCAGCTCATTGGTGTTGGTCTTGCTCTGGCCCTCCTCACCCTCCTTCGGCTCCTTGGTCATCTGCTTCTCACCCTTCTCATTGGTGGCGTACTGCAAGTTAAAGTTGATCGGAGCTTGATAGTCCAATTGTATAGTAGCACACTGATATGGACGCTTGAAAAAATTTTAGTTCGCAATCCACAGCAGTACTCAAGAAAGACAAAACTTACTTGCAGAGCATCAGCGATAGTAATGTCGATCTTGGGGCCATAGAAGGCACCATCACCCTCATCGATGGTCCAGTCATCACCCTTGAACTTGGTCATGGCCTTTTTGAGCTGCTCCTCAGCATAGTCCCAGGTATCAAGCGAGCCCAGGTACTTTTCGGGGCGTGTAGACAGCTTCAACTTGAAGGTGAAGCCAAAGAGACCATAAATAGATTGCAGGAAGTCAAACAGACCCTCAATCTCAGACATGATCTGGTCCTGGGCACAGAAAATGTGGGTGTCATCCTGCTGGAACTTGCGCACGCGGGTCAGACCACTCAAGGCTCCCGAGGCCTCGTTACGGTGCAGGACACTAATAAATAGTTAGTATAGTTCTCTTATCTTGCGGTTCATGGGGTCACGTGCCCGAAATCTGCGACACGATAGGGTAGCTCTCTCCAGCTTCGGTCTCTGTGGGAAAATAAGATGAAGTGACCGGGACCTATATGGCCCGTTCGTCAGTCATGTTTTATATGCAATCGAAAGAGAGTGACCAACAATTCATGGGTTTAAGCTGCCGATAAAGATTAGATCCAGTGAGAAAAGGGAACGGGGGATGGGTTACATACAGCCCAATCGCGCTTCTCAACATCAAGCTTGAACATGTCATCCTTGTAATGAGCCCAGTGACCGGAAGTTTTCCAGATGCCCACATCATACATGTTAGGGGTCTGGACCTCTTGGTATCCACGCTTACGGTATTCGGACCGAAGTAAAGTCTGAATGGCGTTGAAGATGATCGTTCCATGAGGCAAAAGGAAAGGACATCCCGGAGAGACGTCATCAAAGAAGAAAAGCTCCTGCTCCTTGCCGATTCTCAAGTGGTTTCGCTTCTCTGCCTCCTCAAGGAACTTCAAGTGCTCGGCCATTAACTTCTTATCCGGGAATGCGACACCACGAATACGTTGGAGGGAGTCGTTGGACTGGTCACCCAGGAAATAGGCGGACGAGTTCTGCATGATCTTAAAGGTCTTGATCTTGCCGGTGTTCTGAATGTGAGGACCGCGACACAGATCGACGAGGGAACCGCAACGGTAGACTGTGCTTTTCTCACCAGTCACTAGTTTATCAATGTAGTGCAGCTTATACTTGCTGTAGGAGAACATCTTCCGAAGATTTTCCTTGGAGACCTCCAATCGGTCAAAGCTCTGCTTCTCTTTGAAAACGCCCTGGGTGCGCTTATCAAGCGCCGGCCAGTCAGATTCTCGGACAACACGCCCTTCAGGCATGGCCATCTAAAACCTCCATATCAGCATATTTTACCATCAGACTGGAACTTAGGGCCGATTACATCATAGAAGAAGCCCTGCGGAGTTGGTGGTCCGTGTGACAGGAAACAACCATATTCACACTCGCAAGCTTCACCAAGACAGTGGGCGCTAGAGTGCCAGAACACCTCCCGAGCCTCAGGGTTGCTAAAAGGGACCAGCAGAACGCTGCAGTCACCCTCAAGAGGGCGGTTGAGGTCCCATAGCTCGCCATTGACCTTCGCAATCACAATATTGGCGCTCACATCCTTTGGCACGTCGCGCAGGAAGGATCCAGGGGTGGTCTCGTAGGCCTTGGCGGGGATGGGGGGAGGGGTTGCCATCGCCAATATCGAGGGTGACATTGATCTCGGGGTGATCACGAGTCTTGGTCTCCTCAAGGTGTTGCTGCCATAGCTCTTCGAAGAGCTTGTTGCGCTCAATCATCCACTCGGGTAGGACATCGGGGGCGGGGGCCTTTTTCGCTTTGGCATCGTTTGGCGGGGCAGCGGCGGCCGATTTGCCCTGAGCCTCGGCGGCAGGGCGCACGGGCAAATCCTGGGGGGCCTCAGAAACCATATTTAGATCTCCCAGGGCAGTAGCAGGAAGATTGACCGAGAAAAAGGGATCTAGAAGTAAGTGATCTGCTATCGCAATTGGAAAAATATGAGTCAATACTCTTTCTGTGACGGGAGGGACGGGCGGTGAGTCATGTGACCGTAAACTGCCCTGGCTAGCGACGCTTTACCGCATGAAGTTTCCACCACCCGAAAACTTCTTCGCCCAAGTCCAACCTCCAAACTTTCCATCCAGCGCAATTATGTCTTTCCGTGGCCGTGGCTTCTCCGGCACCGGTGCGAACCGGGGTGGTTTCGGTTCCCGTGGTGGTAAGAAAAGCCCCCGCGACATCGATTGAGAATCCGAATTAGAGCTAACGAAATTTTTTTCCGGGTAACAGGTCGCGGAGGTTTCCAGCCATCATTCGGCCCCCCAGCCCAGGTCCTGGGTAAATACGATTCCTATCAAGTCGGCGGATATTTTGCGGGCGCAATGCTGATATTTATTAATAGAGATGGGTACCGTCATGCACGCCTGTGAGGGTGAGATGGTTTGCGAGTCTATCAACCCCAAGGTTCCCTACTTCAACGCCCCGATCTACCTGGAGAACAAGGTATGCTGTCGATCCCACCATCAATATTACAATGCATTGAAATTGTGAGCTAACCAGCTTGTCAAATAGACTCCTATTGGTAAGGTAGACGAGGTTCTGGGCCCCATCAACCAGGTGTACTTCACCGTCAAGCCCCAGGACGGTATTGTTGCTACCTCATTCAAGCCTGGTGACAAGGTCTTCATTGGTGGCGACAAGTTGCTGCCTCTTGAGAAGTACGTTATTCTCTTTTGATGATCCATATCCTGTGTGTAGTGCTGACTGTATACCCCAGGTTCCTTCCCAAGCCCAAGGCTCCTGCAGGTGCCAAGCCCAAGCGCGCTGGCGGTGCCCGCGGTGGTGCCCGTGGTGGTGCTCCCCGCGGTCGTGGTGGCTTTGGCGGTCGTGGCCGTGGTGGTGCCCCTGGAGGTTTCTCTCGTGGTGGCAGCTTCGGTGGCCGCGGTGGTGGTCGTGGTGGTAGCGGCTTCGGTGGCCGTGGTGGCTCTGGTGGCTTCTCTCGCGGCGGTGGCCGTGGTGCTCCCCGCGGTGGTGGTGGTTTCTCTCGTGGTGGCGGTGGCCGCTACTAAGATATTGCTGACCAAATATTGTGTCTTCTTACGGCGTTTGGGGGATTCGGGAGCTTTTTTGCAGGAATATTTCTTTTTTTCTTGTGCATCCTGACACAATTACTGCTTCTCTGACTGCAGAGACTGTAGAATATATCCAGTCATAAAAATCTGTTCTTTTTACTGCTCATCCCAATCATTACAATTCGTCGTATGCCAGTAATCTTTACATTAAGTTGACCGCGACAAAATCATGTGGCTTGACAAGTGGCGCAGTGCACCGCCTCGCGGCTATTGTCTTTCGGGAAATGACGTTGACCGCTCTGCGAATCTGTGCGTCCGTCAACACTCGAAGCAGGATTGGCGGTCATTTTAACTTCCTCAACCTTTTGAGATTCCTGGAATCAGAAATCCCCTCCTACCTGATTTTTCTTATTTTACCTCGGTCTTTCTTTGATTATGTCTCGCAGAACATCGGCCATGGCGTCGAGTGAGCCCAGCAGCGTCCCGCCTTCAAACGACGGAGGTCAGTTTGCGATCGACAGTGCACCCCTCGTGAAGTGACGCTCACATGTTACAGGCCAAGAAAAGCAGAAAATGCTTCTATCTGAAGAACACGGTCATTTCAGCATGGTGAAGTGAGTAGTCAAAGTCTATCTGCTGCTTCCTGCTTTCCAAAGACCCTCTCTAACATCGTTACTAGAGCTCTCCACCTTGCCGATCTGGTTACTGAGTTGAATGGTAAGTTGTTTCTCCTCGATTCGGTGCGATTGAAAGCGACCAGGTTCTGACTATCTATTTACAGGTTTCTGCGGAGGCAAGTTCCAGCCGGTCTAATAATTTGATTTGATGCTAACCATCAGAACAGTCATGTCCGTTTTCTCGTCCATGCGCTACTGCCTCGGAGAGCCCTCGGACTACGGTGCTATGTGGGCTGCCCTCGCCTTAATGCCATTCGGTCTGTTCTTCGACTTTATGGATGGAAAGATTGCCCGCTGGCGCAAGAAGTCATCCCTGATGGGCCAGGAACTGGACTCACTCGCAGATCTGGTAGGAGAATTTTCCGGTTGTCCTAACAATTCCCAGGATTGATGCGCTGACTATTTGCGATGTGTTGCAGATTTCCTTCGGTCTCGCTCCCGCAGCGGCAGCCTTCGCGCTCGGCATTCGCACAAACGTTGATCACCTCATCCTGACCTTCTTCGTTCTGTGTGGTCTCACTCGTCTGGCCCGTTTCAACGTCACTGTGGCTGTTCTGCCCAAGGACAAGAGCGGCAAGTCCAAGTACTTCGAGGGTACTCCCATTCCTACTACTCTGTATATCGCCGGTCTCATGGCCTACTGTGTGTCCCAAAGCTTGACCCACGAGAACATTCCCTTCGGACTTATTGCCGAAGGCACAGCCCTGGAGTTCCACCCCGCTGCTCTGCTATTTGTCTTGCATGGTTGCACGATGGTCAGCAAGACCATCCACATTCCCAAGCCATAGATGTGGTCGCATTTGGTCGGATGATCTAGTTTTTCATTTTGGGAAGCCTGGGCTTGTCTCAGCATTGCGACAAGTGACCACGAAAATAAAGAACGAGAGATTCTTTTGTCTATAAGCAAGCTGAATGATTCCACTCCGCTTAATTGAGAACGATTTAATGGTGAGAAGAAACTTACAAGTGATTCTCAATATGAAATGTAGTGTACGAATACCAGTCGATATGGTCTTATGCAGCTGGAATATAAGCTCTGACCCACCTGCTCCATTGAACCTGTATAGTAAGAGCCCTCGAAGCTTGGTCTAGGATGACAAGTTGGGGAAGACCAGTCCGGTCTTGGTAAAACGTAGTGATAAAGACTGCCGGAGGCACTGCGCAAGGAGACGTAGACCATTGTAACATTTGAAGTATTCAGGAACGGGATGGATGGAGTGATCTACGAATGAGTTTCTTGAAGTCATAATCGTTTAAGTACACGCACGGATGGATCACTAAGCCAGTTCCTCACTTCACCCTCAAGGAACCTCTCGAGCTGGTTAGTCTGTGCCTGGTCTACATTGTGTAAACTCATTTTGAAATCAAATTTCACCATCTCCAGAAATGTGTGAGAAGGCAGAAAAGAATGACAGCGCCGAGGACGACAAAGCTGAGTTGACTGAATGACAACAACTCTATACAACCCTTCTTTAAGTCATGATCTTCTTGCAACTAGGACGATTAGGGCGCAGAGAGCATTGAAATATGGAGAAGCCTCGGGTTTTAGCCGGTACGCGAATAGTCTATTTGCAAGCTAGAAGATTTTTTGGGCTGCAGCGTTGGAGTAGTGGGAATGTCTAATGAACTTTACTTTCTTGCAAATTCTATGGGATTTTAAGTTTGACTGGTAGAGGAGGATAAAGTAGAAAGTGGAAGTAGTATGCTATGGATGGCTGCTCCCCGGCTTGTTGACCACCACGACTACTTCTTTATTAGTTATCGTCTTATTATAATTAGAGCGTCCATATCCATGTCATTTCATACCTGAATAATTATCAATCGGGGAAATATCACTATCATTAGTATGGTATGCTCTACATGTATACCGAGAGTAATGTCGCGAAGAAGAAACTCTCGCGCACACTGAATATCCCACTTCCAAATTTCAAAGCCGATCCAATTGCAATTTTCCAATCGTATGTTTTAGTAAAAGCAAAGCATCCCATAGACTGCCATCTCCAGGCACTCTGTGTAAAGCTTATCGCAATTAAACTTGGTCTCGTTCCATTACTGGCCTTTCAGAAGGTCAAGCGGGAACTGAACAAACTCAGCATCTATCAAATCTCCAAACCCCCAATCCTTAATCCGAGTCATCCGGCCTCAATACTTCTGGAACCATCTATTTAAAGATACCACTTATTATTGAAGGGTTTTCTGTCATGGGAATACACCCCACGCAAACAAAATAACCCTGTTCTAGACCCTGTTCGAAGGCCCCATAATCCTTGGCCAACTTAACGATCCACTTTAAGGGTTCGCAGACCAGAACAGCCGAAGAACCTTGGACCATGTGAATCGTCAAGTAATGGTCAGGAAGATGACATCAGAAATTTCTTGTTGCAATGTTGTTTTTGTTTTTGTTTTGTGGTGTTTCCAAATTTTGGCGCAAGGGGGGTCAACATTTCTTTTTTCGCAGATTCGGACCGGACTAGTGAGCGCCACAGGCTCGAAATACATTTGGTGGTGAGTCAGGGTCCGCTGGGCGACAGGTCTAGGTACCTGGGCGTACTTGAGGTTTTACATTTCAGGGTTTTGAGTTTGGTTTTGTATGCATGGATTTTTTAATAACCAAGATCAGAATGGTGATACATTATACATCAGTGGACAGTGTTACATTCCGAGGCTTCCATGTCTATAAAGTACTGATTGCATCTACCACATGTACATTCTGGTCGGTAGCGCCCGGCTCTGTGTCGATCTTGACTATGTATGTGAGCGGTTAAATGATGTGATTCTCGTCGAGAAGTGAGTGTGGTGGGCCAAGTCCCATGAACTGTACGGTAAGGGCCACTGATTCATCAGATGACATCTCTAGTACCATCAAAGATGGGTTATTTACATAGCCACCATTTGTGAAGGCCACCCAAAGTGTCACGAGAACAGACCAAGAAAGGCACTGAGGTCATCTGGTTTATGAAAGTGGCGTCCGTGGGGCGTAGATACAGTCCCATCGCTCGGGTGCTCGTGTGAGGTTTTCCAGAGTAATTACAGCCATATGCATACGTTCCAAGATTGTAGATGTACCGTACCTCATGCAGGCAGTCAATCAACCCCATATGGTCAGGACCCTGTCTTAGATGATCAGCAGCAAATATCTGCAATGCTTGGTCCCTGCATCATTGCCTCGGCGAGCCAACCTTGGTTATCCCGGCGAATAATGTATCGTATAGTCTGTATAGAGCTAAATCTCACAGGGTCCAGGGCTATGTAGTCGGACGGGATTGGTATATAGCCGAGAACATGTGCTTGGAAATTCACTTTGTAATTTATGGCGTATTGAGCCGTAAATGACCGAAACGGACAGCTCATTCATTGGGCACGATCCACTCGGGAGCGTCCGCGCAAAAACCGTGGTCCGCGAAAAGGGGGTGTTGTTTTTGTGATGTTTTTTCTCTTTTACAAATATCTTTTCTCTATTCAATTTCAGCTTGTAGTTATGATCAAAGCAAAACAGCCCTGTTGACTGTAATATAGTTCCTAGCTTGTCAAATTAAAAAGCCAAGCCTCTCCGGTCTTAGCGCTGAAAAGTCCCCTCACACCCCGGACACGGCTGGGAAATTGCGCTAATGAGTTTCATTTCCCTAGGAAATAAACGGCGAATGGGCGCGTCTCCGCGAGGTAATACACACGTTTTGACAGTGAATACAACGTATAAGCCGATTCTCAAATGGTGTTCAGAACTGATTTGCTCTATCATTCCATTTTTGGCTGGTCAGGACTAAATTGTAGAAGTTCGATGGTGTATGACAGAGTCAGTCCCATTATGAGGTGTGATGGGTGCCCTTGATTCATTGTGGCGAAACTCTGTAGGGACTCGCAGATCTGACAGTTTTACACGAATAAAGTCGCACCAGCGTTCAGGGACAAATCCGAAAAGAGTTAAAAGCGACCAGTGGCTCCACTGACTGGCCCGCATTTGATGAAAGTGGGAAGCGATCGTCTGCAAGTTCCAAGGGTCATCAGCGGTGCCTGATGACTCAGCCAAGTAACGAGCTATCATTGGTCTAAAGCCAATATTATGACGGCAGGGAATATTCAATACATACAATACATACCATACCAAGACCCAAAAAAGGAGACTGGAAGACAAACAAACTGCCCAACCTGTACTACAGCACGTAAGAAACCCGTACCGTGTTGGTACCTGGGGAACAGACCCCTTGACCCTGAGCAAGGACCCCCGTTTCTTCTTTCTCCCTGAAGATTCTCTCTCGTCCTTTCCTTTCCTTATTCACTCTCATTAAAAACAAAAGGGACCGCTCGTTTAACGCCCTTCGACCTCTCTCTCGACCCTGAATCGTTACCCTCCAGTTATCAACTCGACTGGTCCGATCCCCGGTCGCTCCTCCCCCAACAAAGCCGAACTAAGAAGGGGCAACATCCATCTCACTTCTCTTTCGCGACTCTTTGTACTACCGGGCTTTTGATACCCGATTCCTCTCGCTCACCGACCCAGTTCTTCTCACTTCGTCCCTTTGCCGACCGTCATTTGCGCCTGTCTCGATTCATATCGAGTCCTACACAGCGGGTCCTAGAGGTCCCACGACAACGCGACCAAACAACACCCGTCGGGACGGAGAGCATTTTCTCCAAGGACGACACTATTAGCATACTTCTATTCTAGAAGTTCTGAAGGGCAACGCCGGTCGTTTCCTCGTTCTTCAATTTTTCCATCGCAACGACTGTGTCTGCGGTGGTATTTTATTCCCTTCACGCGGCTCGATATTCTCCTTCATTCTTATCCGCCATCAAATTCACCATGTGGAACGTTTTGACGGTTTCGACTCTTCTTCTCGCAACCGGCTCGGTCGCTGCGCCTTCCGAAAGGCTCGTAGCACGAGCCGATACCCTTGTGGGCTGCTATAGCAGCTCCCTAGGAATGACCAACAAAACCTCTGCTGAATTTCAGAGTTCGGGATGGTGCTTAGATAGATGCATGGATTATGGCGCAGCTACTTTTGCTTTAACCGGTGGCTCATACTGTCTGTGTGGTGACGAATTGCCTCCGTCGTCGGACAAGGTCGCTTCGAGCAACTGTGATACACCATGTCCGGGTTGGCCGCAGGATGATTGTATGTTATGTTGTTTTGTCCCGTACCTTCATTTGATGAGAATACTGACAGTCCATAGGTGGTGCGGACGACTACTATTCGGTGTACACGACAGGCTTAGCGAGCAACGTGGAGAGTTACTCAGCCTCAACGACTAGCAGCAGCAGCAGCAACAGCGACAGCGACAGCGACAGTAACAGCAACAGCAATTCGACTGCCTCTGAGACCACCCGCGCAGGTGGGAGTGCAACGACCAACTCCGCCGGACAAACCGTTTACGTGACGGATACCAGCAATAACGATGCCGCCGCTGCCGCCGCGTCAGCACAGGCTGCGAAGCAACAAGACGAGCAGAAGCAGAGCAAAACTCACAATACCGCGGCCATTGCTGCCGGCGTCGTGGTTGGTGTGGTTGGTGTAGCTGCTCTGGCTGGAGCTGCCTTCTTCTTTTTCCGATCCCGGAAGCAAAAGGCTCAGGGATACCGTGGTGGTCGTGATTCGGGACCGCCGTCCATGTCGGATTCGCGGTTCGACGGCCAGTACATGGCACAGCGCCGGCAAAGCAATGGCAGTATTGACGATGATCAAGATTTCTCTCGTCGAATCCTGCAAGTGACCAATCCTGATCGCTAAGCTGCATGACCTCGCAATGTACCATTCCCTTTATCCTTGTCACCTCACATAACCGTCACCTTCCTTCGATCCCGCCCTGGTTTATGAGAGCCTCTTTTCTTCCGTCGTCATATTTTCCTCGGGTTATTTAGCGGAGTTACGATATCCGAAAGGCATATGGCTCGACCCGATTCGGTGTCCATATTTTGTTTTTGTTTTTAATTCCTTCTTCTGGCGGCATCTCCAAACGCGATCGTGCTTCGAGCCGTGGACCAACACATACCACCTCTACTCGGAGATTGTGCCGGTTGTACTACGCGAGAACATTTAGGATGTACGTGTCCGTGTCAGTCCTCTGAATTAATGCGTCTTTAGTAGGCGCAGCAATTTAGATTGGGCTCTGACCAAAAAGGCGTTTGATTTCGGCTCTATCGATGCTTGAGTTTGGATGAACAGACCGTTCCTTTTTCCTTTTTTTTTTTTTGCCAACACGATTTCTTCTGAACAGCTTCTTTCCTCAAGCCGCCCTTTGGTTGGGGTTGTTTTAGTCCCAACATCTTAAGCATGAACAAATATTTCTTGTCCTGGACGATCGGGTGACTGTAAGTAGTGAAAATCTAGTCTGTATCTAATGCGAGTATGAATTTGCAAAGTGATTACGCAGTTGAAGTAGTTATCTGGTCAGCCACTATATTCCGTCATAAGGCAATCACACGAGGCCGATATAGTTGCATCCTCCAGAGAATTTCCAGCACTAAGTTGTTTCCAGAAGAGCCTCAGCTGCTGGGTTCCATGTTTCCGCTCCCTGGAATGCGGGGATCTGACGTCCCGAAGTGCTTTTCCAGGGAACCATTCCTCTCTATTTCAACATCTACAACTCCAGGGCTCCACGGCTATAGCTTGACTCCGAGCATCATACCCACTCCACCGCCTCTCTCAGTTCCTAAAATACATCGCATCCTGGCAATATTCCTCTTACCACCTTCTTGCTCCGTCTAATAATATCCAAATACTGTCATCATGCCCCGCAAACGCAAAGTATCACTCTCAATCTCTGAGCCCTCAACATCATCACATAAAGTACCAACCTCGACCACAACAACGACAAAACCAAGCCCCTTCAAATCCTACCCCGCCTCAAAAGTCTACCGTCTAGTCGAGCCAGGCCCAATCCTCCTCGTCTCAACTGGCTCCCTGACACAGAAAACCCACAACCTCATGACACTAGGCTTCCACATGATGCTGCAGCACGACACACCCGCCTTGATAAACATCTGCCTCGGACCTTGGGATGCAAGCTTCAATCTACTTTCCTCAACAGGATCCTGCGTCCTCGCAATTCCTGACGTCTCCATCGCAGAATCGGTAGTTGACATTGGGAACTGCTCAGGCGACGAGGTGGACAAGTGGACGAAATTCGGGTTTGAGGCTATCCCTGCTGCAAAAGTCGAGGCACCGCTTGTGGGTGGTGAGGGTATTATTGTGAATATTGAGTGTGTGGTGCATGATCGGGGTATGGTTGATAAGTATAATCTTTGGGTTTTGAGGGCTGTAAAGGCTTGGGTGCGTGAGGGGTTTGGGGATGAGGCTGAGAATGGGGTTGGGGAGAGGATGAAGATGTTTCATCATCGGGGGGATGGGAGATTTAGTGTTGATGGGGAGGTTTTGGATTTGAGGAGTAGGATGGTTAAATGGAGGGAGTTTCAGGATTGATTTGTGTTCTATCTATGCGTGTTTGTACTGATTGATGTTATATTTGCGATTTAGATCTTGGGATCTGGTGATTTGCTAGGATTATAGAATAGAACTTTGACGACTACTCAATAACCATGGACGCTCAATAATCTCAGTATTCGTGACTTACTTTAATTTTCCAACGTTCTCCAGGGCTGGTTGTTGACTCGTTCCAAGTCCCCACGTTGTTGATGCTGTCTCTTATTGCGGAGATATATTTTAGTGTCAGGCCCACCAATTTACCACCCACCATCAACATTTACCAACAAAATTCCCATTACCTCTTTTATCATAACATTTGAATCCATGGATCCTGAGTAGGCTTACTCATTAATTCATATGCCATCCACGGATAAGAAACCTTGAAGAACAAACCAAGACTGACGCCATGCACCCAACCGCCAAACTACAGCAAGCCCAGCGCTCCAACCACCCAAACAAATCCAGCAAACCTCCAACAACCCAGCCCTGCATAAAGTGGCTTCAGCCACCATCATTCAATTCAATCCAACACTCAGCTCCAATCATCCATCTCTTCGAATTCCAAGAACAGCAAAAATCCACTGCAACACCATGACATCAGATAACAGCACCAGCAACCACAATCGCACTCATCCCCGAATCCCGACTCCATGGGCGAGGGGGTAAGAGAGCGCCTCTGAGGTCATTATCGAATAAATGAGACAATTGCGACAATTCTACGAGCGGCCCAATCAAGCACTACAGAACATTTGTCCAGGTTCGGTTTCTTTGTTTACTAGTGTGCTAGATAGCTAACCGAAGCCCCCAGACACCCCCACCCAACGCAACGCAACACGACCAACAAGTTCGTGATGATCGCCACCATATCCAACGGCGCTTAGTCGACAAAATCTGAGCGGCCACTAGCATTTCCACCCGAAAGCGATGATCGCAGGGGTCGGAATTGGACTTTTATCCATATCCACACCCACAACCCCGATTTGGTATGCGTCTAGATCTAACACACGGGACAAGGGGTTGGGTGGAGTGCGACTCATCCGAATTTAAATGACAGCTAACAGGTTCATTACCCCAGAAGGAAGAGATCTGCTGTGTTTCTGTTTTCCACGCTGTTGGGTTGAATTGCAGGTACCCATGAGAACATTGATCCTTGATCCTGACTATAGGAGATATCTCGGACGTGAAGGATTGCTCGGAGGTTTCTACTCTAGTAATAGCTATTTGCCTTCTTTATAAATCAAAGGATTCGATGACAGGTGCCTCAAAATCCTGGAAACCTGAAAGTCCCCGGCTAGGAGCCCCCAGAACGACGCAGGAGTATACCCCACGAATGAAACCAACTAGCAGCCCAACTTCGGAAATTAACTTGGAAAACAAGCAAAGCACCAAAATAACATCCCTGTGCATTTTCACTGACCTTCCCGTCTCGTTAGCCTAGACCAATCCCTAGCCAGCCTCAACCCAACAGGAGATAACCCCGAAAAAGGTCCCCGGGTGGTGCAGGTGCAGGTGCAGTGCAGGGATTGAAACTCACAACACCCACAGCGAGATAACAGCCTCCTGTGGATCCAACATAATGTGCCTATGCGTTGTCAACTCCATTCTCGCGCCTGCCCGTCGCGGGGATAAAAGGCTACTGCATCAATCTCCACACAGAATTCTCCCACTGGACTCGAATTGGAGCGAATGAGCGGCGTCCATTCATCCAACAGCGGCTGTGGAGAACGCCTCGCGCGCGCCCTCCCGGGGAATGATGTCATTGTGCGTTTTGGGCGTGCTAATGGTTCGTTGTTTTTTCTTATAGGTTAGATGGGACAGGGATGTAGCAGGCAAGGTGCTTTTGCGCAGTTGAGGCGGTGTAGTGGGTGATTTGATTCGTGGGTGACATGTTGTTGGTTGTGTTGGTTTAATGATTGGATCGCCTTGGATAGTTATGCGCTCTGTTCGACTTAGCTAGGCCGAGGACTTGCATGGTTCAGGCTAATTTGGTGCGTTGATCGAGCGCTCTCTTCCTCCTTTGGATGTCTCAGTGCAGTGTTGATTTGGGAAATTTGTTAAGACTGTTGAGTGTTGGTTTGGCCTGGCCGACCGCTACGTCACTCAATAACCGGGGACCTTGCGACTAGTCACATTAAATGGGACCCGCTTAATCCGATCTGTGAGCCGAATTAGGTCAATGGTGTAGAGGGGGGATTTAATTATGTAGAGTTTGCTGCCTGGAGATCTGCACTCCATGGGGTCGTTTATGGAGATGTGTGGGGCGTGATTGAAGTGTGATTGATATCCATGGACTGGGGGTTGATAGTGATGTCCAGTAGAGTCAGAATGCACCGTAAATCCAAAAATGAGAAATGGAGTTCGGAGTAGCTACGGAACCGTGGGACGCATGAAGCTTTACATGGGGCAGACTTGTCGATCCTTAACCAGCACCAACGAAAGAGATTACAGGTCTAAAAACTTCTAAATGTAGTGTTGACAGTTGCAACCATTCCATCCTGAAGGAATACAATATACTCCGTATATACATAGATCAAGATAGTCAAGATCTTCAGCCCTGACACCATGTGGCAGTGGCGAAAGGTTAATCACTTGAAACACAAGGCTTAATGTTTGTGCGATCTCAACTCCGCCCAAGAATAGCAACCAGCCTCCAATGTGCCCGCATAACAGGGATCCTGAAACACACGATCAACTTGTGGCTGAAGCAAGGGCGTTCGTTTCGGAGTTTGTTCTTTGCATGGTTGTGCATCAGTCTGTTATCACTGGTGAGGAGGCGAGATGGTGGAGAAAGTATGTCATTAGTGCATGAGATAAAAATACTTTCTGATCAGCATCAACCCGCATCAAGCCCACGTGTAAGCAGCTGAAACGAAAAGAATCGAGTTCCCGGATGAGGCTAGTCGAAGGATTGCATTGCTTTGCAGTAGCGTTGTCTCCACAGTCAGATTTTAATGAAATTGCAATCCTTCGACGCTTGGACGGAATAGGTTGTTATTATGGTTAATTAGCATCGCATGTATTATCCTTTTATGTTCAACGCTAGTGTGCTATTTTTCTTATTATTTTCTGTCCCCTCTTTAATTAATCCTGATCCTTCGACACATGGTCGACAGGGTTCCCAATCCTGCCTCCCCGTTGCTACCACATGGGAAATGAATGAGGATCAAGCAAGATCAATCCTCCCGTACACTTTTCATCGGCCATCGGCTAATCCCTCACTTAATTACCGGAAATGACCATTGCTCAGGCACGGTGCAACGCAACACTATTGATCTTGGCCTAGATCCTCATCCTCACCTAGCTTTGACCCCCATCTCCCCCTTTTACGCGCATGATTCAAGCTACCCGATCCATATGACTTCACGGGTTTAGCCGTCTTCTTCATCATGTCTGTCTATCCCCGAATCCTTCGATGGGAACCGCTCAAGTCCGATAATCTCGTTTTGGGACCCAGGAGATCATTTCCCTTCTACCTGCTTTCTAATTTCATCGAAGAAGTAAATGCTCATCTCCACGTGGGCTGTATCTACGTGATCCATCTTTCTGATTGGCACATCGGCGATGAGGATTTAGTGTCCCTACACCTCTCGGGGCCGCCTCGGAGTGGATTCCATCATTCAAAAACGGCAATGGGTACACTGCAGAGTTACTCCGTACCAGAATAGGATGTAGGTGAGATCCACTGCCATGCCATGTGTTTTCGCCCTTTGATGGTCAGTCAGCACAACCACATGGCACGATCGGCGCGACATAGATCTCTGAAACATCCTGTACCCTGCACCTCTTGCATACACTGGGAATGTACCTACGAGCTGAAACAAGTATTTATGCGTGATGCACAAGTTGCGAGTTGTGCCACCGTGCACTGAAAAAGAGCTTGTTCTCGCCACTGTACATGATTCACTCCACATATACCCTTGGGTACCTGCTTGCCACTTAGACCTATACCAATATACATCTGTCCACTGTAGGTACCCACCAACCCACCAGTCCCTAATACCATTCAGTCCACATCGAGATGAAGCACAGACTCCGCGATATCCACAAAGGATAAAATGGCAGCCAATAGAACCCACCGATCTAAATCCCGATACCATTGTGACAAAGATCTTCGAAGGAGCGACATTGACTTCAGTGGCTTTGTGGCTTCAATCTTCAACTTTCAAGCTTCCTTTGCAGAAAGAAATCTTGCTTCTGCCTTGGTCCTAGAATGGCAAATTGCCACCACCATTTGATCTCTGCATGCCCGTGGCGTGCGAGTTTTGCATTGATTCCCCGGGAAAATAGTATCACTTACAAGGGCGAATCGAAGGTACGTGTTCTGGCGTTGCCCTGTTCCATTATCTTAGTTCGTCCCGGGAATTTGGCAACTGCTAGGTAAGTGCGGCGCCCGGATGGCGTTAGCGTCACAGGTATTTGTGATTGATCGTGAGGATTCTTCTACAAGAACTAGATGAACTGTGACGGAACAAATTAATTTGTCCTATTCCGAACCAAAACATGATGTATCTTTCGCCGCTTCCTTCGTCTTCCTTGAGAAGTGTATATTCATGCATGTCTACCTCCTGTCCAGTTAACATAATCTAAGTATAAGCCGACGTCATAATCCACGTATCCTCACTCTCAACATCAGCATTCATATCTGGCACACCTTTAACTGGCCACTCACATCTCTCAAACCCCGATAAAGAAAAGAAGGGGAAATACCGACACCGCGACGATCACCGAGTGATCATTGGCTCATCATTGCACCATCTCTTTCTGACTGTTCTCCTACTTGGGCAGGTGAATAGCACGCGCAAGTTCGCGGGATTTGAAATTTCCGTCTGCCCCATAGCAGCAGCTTAGATCCCGTAGTCTAGCCGGGTAGTGGAGCCGTACGTTGTCCGGAGATTTTTTCCCTCCTTATTTGGTGCGGCTATAGAAAACCGTACCTTGGTTTCTGGCGTCAATGATAACAGTGGATGAGTGGGGGTGAGGGCGATTTTGCGGTGGAGGGCAGGTGGTTGGACTGGACTGAGTGGGGGGGGGGATAACTTCAGAACCGGGCAATCCAAACCTAGTGGGGCCTTGGTGATTGCCACTATACCCAGAGGGGATAATGTAATGCCTTAGGATAGATTGGCCTGATAACGGGGGTTTTAGCGCGACTTAGAGGAATGAGATGGCTGGAGTGGATACAACTTGAAAATTTGGAGGCCGGGTTTCAATGCCAACTTTGCTGAAGACCGAAGGAATCAATATGGTCATTATAATAGAGTTTGTACAGAAGGATTGAAGGTTGGCTTGGGTGGTAGTTTTCCTTGTTTTTCATGAGGCACATACATAGCCATGTGACGTGCTGACATCGCAGATGTTCGGGATTCCAATAGTTCCACCCGAGACGTTGGGACAGCGTGCACCGACTCCAACGCCGACTATCCCCCGAGAACAACGGAAATGTGAAAATGGAGGAAAGCGGGAACGAGGAAATTTGAAGTTGGGAATAGAGTAGATCTTCCCATAAAGGATAATGAACGTTTCTTTTTTTGGGTGAAGTGAAGCATAAACAGGTTGACCCGACCGTCAGGATCACGGGGCCCGAATCCACCGCTTAAGGACTGCGCAAGGACCAGAAGGAGATTTGCCGTGTCGCAGGGGACATGTGTACCAGAAAAAGACAACAAAAAATTGATTAGGGATAATCTACACGAGTCAGGTACCTTGAGGAATTGTTGACGATATTCAGAATGGATCAGGCCACTTTGGCTCACGGGAAGGATCCATGGATCCATCTGAGGTGAGATTGTGGACCAAGCCCTATTTTATTTTCATATAAGCAAAGTCTGAGCTCAAGTAAGAATTCACCATCTAAAGTGGTGTACGAGTAATTGAATTATGTTTCTATATTTACTTTGTTCATTTTACCTTCCCCACCTCAAGGGTCAGTCCACCGATCGGCCGGGGGTGGGAACAAGCAGGATTTTGCTCTCAAGAGCCTCGTAGTGGAGAACTGTTGTTCCCAGTAATTTGCTAGACGGAATAGTTCCGACGTTCGCACTTTCCACTGTTTGCCGGGCCAGTCCGATGCTTTCCGGCAAGATTCCGTGATCATCGCATTATGCCATTATTCCACTACATAGTGATTGATTTTCTTTGTTCTTTGTTCTCTTGCTCCAACGGACCCGGATTCCTGGAACCAAATTTCCTTGGGAATGTGTTTCCAAATCTAAATTCTATTTCTAATTCAAAGCAACGAAGTTAGGGGGCGGAGGAAAACTCGGGAGCATGATGCTGACAAAAATAACTAAATCTTCTAAACTAAATGAGAAGGTCATTGAAACGGGAGAAGGGGTGCGGCAGACCTGCACCAAACGACGCCATAGCGTCCCCCCAGTAGCATCCCAGCCGTGTCTGCGATAGCGGGGATCGACCACCCGCTAAAAAAAGAACCAACACTCAAAGCTCGACGCTGACTCGTGCACTTAACCAACAGCACTAATTTCTGCAGAGCTATCATATGGGCTATGACGATGGCGCTGATCCTTATACGGCCCGGTTCTTCAGACCAGATTTGTGAGACATGGGGAATGGAGTAGCACCCTTGGCGAAGGGCCCTTGGTTTTTAGTTTTGTTCTCTTGGTCATGCTCCACCCATCTAATGAGGGTAGATACTGCGAACATAAAAAAACCAAAATAAAAACAAAACACGTGGGTTTTTATCCAAGGTCCAGACTGCATAGGATTTAGTGCGAGCTCGGGTTCTATTTGCTGTCACCGCGATCGACGATCGCGGTGCAACTCCATTACTCTACTAGGACTAGATTAGCACGCACGGAGTACGGAGTATGCACATCCAGGAGGTAGAGATAGAGATGTAAAATTTTGGGGGCGATATGTTTCCACCCATCTGTAACAAGCCCTACACGGGTATATCGTCATGATCCACGAAGAGACTGAAAGGAATCTCACCTTGGTCAGCCACGTGAGGGGCAGATGACATGAATCAGTGAAAGGAGGAATTGGTGTGGGTCAACTGTTATTGGAGTGAAATGACCAACAAAAGTGGGTTATGTCGATTATATTCCTAGATAGGTATAGACTGCGATTGAATGTGGAGATGTGATTTATCCGGACAGTATCTGCCACGCGAGATGGAGAACGGGTCGCATAAGGAACAGAGTCGATCAAACACCTCCATTCTATACTTGGAAACTCCAGATGCTCTAACGTACTAGCTTCCTGATACTCACCTTTTGTACGGAGTAATTTGAACTTGGTCATAGCTGATATCATATCAGTTAGCTCACTAAACCCTGCAGGTGAATAAATCCTGATTACTATTTAGGGACTATTCAACTAGTGGAGCGTGCGACTTGGTTACCCGCAAATATACTTCACGCTGACATCCTATCAAGCTGATTTGTCCATCACAGTCAGATCCATGCAGAGTCGAAGCAAAATAGAAACCCCGTAAAAAATAGACATGAAACAGAAATGGCCCCTGCATGGAGGGGCCCAGCTCGAGCATTTTCTCGCGTGGCAGGTCAGCCTGTGCAGAACGAAGGATTCATTCCAGAATGTCTGCAGAGATCACTCACATGTGTTTCAAGAATGTTCCTAAATTAAATCACCTGCATGTTCGCCACGGTTTCACCCCCTTGTATCGTGCCACGAGGTCACTCGGTACATGCACACTGTTGCCAGGGAAGCTTTTCCCCGGGCTTTCTGCCACGCGGCATGAGCGATGGGCTATGACCAAAGGGGTGGTATGCAGGCATATGCAACTGGGCGCCGTAAAGTACCTAATCAAGACTTAGATTGGCATTTGGTCTATAGGAATGTGGACTATAGGGATTATACAGCAGGGCGCAGACATAAGGCTGGATTGAAGTGTCTCGTATCCAAATACAAATGCAACGATAGAATTGATTGTCCGTATCATTTAATGAAGTCATGAAATCGATGCATTAGGGATCCAAATATAGATACCAGTTTTAAAAATCGGGTGCACTAGGACATGTTGATCGAGGTTCTTGTTGAACCCCAGTGACGTTTTAATCGAAGGCCGATCGTGGATTGGGGGGGCTCGGGGCCGAAGATGGTGGGGGGGCTTGGGAGCTTGCCTGAGTGGTGTTCATTCACCTCATAGAGTAAAGGATCAGCATGCTGAAACAAGCTACCGCAAGTGAACTGTACCAAGGCTAAGCCTAGCGTGGCAGGGCTCACCCTTCCTTAAGGCGGACCACTGCGGACCCACTAGGCTGACTGGCAACTTTGGCTCTTGTCAGACTCCACTATCGGGAAATCCGAGGAAGGGGAGTGTTAACGTCAAGATTGGAATTGTTATTATGGTTATGACTATTGTAGTGTTTGTTCTTTCTAAGTTGAAAGAAAACAGTCGCACAGAGGGAGAGGGAGACAATTTTCGAAAGAAAGCAGTGAGGCTCTCTTGGGGACAAGGCACCCTGTTGCACGGAGTCCGTGCGCCCAACCAATGACAAGCGAGCTTAACTCTACCCGAATAGGCAACGGGTGCGATCCTTCGAGATTCCCAAAATGGATGCCCCCACCGAGTGGAACCAACCCGTTGGATGAGCTTGGACTGGAATGCCAATATTCAAACTGGAATACATAACTATACTATAGAATAGATGCATAGAGAAAAGAAAAAGAAAAAATCTACTATGAGAAAAGGGAGAGAATGGAATAACACCTGGACGTTATCCATTTTAGTCCGCATGTAATATGAATAAAAACAAATTTACTCTAGTTACCCGACATGTCGGTAGCGAACGAGCAAGTACTTGTTGGACTTTCCTCCACTCACAACGCTATCTCGAACCAACAACTTATGGCCAGAACGCCGTTTTGGCGCCAACCGCATTAGCCATTCCTTCCTCTAAACCTATTTTAGTCAGTGGATGGATCAGCGCTTGTAATAAATGCAAATTCCCTCAGCCGCACCCCCTGACAACGTGGTGTAATTTTAGGATTGCTTGATCCTCCCGCGATCCACGCCCGTGCTTGGTTCCCTTTGATCTAAGGTTATGGCCCCAGAATAGTAATTATGGGTATTTTCTTTTTTTCTTTTTTATTATTATTTTTTAATCATTAAATCATTTTCGAATAAATCATTTTCCATTTTCTTTTTGATTTAATTATTTTTTGGATTTAATTCTACTGATTAATTTAGGAAAGCCTAATAATCCGCCGGTAGATCGCTGTACACAGGAACAGCCCTGCTCGTCTATATCAGGCCTCGTTCCTCCGCTCTTCTTCATCGTCTCAGACCTGAACATTCCAACTCTACAACCTTCTACAATTACATCACTTCCATTCATCTATATAGCTTCCACGCCTCCTCCATTCTACCCATTCTACTTTCCACCACGACATGGCCAGAGGTTCCTCCACTGAACGCAAGACTTCCACTACATTGTCTTCCAACATTGTCTCTGTTCTCAACTCTCCCGCTACTTCCGCTTCACCATCCCCAGAGCCCTCGCCCAACATGGTTGGCCGCAAGAACACTATGCGCAGCAGCCCACAGACCGACATCTCCATGCCTATCACCTACACTCCCACCACCCACCGCATCAGCAAAGCTAAAAAGGGCAAGCGGGTGCACGCCTGCGAGTTCCCCGGCTGCAACAAGGTATGCGCTTTTCCTCCCAACTTCAATGCGCAAAAATCTGACTCGATTTTCCATAGGTCTTTACTCGCGCCGAGCACCGCAGACGCCATGAATTAAACCACAACCCCGAAGCTTCCTACCGATGCACACACTTGAGCTGCAAGAAGGCATTCCACCGTCCTGATTTGCTTGCGCGCCACATGGAGCGACAGTGAGTTTTCCGCAATCTTGCGCAACACAATTCCCGAGCTTTGGGCTAATAGATAAACAGTGAGCTTGAGTCGCAACCCGAACAGTCCCAATGGGCTTCCCGAACTCAGACTCCCATGACCGGTGAATCGGCCTCAATCCCGCGCTGCATTTCCATGGACAACGGTTCTCTTATGGCGGCCACTTCCCAGCCTAACTCCATGTCTATCGGCTCTTTGGTGGCTCCTGGAGTGCACCCAGATCTCGCAAACGACTGTTCTCTGGTGTGGAGTGGCATGGATTTGCCTCTACAGCACCCTCGCCCCTCTACCAACCTTTTCCACAACCAGCTCCCAGAGCCCGCCGATGACAGCCCATTCTACTCTTCGCCCGCTGAGACCTGCCCCTCTCCTCTCTCAGACACCAACTTTTCTCTCCCCACCCACAGCAGCTCCATCTCCTCTGGCTCCGTTTCATTAATTGATGCCTACCCTAAGAGCATGATGAAGACCGACTTGACTGCTTCACCAATGCAAATGCACTCTCCCCTGCGCTGGGACGGCTCAGACATGGTCCCTACTCCACACATGATGCCCATCTCCCTCGAGGAGAACCTGATCCAGCCGCCCGTTCAGTGCCACTACCCTTCTCCCTCCTACCCATCTCCTTCCTACCCCTCTCCTTCATGGTCCAGCCCAGACTGCCTACCCTACGATGACCAGGTTCAGTCCCTGGCGCACTTCCAACCTCTCGGCTGGAAGCAATGGGCCATGTAAAGCTGCCCTTCAACGGGTCTTGCAATTGAGCATTCCACCTTTACCTGAATGCATGACTTCATGACGACACTCAAGCTACCTGAGGGCTGGCCCTCACTCCCCTCATTGGGCGTGGACGGAGATACCCGTACCTCAACACCTCAAACTCGGGATTGGATGCGCAAAACAAAAAATAAAATAAAAAAAGCGCGCAATCCAGTCTCCCTCTCTCAACCCTCTCCACCTCGACTGGGTCCCGCGGGCGCCATGGCGCTCTCCGTCGAATACCAGCTCCATTCGTGGGGCGGACAATCCCGGTCTGGAGCGCAAAAGGCGCGACCGCGGAGCGCGGAGCGAGACTTCCAGTGGAGCAAGCTCCACTTCAGTCCAAAGCTCCAACGGAAGCTCCCTGGTTTAAGATTTTTTTCTGTCTTCTTTTCTTTGTTTGACTGCACCTTAGAAGGGAAAGTTATTTGGGCTATAGATTTTGGTTGCTGTTTTTATGGTTTTTCTTTGTTCTTTTCTTTTGTTGGATGACCTTGATGATTTCCTACGCGTCTCCTTCTGTTGGCTGTATACCCCGAACTGGATCTCTGAGCTACGACTCTCGCTTGTACATAACTGACACACGCATACAAACTGATTTGCACTACACAAAATTATTTCATCCCGTAGCTCTACCGTAGGCCCCACATGATACGTCTAAAGCTCCACGCTCCTCTAACCACGGTTCGCTTGATCGTCATGACCCGTGGTCGGTTAAACCTAGAGATTCCAAATCGCGGAGGATCTCGCTCCAACAGACCCAACGTTTGTTACCCACATTGATCTCGCCTACGTCGCCTGCTGCAAGTCGGCTGTAAAAAGGAAAAAAAGGGCGCGCAAATGCTTCCCACGCGCACACGCGCAGTCTAACCAGGAAAGTAAAGTTGCTGAGTTCAACTCAATCCAAGTTCTAACAAAGAAATGTAAAAAGGTAATTCGGGCTCTAGGTCACTCGTTCCCATGCTCTCTGTACTCTACCAGGATTCAGGAGTTCGTGCGCCCGGACTAACCAGCACCAGAACTATTCTACTAAAGGGAGGAAATCGGTCGATCATGTTTCCCCGTCCCCGTACCCGACTTCTCCAATCCCCGATTTTAATTATTTTGACTTTCATTAATTTGCACCAATTACTTCACCTTTTACTATTTCCCGTTTCGAACATCTCTTAACTACTGCATGCACACAATACCCCAGTCCAGTCCAGTCAAGTCAAGTCCCCCCCCCCCCATACAGCTGAAAGATAAGATAACTGCGGTAAGGCGTCCACCCGCATACACTTTTACGATCTCACCAATCACCGCCCACCACACCCTAGACTAGCCAGTACCTTTGTTAATTTGGAGCCCTGTGGAGATACAATATCGGTCGGGCGACCTTGAACCATGGATGAGAGTTGTCGATCCACACGGAGCACCCGACGTCCCTTTGTCTTGTGGCCTAGCGGGACCGTTAATGCCTGGACGTAATAATTACCCCGTGGCAAATCAAATGCGTAGAACAAGATTTCTTGATATCCTAATGCAATCTGGATACCCCGTTCGGTAATCAGTTCGAACCACCCTTGCTAACATAACGTCATTTCACAATATTGCGGGATGAGTTTTGTACTAGCAGGGATGTACGTGAGTCACTGTCTCCTGCCAGATCGGGGGGGGTTCTACGATCCTACACTGGGTGGTAACAACTGTGGGGAGGTGGAAGAGAGTAGGTAATGGATTGCTAATAACTTATACTTTTGATGGTCGGCAGGACCGGTACTCCGGCACGTGTACCACACCAAGTAGTAAGATCGGTTCGCATTGAAATTAATATCAAATCCTGGATCCTCAACCCTTAATCGCAATAAATCAAGTTAAGCAGAGGCCGCCCAGTCTCGGAAGTGGAAAAATGTGATTGGTCAAATGACAAGGGTCGGTCCGCGTGCTGGATCAGGCTCATTTAACATGGAGGCGCCGTGTCGATCAGGGGGCGTGTGTCACGAGGCTCTTCGGGCTGGATACTCATTCCAGTAACCAGTAACGAAATTTCAATGTGCATGCAAGCTTTTGATTTGCGGAATCGGAGACAATTCCCACTTTGGTAATGTGGTAGCGACGTGGGGTTGTTATTGGCGGAGCCGTCTATCACAGACTTGGTATGGAGCAACTTGGTTTACTTTATTGGAAAAAGAAAAGACAAAAAGATCAATTTCAGACGCTAATGACGAACGTGGGGGGGAAACGGGGCGTACAGCTCAACGAGATCTGCATTCGAAATCGGTCTGGGTGTCTTGGCTAAATTGCTAATCGTCTGCCTCTCCGGGGTGTGTGGCAGCCTAGCTGTCTTTCGGTCTTTCGGGGTTTCCGTTTGATTGTGATTAACAGGGTGAATTCAAATTAAGGAGGTCTACAGTATGCAAGGTTTATCATAGTCAGCCTCAGCTAATCGCCAACGGGTTTTTATCCCTTCCAGTGAGGACGTCACAGTTATGCAGCTAGTTGCCTAGGGCTCCTTCGGGGTTATCTTCGGGGACCCCTTATACCGTTTTGTCTCACCTTACACAGCAGGTCCACATGGACCAACGGCTGAACCATCTGTGCAAGCGTCCTTAGACCGTGTTACAGGAAATCTTGTTAATTCTAAAACTTATCTTGGGGTCAAGTATTTAGTGCCTCATTATCAAGGCCTCTTACTCGGTGAATTGTAGTGCTTACCTAATCATCCTTCGAATTCACGAGGATCACGAAGGATGAACCCAGTACATGCACAGTCGATCTTATGTATGGCTTGCATGGAAATACACAACTCCTTTTCAACTACTAGCGATCTGTGTGGAATAAAGTCTTTCCACAAGTCTAGATTTGAATCGCGCATTCCATTAGTGTCATGAGCTGCGTGTTCTGCCACCGAGTAGTCAAGGAGCACAGCATCGCTCATAGCTTATCATCTAAGCTAGTTGGAGCTCAAGCTCTATTTGCAAGACTAGAAGATGACGAATGAGGATAGTTGGCTAATTTATAGTAATGTCCTAGAGAAGTACCCCCGTACGTGTTTCAAACAAGGGCTTATTGCGGTGGAGAATAAATCCATAGATCTAGAGTGATTGGGAGCCTGAATACGAGGAGATCTACGCTTGCAAGCAAAGAGCTTCTATCTGTTGATTCCGCTCATGGCACTAACAAGTGGCCCACTTCCACTTACCCCGGACCGTTTACTACCCCGCGAGGGGCCAAAAAACTTAGACTATTGCTTGACTCGTATGGAGACCCATTGCAATGTCAAAAATAAAAGAAGTATTGGTTCCAATGCAAATGATTGACGCTGCGTTGAGTTGCATATCTGGTTATCAACGGATGCGCTTATCAAAACAAGAAATGGGGCCAGGTACAAGAATGAGGGGAAGCATGTCATCATCCGAATAACCTCACCTGCTCTCCTCCTCGACTCCCGGGACTCTTCTTTTCCCTTAGTCACATCCTAAAATTCTTCAGTCATCGCCCCGAAGACGGAGCATCAATTCCCTCAGTCCCACAGTCATCCCACTCGGAACAGCTCAGCCGCTGGATCCATCAGAACCAAGCTTGACAAACCCACTATAAAAGCCCCCAAACCCACTCGAGATCTTTCATCTTATCTGATGTGCTGATTCATCCTCCTCTGATGGCACCAGCAGTATGGTGGTGTTTGTCGACTTGGACCAAGATGCCTTCACCGAGTATTCCGGTTCAGCGGGCAAACCATTCCCGTCCAAGCTGACCGTCGCGCCCATCGCGACCGCAGCAGCTTCGGCTGATTTCCTTCCTTCCCCCACCTCCTCGGACGAAGATCGCGATCGCAGTCGCGACGCAGATGTCTCCACGACTCCGAATACTGTCGAGGATCCGGTGAATCCTAACCGGAATGCCTTCTCAGCTGCGCTGAGCTGTTACCCGTACGTGGAGATCTAGCGATAACTCAATCGCTGCCCGATTCTATGTGTGCATCAATGCTAATTGTGTAGTATCGTCAAGGAAATCGCTCGCAATATCGATTTAAATACCCTCTACGATTTATCGCGTACATGTCGCCAGTTCCATGTTAACTTGGCGCCCTTCCGGCACCAGCTGGTGCGGGAAACCCTTCGCTGCGAGAACGAGTATATCGAGACGGTCGCGGAGATGCTAGACACTGGTACAGCCATTCCTAGCAGCGTCAAATCGGTCCTGCAATTACTGAGCCAGGGTAGCTCGGAGTCAGGTCGGATGACGCGTGGGAAAGTGGGCAAGTGTGCACGCGACATGGTGGGTGAATGTCGGCGTTGCAGTAAGATTGTTTGCAGGGTATGTGATGGCCTCCAGATAAGCTACAATGATGGATCGGTATGGCTAATGAGTACTGGCTTGATATAGAATTGCACTATCAAACCGCCGTCACAACAAGCGATGAAGGGTCGTATTCGTCGACTTTGTCGCACATGTAACACGGCTCCGCTCTCTCACCATCTACAAGGGATGCCAGACGGGTCATCACTGGACCTCGATAGCGACCTCGGGAAAGGGATAAAACAAGAGACGTTATCACAAAACATCTGCCACTGCAACGACGCAGTCTGGCTATGTGTCCAATGCGGCCAGACCCTCCGCAGCAACGACACAACTTACCGCCGCGTATGGGCCTGGCGCACGAGATACAGCACATACCTCGGCGGAGGCCTCGGCACAGGGATCGGCGAAGGATCCCAAGGCGTTAAGTGCGGGCGCGGCGAAACCTGTCTCGCTGGACAGGAGATCGAGCTCGAAGTTGACTGTGAAGCGGATGAAAGTTCAAGTGACACAAGTAGCACAGGCTATCATAGTCCAACGAGTCATCCATCTGCGTCATCACATTATCACCAAGAGCTGGTCTCTTCGGATAGTCATGACGACGAGGAACCGGGGTACTTCCGGCAGGAAGTTATTGGGTTAGGGGGCGTTGTTAAGCATAAGGCCAAAAAGAGAGTCATGGTTGGTGCTTGTGTTGTTGAGCATGAGGATGAGAGGGAGACGGGGAAGTATCTTATTAAGGAGGAGAGTGGATCGTGTCGGGCTTGGTGTGGGTGGTGTTCGAGGGTGATTCCGGCGCAGAATGAACTTGGGAATGAATGATTGATTATTGATTGGGATGGGATGAATCTATTTTGCTTTGCATTGCATCGATGGCGATTTGCATGCCCTATGACTAATGATGGTATATAACTCATGCCTGCTGTGCAGAAGGGCTTGAATAAAATGATATGGCCAAACTTGGCAAGCTTTCAAGCTTCCAATCGACCTTACCAAGGGGTTCTAGTTTACACTAAATTGTGTTTAGAGAGGTAATTGACCAGAAATCAATATAGATATTGTATGGAATCATCATCTCATCATTTGAAATCTCACAGATGCAGATCAGTCTTGTTAAACAGAAAGACAAGTACTCCTATAATGCCAATGCATCGCTCCTCCATGCAGCAACCGTGAATTCATACAAAGGGCAAAAACCCTAACCATCATCATCACACATATATCAAAAGGACAAGTTTGAAATACAATATCAAAGCTAATGAGCAGTAATAGTCCTGAAAAGCCCCTTCAGCCTCGACTCCTTCGGCGGCGATGGTTCCCGACGGTGTCGACGACGTCGACCATCTTCACCCTCGCGAACCTCACGGTATCGGCGTTCTCTTTCGGGCTTCTCTCTCTCCTTCTCTTTCTCTCTCTCCCGCTCCTTTTCGCGGGGCTTACTGGGTTCGGGTTCTTCGCGAGAGCGCCGACGAGGCTTCCTCTCCTTCTCCTTCTCCTTTTCTCTCTCCACCTCTTTCTCGGGTCGAGGAGCTGCTTCTTCACGGCGGGAAGTTGAGCCACTAGAACGGCCGCTGGACTTCCGCTCCTCGTTTGGTGAACGCTCGTGACTGCCATTGCTTCCGTGGCTTTGGGCTGTCGAGGCGCGACGTGGCCGATCAGAAGGTGGAGCCACAGACTTGGACGTATTAACGCGCACAAGAGGTCTGGTGGTGTCCGACTGGCCTTTGCTCATGTATTGAAGGAAGTGGCGGGGCTGAGGCTTAGGCGGAGAAGATGAGGTCTGCTTCGAGGATGAAGGTGCCTTGGAAGATGGAGGCGGCTTGATAGATCGGCTTGGTTCCTTGGAGGATAGAGTACGCTTCAGCTTGGTCTCGACGATCGGCGGATCCTGCTCCTTCGGCCCTTTCGAGGAAGAACGCTCAGATCGCCTGGACTTCTCGGAAGTGATGCCACTCTTTTCCTTGTCCTCTTCCACGGCTGCCTTAGCTAGCTTTGCGCGTGCTTCGGCACGTTTCTTCTCCTCGTGTTGTCGCTTGGCTTCTTCCAAAGCTTTAGCCCATCGATTGGTGAAAACACTACGCTCGCTCTTCTGGCGTTGAAGAGATTGACCCTTGTTTCCATCGGATGATGTCTTGGAGTAGCGTCGCTCGCGCTCTCCTGTTGGACGCTTCTTTCGGCGGCGGGTACCATCTCTGCTTCCCGGTGCTTCCACAATTTCTTCAATCTCGCGGGATGCTTCGATTGGCTCTTCTGGAGCAAAGTCTGCTGGTGTTGCTCTCTCGGGGACCAGTGGCTCTGCAGGAGCTGGGATCTCTTCAGGCGCAGGCTCCTCTGGGGCAAGTTCCGCTGGTACCTCAGCTGGTGCTGCTTCGGCAGGTGGTTCATCAGCAGGTACTGGATCGGCTGCAGGAGGCTCTTCCACTGGAGGAACTTGCTCGGGGGCAGGCTCTTCAGCCGGAGGAGCTGGCTCTTCAGGAGCTGCCTCGACTGGGGGCTCTTCTGCAGGAGGGGTTGGCTCGGGGGCTGGTTCTTCAGCTGGAGGAGCTGCTTCAACTGGAGGTTCTTCCACAGGAAGTTCCCTGGCTGATTCTTCAGGGGCTGATTCTACCGAGGGCTCCTCGGCAGCTTCAGGCTCTGGGGCAGCTGGCTCTTCATGGGCGACCTCGACTGGGGGCTCTTCAGCAGGAGGGGGTGCTTCAGGTGCCGGCTCTTCCACGACAGGTTCAGCTTCCACGACAGGTTCTTCCACTGCAGGTTCCTCCACTGCAGGTTCCTCCACTACGGGCTCTTCGGCTGGAGGTGTTAATTCTGCCGGGGCAGCTTCCACGGGCACCTCCTCAACCGGTGCTGGAGACTCTTCAACAGGAGGCTCTTCAGTAGGAGCTTCCTCGGGGGCTGCCTCGACTACAGGCTCCTCAGCAACAGGCTCCTCAGCAACAGGCTCCTCAGCAACAGGCTCCTCAGCAACAGGCTCCTCAGCAACAGGCTCCTCAGCAACAGGCTCCTCAGCAACAGGCTCCTCAGCAACAGGCTCCTCAGCAACAGGCTCCTCAGCAACAGGCTCCTCAGCAACAGGCTCATCAGCAACAGGCTCCTCAATAACAGGTTCCTCAACAACAGGCTCCACAGGTGCAGCCTCTTCTGGTGTAACCTCCGCTGCGGATTCTTCTTTAGGAGCTTCAGTATGTTCCTCAGCTGGCACCTCAGCCTCAGCAGGCTCTTCAGCAGGAGGATCGACGGCAGCAGGCTCTTCAACAGGGGCGTCAGCGACGGGCTCCTCTGAAACAGGCTCTTCCTTTGCAGTCTCTGGAAGGCTTTCCTCAGCTGGAGTTTCCGCGACAGGCTCAGCTTCTGGCGTAGGAGCTGGATCCGCTGTAGGTTCCTCGGGCGTCTGCTCAACAATAGACTCCTCAACCACTTCCTCGACAGGAGCAGGGGCTGGCTCTTCAACTGGGGCTGGGTCCGCTACCGGCTCTTCGGTGGTTTCTGGGGCAGATGACTCTACGACAGCTTCCACTGGAGTTTCATCGGTAGAGGGAGCTTTCTCTCCCTCGCTGTCTACCTCTGGGGTTGACTCTGGTTCAGCTTCAGGTGCAGCGGGGTCGGCAGCAGGCTCCTCAGCCGGTGGGACTTCTGGCTCAGCAGATTCTACCACAGGTTCCTCAACAGCAGGGGTGCTTTCGGGCTCCTCCGGTGTCGTAGCCTCTGGCTCACAGGTGGGCTCTGCTGGTTCAGCAGGAGCGTCTTCAGGCTTAGCTTCGGGCTGGCTTGTTGCTTCCGGTTCGGGAGCTGCTTCGGGGGCCGTCTCAGCAGGCTCCTCAGGTGGGCTGATCTCTGCTGCTGGTGCCTCCTCTGCCTTGGCCTCTTCTGTCGGGGCCTCTGCTGGGGTAGGAGCCGGCTGTTCGGGTTCCACTACGGGTTCCACTACGGGTTCAGGTGGAGGTGTAGGTGTAGGTGTAGGCTCAGCTTTGGCGTTCTTCTTCTTCTTTTTGAGAGCCTTCCTCTGCTTTGCTGTCAACTTCGACTCGTCGACGACCGGTTCTGGCTCTGGCTCTGGCTCCACGGGTGCTGGCGGTTCAGGCTCACTTGCTGCCGGAGCTTCTTCTGCCGGAGCTTCTTCTGCCGGAGCTTCTTCTGCCGGAGTTTCTTCTGCCGGAGTTTCTTCTGCCGGGGCTTCTTTTGCCGGAGCTTCTTCTGCTGGAGCTTCCTCTGCCGGGGATTCTTCTGCCGGAGCTTCTTTTGCCGGAGCTTCTTCTGCTGAAGCTTCTTCTGCTGGAGCTTCCTCTGCCGGGGTTTCCTCTGCCGGGGTAGGAGCCGGCTGTTCGGGTTCCACTACGGGTTCCACTACGGGTTCAGGTGGAGGTGTAGGTGTAGGTGTAGGCTCAGCTTTGGCGTTCTTCTTCTTCTTTTTGAGAGCCTTCCTCTGCTTTGCTGTCAACTTCGACTCGTCGACGACCGGTTCTGGCTCTGGCTCTGGCTCCACAGGTGCTGGCGGTTCAGGTTCGCTTGCTGCAGGTGGTTCCTCCGGCTGAGCTTCGGCTTCTACAGGAGAATCTGAAGCATCTTTCTCTGGTTCAGCTTCGCCCTCTGGCTTGGCCTCATCTGCTGTCTCAGCCGCAGGTGCTTCGTCAGGCGGGGCTGCATCTTCATTTTTGTCGGCAGCAGGCTCTTCGGTAGTCGACGGAGCTTCTTTGGGAGCTTCTTCACTGCCTTCGGCTGCAGCATCGGCGTTGGCTCCATTATCATCACTTTGAGCTTCTTCGGCTTTGGCGGCGTCAGCTTCTTCAGCTGCTAGTCTTGCGGCCTCCTTCTCGGCCTCCTTCTCGGCCTCTACCCCGTTCTCTCCCTCTTCAGGGTCACAGTCTGGAAAAGCATCGTCTGTCAAACAGGTTAGTAAAGTAGTCTTAATAGTGTGTTCTCTCATATTTAGAACTTACCATTGTTTCCACCGTCATCGGGCTTTGCGGCGCTATCATCTGCTGCTGCGGCAGTCTCTTCATCCTTCGGTTCGGGCTCTGAACTCTCCGCAGGAGGCTCTTGAGGGGCTTCATCTGAGACACCCTCCCCTTCTGCGTTCGGCGGAGGCTCATCGCCAGCAGGCGCATCTGTGCCTTCTTCCTTGACGTCTGCGTCGGCTGCGCCATCGGGATTGTCAGCTGGTTCGGCGGGTGTTGTTGCCTCTGTTGATCCTGTCCCTCAAGTGAGTAACTCTTCTGATGGAGAGATTATATAATCTTCTATCAGTATACCGCGATCATACTTACCAGCAGATTCTGGAGATTCTGAGTCTTCGGTCGGTGCGCTAGATTCCTCTACTGCAGGTTCGGCAGGGGCGTCTTCCTTTGGTTCGGTGGTGTTGGGGTCTTCTTTGTTGTCCTGGTCATTTGCCCCCGTCAGACGATCGGTCGATTCATTGATGTGATAACTTGCGAATTGGGATTTTTCATAATCGTATGTTTGATATTGAAGCTGTACCGATTGGTACTGGAATTGAGTGAGGTCTGCATACTTGTAACCCGAAGGCATCTTCCGGAGTTAGGGCCGGGGGCTCGCCAGTAGCCTCAATGGAATCTTTATTGTCGTTGGTGTCGGGGTTTGGTGTTGCAGTGCCAGCGGGAGGGCGAGCGTTATTCTTATTATTCTTCTTGTTCTTTTTCTTAACCATATCCTCGGATTAATGACGTATCATAAAACAGGGCGGACTAGTGGCGTGAGAAAATAATCGGACAATTATAGATTGTCACGATACAGTCGGGCTCGATGCAAGGGTACTTTGGAGGAGTAAGAAAATGAGTAAGAAGATGAAGTTAAAAAGGTCGAAACACTTGGGCCAGGTACTCCTGTATTAGAAGACCGAACAGGTAAGAAGCCTATGCTTGTTCCTCTGGCGACAAAAACAATTACAATTGGACGACTATGGTGAGGCAGCGTATAAGGGTTCGCCCGGCCCCCGTGGTGGATGGCAACAACGACTAGCTGCAGTGGCAGTCATTGGGCCCTTGAACGTCATTGACGAACTGCCCGATGACCAGAATGCAATTGGGCCACGTCGCATCCGGTCTCCATAATGTGGTGACCAGGGCGGAATTAGTGAAGGGCCTTGATTAGGGCCGGGTGAGAGCAGCAGTCTCCACTTGCAGGAGCTGCAGCAATCGGTGAAATCGGGAATGGGAGGGAAGCACAATGGCCCAATTAGGCAAGACAATGCTGCAAGCATGGAGAACACAGTTTTGGTGAAGTGGAGATAAGTGGCACCAGTCGATTTTTCCATTGCTATTTCCTAACTTTGTGTTGATTTTTTATTGCCATCTGTACTGGGTACAAACACGGGCGTGGGGTTGGGAAAAAATGGACCCGAATTGAGTGTGGGTCACGAACAAATCGAGTGGTTTTCTAAGAAGCCACACCGAGGAAAAAAAAAATGCACCTGCACCTGCAGTGTACCCAGGGGGAAACGACCCTAAGGCCCTAGTTAACAGCGAAAAAGTGATGCAGTCGAAAACCCATTTCTGCCCAACCTCCCCGGTAACGGCGGCAAATAAGATGCAGGCCTGGCAGTGGGGAGACGAAAGAGACGAGGATCACGACCGAGAGGACCCGGCACTGGAGACACTGGCACTCCTTGGGCAATCATTTGGCCCATTGACTCACTCAAAAAGGCGGGATTGAAGCGAATGGAGTCGAGTCGTAGTCATCAAGGCTCCACTCTCCGACACCGACACTTCACTAGGTCGATCATCTCTCCCGAAAGAAACTCGCCCTTGGAGTTGTGACCTGTGAGTTGCTTCATGGAATGCTGAATTCAGCAAGGGTGCACACAGTTGGGAAGGAGATTGGATCATCCCACACCATGCATCAATCGTGCAGGAGAAGCAAGAGGGAAGTCGTGGAACAAAGAAGTGATTGGGATCAGGTGACGCATGCCGTGTGACCGCTCACGTTTTCGATTCGTTTATCGCATTATCTGATCAATACGTAGCTTCTCTTTTCTCCTTCTCCCGAGTTCGGGCTCAGTAAACGACCAATAATTGCCTTATCTCGTTTAGTCAACCCGAATTAAGCGGGATGCGTCGCCACCTAAACCGTGTTCTGGCCAGGGCGCGGCCCGATTGTGTTCCAACGCCCGTACAACCAGTATTCTGAAACCTCCTTCCAAAATTGGGTCAACTGACTAGCTGCATCGGTCCGAGCATCCATGCTACACTGACTGGCCATATTCTCGCCAATGACTCGTGTCATTCTACGCTTCGCGTTGAAATGCAGGCGATCATTTTAGATCAATCCAAAACAACAAGTCTATTCAAAATAAGATGGATCTCAGGTCATGTCTTCAAGCTACAGGTTACAATACCTAGTGCCTGATAATATCAAAACTATGTAAAAAGTCAATGGCGATCTTGTACAGTTGTTTAATGTGGATCGCAACCCAACACTATTGATCCAAATCACTTCATCTGAATTGCAAAAGTAGACCAAAGTACATGTCAGCTCCTTCAAGTATCTATACGGGCTGATGAAAGCCCAAATATGTTTCCTAGTACACGCGCTACAGCGACTTTGGACCAGGCCATGTCTTTAGCTTAAGGGGACCCAGATATTAACTCGACAATCATTACAATCCTATTCAAATTATCGGGAATGTTCCATTGCAATCTTCTAGTTCAGCAATTGCATTGCAGATCCAACCAAACATGTCGCTTTTCATTCTTCCGACTATCTAGTCTTAACGCCCGAGTCTTCCGTCTCACGAAAGTTCACCCCAATTTAATTGTACAGTAGTCTGTACTTCTCAACCAATAGCTATGCTAGCGCGTGCAACTACTGCAGATGACGAATCATTCGGTTCGAAGTCATGCATGGCCCCGAGTCCCCGCTGCAACTACCAAACTCCCCCGCTCGACTCCTGATCTGCAGGTTGAGGGGTTTGTATGCTGGTATTGGCCTGGATTTGGCCTTATTGGCTGCCTTGATTTGATATGGCCATACTGGTGCGCAAATATAGGTGTAACTTATAGTTCCACTGTAATTCGAGAGTGACGATGCAGCTGTATTTCAAATTGTAACATCCGATAGCCCGTCGAGTATCCGGGGGAAAAACGAAAGGGTTGCGAGGTTTGGGTCTGTCTAGGTGAAACAGCGGGCGACATTGCAATACGTAGACATAGTATAGACAGGGTCACTATCCCAGCTCCTGGCTGGGTCAATATTTCCCGATAATACTGCGAATCAAAGCTTGTCGGTACAATATCACAAACAATTGTATTATGAAACGAGACCATAAAGCCTTGTTTTTCGACGAAGGAGTGTCATTAAGCTATTGGTAGTGTTGCCCACGGGGTTTTATTCGATAGTTCCTGGACTCATGTCTCTTTACTAGATGCTGTATAGGTATTGCGATGTCATGCGAGTCCATTGGTGGCTAAATTATTCCTATAGTCAGCGCGTATCTAAGGGCTAATATCCCTAGAATCCAATGCCGTCAAAGAACGCTGCGTCTTCTGATATTCTCTCAATCGAACTCATTTCGAATCTTAAAATACTGGAAAGCAAAAACGTGGTATAAAAACACATAGGTCTGCTCATGGCCCCAGAACCGCAAACCTCGATGTCGTACAATTCATCATAACAAGCTAGACACATCCATTTCACTAATAGTCCTTCAATTCCTTAAGTACATGCGAAATCTCCGAAAGCTCATTCCCGGACTCACACCGATCCAGCCCATCAAGCGCATTAGTCGTCATTGTTCCCACGTGCAACAATTTCTGCCTCTTCTCGTCGTCGCCGATCTTAGATACAAACCCCATCCACGCCTCTTCATTGAAACCTCCCTCTTTCTTTATTATGCCCATCTTATAGCCCACACAGCCAGCATAACAGTGCAACTCAGGTGTCACCTTCTGTGTTGCCTCGAATTTCTTGGCCGCGACTTCTCCTATGTTTTCCTCATTTATGCATTCTGCTCGGGCTTCCGAGTATTTTTTCATGACTTCGTTCTTTAATTCGGTGCTGTCGTCAAGGGATTGGTCGTTCGCTCGCATGGGCTCCGTAGGTATGCTCACCTTTGATATTGTTAGAGAATTTGTGATATTTCCTATGGTGAAGAACATACTGTAGCTCCGAAGAGGGTGAAGAGCAGTGGGAGAATGAGCGTGCGAGTCCACATAATGTTCTTGGCTTATTCGCGTCTTTAATATGATGGTTGGAAGGAATTGGTCTCAAAATCTTTGCAATTGATATTATCTTTCTTGAAGGAGGCGAGTGAGATTCATACTCGAGAATCCCTTCGCATTAAATATAACATAGAGAGACCGAATGACTACAGAGTATGTGCAAGGCTGATAGTATGATGTCATCTTTCCCCAGAAATTTGCAGATCATATTTGATTAACCCTATTGCTACCTTCCAAACTCTGCTGGGTCTTAATAGGGCTACCTTGACCCCCTTGCAATCTACATTCTCAACCATATCCCAACACAGTCTCGGGAATGTTCCAATGCCCAATTCTGAAACGTTCAAATGAGAGATGATTCATTCGATTGAGGGAAGCATGAAGGAGGGTGAAGGAGGCATTATTGGGAGGAGCTCTTTACAGCCTTCAAGGGGCCTAAGGTGTAAACCTAGTGCCTACTGTAGCTCACCCTTCACTTACTATGCATACTTAGGAAATACTACTAAGCTACTCAACTGATGCAAGTCATAAAGAATGCATTGTTATAGCCCGCTGGTAAGTAGATCCATTAAAGGACAGAACACAAGCTTGCAGTAGCGCTCCCACGGCGAGAAACCAAGGTTATTAGGATCTGGGAGTATTAAGACGAGCTCATAATCATCGTTTATGGTCCCCTGAAGCTATAGAAAGGGATATATATGACTCTGTCCGTCTGGAGCATGCTTGATCTCCCCCTCTTTTTAAGAAAAGAAAAGAATGAAAGGCGCTTAGGTCGAAAAGGCCATCAATGTTTCACGATAGCCACTGGAAAACCCCCGTTGCAGCGGCCAAGTTGTAAGAGGACTTCCAAGGTTTTTTTTAAGGCTTTCCTCCGTGTGGAAAGCAAAAGAACAGAAGATAGGAAGGGATGTGGCAGAATTATCAGTGTTGGTACTCTCTTCATGATGATAATGGTCAATGAAAATCCAAACCAATCATATCTATACAGTGTTTATAGTTGATCTTGGTGTTAAAGATAGGAACTTACACATACCACCCAGGCCTTAAAGAGGCTTTATTTCCTGAGGTCACAGTCTCGGAAATTTCAACTGTAAAGTGTGTATCATTCAAGAACCAAGTAAAATATAAAGTATCGTTCTGCGAAAGAGGGCAATAGCAAAAAGAACGACATGCTCAGAGCCAAAAAGCAACGCTGCCATGATATGATAATCCATTCATGTCATATTAAAACTTTTCAAAGAGAGTAAGCAAGCAAATATGTACCCAGGACGCCTGTTGAATAATGCCACATGCTAGTGGGCGTAAAGTCACTTCATGCGCTCGTCCATCTTCAGTCTCCAACGAGGGCCATATATCTTCATGAAAAGAATAACAAAGGCGCTAACAAAACCCATACCTCCTAGGATGGTAAAGAGCCAGCCGTTTCCTATGGCGCTGATGAGAGGGGCCGTGACAAAAGAGCCCACGCAAGAGAAAATGTTCCTCACGAAGTTGTTCAATGCTACACCACTGGAGGATTTCTTGGGCATGAACTCGGTGAGCATAGTAGTTATCATGCTGAAGATTAGCATAGAGCCGATTCCGAAGAAGAAGTTGGCAATCATCTTTGATCGGTAATTAGGATCATCGAACTAGGAGGGGATGTTTTAAAATGATTAACATACCGGTGCCGGCCAAAAAACTCCTTTTTCTACAGACCAACCATACCAGATCAGAGCGGCAGGGTATAGAAAAGCGCCGAGCCAAGCGTTCTCGCGCATGCGATCCTCTGGGTGAAACACCAAGTTTCCCTTTTCGTCGTATCGGTTTGCCTTTTTCGCTTCTCGATGCATGATTCTATCCATCCATCTTCCGCCAAAACTACTGGCAATGAAGTAGCCTAGGGAGTTCGGAATATAGAGGCAGCCGATGATAACGGTCTCGTAGTTGTATGGCGGTTTACCAAATGTGTCTTCAATGCTGACGCTCAAAACATATAGAGATCCGAAGGCAATGCTGCCATAGTATACACTCAGGAGCACAGGAATATATCGTAGGTAGAAGACGATTTTTAAAGGATCGATAAAGTTCGTCTTCAAAAACTTCAGCCATTGAGCAGTGGACTTGGCCACCTGCTGAGTCGATACGCGACTAAGTGGGCGGCTGATGGGGGTAACTTCATCTTGGGCGACAGAGGGCAGCATGGGCATTTGCACCATCAATGTTTCTGGCAGCGCAAAGAGGATGAAGATAAGTATGAGGCCACCAAGGACAGCAGAGAACCATAATGTACTGCGCCAGCCCCAGCGTTGAGCCAGAAGACCGCCAATGATGGGTGCCAGCAAAGGTCCACACAAAGGCCCCAAGTAGAAGATACTCATCGCATGGCCTCGTTCATGAACCTCCCACATGTCTGCAATGGTCCCTGCACCGACGGCTTGGACTGAAGCGGAGGCGCCGCCCATCAGCATTCGCATGATGATTAGCATGGCGATTGTGTCAGAAATGGCAGAAAGGATATTGAAAACCACGAAAAGAAACAATGAAGTCAGGTAAATTGTTCGCCGTCCGAGCCGTTCACTGAACGATGACCACCACAGAGGACAGATTGACATGGCCAGCATGTATAAGGAAATGGAAAGATTGGTCAAGGTTGGTGTTGTATTCAAATCTTTGGATACTTGGGAGAGCGAAGCTAGGCAAGACATTTGGTCAGTATCAAAGGAGAAAGGAATCAATTCACGGACTTACGAAAGAAAATCGAGCTTCCCAGTGGTGCTAGTATTCCTGCTGTTGCAACAATAAAAGTTATGAACCATTTCATTTTTCGAGAATACGTCCTGGGGTCTTCGACCTCCGCGATGAGAGTTAGTTGGCCAAACAGCCCTCTTCGTTTCAGTCGTGGTACCACAATTGGCGGTCCAAGTTCCGTGGATTGGCGCGCCAAAGGTCGCGGTGCTTCGGTATCATCACTCTTCTCGGGGTACTCGTCAATGATATCAGAGACATGAGATCGAGCGTGAGCCAAGGAGTCCGAGTCGCGAATTGCTGATTCGATTTCAGGATTGTCAGTAAATATTCGTTCATTGCGTCCAGCGCTACTGGCTGGTAATCCCGATTTCATGGTCAAATTTTCCGCCTTGTCTCCCATTTTCGGGAGTGAGAAGGGTTGATTGATTTGTCGCAGATCAAAGGAGCCCCGATGGGTTCCTTTAAAGGTTTACCCAAGTGAGTGTGGGATCGTCAAGGCTGACGGTGTCGTGGTGTGCATGAAACAATTGTAACAATCTCCTGAAGATCGATAAGAATTTGACGGTATGAAACGCCGCAGCCTGAGGTCATCAGTGGTCCAAGGTTGCAGTGCTTTATCTGGCCAAGGCTGGCGAATGAACTGGGTCCGATGCGGCTGGAACAATACTCAAAGTAGTGATAACGAGCATTACAATGGATGCCAAGAAAATAGAATCTGATGGGATCGTCAAGGGACCGGAAAACCAAGACTCTCAAGAGTCGATGCACCAACCAAATCCCCGAAAAAGGTAGGCGTGGACCCTTTGGGCAACTATAGGACTAGAAAGCAGGAACGGATCTGGGATGTGCTCGGAGTGGTCTCAGTCTGAATGTGATCGTCAACAACTACTTGATTGATATCTGAATGTGGGAATGTAGAAGGAAATACTCTTGGGAAAAGTGTAAATGTAAATCCTTAGGGGTCGAAGGAATCAAGATCTTCATAGAGTTCTCACAAAGTAGCCTCTACAGCAATGTGCAGCACTGGGGAACACGTTCATCGACGACCGCTTGCGACCGGGGGTTAACATTCTGCTCTTATCAAGTGCAAGCGGATTAATTTCCGGTCAATTGTTCATGAGGGCGCATCAGGGGACCTGGCATAGGACCTTGATTTCCCTAGCGGGCCTGCGATGCAGCCAGTCACCGTAAAGTACTGTAGAGCCGGTTACCCGGCAGAGCGAAAACGCGGATAAATGCCATGAGGGGAAAGACGCTATCTCCACCAAGTTTAGATAGATATACTCCTAGTAGTAGGAGTATTTGGACGTCTCGATAAACTCGCCTTGGCTTTTATAGTGGTGTTGCATGAGTTTGAAACCCCCGTCACTATTTACATAATATTCTACCATGTTTTCTGCCAGCCAAAACCTGACATTCTTAGTTGAATAAGCTCAACACGTATGTTGAACATGCAAAGTGAACATTACTGAGAACATTCCCAACAATGTACCACATATGATTCATGTACAAGAATCGTGTGCTGACCGGTGTTCTAGTTCTGGTAAGCTATACATAGTAGGTGGACTAAGGCCTGGTTTCATACTCATGCAACAACACTGTATAGTCCAGGGATTGTGTGATTGGGGAAACTCACTTCATTGTTGACAGTGTGTCACATCTTGGCGCCCCGGACCCGGCATATCGCGTGGCATTTAGTACATCCTCCGCATCAGTCTATCTCAATGTCAGGGGTGAAGTCCGAGTCCCTGGTCGTAATTAGCAAGAAATACCCATAAGCGCATTTTAAACGAACGCAAAACTTACATTACAGATTGGCACGGTCGCGCATCTGCAAGGAGGTGATTAATAAGCCCACTGCAAATCAAGCTATGAAATGGAGTGGAAATGACGGTGAACCTAACATTCACTCAATCCCTTCAATGTTCTTGAAACAAAATCACCAAGGGAATAACTTGCCAAATAAAAACTCAACGTGACAGCCTTGGAAGTTTCGCTCTGTCGGTATATATCTCATCATATTCGCCTTCCCCCCGTCATAACCCCGCACTACATCAAAACATCTCCAACAATGACTGCCCCTACCGCCATCAAGCCTGAGGATATCCAGGCTCACCTAGCCAACTATAAAGACGAAAAATATGTCGACGGCTGGGCTTCACTGTGGGAAAAGAATGATGTCAAGCTGCCCTGGGATGCGGGATTCCCGAACCCAGCGCTGGAGGACACACTGGTCAAACAGCGGGCCACCATTGGCGGACCTATGGCTGAGGATGCACAAGGCCAGTCGTACAGACGCAAGGTTCTAGTGCCTGGCTGTGGCCGAGGTGTCGACGTGCTCCTTCTGGCCAGCTTTGGGTTTGATGCCTATGGACTGGAGTACAGTCCAGGTGCTATTGAGGCATGCAAGAAGGAGGAGGCTGAGAACAACAGTTGGTACCGGGTTCGAGACCAGACGATTGGTCGAGGAAAAGTCACATTCGTGCAGGGTGACTTTTTCGATGATGCGTGGTTACAATCTATTGGTGTGCCACTTAATGGATTTGACATTATCTATGATTACACAGTAAGTAAATGTTTATTTTTGCTTTTTATTATCAGATGCAGCTATCTATGGATCGTTTCGCCTGATTACGCGATGCTGCTTACCTCTACCCGTTGTTGATCATTCGAATTCTGACTGTATCTAGTTCTTTTGTGCTTTGAGTCCAGCACTTCGCCCCAAGTGGGCACTCCGGCACACTCAGCTTCTGGCTCCGTCTCCAAAGGGTAACTTGATCTGTCTCGAGTTTCCTCGCCACAAGAATCCTCTTGCTGCTGGACCTCCTTTTCCTGTGTCCTCGGAGGCGTACATGGAACACTTGAGCCACCCCGGTGAAGATATTCCCTACGATGCCAAGGGCTTGGTCAAGCAGGATCCGCTGCGGGCGCCGAGCAAATCTGGCCTTGAGCGGGTGGCCTACTGGCAGCCCGAGCGGACCCACGAAAAGGGACAGGGCGAAAATGGAGTGATCCATGATAGAGTTTCTATCTGGCGCCGACGTGACTAAATATTCCCTTTGATATGTGCCACGAAGAGAGATTAAAAAAAGAGAGAAGAACGGAATACAGATCTCCGTGATCGATCGATCAGTCTGGAAGTATTGAACCGGTCTGGGGGTATTGAGTATTTTATTTCCGGGTGTTGCACACCCAAAGTAGTTGTGTAACCCATTCTTTTAAGACTGCTTCTTCGTAAGAGCATTATAGTGCTCACCCAGCCCGTAAGAGTGGCGGTAGTACGCCAGCCAGATAACGCGCTTGAGCTTTTCCTCCTCATCAAAGCTATCCATATCGCCCGATTCAATCTTCTCCATTCGTCCATCGCTTTGGACAATATTAATTTCCAGTCCATACGCCCGAGCAATGGCTTGCAGTTCCAGTTGTCCTCCCCACTCAGCGGTGAGCTTAATCTTCCGCGTGTATACATCCAATGGCTCCTCCATGAACGCCTCGAAGTCATCCTTGTTTTGCGTAATGAAATCCGCCGTCACAGCCCGAACTGCTCGGTACCCGTCATGCTGTGGCGATGCAACAGTGTCAATGCGCGACTGTGTCGTCGGTTCGAGAACAATTCGGCTTGGGTCCGGCCGCAAGCCAAGTCCGGAATCATCCAGCTGTTTAGCAACAGATGAATAGAGACAGTGTCCGTCGGGGTTGACTTCGATCTCCTTCAGTCCAAGCTTCTTGAACACCGCATCCATCACCTCTTTCTCATTGCCTCTGTAGTCAGTTTGGTTGGCGGCCTCCTCGGCGGCTGCTTCGGCTGCCGCAGCCTGCTCAGCTGCCCGACGGGCCAGGCGGGCCTTTTGTCGGTTAGGCTTTTTGGTGTGAGTTGTGGGTTCGGGGGTAGGAGCTGATTCTGACTCTGGTTCTGCAGTGTTGAGAATCTGGTCTTCGTTGGATTCGGGATTGGCCCGTGTTTCGTCCTCCAGACTGAGATCCTCCAAGCCTTCCACCGGTTCGGATGAAGTGCCATTTAGTTGAGAAACTTCCACTTTTTGTTTCTCAGTGAGCTCTCGCTGCATGCGTTCACAGTCATCATTGACGCCTTTGCGGGTCTTCTTCGTCGCGGACTTTTTCTTCTGAGTGATGCGCCCTTGCAGGTCTTTTTGCTCTTTGCGGTGCTTTGCCTGAAGCTCGTCCATGGTGGGTAGGAAGAGCCGGTCTATTTAAAAAGAGAACAAAAACGAATGACGCAATCAACGCTGGAGTATATGCAGTTTCTTGACAACAATGAAGGATGAGTCGCCCCGCGAAACCCTGACTTTGCTGCCCTAAGTTGTGTCCCGATTTGGAATGACATGAATAATCATCGCAATGTCGGGGAAAGTGTTTCGCCGATGTGCCTCGGCTCGCCCGCATGGGTCTCGGCCCGGGGGTATTACTGTATGCAGTGCGACGGGGTAGCTGGGGAAGTCATAAAGTGATGAGATTACGCTAATCGAACCTCAAGAAACTATTCATATTCACAATCATGGATTCACAGAGTCTATTTAATGTCAAGGTCAGTGGGTCTGACCAATAGAAGCATAGACCCTGTTAACTCCTCTCTAGGGCAAAGTGGTGCTGGTCACTGGCGGAGCCAAAGGCATCGGTCGCATGATCTCGGAGGGATATGTTACCAACGGTGCCACCGTCTATATTTCCTCGCGCGATGCAAAGGCCTGTGAGCAGGCTGTGAGTGAGCTGAATGCTCTCGGCAAGGGCAAGGCGCACGCCATCCCAGCGGATTTCTACAAGTATGAGGACGTGAAGAAGCTTGCAGAGGAGCTGAGCAAGCGCGAAAGCAGTGCGTGACTGTATCCGTATCCGATACGAGAATCAATTGCTAACTCGAGTAATCGCAGAACTCCATGTGCTGGTCAACAACTCCGGCTCCAACTGGGGTGCCCCCTACGACGAGTATCCTACCGCTGCCTTCACCCGTGTCCTTACCCTCAACCTCCACCGCGTCTTTGATCTCACCCAGCTCGTGACCCCACTGTTGGAGAAGGCCTCCGCGGAGAATGACCCGGCTCGCATTATCAACATTGGCAGTGTGGATGGTCTCCGTGTCCCTTCGCTCGAGACCTTTGCCTACAGTTCCAGTAAGGCCGGTCTGCACCACCTGAGCCGGGTACTGGCAAATCACCTGGGCAAGCGAAATATCACGTAAGTGCTTCGTCTGATAATCTGTATTGCGGGCCCTATGCTTATTTCAATTTTGATTTAGCTCCAACACTATCGCCTGTGGCCCCTTCGAGAGTAAGATGATGGCTGAGACCCTCAAGACTTTCGGTGAATCCATAAAGTCTGGAATTCCACTGGGTCGGATCGGAACTCCCCAAGATGTGGCTGGCACTTGCTTGTTCTTGAGTAGCCGGGCGGGTGCTTATGTGAATGGTGCAACCATCCCTGTAGACGGTGGTAGCGTTATCGCCGCCAAGATTTAAGGTGCTCGCTAAACGCGCCAGGTGATCAAATGCCATTTTTTGGCTGTATCTGTAAATAATCCAATAGGAGGCTTCCATTATTCATTGTACACACTCTTTTCCCTTTTTTAACATTCCGGGAGCACCGATGCGGGGGGCCCTTGGGGCCTAATAGCGGATTTCCATCTGACATTCCGGTGAATGGCTGGCCGAAGCATAATTGTTGGGTATCTTTGCTTTTTATGACTGTTCTCAGTATATGGATCCAATTGAATAAATAAGAACAACAAAGCATCAATTAGAAACATCTAGATCCAGTCAATGACCCAATACGGCTATCCGGTTTTGCTGTTATCATTAGCTTATCGGAGGCAACTCACTGTGGAGCGGCGACATCATCGCTTCTCATGCCGTCATTCTAGTAGATCATCCGACCATCCCACCTTCACACAGCATATATCAGATTCTAAACAACACTTTTAACCCAAACAACTGTACCGTACACCACGCCCAATTGAGACCGAGACTGTCTCATTCCGTGAACCAGGTTGCCCCTGTCTCGTTCGTTAACCTTCCAAAATCCACAGTTGCTTCCAATCGCCCTTCTCTACATAAAACGGGGTAATTGGCAGTTTCTGCAGAAGACTACTGTCTGTTTTGTTCAGTTTTTCTCTTGCCAGGATTTCTGACCCGGGAAAAGAGAAAGAAAGTGAATAGTCGGTGTGGAAACACACTTCCGTCTTGAGTTACCACAAACGAGTCTAGATTGTCTCTCCGCCTCTACCCCTCCTGCGCGACAGACCAGACCATGAGCTCGTCAAACGGCCGTTCCGAACGCCCCGAACGGGCTGGCTCCATCGATCCCCTCTCTCATCCGGATATCTACTATGGAAATGAAGAATCACTTGGTAGAATTCGCCGCGGGCGCGCTTTTTCGGCGGTAAGCAGCCACCTTGTTGGGGTGAGGTAGGCCCGGGCACCTGACTGACTCGATTTCTATGCACAGAGCTTGAAAGATTACAGCCGTGAGGACATCTCTGAGTTCCTTGGGACTTTGCCCTCGAGGCGAGGAAGTCATGGTAAGCCATCCCGCAACAAATTCTACAGACAACGATTAACACCGACGCTCAGATGAGTCAAGCCACAAACCCCGCAAGTTCTTCATCAACGTGGAAGAAACCCTCGACGCCCTGTTGAAGCAAGAAGATACCGATCAGAATATGCAGATCACGATTGAGGATCTTGGCCCAAAGGTAGGCCTAGTGATTCGTACCTGTTCTTGCTAGCTGCTAATTTTGGTAGACACTGTCGATCGGAACGGCGGCTTCGTCGGGATACAATCGTGTTGATGTTCGCGGCACTTATATGCTCTCCAATCTTCTTCAGGAACTTACAATCGCGAAAGACTACGGTCGGAAGCATATTGAGCTCGATGAGGTTCGCCTCAGCGAGAATCCAGTGGCTCGGCTTTCGCGGCTGATCAAGAATTCTTTCTGGGTAGCGTTGACCAGACGCATTGATGGCTCGAATATCGAGGTGGCTGGAAGAGATCCTAAGGATTGGACATCCGACCCACGACCTCGCATTTACATCCCACCAGGCGCCCCGGCACAATTCGAATACTATTCCAAGATTGCCGAGAAACACCCGGAACTACGTCTAGACGTGGTGATGCTTGACGCTGACATTACCCCGGATTATGTTATGAAGCTCAGTGAGAAGCCGGGCTTGCTGGCACTTGCAATGCAACCCAAGATTGACGAAGCCACTGGGAAAGAGGATCTGGAAGGCGTTCCTTTCGTGGTGCCCGGAGGTCGATTCAACGAATTGTACGGATGGGATAGCTACATGGAGTCTCTAGGTCTCCTTGTGAGTGACCGAGTTGATCTTGCCAAGGGCATGGTCGTCAACTTTTGTTTCGAAATTAAGCATTACGGAAAGATCCTCAATGCCAATCGATCCTACTACCTAACTCGCTCGCAGCCTCCGTTCCTGACTGACATGGCACTCCGTGTCTATGAGCGGATCAAGCAAGAGCCAGACGCAAGAGAGTTCCTGCGGAATTCAGTCCTCGCTGCGATCAAGGAATACCACAGTGTGTGGGCATGTGAGCCACGCTTGGACCCAGTTTCCGGCTTGTCGAGATACCGACCCCAGGGGTGGGGCGTGCCGCCGGAGACAGAGCCTACTCATTTCACGCACATCCTGATGCCATATGCGGAAAAGCATGGCATGACCTTTGAGCAATTTGTCAAAGCATACAACTCGCGTGAGGTGAACGAGCCAGAGCTGGATGAGTATTTCTTGCATGATCGAGCGGTGCGTGAGTCTGGTCACGATACCAGTTACCGCTTGGAGCGCGTGTGCGCAAATCTTGCTACCGTCGACCTCAACTCCTTACTCTACAAGTACGAGGTGGATATTGCCAGGATTATCCGAATTCACTTCAAAGATAAACTGGACATCCCGGTGGAGTTCAGAACTCCTCAGACCCAGGATATCGAGTTCGAAAGCTCGGCTTCCTGGGATCGCCGCGCCCGCAAGCGCAAGCAGCGAATGGATCAGTTCTGTTGGAATGCAGAGAAGGGAATGTTCTTTGACTACGATACTGTAAAGAAGGAACAAACGGACTATGAAACTGCAACAACCTTTTGGGCTATGTGGGCTGGTCTTGCGACGCCAGCTCAGGCAGCCGATATGGTGGCCAAGGCTCTGCCACGGCTTGAAGCTTTCGGTGGCCTAGTATCTGGTACAGAGGAATCCAGAGGTCCCGTCGGCTTGGAGCGACCTAACCGACAGTGGGATTACCCCTACGGCTGGGCACCACAGCAGATGCTCGCCTGGACTGCGTTCCTGCGCTATGGATACCAGGAAGATGCAGAGAGATTGGCTTATAAGTGGCTGTACATGATCACCAAAGCATTCGTCGATTTCAATGGTGTTGTTGTGGAGAAGTACGATGTGACACGGCCCATCGATCCGCACCGCGTCGATGCCGAGTACGGCAACCAAGGCACCGATTTCAAGGGCGCGCCACGAGAAGGGTAAGTTTCGAACCGACAAATGGGTTTGAGAAACGCTCATACTAACGTCAATCATTTAGTTTCGGTTGGGTCAATGCTAGTTATGTGTATGGATTGGAGATCCTCAATGCGCACCAGCGTCGCTCGCTGGGAACCATCACACCCTACGATACGTACAAGAAGGCGGTTGACGCACAGAATGCGTATTAAACGAATTGTGCATTGAAGTTGGAGTCTTGATTGTGAATTTCTTTGACACTTCATTGGAGGTTTAGTAAGACAAACCAAAAAGCAATGGCGTACAATTAGAAGTGAATCTGGGGACAAGGATGTCGGCCCACCTGGCACTCGGTTGAGAATTGTTCCAAGGTTTTGTGTTCATCGGAACGACGAAGGAAGAACAAGAAACTGGCCCTTGTGGCATGCAGAGTGAATGAGATATGTACAGGCGTCTGGTTGATGTATTCATGATTCTGCGTTGATTTAATTGGCTTCCTGGAGAGGGAGCTTGGCTCCAAATAGCGTGACTTTTCGAAAAGCAATAAAAACATCATTTGTTTTCTCGTTCCATCGAAACTATTGATCATAGCTGCCTTGGTACAGTGGTGTTGCATGGGTTTGAAGCCAGCCTTTCAGACCGCCTACTATGTATAGCTTACCGCCTATATTCAGCGCGCTGACCCAAAATAGAACATCGGTCACCACACGGCTCTTAAGTCATATGTGGTACGTTATTAGGAATGTTCTCAGTGATGTTCAGCTTGCAAGTTCTATAACTATTCTGGGTTGATATAGCTAAGCATGTGAGGTTTTGGCTGGCAGGGAACATGGTAGAACATTATGTAAGGAGTGGAGGGGGTTTCAAACTCATGCAACGCCACTATATATCAGCCCCCGCATTTGTACGTACCTTGGAAGAATATCCCCGCACACGGCACTCGCGAAAATAACTCGGGCTCCGCTCGGAAACCCCCCGGCGAGCATCCGAATCACCAGGAATCCCGAACCGTATTGAAGACGCCATCGAGGGCCCGAATGGAGCTAAGGATGCAGTTACTTCCTTACGGAGACAATTTGCGGGTGGAGTCTGGGCATTCCCCTGGATTTCCCGAGGTTTTTCTCGTGGAGACCGTTGACTATAGTACGTACTAGTTGTGAATGCAAAGAACAATTGCATTTTGAAAGTATATTTTTCTTGATAGATATTTTGTGGGTTTGAAGAGCTGCAAATAACTTTCAGATAAGTTTCATACTCTGATAGAAGTATAAAAGGGTGCAAGATAGCGCAAATAAAACGCGCATTTGATATATTTCCATATCTAGCTGTCTCCGATAAAGGACCCTTGTCGATCCTAGTAGATTACCTGCTGACCCTAGACAGGGGGGATCTATGTGGTGGGACATACAACGCGAGGTACAGTCAGCGTCGATGAGCCGAGGTTCAATGAAGGCGGTTAGACTGAGTCATTTTATGATCGCCCCGCGCATCATCTTTATTGGAGGAAGGTTTAGGGTAAAATGACCATCACTGTCAGCTGCTCCGGTATGAATTCGTGGTGTTTTAAATTGTATTTCAGGGTTTTGCGTGTTCACGGTACATGAGCACATATTTGCCCTAGATGGATATTCGTTTTCCCCGGGGTGAACGTATACGCCTGAGCCCGGAGGTAGATAGTAATGGATATAGGTATTGGCGGGGCCTCCTTGGTGTACTATTCATGGATTTGAGTTGTCAGGCTATTACCGTATAATCGGAAACGGCTGCTGCTTGAAGATTCGGGTTCTTCATGATTTGTCTAGGCCAAGATGGCAGGTGGAGATGCGCTGAATACCGGGGCAGGACGGGAATGTATTGATGACTCATACATTCTTAGACTTTTCAATGTTTGAATAGCTTCCGTTTGAGCGACTATGGGAGTATATTAGTGGAGAAAAACGAGAGATGTTGATTACGGAGATACCTCCAGATCTATCGTACGATTAGTATTATTATAAATTGCTGGGTGAAGTCTACTTTCGAGGTTCAACTGTCATGGCCAAATGCACGTGAAAATACCATGTATTGTAATGCTTCCCGACGCACATGTTCGACGACGTCATTGCTTCATTGACGTTCCGATCTATTCGCGTCCTTGCACGGAACGCCAGACCTCATTTTGGAAGATCAAAAAAAGATCATTGAATCTGTAGAACCTCATTGATGAGATACCGATAAAAATTTAATAGCTGCAGAACGAGAAAAAGTGCGCGAAATGCGATGTTACCGTTTCAAGCGCCATAAAAACGCCGAGCCAAGTCGTCCATTAGACCGAGGATCACCAGCATCTGGATCCTCTCTCCCGAACCGTACCCGCACACTCCGCCTTTCGGCGCACCGCCTGTGAACATTGGTTGATGGCGATTCTTGGACAGTACCGTACTGAGCCTAGGCATCCTGGGGTTGGGCTGGTCCCGGTCAGCCGAGCGTTTACCGACAAGGTTGTGACGCATTCGCAAAGTAAATAAGTACCCTGGTTTCCCTGCTGGCTTGTGATTGTAATTTTTTCTATTATCTGCAAAAGTCTCTTCTCTTGCTTTGCGACTCTCTTCTCCTGTCCTCCTTTACCTCTTTGTGACAATTTGCATTGCCCATACTCTCGTCCTTACATTCCAGGACTAGCTGTGCTACCCTTCCTACCTCGGCTGCATATTAACAGATTTGTGTTTTTTCTGCACACTTTGTCTCAGTATTTTTAAAACAAAAGTTCATTATGGGTCTACATGAAGACGAAGATAGCCAGTACGCGGCGGAGGTTCAAGCTGTCCAGAACTGGTGGAAGGATGACCGGTGGCGCTTCACCAAGCGGCCCTTTACTGCCGAGCAGATCGTGGCAAAGCGCGGAAACCTGAAGATTGAATACCCATCCAATGTGCAAGCTAAGAAGCTTTGGAGCACACTCGAAAACAACTGGAAGGTATGATTCAGCTAATCCAAAAAAAATTGGTACACTAGCTAATATATGACTCGTTGAATAGAACAAGCAGGCTAGCTTCACCTACGGCTGTCTGGAGCCGACTATGATCACCCAGATGTGCAAGTTCCTCGATACCATCTATGTCTCTGGCTGGCAAAGTTCCTCAACAGCCTCGTCGACCGATGAGCCTTCTCCTGATCTTGCAGATTACCCTATGGTATGTTATATTCATGCACAGATCTATAGAGGCACAATTACTAACGCGCTTGTCTTCACAGGACACTGTTCCCCGCAAAGTCAACCAATTGTTCCTCGCACAGCTCTTCCACGACCGGAAACAGCGTGAGGAGCGCCTCACAACCCCCAAGGAACAGCGATCGAATGTTGCCAATGTGGACTACCTCCGTCCTATCATCGCCGATGCCGATACCGGTCACGGCGGTCTGACTGCCGTCATGAAGTTGACAAAGCTGTTCGTTGAGCGCGGTGCCGCTGGCATTCACATTGAGGACCAGGCTCCTGGCACCAAGAAGTGCGGCCACATGGCTGGTAAGGTCCTGGTTCCCATTAGCGAGCACATCAACCGTCTCGTCGCCATCCGTGCCCAGGCCGATATTATGGGCTCCGATCTCCTGGCTATTGCCCGTACCGACTCCGAGGCTGCCACCCTCATCACCTCCACCATTGACCACCGTGACCACGGCTTCATTGTCGGCGCCACAAACCCCAACATCCAGCCCTTGAACGACCTGATGGTCGCTGCTGAGCAGGCCGGCAAGAACGGAGCCGCTCTCCAGGCCATCGAGGACCAATGGACCGCACAGGCCGGTCTCAAGCTCTTCAACAACGCCGTCGTCGACACCATCAAGGCCAGCTCTGCCGGTAACAAGCAGGGCCTTATTGAGCAGTACCTCAAGGCTGCCAAGGGCAAGAGCAACACCGAAGCCCGCGCCATCGCCAAGGACATTACCGGCGTCGACATCTACTTCAACTGGGAGGCACCACGCACCCGTGAGGGATTCTACCGCTACCAGGGTGGCACCCAGTGTGCCGTCAACCGTGCCATCGCCTATGCGCCCTTCGCCGACTTGATCTGGATGGAGAGCAAACTGCCGGACTACAAGCAGGCTAAGGAGTTCGCTGACGGCGTTCACGCTGTCTGGCCCGAGCAGAAGCTCGCATACAACCTCTCCCCCTCTTTCAATTGGAAGAAGGCCATGCCCCGTGACGAGCAGGAGACCTACATTAAGCGCCTCGGTGAGCTCGGCTACGCCTGGCAGTTCATTACGCTGGCTGGTCTGCACACCACTGCGCTCATCTCGCACCAGTTTGCCAAGGCGTATGCGAAGAATGGCATGCGCGCTTATGGCGAGCTGGTTCAGGAGCCTGAGATGGAGGAGGGCGTTGACGTTGTTACCCACCAGAAGTGGAGTGGTGCCAACTATGTGGATAACTTGCTCAAGATGGTTTCTGGTGGTGTAAGTAGCACTGCGGCCATGGGTAAAGGTGTTACCGAGGATCAGTTCAAGAACTAGAGACTCGCTGGACTTGTACAGTTGTTGGATCTTCTGAGCCCTGGGACATTTGGCGTTTATGTTTGATTTTTTCTTTATATCCTGGACTCGATTCCCGTTGCCACGCCTTGTACGCGGCCGTCTGTCTTTTGCATGTCAAAATCAGTGCATTAGTAATTTCCGAAGCTTAAATGAGAGTATAGTGGATCCTGACTATTGAATGTTGAATACGTGTTGCCCCTAATGTGTTGCCCCTAACTGTGCAAAATCCGGAATTACGCCGTAAGCTAATCCCGAAAGTGATGAATCCCGATGGCCAGGGGTTGACTCGTACTAGAGCGGGGCACATGTGGCGTGAAGCCGCGGCTAGACTGCATAGTGGAGATGGTGACCGGGGGGTAATTAATCTTAAACTTCTTCAAAGCTCTGAATCACATAAAGAAGGCAATAACGAGGGCAATTCGTCAGTGGTGGTGGTTTGTTTTAGCTTAAATTGTATCGTCTATATAGCCAATCTGATTGAAGCATCGTCTCATTCAATAAAATCCGAAAGAATCGACAAAAAAGCAGTCAAATCTAGAACACCAAAACAGCAAAAGGGGCCCGGGATCGACGGGGCAAAACCGCCGGAAGTGCATGTGCATGCGGAGTAGGCCGCTTACCGCCCTTAAATACGAGAGAACACCCTCAAAACTTACCAAAAATCCTTCTGACGTGAGGACTATCCTTTTGTCTTCCACCATTATTTTGCGACTTATTCACCATGGGTGTAACACTCCCCGAGCTACAGTTCACACCGGTTGAGGAAATCCCCTCACGGGTCTCCACTGCCCGCAAGGCCTTCCTTGAGCACCGCACCCGAGATGTCGAATTTCGCCTTGTGCAGCTGCGCAAGCTCTATTGGGCGTGAGTTCTGCTCTATGCGACTGATCAGTGAATATAAGTTGACATTTTTCTTTTTTAGTATCAAGGACAACGAGGAAGAGATCGCTGAGGCTTTACGGCTGGACTTGAACAAGCCGCGCTTCGAGACCGAGCTTGCGGAGACTGGATGGTTGCTCAATGATATTATTTTCGCCTGTCGCAACCTGCACAAATGGATGAAGGATGAGAAGGCCGAGGACATTGAATTGACCTACAAGTTCATGAGCCCCAAGATCCGAAAGGACCCCCTGGGTGTTGTTTTGGTGATCGGGTAAGAAGCGCCACCCCGAACATGCACGCGTGCTATGCAAGCTAATAAATTTTGCTTTCTGCAGACCCTTCAACTTCCCCTTCCAATTGACCCTCGGTCCCGTCATCGGTGCCATTGCTGCCGGTAACACCGTGATCCTGAAGCCTAGCGAGAATGCGTCCCACAGCGCCGCCATGCTCCAGAAACTCTTTGAGGCTAGCCTCGACCCCGCATGCTACTCTGTCGTCCAGGGTGGCGTCTCCGAAACACAGGCACTGTTGGCCGAGCGGTGGGATAAGATCTTCTTCACTGGTAGTACCAATGTTGGTCGTATTGTCGCCAAGGCCGCCGCGCCTAACTTGACCCCGGTTGTGCTCGAGCTGGGCGGTATAAACCCTGCTTTCGTTACTAAGTCTGCCGACCCGAGATTAGTGGCCCGCCGTATGCTCTGGGGTAAGCTCCTAAACGCTGGTCAGATCTGCACTTCCCAGAACTACCTGCTTGTGGACAAGACGCTCGTGTCGCAAGTCATTGAGGAATTTAAGAAGGCGTATAAGGAGTTCTACCCTAACGGCGCTAAGGGAAGCTCTGATTTCTGTCACATTATTAACCAGGCCTCCTTCCAGCGCCTGAAGTCCATGCTTGATAACACCAAGGGCAAGATTATGATGGGTGGCACTATGGACGAGAAGGAGCTTTTCATTGAACCGACCGTCGTCCAGGTGGACTCGATTGATGACTCGATGTGCTCCCAGGAGAGCTTCGGTCCCTTCATTACTATCCTTCCCGTTGATAATCTAGATGAGGCTATCAGCCTGGCCAACGGTATTTCGAGCACTCCTCTGGGTGTCTACCCCTTCGGCTCTAAGGCCGATGTCGAGAAGGGTGAGTATAAATCAGATTCATATCCACATATTCCCCAGTCTAACAATATATAGTCATCGCCTCTACCCGTTCTGGTGGTGTCGCTGTTAACGATGCTGCCGTGCACATCCCCACCCTCCAGTTCGGAGGTGTCGGCGAGAGTGGTCACGGCGCATACCGTGGTCGTTCCAGCTTCGATGTCTTCGTTCACCGTCGCACCATCACTACCACCCCCAGCTGGCTTGAGTCCATTCTTGCCATCCGTTACCCGCCCTATGCCGGCAAGATCCAGACTTTCAAGGCCGCCAGCGCATTGGTGCCTGACTTCGACCGCAGTGGTCAGAAGATGACTCTCGGCTGGTTGCGCTACTTCCTGACTCTGGGTGGTGGTAGTGCTAAGGCTGGTGCAGGCCGTGCTACTGTCGTTGCTGCCAGTGAGTAAATATCTTCTTCACTTTATTCCCTATGTCTTTGATATATCGTTCTATTCCCCATTCTTTGTCAAGATTTTCTTGGATTTTCGTCTTTTCGATTTTCTTTTGATTCACCCTGTCATGTTCTCTCGGTTTTTCATCTCCTCAGACGAAGGAGACGATAAATAAGTCCGGAATTCCTTCGTCTCGGCAAATCCCCGGACCGAAATATTTCAAATCCCTTCTATATACTGGAAGGGCTGATACCCTGCTTTTGCACCCTGTGTGTTTCTATGCTTGAAGCTTCTGCTTCATGTGTTACTCTCAGTGGATTTGAAATCCGCTTGTCACGCTCACTTTACATTTCCCCTTGTCATCCCAATACACATTTTAAAGACTTAATATTAATGGGGGATATCCCTTTTTTGTTACTTGTCATACACTATGAACTAGTTCTAACTTGTCTATAGTTGCCTACATTGCGCTTCAGATCGTGGAGCGCCGATCAAAACTTTAAATGGTTAGGTGGATTTGTACTGCTTATGTGGGTGTGTATGATTTTTTTTGGCAGTTTTGGGATTAGTGTAATTACGGAAATAGCTAGCACACTGGCAAATCAATTGATGATCGCTTTTGGAGACCAATTTTGGGCTGATCTACATCGAACTGTACAATTTTGGACAAAGGATGTAGCGCGGCCCACTTTCTGCGTGAGTTACGGCTTGATAGTCACAGGATATACAAGGATGCTGTGACATGTTCCTGCTACATAAAACAGAGGAGTGAAGGCCTTGCTGTCTTATTTTGAGCACAGGTAAGAATTTAAGAGAAAAGACTTGACCCATAACGTATCGATATCATTATTTGTGTATAGCTTTGTAGAGCGAGATTGATATTATGCCTGATATAAAGACACCAGCCAAATCAATATTGCACGCTTCGTGTTTCGGCCCATAAGTGATACTGAATATGCCCGAAAAAGATGCTTTGCTTAACAACGACGCTCCACGCCGCGCCGACTCACACACAGGTACTTGACACCCTTATACGGCTTGACACTCTCACCAACACCACGGCTGCGGCGCTGATCGATATTCAGACTTTCCACTTTGATGCCAGAGGGGAGCCAGCCGCGCACTGAGAAGGAGACAGATGCCGAGTTCGGCATGAGGTTCGCATTAAGTTGGGCTTTGGTTCTGCGGGGCGCAGAACGGGAAGCAGATGAAGGGGCAAAGAATGCCGGGAGTTGTGAATTGTTTTGAGACTGGGGTTGAGCTTGCGGAGGAGGCGTTTGGGCATGGGTGGAGGGGTTGGGAGAAGGCGAAGCGGAGACTTTGACTGGTTCTTCTGAGACGGCTTCGGTGTCACCTGGGTCCTCGGTGAGAACAGCAGCTGAACGGGATGACTTCTTGCTCGACTTCTCCTTCTTCTTCCTTTTCTTCTTCTTTGCGGGGTCGCCTGACCGTGTTTTCCGGGTGGTATTGGTAGAAGGGTTATCGTACGAGGCAGGGTCCTCGTAGTAACCCTGTAGAAGGTTTGCGTTGGCGTCTTCATCGACTTCTTCCAGACTATCAAAGTCCTCATCCGCCGACGGATAGCCTGCAACAGTGCAGCGGAGAGTTGCGGTACCAGAAATAGTCCCAGCGTCGCGGCCAGTGGGGACTCGCCATTCAAGCAGTCCAGTATTAGGAGAGTATTGGGCATCACCACGACTGGCCTGCATGTCCGTGATGTGACGCACAGATTTAGATATCGGGATACTGACAACCACCTCCTCTAATACCGGCCCACTGGAGTTACTGCCGCCACCAAGGAAGGATGGTGTGGAAGTCCCTGATCCAGCTCGAGATGGGACCGGACGAGAGGGTTGACCAGGGAAAGTGGTATTTAGGGTGAGTCGAACCTCGAACTCTGCCCCAGAAGGACCAAGCGATTTGCGAATATCCACAATTGCAGGAAGGAACAGTTTCTCCATATGGCTGGGTGGGTGATCAAGATCTGGGTCTATTGGAAGAAGATCAACTTCATACCCAGCCAGGATGAACCGACCGTCGGGAGGCACAAAACTGAGCTCTCCCGGCTTCTCGCGCCAGCGAGCCAGGCGAACACATGGATGGAAGACGGGCAAATCAATCTTGCGGGCGAGTGACTGTTGGCCGCCAGGAGCTGATAATGACAATAAGAGATCGGGAACTCCCGATATTTTAGCAGTGAATGCGATAGTCCCAGATACTAATGCAGAAAGTAGCCTTCCAGAAGGCGCCATAGTCACAGAGAGAGATTCAATAATATCAACATATAGTTCATTGGATGTGTGCCGTACTCCGGGTCGACGCCAGGGAATTGCGGGGCCTTGAGCTGCACTAGCCGCAGCCAGTGACTGCTTCAGAGGATTGCTCGTAGTGGGAGTAGAAGAACTGAATGAACGCGGGGCATCAGAATTGAGGTGAATATACCGAATCAGTAGCAGGACTTACCCAGGTACGCTTATTCCACCTAGAAGTTTCCCCATCCATCCCGGAACATCGACAACCTCCTGCAACGAGTTGGGTTCGGTATTACATACCACTCCCCCATCACACATCTCATGCAGCAATTGAGCCACCACGTCATAACTCGCCTGGATTTTGGTTGAGAGAAGAGGAGCGCCAACAAAATCCTCAAGTACATCCACCACGCGATGCAGGAATTCAAGCACCAGAAGCGGCTCCGTATCCACCTCGCTCACCGCAAGAAACAGCAAGTTCGACTGGGTTATCGAGAACACAGTCACCGGTGGACTGGTACTGGGAAAGTATAGCAATGAAGGGCGCGGGGCAGCATGGGCGAGGTAGAGGGGCAAGATGGCCGCGGCCGAAGGCGGGCGGGCTCGGTAGACATGTTCGACGAGAGGGGCGCTGGAGAAGGTATTAGTAAAATCCTATAGTTTCTGAATTTGGCCGCATACTTTTGCTCGTCAAATATGTAGACGGCATCAATCTCACCGCTCATGATGGCTGTTGTTTGAGACAAGAACTCTCGGAGTTGTATAGCTCACTGTAGCTGCGGGTTCTGCCGCAGAGTCCCGCCCTGGATTACTTTTCGGGTGCACGCGATTGCCTCCGCAAGTTGTACTCGCATAGGTGCTTCGAACTAAGATTCTCTTTGACTCTTTCATGATCTCTCGAGATCCTATTTCCACATCTTCAATGTCTTCTCAACCCGATAATCGATCCTGGGATATCCAGCAAAAGGATGCCAAACAGGCGTTGGCGGAGGACAAATATGATGACTGCTTGTCCTGCAGAGTAACTGGTTCGTTATCCATGACCTGGAGCTTGCCGTGACCTCGAGAGCCGATATCGTAAATACCGAGAAATCTTACTGACTTCCGGAAATAGGCTCTGCGGCATTCGTTGGTCTCGGCATCTACAGCTACTATACTGGCATGAGCAATCTGCGGAAACAAGAGAAAATGATTATGCAAGGTCCCAGCAAATACAAGATGGGCTCACGACAGCTCGGAATTGCTTCCATATCTGCGACTCTAATCGGTATGGGAATCTGGCGCGCATTGAACTAGGCGCCATAGAAATCATATCGGGATTGCCTATATAGGATTTGTACAATAAGGTCTACGAGGTGTTTTTCCAAGGCCAAGAAAGTAATGAAGTTTGTAAGATATTGATTTGTTATACTATCACAATTCGATGATAGCTGCTGCACTGGGTATCTCCACACACAAATCCTCTCTATATGCTGTATGACAAAGTATAGGAAAGCGAAAGGGGATCGATTAGGAGAAAGAAAGCCTGAAACAGGCAAAGGGAATATGCAGCAAAACCTTATGCAAGAGTTCTCGTCCTCAATATGCACCCGAAAAAGTAAAGCCCCCCAAGTCCACCCATGTGCTGCCTGACAATCAGAAAGGAAATTCGTCATCTCGTCAAGGTCGTACGGTCAAGGAAAGATTCCTATGTGAAACGACCTCGTTTGCCTCCTCCAAATAAATCCCGGCCATTCGATAGCCCAGACAAGTCGAAGAAATCTGGTACTGTGAATTTCCGCTTCGATCCAAGACTCGACCCAAGGTTTGATCCAAGGCTGTTCGGGGATTCGCGTGGGGCGAACGCCCGGTTCGGGCGGTTGAGATTATTGTGGCGGTGTTGTTGACGGGAATTTCGAGGCATCACGGAAACGCTGACGGGCGCCCCGTCCTGCGAAGATGGGGCAGAGTTGTCCGGGGATTGCAGATCCATATCATCCTGGCACTGGGGAAAGGTTGGACCGGCAGTGAAGGTGAATACTGTCGGGGCTCCCATCAAGTTCTCCTGTGGTTGTGTGGTAGGGATGGTGGTTTCAGGGCGAGGTGCAGGGGTCGGCGTAGAGGTTGGTGTGGAGGTCGGGGGTTGGCGGGATAAAGGTTCAGACTCTTTGCGGGCAGTAGCCGGAGTGGCACTTCGATCACGCTTCTCTGAGTCAACGCGCTCCTCCTCGTCACTGCTTTGTGACCCAGTTCCATCATGCTTCTCGGTTGCCCACTGTCGGACTTTCCACCCCTCTCCGTCGCCAAGGCCTAGGTTCTCCCGATCAAGGAAATGAAGCAAGTCCTCCAACGCATCCTGGTAGCCAGCCTGCCTAGCTTGGGCCTGTTCAAAAACTGCATTTTTGTAGAGGTTGGTCACAGATAAGGCGGCGGCCTTGAATGACTGCAGGAGCTGCTCGGGTGGCTGTGGGCGCGGGGTCGAGCTTGGCAGAGACGTATTTAACGATCTCATGGAATCCATGGCTGATTAAATATGTTGTAGTCAAGTATAGAGTCTTGGTCTGAAGGGGCGAGGAAGCTGTGGTATTCACTGGTGTGGTGTGATGTATCGTATCTGGGCAAAGGATTGCTGTGGTCGTCCGGGCCCTCGAAACAGTCGAACAAAGAACAAAGATAAGGAGATGGAATGAAAAGCCTCCCAAGAATAAAGGGAATAAGAGAAAGCTGGAAGCCTAGAAGCCTCTGGGGTGTTCCCTAGCTCTAAATTCTATCAAGTTCCAAGTATACAAGGAGGGGAACTAGTGAGTACCTGACTGCAGATGATGATCTTTTGCACTGGCCCGGTAACGTGACCCCATTGCGGGAAAACTTTTGATCCGAAGTGCCGTTGGTGTGGTTATGTAATACAGCCCACCAATCAGCGCGTGCAGTGGGCCGCGCTTTCCCATTTGCTCTTCTTCAGCGCGACTGGAGGCGTTTCTTCTTTCTCAGGTTATTATCATTAACTTGGTGCTGCTGTGAACTCAACCTACCCGCGCCATCCTTGGTTTCCAGAACCACCTCGAACTTCAATCCCTCGGTTTTGTTTATGCTGTGAAGCTTCTTTTGTGATATCCACCCCGAAGCTACACGGTCAACGTGACCGAGACGTGCTTGTGCCTACATTGAGTTTCTTTGTGCTTCGCGCGCTGAAGATAAACTATGGCACCAGCCGCCACTGATTCTCCGCCTCAGGCGGACACACCAATGACTGACGCTAACGATGATGTTGTTCCATCGATTCCCGTGGACGCGCCGGTAAGTGTTCTTGCTTTTTACTTCCATACCACGCCGTCATCGTCGCATCGCGATGCGGCTGCAATATAGGCAGGTCAGTTGCGCAGTATCATGATACTAATTGCTGCCCCATGTCTAGAGCTATCAAGCTACCCCTGAATATACGGTAAATCGTAGTCCTTTTTAATGTCCGCTACCTCGACAAGTAACTGACATATCCCCCCACCAGGACTCGGAGACCAACCCCAACACCACAGCGAGCAGCGTCGCAGGCGATGCCGCTCTAGGAGATGGACGACGACGCCGGTCAGAAGCTACACAACTGAGAAAGAGTATCTTGGGCAAGAAGCAAAGCCGTCTGGACGAAACCAAGGTAAGACTGGGCAATTCCCGAGAAACCTTACATGTGAACAACTAATCACCAACATTTTGGTTAGGAGGATGATTCTATTCGTCGATTTCGATACCTGCTGGGCCTCACCGACCTGTTCCGCCACTTCATCGAGACCAACCCTAACCCGCGGATCAAGGAAATTATGGCTGAAATCGATCGCCAAAATGCAGAATCTGAGGAAAGAGCACGCAAGGGATCTTCGCGCTCCGGAGGTGCAGGTGGAGATCGACGTCGCCGAACCGAGCAGGAGGAAGATGCAGAGTTGTTACAGGATGAAAAGAGTGGCGGGGAGACCACCACTGTGTTCCGAGAGTCGCCAGCTTTTGTCCACGGTGAACTCCGCGACTACCAGATTGCCGGTTTGAACTGGCTGGTTTCCCTCCACGAAAACGGTATCTCTGGTATCCTGGCCGACGAGATGGGACTGGGCAAGACTTTGCAGACTATCTCCTTCCTGGGCTATCTACGCTACGTTGCTGGAATTTCTGGCCCGCATTTAGTCGCCGTTCCAAAATCCACACTCGATAATTGGAAACGAGAGTTTGCCAGGTGGACCCCCGAAATTGATGTCGTGGTTCTCCAGGGTGACAAGGAAGAGCGACAACGTCTTATCAACGACCGCCTTGTCAATGAGAACTTTGACGTATGTATCACCAGTTACGAGATGATCCTCCGCGAGAAGTCGCATCTTAAGAAGTTTGCCTGGGAGTACATTATCATCGACGAGGCCCACCGCATCAAGAACGAGGAGTCTTCCCTGTCTCAAATTATCCGTCTATTCAACTCCCGCAACCGACTGCTGATCACCGGTACTCCGTTGCAAAACAACCTCCACGAGCTGTGGGCACTACTCAATTTCTTGCTGCCGGATGTTTTTGGTGACTCCGATGCTTTTGACCAGTGGTTCTCCAACCAGGAATCCGATCAGGATACTGTTGTACAGCAACTTCACCGCGTCCTTCGTCCTTTCCTACTTCGACGTGTGAAGAGCGATGTTGAGAAGAGCCTGCTACCCAAGCAGGAAATGAATCTTTACGTACCCATGTCCGATATGCAGATCAAGTGGTACCAGAAGATTTTGGAGAAAGATATCGATGCTGTCAACGGCGCGGCCGGAAAGCGCGAGTCTAAGACTCGTCTCTTGAATATTGTCATGCAATTGCGGAAGTGCTGTAACCACCCCTACCTCTTCGAGGGCGCCGAACCCGGGCCTCCCTACACCACCGACGAGCACCTTGTGTTCAATTCTGGCAAAATGGCTATTTTGGATAAGCTTTTGAATCGCATGCAGGCCGATGGTAGCCGTGTCCTTATCTTCTCCCAGATGAGCCGTGTTCTGGATATCCTGGAAGATTACTGCGTGTTTCGTGAGTACAATTATTGTCGAATTGATGGCACCACAGCCCATGAGGATCGCATCGCTGCAATCGATGACTACAACAAACCTGGGTCGGACAAATTCATTTTCCTGTTAACTACACGTGCCGGTGGTCTAGGCATTAACCTGACCACTGCCGACATTGTGGTACTATTTGATAGTGATTGGAACCCCCAAGCCGATCTCCAGGCTATGGACCGTGCGCATCGAATTGGACAGACCAAGCAGGTAAAGGTTTTCAGATTTGTTACGGAGAATGCGATCGAGGAAAAGGTCCTTGAACGTGCAGCCCAGAAGTTGCGTTTAGATCAACTTGTCATCCAGCAAGGGCGCGCTCAACAACAATCCAAGAATGCCGCGTCGAAGGACGACCTACTTGGTATGATTCAGCATGGTGCTGCCAATGTGTTCGGCCCGCGAAGCACGGGCGACGGCTCCAACGACATTAGCCAGAATGACTTCGAAGCTATTCTTCGAAAGGGCGAGGAGCGAACAGCTCAGCTGAACAAGAAATATGAGAAGCTTGGCATCGATGACTTGCAGAAATTCAGTTCCGAGAGCGCGTATGAATGGAATGGTCAGGATTTCACAGAGCGCAAGAAGGACATCGGTATGACCTGGATCAACCCCGCCAAGCGTGAGCGAAAAGAACAGTTCTACTCGATCGACAAATACTACCGTCAAGCCCTAGCTACTGGTGGGCGGACTGCCGACACTAAGCCCAAGGTTCCACGGGCTCCTAAGCAGACCACAGTCCATGACTGGCAGTTCTTCCCTCCTGGGTTGCAAGAACTGCAGGAGAAAGAAACTGCCTATTTCCACAAGGAGATTGGCTACAAGGCTCCCTTACCTGAAGGCCCAGAGGAAGAGCTCAGCGACCGAGAGGCAGAGCGAGATCTTGAGCAACAAGAGATCGACAATTCTCAGCCACTCACCGAGGAAGAAAGAGCGGAAAAGGATCGCATGTCGGAGGATGGCTTTTCTACCTGGAACCGCCGTGATTTCCAACAGTTTGTCAACGGTTCGGCCAAATTCGGCCGCACTGACTATAAGGGTATCGCTACCGAGGTGGACAGCAAGGAGCCCGATGAGGTTGAAGAGTATGCTGAAGTCTTCTGGCGGCGATACACCGAGATTCAAGATTATCCTAAGTATCTCAAGGTGATTGAACAGGGTGAGGAGAAGCTCCGCAAGATGAACCACCAGCGCAAGATGCTACGCAAAAAGATGGAAATGTATCGGGTGCCTCTGCAGCAGCTGAAGATCAACTACACGGTATCTACAACCAACAAGAAAGTCTATACCGAGGAGGAGGATCGCTTCTTGCTCGTGATGTTGGACAAGTACGGCGTGGAAGGCGATGGTCTCTACGATAAGATTCGCGACGAGGTTCGGGAATCTCCTCTTTTCCGCTTTGATTGGTTCTTCCTCAGCCGTACTCCAGTTGAGATTGGCCGTCGCTGCACTACGCTCCTCAATACCATTGCAAAGGAGTTTGAACCCGAGGGAAAGGCCAATGGGGACGGCAAAGGAGAGGGGAAGGGTCGTGGCCGAGACCGCGACGAGGACGAGGAGAACGATGACGCGGCAGCTCCTGCAAAGAAGAAGGCTAAGAATGGCGCCACCACCGTAAGTTACAGCTTGGCTGGGTGATCTTTCCCGATGTCTGCTAACCTGTTTCAGGCCAAGGCTAAACCTGCTGCTAAGGTCGCTAGCAAGGGTGCCTCTGCCTCCACCTCGCGGGCGGCAAGTGTTTCGAATGCCCCCAAGTCCAAGACTCGGAAGAGATAAGCCAGACTTTCCGTTAATCCTTTCCTAGTTTATGTTCCATTTGCTGTTGTTTTGGGAGGTTTAAGGGTGGGAGGTTTGGATTCGGCGTTGGCAGATGATTTCCGCAAAATGTCCAATAAGATAAAAAGTAATCCAAGGGTTATCTTGTGGTCCTACAGAGGCGCTGCCCCGCCCGGCTGATAGAATCATTCATGCCGATCTCTGATACGACGTAGATCGCCACTGGACTAAGAGCTGCCTTTCCACGCTAAATCCCGTCACCTGCAATGACGAAATGGCGAACATTTAAAGCAGCTGAAGACCAACTGACCTGAATCACATTCACATTCACATTCAATTTCCACTCACATTTCCCAAAAAACAGATAATAAAAAGGTATCCAGTCCCGCCCAGAACCACCATGTCCCCATCAGTAGCCAATGCCACAGGGCCCATAGCTAACAATGTCTATCTGTAAATTCTTGAAGTCAAAGCTTCCCCGCAAATCCCGCACCATGTCGGCAACGAAGATCAAGATCATTGCCAACCCTCACTACAAGAAGTCGGGTACAAAGTCGTACGTGCATTTGATGCGCAAGTATCGCTTCAACCCGACTCAACCTGGTCCATACTTCCTCGGCAATGCCATGCAGCAGACAGGCCGGCAGTACACCGATAAGGCTATCGGTGGGCGCGTGCATATGCGTCAGGTACTGAAGAAGAAGAGCGCCGATACCGACCAGGTGGGCGAGGTGGGCGCCGAGGACGTGCAGAATGATTCGATGTATCTTGCTCAAGTGGGTATTGGCAGCCCGGCCCAGAACCTGAATTTGGACTTTGATACGGGATCTGCCGATCTATGGGTAAGTTGGTTATATTATTGTTACATTGCCCTTTTCCCTGATTCCCTGATTCCCTTAGCTTTGTTGTTGTGGGAAATGATTGGTTGTTAACTAGATTGGGTTAGGTCTGGTCGACTAAGTTGCCGTCGGCAACCTTGTCCCAATACACCGATCATACGGTCTTTGACTCCAGCAAATCGAGCACTTTCAAGACCCAGGAAGGCTCGACCTGGAAGATCTCTTACGGCGATGGATCCTCTGCCTCTGGTACTGTCGGTACTGATGATGTGAACATCGGTGGCGTGGTTGTGAAAAACCAGGCCATCGAGCTAGCAGATACCTTGTCGGCCCAGTTCGCAAGCGGGGCTGGTGATGGGCTGCTGGGTCTCGCATTTTCCAACATTAATACCGTGCAGCCAAAGTCTGTAGCTACCCCGGTGGATAACATGATCACCCAGGACGACATCCCGTCATCTGCCGAGCTGTTCACAGCTAAGTTGGGATCGTGGCGTGATGCCGATGAGCCCGACAAGGGCGAGTCGTTCTATACATTCGGTTACATTGACCAGGCTACCGTAACGGCTGCCGGTGCAGACATCACTTACACACCTGTTGATAAGAGCCAGGGATTCTGGCTGTTCGACTCCACTTCTGCGACCGTGAATGGAAAAACCATCACTCGGTCTGGAAACACTGCCATTGCTGACACTGGTACCACTTTGGCTCTTGTGGATGATGCTACCTGCAAGGCCATCTATGATGCTATTGAGGGAGCTAAATACGATAGTGAAAGCCAGGGATACATCTATCCTTCCGATACTACTGTTGATAATTTGCCTGTTGTGTCGTTTGCTGTTGGTGACAAGCAATTTGCCGTGCAGAAGGAGGACTTGGGCTTCGTGGAAGCGAAGTCCGGATGGATCTATGGTGGAATCCAGAGCCGTGGCTCTATGGATATGGATATTCTTGGTGATACTTTCTTGAAGGGCATTTACGCCGTAAGTGATCATTTCGTCTGATACAGAAACAGTGCTAATCCACAGTCTGATAGGTCTTCGATGTTGGCAATACTCGATTCGGCGCTGTCCAGCGCAAGGAACTTAACCAGAACCTTGCCACTCCTCCTTCCTCGTAAATTTTTGGACATCGGTAGTACTTGTTTAGGTGGTCATTGGGTCCTAGCAACATTGAATGGACTATAGGGTCGTGAAGCGATGAATAATCTTTCGGTATCAGAATATGATCATTTCTCTTTCCTGAATTTACCTATAAGCTTTTATGTCCCAAGATTACAAAAAACTTCAAGGGATTGGAAACCCACGACTATCAAAGGCAATGGGTTTTATAGCAGCAGTCAATATTGTCGTCGTCTCTGCCAAGATTTGAGAGTAAACTTTACCTAATCGCTGTGCCTGAGACCCGGTCTCCATGCGGGAGTATCCGCGATACCAAGAAATATTTGTGGATCAATAGAAGCAATCATCCAAATGGAACAGTTCATTAATACTGCATTAATGCTATCATGACATGTCAATAATCACCTTCCCAGTCTTCCCATAGCCTTTTAAAATGGCATCATCCAAGGTGACCACATCAAAGTCCTTCTCGTCTTGAGCTTTCAATAACCCCCGATCAATCCAATCGCTCATTAATCGTAATCGCTCCGCCAATTCTTCAACAGTGGGTGAGGCCGAATTGCATCCAAGAAGCGATAGTCCCTTGCGATATGCTTGGAATATATCTAAAGAAATAGTCTTGTCAACATTTCCCCTAGGAGCTGCAATCCATGCAAAGCGCCCATTTTTCGCCAACTGTTCCATCGTGGCCGACATCAACGCCGGATCTCCCACAGTGTCGATAACCACATCCACTCCATGTCCGTTGGTCAGAGCTGAGATTCTGTCTTTGAGCAAGGCAGCAAGGTCCTGAGTAGCCAAGAGAATATCGGGCTTTGAGTCGTCTCGTCTCGCTGCTGTCAATACCTGCTTCGCTCCCAGTGCCTTGGCCATTTGTACGGCTGCAGATCCAACGGCTCCCTTTGAGCCTAGCACAAGAACGATGTCATTTGCAGTTACCTGTGCACGGCGAAGACACATTAGCGCTGTGGTAAATGGGACACCAACAGTGGCAGCTTGGATGTGAGATAGAGGTGCAGGTTTCTCAACAAGTGCAGCTTGGGGAATCAAGCAGTATTGAGCGTGCGTTCCATCAACTCCAAAGCCAAGAGTTGAGCCACTTGTTCCGTAGACACTTTTGCCTATCCAGGATTTGGCGTCATTGGTGTCATCTGCCACATCGACTACCACACCTGAGTAGTCGCGGCCTGGGACTCGGGGAAAGGTGGTGTATGGAAAACCGCCCTGAGCATTCATTCGATCTGATGGTTGGACTGAGGCATAGTGAATCTGGACTAATGCATAACCAGGTTTCGGGCGCGGGATGGGCAGGTTTGCTTTTGCGAACGTTGGGGGCACACTCGAGGTGACGCGAGTTAATTGAAGCGCTTTCATCGTCGTGGAATTAATATTATTGAGTTTGATTGTCTTTGCCCTTCAGTGACTCCAGAAGGCCAAGAACAGAACCGAATTGAATTGGTGAGGTGCCGACAATCAGTGTGGCGCGCGAGGCGCTTTATATACTGAGCTCGGGACATGTCTGTCAATCATTTTCTTGAAACAACAACCTCTTTTTTCATGTACATGTGACCCACCTGTACTTCCCTTCCCTTCTCGGCATTGGGTATGAGGTGATCGGGATGGAAGGCTACCGGTCTTGCAAGGTTGGTGCGGACCGTGCGGGCCACGCGGCAGATGCGGGATCCGACTTATCAATCAGTGACGAGATGCCGATCCGACGGAAGATATATAAGATTTTCGTCGACTGACCGATTAGTGTGTCAAGTCGCAATTTACTTCACACAAGTTTCACGGAATGATTCCCCTTTTCTGAAATTGACACTATTGACCCAGCCACAATGGCAGAAGCGACTCTGGACTTAAAAGAGCATAATATCAGCCCAGACGCAGGTACGATAAAGTTCTGACATGTCGGTAAAGTTGCCGAAGCTAATTCTGCACCCAAGAAAATACGTTCGCGACGGACCACAATATGGAGCCTGAACAACGTTCAATTGCACCAGATTCTTTCAATACGGATATCGACGAAAAACAAGATGCATCCTCCTACCCACCACCGAAAACGTTTCCACACGAAGTGGCTTTTGTCATTGTTGTCTGTGCCGCCCAGCTCATGACACAAGCTGGTCTGTCGTTGTCAATTGCACCCCTGAAACAAATCAGCGACACTTTTGACAGCACCCCCCAACAATTGACATGGGCTTCGGCAGCATACAGTCTGACAGTCGGGACGTTCATCCTGGTGTCTGGAAGACTGGGTGACGTTTATGGACATCGCTTGATGTTTATCATTGGTTTTATGTGGTTTGCACTCTGGTCTCTTCTGGCTGGTTTCTCTGCGTATTCGACCACCGTATACTTAGATTGCTGTAGGGCATGCCAAGGCATAGGCGCGGCCGCTCTTCTTCCCAATGCTGTCGCCATCCTGGGAAGAACATACCCACCCGGTAAGCGAAAGGGCATGGTATTCTGTCTGTTCGGAGCTGTGGCACCAGGAGGATTCATCATTGGTGCAACTTTCTCGTCACTAATAGCCGAGAAGCTGTGGTGGCCCTGGGCATATTGGATTTGCGCGATTGCGTGTGTTATGTTTGCTATCCTTGGATTCCTGGTGATTCCTCACATGCCACAAGAAAAGCCACGGCCTGAACTCTCTGCTTTTGCTCGATTGGACGGACTCGGGGCTATACTCGGCGTCTCGGGTATGATTCTCTTCAATTTTGCTTGGAACCAGGCCGCCACTGTAGGATGGCAAGTTCCCTACAATTATGCATTGCTGATTGTGGGGATTTTGATCATCGGGGCTTTCCTTTATGTGGAGAGCAAGTCTGCGTATCCACTACTACCCCGTTCAGTCTTCAAAGGCGAGACTGGCTGGGTCCTTGGCTGCATTTGTGCGGGCTGGTCTTCATTTGGCGTTGTAGTATTCTACTACTACGCTATTATGACCAACGTCGAATCAGCCACTGGGCTTCTTACGACGGCCAGGTTTTCCGGTGTCGCTGTTTCAGGTGCCATTGCGGCTGTGTGTACTGGAGTGCTTCTCGAATACCTTCCAGCTTGCGTGATCATGTTCATCGCCATGATGGCTTTCGCGATAGGCCAGGCATTATTGGTTTCGTTGCCCATTGGCCAGGTTTATTGGGCCAACGCCTTTTTGATCGCGATTATTACACCCTGGGGAATGTAGGAAACACCTGAATCTTGAGACCAAATTGACTTCTGCTAATCTGAAAATAGGGACATGTCCTTCCCCTCCGGAATTCTGATCCTAAGCGACGCCATGCCAGCGGAAGATCAAGGTGTTGCCGGTTCGCTCGTGACCACGGCCGTGAACTATTCGATCTCCTTGGGACTGGGCTTTGCTGGAGTGGTGGAGAGCTACGTCAATGATGATGGACAAAATATCCTCAAAGGTTACCGTGGAGCCTCATATATGGGTCTTGGTTTAGCTGGGCTGGGTGTCATGGTTGCGACCAGTTTTATGATTGTGACTTGGAGGAGGTCATCTAAGAAAAGTCTGTAAATTTTTTTGTTCTAGCCCACGAGGGCCGTAATTAAATAATATAGAGCCACATTCCCACTGCTTTAAATGGGCATTTGAAAATCCATGGCCCACAAATAATCTAAATCAATAGGAAGCTGAGCTACCAACGATGGGCTGAGGGATGCAATGTCCTGTAAAAGCTGCCCCTCCGTCCCTGGGGCCGTGGTTTCAGGTGTAGATGTTCCAACGATTCGTTCAAGCGCATTCATGCCTTTGCGCTTCTTGTCCAAAGATGCTTTGGCAAGCTGCCGAGCTGTGCAGAGTGCCTCCTTGGCCAGATGTGTGCTGAATCGATCCACAATAAGTTCTAGGGTGTCCATCGTCTCCGAGAGCCTTTCACAGCTTGAGACCGTGTCCATAACAAGCAAAGAACACGCAAATTGAAACACGGTACCAACAACATTCCACCAAGGCTGGTTTTGATTGGCGAGTCTCCGTGCTGCAGATATGGCAGCTGTTCCGGTTGCGATCACACGGTCGTTCTGTCCCTGCCGAAGGCTTGGATCCATGACACGAAGACGACGGTAGATACCCAGGGCAAGGTCTGCCCGCAGTAGTATGAGGAAATCATGGTCAACAGTTGTATCTGCAAGTTTTTCTAAGGCGGAGAGCAATTCCTGTATGAGAACCTCCAAATTATCGGTGTTCTGGTTCGTTGGTATAGCTGCAATGAGACTGCATAATTGCGATGTGAAATCCCCTCCTCTAGATGTCGAACTGGAAGTTTCAAGTATTCTGCGATTAAATGTCATGATGGACCGACCATACTCGAATGCAATGAGGACGTGGACACAGTTCGCGACCTGTGCTGTTCGGTTGATGATATCTGAAGTCTCCGGATTTGGGGCAATGTTGCCAATGGCTTGCATTATGAACTCGGGCGCATGATGTAGACCTGCCGCTTCAACGAGATGCATAATGGTACAGCTACAAAGCCAAGCCACATGAGGTCTCCCAGTGCATCGAATATATATTGTTCGAAGTATCCATGCAGCAATGATCTCGAGAGTAGGGAAGCGACTGATCACATCATCTTCAAGGATTTCTTTCGCGTGTGATATTATCCATATTTCGGTATCCTGGTCCAAAGAATCATTGAACAAGGATGCTAAACCGAGAATGCCACAGATCAAAGCTTCGAAGGCCATGTCTTGGGGCTGCCCGTGCCAGTGTTTCTCACAGAGCATATAGATACGACCCATATCTAGGAATCCAAAGACAGGGTGAATAACGGCGGTATAAATATCGATGAGACTTCTTGCTGTGTTCCAAGGGATTTTCCCTGCGACCTTGTGGGAAACTGCACAGGCTGGTTCCTTGCGAACGCCCGTATGGTATGCGAATGAGTGCAGTCGTGGAAGTTTGGTCGCCTGAACTTCCAAGCCAACATAGAGTGGGAATGCAACGCATGAATACCTTCCCACATAACGAGGTTTCGACGGTTCGATAACCCCGGGTAAAATCGATGAATCAGTGCTTTTTTTGGACGTAGCTGGTTGGTGTGTCAATCGTGTCATTTTTGTGGATGGCTGGGATAACGAAGCATTCGGCGCGGATCGTTTAAAAGGTGCTGATACGGCCATAGTATCATATTCACATTCGTAATCATATCCTTTGCAGATATTGCAAGGCATTTTGCCATCGCATTTCCTCTTGCGTCGACGACAAGGGAGACAGGCTTGTCTGGAGCGTTGTCGTACCGGCCCCGGGGTAACCGATGGCTCTGATGGGCCTGGAATATTTGGGTGAGCCGACATCATAGGTAGACCTTCAGTTGTCACCAATCCCAAGGTTAGAGTCACTGTGATGCCAATGGCGAACGTCCTTGGCGTTGATACTGGCCCCCTTTTGTGAAGCCAATGATATATTGCCTCTCGCAAGACCTTGGCATACAAACAAATATTAGCAGCTCTCCCGATATGCTTACATGGATAGTCTAGGAGGATTTGTCGCGCTGGTTCCAAGGTTGTCAAAAGTGTCGGCCCACACTAGACATCCGTGGAAGTACAGATAAGGTATGCCAAGGCAGCGATTATTAGTGCCTTGGTAATCGGGCACTAAGATGGAAGAGTAGGGGCAGGTCTGAACCATGCTTTTATGCACACAAAGCTGCGGAAAATAAATACATTCTTGTTTGAGACTGTAGTGCAGTCAGATGTATATATGATACCATCATAATCCATGCATGTCATGAATAGTGACCGCGACACATGCATTAAATTTTTCAGATTATACACATCTTCCATGGGTTTCACCAACATCCATGCATTTACCATTTCTGGGCTCACAAATGCGCCTATAGTTCCTCCCAAAAGTTACTGATGCATACTAGACACGCTTTCTCTCGTTCTCTGTTTCCTTCTTCGTACTCTTCCAATAAGTTGCTTGGCTCTGGGCCTGAAGGATAGAATTGATTTAAGCCTCAAGATCAGTGCTTGAAGTGCAGAACATATTTGCTTTTTTATTTTTGTACTCAGGACTATATAGAGTAGTGTTATCACATTTCGCGTTATAATATCTTGCTCAAATGTAAAGACAGTAGGAAATTGCGGGTACAATCTCAAACACTTCATAGTGAGGGACAGCCGATAAGGCCGCACGCGACCGATAAGATAAGGCTCTGGGGGATACTTACTCCGGCGCCCGGCATCGCGTCACTCACGCGCTAAGACGATATATCACCTTTGTTATTTCGCTTGATACAAAGCCCACTTCATTTGTATCCCTGATTTCCCCCGACACTCGTTCATTTTTCCCCACCAGATGACTGAAGTTAGAAGAAAAGCTCTCACCGGAGACGCTCAATCTGCCCCAGAATCGTCCTTACGAGTCTTGACTTGCCTATGCTCACTTGACTGATACGTTCATCTCGGGATACTGTGCGATCGCAAGGGAACGTCTCAAATGATGGGTTCCGAGACTGATTTCGAAGACGCCGATGCGACGGAAGCTCAGTTATTGAGCCAATTCCAAAGCTCCCCCGCTCGCAAAACCGCCTCGAACAAAACCCAAGACCAAGACCAAGACTCAGAGGAGAATGAAGCCCACCAGCCACCACAACCTAGAGCTATGAACCACTTCATTGAAATTACTGTGCCGGATGTTGGTCATGAAAGCGACTATGAGTACCTACCAGGGCATTTCGCCGTGCGCCGGATTTTGAAATTGGATTCAAAAAACCCCCAAAAGCCCTCCTACACCGTCAGACTACAGAGTGGGGAGCAACAGACAATGACCTACGATCGATTCATGCAGCTAGAAAACAGTTCTCAAGCTTTAGACCAGTTCAATCCGGATTCGGATTACAGTGATGATCTAGCATTGATTCAAAGGAACAGCCGGCAGCGCCGCCTGCGCGCAATGTTCTCTGGAGATGGCGCGGCATCGGAAGAATCCGACCCAGATTTTCCCAGACCTAGCAGACGCCGAGATCGCCACCGTGCTGAATACACTCAATATTTTCATATTGAGACAGAAAGTGAGCAAGAAGAACCCTCGGATGCTCCAGAAAGCTCCGACGACGAGCTCAATGCTCCTCGTGCCTCTACCAGGCTACGGCAAAGAGCGAAGAAGGCCAAACCCAAATCTTCCTCCAACAAATACGCAGATCCTGATGAAGGAACACGCAGGTCGAATCGGGAAAGAAAGTCTATTCGGAAAAACATGGAGGAACGGCTAGAGGATGACCTTTCAGAAGCCGAAGCCGAGGGTCCACGCCGGCCGAAATACACTGGGGCCCGAGAGATCTTCATCGAACTCGATCGTGATGACGAATTCAGAAACAGACATTTCGGATGTTGTTCTACCTGCAACTGGTTTGAGGATGATGAAGAGAAGGGCATCCTGGTGTTTTGCCAAGGCTGCAGCTCATCATATCATCAATCCTGCCTTGGGCCCCGTGGCAGTCGAGAGCATCTCGTCACCAAGATTGACGAAGGAAGCTTCATCCTTCAATGCCGTCGCTGTCTTGGCAGTTCTCACGACAAGCATGATGTTCGTCCTCACCTCGGCCACTGTGCTGTTTGTAGGAGGGAAGGCCCAATGTCCCAACCCCTTCGAGGGCGTCTCACCTCTAAGGAAGAACAACAATTACGCATAGCGAACGGGGGCACGGACCCGATCACTGAAATTGATATGGCTCTGGTTAACAATGTCGAAAATGTGTTATTCCGATGCACTACTTGCCACCGAGGATTCCACGCGGAACATCTTCCCCAAATTGACGGAAAAGACAAAACGGACAAAACGGACCCTTTCAGTGAATACAAACACTGGCAATGTCATCATTGCTCATCTACACCAGATGAAATAGAGGTCCTCGTGGCTTGGCGTCCTCTTCAATCCAAAGTTGCCGTGGGGAAGTCAATTTCACTACCTGAACTTATTCCAGAGATTGATAAAGAGTACCTCATCAAATGGAAATCAAAGTCATATTTCCGCGCAACTTGGATGCCTGGTGACTGGGTATGGGGTGTCAGCAGTCCTGCCATGCTGCGGGCTTTCTACAATACCCCTCGGAAACCAATCTTCACGATGAAAGAGGCAATTCCTGAAGAGAATCTTCGGGTAGACATCGTGTTCAATGTTTCATGGGTGTCAGAAGATGATGCCACGAATCCTGAGATGGTTGAAGAGGCATACGTCAAGTACAAGGGATTGAACTATGAAGAGGCAGTTTGGGAGGTCCCCCCTAAACCAGAGGAGACTGAGCGATGGGAAGACTTCAAGGCCGCCTTCGAAGATTGGTTGCGCCGAGACACGATCCAGCCTGTGGATCCCAAAGAGCTCAAACATCATCTCGCAGCTACCCGCCAATTGGATTTCGAGACCGAGTTAGTACTGCAAGCCCAACCAGAAATGATCACTCATGGTGAGCTTATGGAGTATCAGCTCGAGGGCGTGAATTGGCTTTATTATATGCATTTTCAGCAAAGGAATGCCATTCTAGCAGACGATATGGGCCTCGGTAAGACAGTCCAAGTCATTGGCCTATTTGCGACCCTCATCAAGAAGCATTCGTGCTGGCCGTTTCTGGTAGTTGCTCCGAATTCAACGGTTCCTAACTGGCGACGGGAGATCAAGTCATGGGCACCGGACATTCAGGTTGTGACGTATTTCGGGTCCGCATATGCGTGCCAAATGGCTCGTGAACATGAGATGTTCCCAGAAGGTGGCAAGCATCTCTGCTGCCATGTGGTCATTGCTTCGTATGAGAGCATGATAGATGATGAAGCAAAGAGGGTGCTCTCAAAAGTTCATTGGGCAGGTTTGGTGGTTGATGAGGGCCAACGCCTAAAAAATGATAAATCTCAGCTCTACGAGCGCCTTGCTCGCATGAAGTTTGACTTTAAAGTTCTTCTCACTGGCACTCCTCTTCAGAACAATATCCGGGAGTTATTCAATCTCATTCAATTCCTTGATCCAAAGACGAAGGCCGACAAATTGGAAGAAGAGTATGGCGAACTCACTTCAGACAATATCCGAAGTCTTCATAAAATGATTAGTCCGTTCTTTCTTCGTCGCACCAAGGCCGAGGTTCTGCCATTCCTACCGCCGATGGTGCAAATTATTGTGCCTGTCTCGATGTCTTTTGTGCAAAAGAAGTTGTACAAGTCAATCTTGGGAAAGAATCCTGAACTGATAAAAGCCATTTGCACAACTCATGTCAGTCAGCTCAAGAAACAGGAAAAACACAACTTGAACAATATTCTCATGCAGCTCAGAAAATGTCTGTGTCATCCATTCGTTTACAGCCGAGAAATTGAGGAAGTCACAGACAATGCTAGACAGGCTCATGAGCGCTTGGTGGAGGCTTCAGGCAAATTTCAGTTACTAAACCTCATGTTGCCAAAGCTGCAAGAGCGCGGCCACCGTGTCTTGATTTTCAGCCAATTTCTTGAAAATTTGGATCTTGTTGAAGATTTCCTCTCCGGGCTTGAGCTGCGCTACTGTCGTCTGGATGGAAGATTGGTGGCTCGGGAGAAGCAAAAGCAAATTGATCAATTTAATGCGCCCGACTCTCCCTACTTTGCTTTTCTACTGTCGACTCGGTCTGGTGGTGTTGGAATCAACCTTGCGACGGCTGATACCGTCATAATCATGGACCCAGACTTCAATCCAAAGCAAGATATGCAAGCTTTGTCCCGGGCTCATCGGATCGGCCAGAAGAATGTCGTCCTTGTCTACCACCTTACAACACGAGCATCCGTGGAGGAAAAGATCATGGAAAAGGGCAAGAAAAAATTGGCCCTTGACCATGTCCTCATTGAGCGCATGGAAGACATGGAAGATGAAGAAGACTTGGAATCTATTTTGCGTCATGGCGCCCAGGCTTTGTTCGAAGACGACCATTCAGCCGATGTCCTTTACGACGAGGAATCCATCGATAAACTCTTAGACCGAAGTCAAGCCGAAAAGGCCGAGGAGGCGAAGAAGAAGGACAAAGATGCCAAGGATGCCAAGGAAGGAGATGCTCAAGCAAACAATCCGCAATTCAATTTTGCTCGTGTTTGGCAAAAGGACGGTGGCACTTTGGAAGAAGTAACCCTGAGCAAAGATACACCTATGGATGAGGACGTTTGGGCCAAGATTTTGAAAGAGCGCGAGCACCATGCTCGTGAAGAAGCTTTTCGCAAAGCTGAAGGATTCGGTCGAGGGAAGCGAAAGCGAGCTCAAGTCAATTACCAGACCGCACAGGAAGAGGCCAACGACCTTGATGGTGCAAATTCGACCACGGTGTCTCCCATCAAGAAGCGCAAGAGCAAGGCGAGCAGTGAGAGCGATGGCGAATTTGAACAGAAGGGCGACGTCGAAGAATCTGACTCTGCCAACGATACAGCCGGGGATGTAGATGATATGGATATTGACATTGAGCCTCTCCGCCCGAAAAAGAGCCATCCATTTAAGCGTATTAAAGTTCCTGTGGCCGCCCCAGCCTTGGTGGGTCTTGACGGCACTTCAGATTCAGATAGTATTGCGCCTTGCATCGCATGCGAAAAAAGCCACGGGCTTGGCCAATGTCCCTTGAAAGAGGCTGGCGTCGAACACTGTCCGCTCTGCGGCCTGGCACACCTTGGAGGACGGCGAGCTTGCCCTCATTTTCATTCCACAATCCAAATCCGGCGTATGCTGGAAGCATTGGCTCAAAGCAAAGAGGCTCCCAGTCTTGTTTCTGCAGCCAAGAAATATCTGCGTGGAGTCCTCGGTCACTTAATGTCAATCGAGCGCAAACAATCCTCTCTACATAGTGACTCCGCCGATCAAATTCCGACAAGCCAAATTCCGGCTTCGCGAGTACCTGCTACTGCAGGGCACCCTCAACCTACTCCCAATCCGCATTTTGGTCCACCCAGGCTCACAACCAATGCCGCCGGCTCGGAAAAGAGCATGGCACGGCCTTCCATTGGTACATTCGCGCATCAGCCACACAGAAAGTCTTTCCACATGGCTGAAGTATCTAATCCCGCAACCCATACCGCAAGCTTTGGAACTAGCCCGACCTGGCCTGTTCTCGGTAGTTTCACGCATCAACCCTCGACGCAGCCGCAGAACAGAATTACAGCGCAGCAGCCTAGCCTACTTGGAACCTCGCGGTCCATGCCCTCGAGCCAGAGCACGTCGGCCCAACAAACTCAGACATCCAACAACGTACCAGTTGTTGACTTGACTGGACCCGAGGGGCTGGAAAGCTACTCTTCTCCATATCCCTACGTTTCTCCCCATCTCAACAACCCTGGACACCACTCGGCTCACTAGGATCTGCCTGTCGTTACCTTTGTTTCCCAATGGCCTTTGGCATTGCTGTCCCTTGGCTTTCCTGGTTTTCTTCTCGGCGCTCGGCGCTCGGCACAATCCAATTGTGTTTTTGTTTTTTTGTCTTCGCAAACGGAGCATGGAATGGTGAACATAAAATCCCAAGCGTTATGTGGCACAACTCATGATATGGCGAAAAAAGGGGGGTGCATGGAGATTTCCATTTTGATGCTCATTGATTGAACATGATACCCCAATTTGGTTGTTATTCTTCAGATAATAATCCCAGCGTGATACAACTGGCTTTGCCCAGATTGAGACATCCATCCATACCGTAGACCCGAGTTGGCGTCTTCGTATTCCCTACTCTTCTTCAGTGGCTTCACATTTCCCCAGTGCCAAAATAGTCCAATTCAGCCACTAGTACGGACGCTTGGTATAGCATGTAATGAGCTCATTCGATTAACTCCAAATGGTGCCAAACGTACTTTAGAATGTGTACTAATTGGCAGATAAACCATGGAACTTCTTGCCTTCCTTCGGGCCCCAATCCCGTCAAGCACGCCCTCTGCCTAGTTCAGGGTAAAATAGACCAAACAGTCAATCACTGGTACCTGGCTGACAGCTCAATTTCCAGGGCCCATCAGTTCCCTATCCTGGTTTCAGAATGTTGGTTTTCGTCAGGACGACTGTTGCCAACATTGAAAGGTTAGGGCCCATGCAAGTCACGAGACCCGCTGCCCAACCTCAGTTGTCCCCGAGTCCACGACTATCCATCAATAACCACCGAGTATGTAATTTGTATGAGTAAAAAGGTAATCTTGTATAAGTGTTCGTCAAGTGCTGGGCATTTGTCTGCTTTCTGGTGTCCCTAGCATGACCAAATGGTCTTCTCCATCACCCAAGCTCGGGTCGATGTTGTAACGGTAGTTTCAGGTAGGGCAGATAGCTTGAGGCTCGTTCGCAAGGCAAAGGAAGTTATATTCAAGCCTCTAGGTGGCCGATAATACTTAGCATCAGTTCTTGAGATAACGAGTGTTCAAGGGTAGAAGTTCTGCTTGGGAGAGGGACCATTGTTCCTACTACTGGCACAATCCAGCCAAGTATTGAAACTTGTTGGTGTTTTTAAGCAGAGTATTCGCTGAGAACAATGTCCTACCTGTCTGATGGAGATGCAATGTGTGTATCAAAGGCAGTATTCTGGTAGGCTTGAGGCTCAATATCGACAGAGCCCCCCAGCTTTCTGCCGTAGAAGGTGATGAAGGCAAGATTGAGATCTCGACTAGACGGTAGCTGCAGCTAGCCATCTTAGACAATCAATGACTGCAAAATTGTTGCTTTAGATCAAAGAACATTGTTTTCATTCGTATGGTTCCTCCATTGTTGTGGTTAAAAGTCTATTCTTGAGGCCGTGTTCCTTAGCAGGACTTCTTTTCAATGTATGTGGAAAAGGTTGGACTAACAACCTCTGTTGTCTTCTACTCAGTACACACCAAACTCTTTATCTTGTAAATTGTTATTGGGTATGACCTAATTAGGAAAAGGATGCCTTGGGCAAGTGTATACATGAAAAAAGCAGAGTTTTCCTTGCGTGTCGTAACGGTACGCGATATAGCCTCTACTTCATTCACGACAACCTCAAAGTGAGAGAACGATCTCTGCATTTAAAACTCTTCCTCTTGTTCTTCCTCCCACTCTCTTTCTTCCTTCTTCAACCTCTTTCCCATCTCCTTCTACTTTTCTTCCTGAACTGGCTTTCCTGTTTCCCTCTTATTGTTTCACACATCTACTTGTATGAGCCTTACAGCTTCTTGTTCCCTGTGATCATATCAACTCTTGCTTCATTTTGCGTTGCCTTGGATCTTAGCCACTTGAGCTGCGGTTAATACATCCAAGACGCGTTCAAGATGGATCGTCCTCCTCGTGGTCCTGGCTTCATTTGTGCTCGTCCTGAAGGAAATTTTACTCCCCTCGTTCCCCTCGACGAGTTCCCGCCCAATATCTCTATCCGAGGTGTTTCTCGTATCCTTACCCCTGCTCAGACTCAGGGAATGACGAGCTGTGGCATGGCCCGCGCTCGTACTGAGCCATGGGCTTTTGAAGGAGCTTCAACTCTGGCTCCCCCCAGCAAAAATGATTTGACCGAGCTGAAGTCGGCTCTTATCAAAATGATTGGCGACAACTCTCTGCCCAATCATTACCGTGATCTGATTCAGAACATCATGAGCCGCTGTCTCATCAATGTTCCCTGCGCCCAGGCCACTACTTCAGCTACCCCAGCTGCTGCTGTCCCTGCCAGTGCCAATAAGTGCACTCCTCTTCCCGGAGATGATCGTGTAAGTAAATTTTCTTCCGTCAGAGTGAGCTATATACTAATTCTCATTATAAGCAGCGTGCGCCCGTCTCTCGTGAGCAGGATCGCATCCCAAACCGTAAGAAGTACTGCTCGTACTGGATTCGTCACGGAGAATGTGATTACCTTCAGCAAGGTTAGTGTCAACCCCTCCTCCTCCACGAAAATACACAGAGACATAAACTAATTTATTCAATCACAGGCTGCATGTACAAGCATGAGATGCCCCTCGAGCCTGGACTCATTGAAGAGCTTGGCCTCCGTGATATCCCGAGATGGTATCGTGAGAAGTACAACGTTCCCAGTCTTCTCCACGCAACCTATCATCGGCCGCAGGCTCAGCTCGCGATTGCCGGTCAGCCTCAACAGAAGACCATTGAATACAATGAGCCTTCGGCTTCTTCTGACGATCGTGGTAACAATGCTGAGAATGCCAACCACCGCGTCAACAATAGCGGCCGGCTCAAGGCTTCTCGTGGTGCTCACAATGGCAAGGCCCGCGGTAATGGCCGTAGTCAGAACAGCAACCGCAACGTGAACAGCACTGCCAACGATATTCTCAACACCAACGGTATGAGCCAGATGCACAATATGCCTGCCAACGGCATGAACCAGATGCATGGTGTCACTGTTAGCGGCATGGGTCAGATGCACAATGTGCCTCGCAAGATGACTCCTGATGACAGCACTAGCCCCGGCAGTGGCATCAGCATTGCCAGCCAAACCAGTTCCATGAAGACTGGCCCACCCCTCGACCTTCAGAGCACTACAGCGAATAGTGTGTCTCGTGCCCCGACTGTTGTGCCTATTACCTCAGTCGCGCCTCCCAACCAATTCGGGGCTGCGCCCGTTGGCTTCCATGCCAATCATGTCCCGCGCTTTGCGCAAAACGAAGGCATGCTCCATGGGGCTTCATTCTCGGGCCGCCGTCTGGCCAATCCCGTGATTGACTGTCTGGAAGACGACACTTCCAGCGGCTCGGCTAGAAACTTCAAATCCCCTAGGGCTCCTGACTTTTACTGTCGTCAAAATTCTCGTCGCTTGTATGATTTCGGCTGTGACGGAGATGTGAAGAAGGAGTCTGGCGCAAGCCCCGAGCCTCTCACTCCGATCGAGGAGATTGTCGAGCCTGAAAATGTTGAGCTCGATGTCATTGAGCCCCAGCATTTCAAGTCCGGCCTTTTCGACTCCGAGCTGTTCAAATCCGATGGCCATACTGTTCCGATCCTTTCCACCATGGGTGCTCTTCTGAAGAAGCTCCTCTCGGAGTCCGAGGAAATTGATCCGCATCGGGTTCTCTTTAATTTTGGACCCATTGGCGAGGATGTTAAGCTGCCTCCACAGATCCAGTGCCCCAAGATGGGCACACTTATCGACATCGACACCAAGGATGTCACTCCGGCTCCGGCTGCTCTGCCTGCCATGTACACATTTGGCCAAAATTTCATGTACGGCCATGTCAACAAGTAATTCCGACTGAAGACGTCGTGTTCGAACTGGCTTTTTGCCGATTGAACATACAATGCCACGATATGGCCGGACGTTTCTGCTTCTATTCAAGCCCTCGTGTGTTTACAATCTCTGGTCCATCTTATGTGTTTCTCTTTTGATCCTTCTTTTCGGATTCATGGTGGTATTTCTTTATGTTTTCCTTTATGATATACCATCATGACATCCTACTGCAACAACTTGACAACCTTTTGGGTATTGGCCGGCTTTCACCAGTATCGCATGGGGATTGTTTCAGCAAGGATCCTTCTCAATATTTCAGCCTATGGTTTCATGATTTCAAAAGCGATTTATGAACGACTTTCATGGTGATTCTGCCATCTCTTCTCAATGTTATCAACGATTTGACAGCGATTTACGAGCGACTGTTGTGATCATGGTGATTTTCCATTTTCTTTTGTTCTCTATTTCCTCTGTCTCCTCTTTGCGGGCTTTCCCATTTCCTTTTGTTCTTTCTGTTTTTTTCCCTTTGCATTTTCCTATTTTTTTCCTCACATCTTTCACCGGCACATTGTTGGCTGCATTTAAATGTGGCTTGGGACCCAACTGGGACCCGAAGCTTTGTGACCGAGTTTCCTGCTCTTGTTTCCTATTTTCAGTGGATTTATTTTCATATTTGGTGTCAGCTTCCACTCCCTCTCTGCCTTCTTCCACTTCCTCTGCCTACTTCGGCCTCCTCTGCCTGTTTGAGCCATGGACTTGTTCTGAGAGCTCTCTGCGGCGGCCGGCCTCCTTTGCGGAGAGTGATTAAGTTCACCGGGGTTTAGTGCTACGGACTGCGTGATGTTGAGATCGAGATTGCGTCGAGACACCTACCAATGGCATCTCTGCTTTTTCGACTAATTTCCTCCTGTCTTTGCTGTCACATCGTTTTTTTTAAAAAAATATTCAAAAAGTCTCTCTCCATTGTAGATCGTAAATTGTAATTGTTTAATTGGTAGAGATATTACACTCGGCCCCAATTGAGCGGTTCATAGGGCTACGGTTACTAGAGATCAACAACTCAGTCTACAGAATGAAGTGGCAGCGAGACACCAATAAATTTGAACAAAATGGCTATAGTACATCTAGAAAACATGAAGCCTGATAGGACTTCGAGAAATATGCGCCCGCGCCTCGCGAATGGGTTTATCCAACCAACACACCAGAGAAAGAGATCACACAAAGAAATGTACAGTGCCTGTCGACACCTCACCGACGGACCGGCTTCTTTGCACGACTCCCAACGTGAACAGCAACACGCTCCCGCTCTGCCGTAGCCTTAGCCTTCAGCGCGGGGTTGAATTCAGGAAGGGAAAGGACAGCATGTCCAACGATCTGGTTACCATCCACAATAGCCTCACGCTGCTTCTCGGCATTGTAGCGCTCCTCACGTCGAGCAGCGAGCTGTCTTCGGCGCTCGTCGGTCATTTTCCAGGAGTCAGGGAACTGGGGGCGGATCTTTGGCTTGTGATGACGAAGGTCAAGAGGGATATCGGCAAAGGAATCACCGGTCTTGGCCTCTTTAATGAGGGAGTTTACGAGATCCGCAAGGTAACGCTTGTTCTGCGCGCGTGAGCCGAATTGTTCGGATGACATGCGCACAATATCGGTCTGAGGGTTGTAGCGGGTGCCGACCAGCTTGAGGAACGTTTGGCGCTGGGCTTCGGTCAAGTGCTTGGGTGTCAGGTCCTTAGAGGCAAGCTCCACGACGACCTTCGGTTCGGCGGGGTGCTGTTCACCCATGTAGGTAGTGTAACGGAAGCGGAGAATGTGATTTTGGGGGGGCAAGGTGAAGGGGCTTGCGAGTTCTGTCGGAACAATTAGCAAACTTCGCACGGCTACGAAGTATAAAAAGATCAATCATACTGCTAAGCATTGGCATATCCCAGGCCGCAATGCGAGCGTACTCTCTCATCTCACGGTGCACCTCCATAGAGGCATGGGCCATGGAGGTAATTTCATCGTCGTTGATTTCCTCGTCACCGTCTTCAACAAGGGCCAACTCGTCGTCTTCATCCTCGGCCCAAAAGCCACGGGACTTGGTTCGGATATCCTCGAATCGCATGTCCTCCTCCCTGTCGATCTGGTTTGACATCTTCTCGAGCTCCGCAAACACCGCGGTACGCTTGGAAACATCGTTGAAGTCGGCAACAATGCGGCGGTTCTCGGCGTCGAAAGCCGCGCGCTCTTCCGGAGACATCATATCATACATAGAGCGGGCTTCCTTGGAAAGAAGGTCAGGGGAGTACTCGGGCATTGGCGGCAAGTCAGCGGGTTGCAAGTCTTTCGGCGGAGGAGGAGGAACCGGGTCTTCGGAGACAAATCTGTATGGGGAAACCGAGAATTGGCGAGTAGAGATCCATCCTGAGCCCCGTTGGGACAGGAGCCGAGAAGACCGTCCCAATGACCGTGTAGCTGAAGCCATTGTGGCGAGTGTAGACAGGAGGCTGGACGGCTATCTTCTTGTCGATGTTTTCCATCTCCAAGTCCGCTTCACGCTAAACCTTGCCGGGTTTGAATCACGTGATATAAATGCTAGTTCGAGATAGGAAATTACAAGCACGTGATGCGCTGGCGTTATCGATATCGATAAGCCTGGAACCGATAAGCCGATAAGTTGTGAATGATGCAACAATGTTTTGACATTCAGACAGCTTTATCAGTCCCAGCCTGTTCCCAAAGTGACGTCCTTGTTATATCTCTCTAACCTACCGCTCTTTTTTCTCCTCCTTCAGTCATGGTCAGGAAAGTCTGTCTCGTGACTGTAGGGGCCACGGCGGCTTTTCCTGAGCTCGTGGCCGCAGTCGCCAATGAGCAGTTCTTTAAGACGCTTGCTGAGAAGAACTTCACACATCTCTACATCCAATATGGAGCTCATGGACGTCATCAATTTGACTCGTACTTGGCTGGTCATCAGCCAGGCGACGGATTATTCCATGGCATCGACGTAATTGGGTTTGACTTCGACAAGAATCTGGGTTACCATATGGGCCTGGCCATGGAGAAAAAGCCGGATGGTAAGCCTCACCAGCACCAGGAGCTTGGTCTGATGATCACCCATGCTGGTAAGTGATTAACCTCTGGCTGTATCTTGTTGATTGTGGGGGGACCGTTCATGGCATAGAGATTGACGCAGCTTAGGTACCGGATCAATCCTTGAGGGCCTGCGCTGCGGTCTACCGCTTATCATTGTACCAAACCCAAAACTGGCCGATAACCATCAGGAAGATCTGGCTATTCAAATGGAATCCCTTGGATATGGCGTTATGGCCCGGGCAGAGTGAGAACCTTCTGCAGATGTACTAAGACCATTCATTTTTTTGTTAACCATGCAGCAGGGATGTTGTATCGGCCATCGACAAAGCCACTGAACAACGTGTAAAGAGGTTCTCTCCCATGAAGAGCGAGAGCAAGGAAGATGTGTTGTCTGCCTTGCATGACCAACTCTCATATGTGGATTAGGCATTCATCACATTCTGCGTATACAATGGGGGTGGTGTACATATCTTTAGATTTCCCTATGACCTAATCTGAGATTGGGCTTGGAGTTTGGTGTCTTCACTATGTGGTACAAGTTGCTCCCCGCCTGAAAATATTTGTATTTAGCTAGGCGTTCGTTGGTCTGCAGGCGTTGCTCATGAGTCTTGTCTGAAGTTGTACTATGCCGGACATGAATCTCCAGAAGACCAGGCAAACGACTGGTAGTTTGATTTATTTTCTTTCAATCATGCAAAAAGTACAAATTCACTTTATTGTCAAAAGGTTGGTATAATGGAATCACCCAAATTGTCACTAAAGTAAGCTTAAATGTAGGATTGAAACAATCCCGAATGCAATTAACAGATCTATGGTATTTCCAATCAATTGTCTTTTCTAGATTTGGAAATATACTAGTGAAATAGTATACGGTATATGGATTGATGGTGTTATTTTTTAGTTTGAACTAAATCATGGTAGGTTCTCAAGATCCGAGTGGATGTGTCTGCAGCGCCATCATTGGCCCAAGCTTCTTGTTGACAACTCCCCGACGCGAAAACATCCTAACCCCCTCGACGAGGTGAACCCCAGTTGACAACTCTTACAATCATTGATGTCCTCTTGTCTTGGACATTGCTCTTGATCCCTCTGAGTTGTCGATCATAGGCCGTGGGGCCGTCTCATAACTCTCGCGCCTCAACCCCCGAATTCCCCGTCTACCACCCAACCCCCCGCAATGGCTGAGGCTACCCTACACAACGTGCCAATTGTCATTGACAATGGCAGTGGCACCATCCGAGCTGGCTTTGCAGGAGAGGAGATCCCATCATGTTATTTCCCCTCATTCGTCGGTCGTCCCAAACACCCGCGGGTCATGGCCGGCGGCCTCGAAGGCGACTCGTTCATCGGTCAGCGCGCACAGGATCTCCGCGGTCTGTTGAAGATCCGGTATCCGCTCGAACACGGAATTGTCACAAATTGGGAAGATATGGAGTCTATCTGGCATTATGTCTATGAGAACGAGCTCAAAACTCTGCCTGAGGAGCACCCCGTGCTGCTCACCGAACCTCCGCTGAACCCGCGCGCCAACCGCGATACCGCCGCCCAACTGATGTTTGAGGCATTCAACGTTCCAGCTTTGTACATGTCCATTCAGGCTGTGCTTTCTCTTTACGCGTCTGGGCGCACAACCGGTGTCGTTCTGGACTCCGGAGATGGTGTCTCCCATGCGGTGCCCGTGTTCGAAGGTTTCGCCATCCCCAATAGTATCCGCAGAATCGATGTCGCTGGTCGCGATGTCACAGAGCAGCTGCAATTACTCCTTCGGAAATCCGGTCATGTCTTGCACACCAGTGCTGAAAAAGAGGTTGTACGGATGATTAAGGAGAAGGTTTGCTACGTGTCGCTGGACCCGAAGCGCGAGGAAAAGGAGTGGATGAACAGCTATCACAAGTCGGATGCTAAGGCAATTGACTATGCCCTGCCGGATGGACACAAGATTAAGGTGAGTAGACATGCCCCGTATTGTTTTCTCGATGGGACTTGTACTGATATGTCATCTTTCTATAGATCGGTCAAGAACGCTACCGTGCCCCTGAAATCCTCTTCGATCCCGAACTAATTGGCCTCGAATACCCCGGTGTACACCAAATCGTTCAGGATGCTATTAGCCGGACAGACTTGGACTTGCGCAAGTCACTATACCTCAACATTGTGCTTTCTGGTGGATCAACACTGTGCAAGAACTTCCCGGACCGTCTTATGCGTGAGATTAAGCGACTTGCCGTTGAAGATATGAAGATCCGAATTTCAGCGCCCGCAGAGCGCAAGTACACCACATGGATTGGTGGTAGCATTCTGGCTGGTCTTAGCACATTTAGAAAGGTATGGAGGATTATAGCTCCGATATGTGGGATACAAGCTAACCAAATCCCGTCTACAGATGTGGGTGAGTGCGGATGAATGGCATGAGGACCCTGAGATTATCTTCAAGCGATTCGCATAGACGAGTCGCTCCCTTTACCTACCAGGCGCCTGGCTCTTGCAAAGTTGGCAAGACAACATCTACATCCCGATACCCTCAGCAAGAAAGAGGGAATCTGTCTCCAGATCGATAACTGCTGTGCAGCAATCTTGGTTTCAAAGAGGGTCGCGCATAGCAGGTGATCAGCGATCGCCTGGAATCTTGCTGAGTCGTGCATAGTATCTGCGACTTTTGATACCCATCCCCCAATTCACATCCCCTAGATCTCTCGCCCATATGTGACATCATACTTGACTTCTTCTGCTCATATCAATATGTGCAAATAAAGTTTCTTCGTTTGCTGGAGTCTTGTTTATGTTGGATGATCACAATGGGCGCTACAGACTTGTGTTGTAACAAGTGGCCCTACGTGAATCTCGTCGTTGTAAATTAATTGCCCTTTTGAAATTTAAGAAACCATCTCGATATCCCTGGACCAGCTGATGTTTCTGAACACCTACTCCGTCCATTTCGATTCATCGTATTCATCCATCAGCCGAGTATAATCTTCGCCGGCTGCTGCCCAACCCTTAATGCCCCCCTCGAGGACGAGACTTTCCATTCCCCCATCTTTCTGTTCTTCCAGATATCCCGCAAACCAGCCAGCCGCACGTGTTCCACGACCTCGAGAAGAGCCTGCATTCTATTTGTTAGTTGACCTCCTTTGATGGAGGAAACGAATCGCACTAACCACAGTACCATATGACTTTGGAGACTCTGGCTTGCGAAAAAACAGAATATAAAGTCGGAATGGTAGGATACAGACTCTGTGCAGGAAGATTCAATGAACCTCGAATGGTACCGCCCTATGCACAATACACTTGGTGAGAATGACAGATAAGAATTGTAGAAATTTTGGTCATACCTCAAAGTCTGTGCGACGTAAATCAATTAGAATATAGTCTTTTCCGACCTTCTTGCCTTCCTTCATCCATCCAAGTAGTTCGAGGCGGGATATCGAACTTGCAACAGTCCTTGGGGCAGGGTAGGCTGCGTGCCAAGGAAGGCATGCAGGTGCTGCTGGAATCATTTTTGTCTCGTTCGTTCGTCGCGATGTTGGTAAGTACAAGAGGATATGATAGTTGAATTTAAAAGAGACCGCAAATACGATACCGGACTAAAACCAACGTTCCAGTGTTCGAGTATTGGATATCTGTTGATATAGTCCATGTGTGGAACACCAGCGTTGAGCATGTCACTGCTCGTTGCTGATTGGTCAGCTTTGGGGGGTTTTTTCCACTTATGGGCGTGATTGGCCACTTTCCCACTCTATGTGCAGCAGACTCCTTGCAAGTCTCCAAGTCTGCTTTTCAATTTCAATTCAATTGATCTATCAAGAAACAAGCTTCTGTATAGAATTTCCCCCTTTATACTCGACATTAGTGTCAAATATGATCGCCACAAATCATCAAACAACTGTTCCCGAGGAAACACAACTTCACAACCCAACATCGGACAAGCTATCGTCAAGTCCTACAGCCGATGATGTCGAAAAACAAAGGACTAACGATTCCGAAGTGGTCACTGAGAAGCATTCGGCTTTCAAAAGCCTTGGCTGGTTAGATCGTTTCCTAGCCTTATGGATCTTCCTTGCAATGGCCATCGGGATCATACTGGGAAATTTCGTGGAAAATACAGGACCCGCGCTGCAGAAGGGGAAGTTTGTTGGGGTTTCTATTCCGATCGGTACCTACCCATGAATTATCAAAGTCGCTGAGTCCCGGCTAACCAGCGCAAGCGATTGGTCTTCTGGTTATGATGTACCCCATTCTATGCAAAGTGCGATACGAATCTTTGCACCATATCCTACGACAACGTGGTATCTGGGTCCAGATTGCATTTAGCATCATTGTGAATTGGATTATTGCACCCCTCTTAATGGTAAGACTCTTTGACTAGGTACGATAGAATTTACTGACAATAATATAGCTAGGACTGGCGTGGGCTTTCCTACCAGATGAACCAGAACTGCGAGAAGGGTTAATTCTAGTCGGACTAGCCAGATGCATCGCTATGGTAACTTCCTCTTTTCCTGGGCTATACCCGAATAATACTAACTTCTTATTGCCAATAGGTACTTATATGGACCAGCCTGGCCGGCGGTGATAGTGAATACTGCGCTATTCTCGTTGCGATAAACTCACTGCTGCAGATGGTGCTCTTCGCCCCCTTGGCCATTTTGTTCATCAATATCATTGGCAACTCGGGTAGCCATGTCACACTCTCCTATGCTACAGCTGCTAAAAGCGTGGCAGTGTTTCTCGGCATCCCACTAGGCGCTGCAATCGTCACTCGCATTACCCTACGGAAGATCGCCAGTCCACGTTGGTACGACCAGGTTTTCTTGAAGTGGGCCGGCCCATGGTCACTCATTGGGCTCCTTTTCACGATTCTTGTGCTTTTCGCTTCTCAGGGCCGCCAGGTGGTTCATCAGATTATATCTGTGATACGAGTTGCCGCTCCTCTTATTGTTTATTTCATCATTGTCTTCTTCGTTACTCTGCTGGTGACCTACAAGCTTGGATTTGGTTATAAGTTAGCTGCTACTCAGAGCTTCACTGCTGCCAGCAATAATTTTGAGCTTGCCATTGCCGTTGCTGTTGCAACTTTTGGTGCTGACAGCAATCAAGCGCTAGCCTCTACTGTCGGGCCTTTAATTGAGGTTCCTGTGCTGCTTGGCCTTGTCTATGTTGTCAAATTTATCGCCAAACGAGCTGGTTGGAAGGATTGAAACAAAAGTGAAAAGAAATGTTCATATTCGCAGCTTCGGGGGCTTTTTGGACTTTTCCATTTGTTGATCACTGCATATCTCATTGGAATTAATGGGCCGGATTGGAAGACTCTAGAGCCACTGCAAAGCATTTCAGCAGTCATAAATACATTTAATGATCAATTTTAGCCCTACGTGCATAGCTATACTACTGGTAGAATAAACCTATTTCAGGAACCCTCTTCTTATCAATATTTCAGCTTGAAGCAAACCATGACCAATAAGCAGTGAGGATAGATCTCAACCTATTGGTCTTATATATTACTGGTAAGCTCGCTTTATCTAATCCTAAATCTAAACTACCATCATTTTCTGGTGTCCTGGATGACTGAGACAAACGTGTCATTAAGTGACAAATAAGCTTCCAAGGTTAACGGTGACATACCAGCAATGAATTACCCAATCAGAGCGAACTATCAACCACCCCTCACATGAAGGACAAAGTAGATTATTGCCACAAAGTCTCTGTCCGTGCCTCGCGAATATTTGAATCTAATGACTCCCAACCAACTTTTTGTGGTCCGCAACTCTATCCCATCCCCGTCCTCTTTTCCCACCACCTTCTTTTTTCCCAGCTGTGCAACAATCCAAGGTTATCTTCCCATCTTCTCCGCACTACTTCACCGCTAATTACCAGCAAGGCCACTTCATATCTGCCCTGTCGAGCCATAACAGTCAACGAAATGAATCCGAAAGACACATATCGCTCTGTGCAAGACCGCTATGCAGGAGTTGCGAGCCAGATCGATGACTCTCGCGAACAAGGAGATTATGAACGCAAAGTCGCAAAGGCCTTTGGGTATGATCTGGAGGATTTGCGTTCTATTCCAGAGTCTGCGAACCTAGGTGTCAGCTGTGGGAACCCACTGGCAATGGCAAGCATAAGAGAGGTAGGGGATGTCAATGGTTTACTCCTTGGTGCCGAGTCTAATATCAATGCGCAGGGCGAGGTTGTAATTGATTTAGGTAGTGGTGGAGGCATTGACGTTTTACTAGCCGCTAAGAAGGTTGGAGCGGAAGGAAAGGCCATAGGTGTTGACATGACCAAGGTACGCTGAATATTCCCTACTGAGTTGAGTATTCTGGCAGTTAATGGTAGCAGGATATGCTAGAATTAGCACGTCGGAACGCAAGAAAAGCCGGCGTCTCCAACGCATCCTTCATCGAAGCATTCATTACTTCTATACCGCTACCAGCTTCCACTGCTGATTGCATCATCAGTAACTGCGTGGTGAACCTGGTGCCTGAAGTCGAAAAGATTCTTGTCTTTCAGGAGATGTTCCGGTTGCTGAAGCCGGGAGGTAGGGTTGCAATCAGTGACATACTAGCAAAACGGGAGCTTCCGATGGATATCAAAAAGGACCTCTCCTTGTATGTCGGATGCATCGCTGGTGCAAGCCAGATTTGCGATTATGAAAGATATCTGAAAGAAGCAGGGTTTCGAGGTACTAATGCTGCTTCTAAAAACCCCTTCACTTTGATTATTCACTTACTTCCTTATAGATTTGTTGATATTGGACACCCATGGCGATCTCAACCTTTACAAGGAAATATGGAAAAGGCAAGAAGACAATGGATTGGCTCCTACTGGCTCCTGTTGTGATTTGATTGAATCTAGCACAAGCGCCTCGCGGATAGAAAAATCACCTGATGTAGATTTTAATTTCTGGACTGGTGAGTGGATCGATCTACAAAGCAACTATCATTGACGCAGCGCTAATGGGATATCTCTTGTCAAGGCTCTTTCAAAATATTTGCCATTAAGCCCGATGTGCACGGTTGAGGGTGCCATGGATTGATTTGAGTATACCCAAGTTTTCCCGTCGGAGACAGAAGCATTCAACATTATTTGTACCTGTCCAGGAAAGAATTTTGGCAAAATCTACTTGCAAGTTAACCGGGGTGACTCTTCAACATTTCTCTTGGTGCTCTTGAGGGCGTGGAAGTTGCTTAATTACCCCGCAATTTCCGGCCCAAGCTCTGGTATTTACTCAGGTCGGAGATAACCGTGGCTTAATCACGGCAGAGTTCCACATGTCCATTATCCATTATCCGTCAGAAGATATGCAACTGCCTGGTTTCTGACTAGGTTCTACCGCTAGGCGAAATTAGACATAAATCGAGCCAATTCAGGCAGGGTGCAGGCGCATATTTTCTGGATATCCGATGGATAATTCTTGGCAAAGATTCTATCCAAATTTCAAAGCCAAGGTGTGAACCGTACCCCATCGTGGGGTGGCGTAAGATCAAATCCCGGCGACCAAAAACTTAGACAATTGATCCGACCGGATCCCACCGGTCCAGTGGATCGACTTTTGGGCCAAGCAGCCATATGGAGTGGAAATTGCTGTCGGATGACCGATCGCAAATGTGGCCAGAAACTGGATTTTGGCGGAATAAAAAGTAAGACTAGGTATTCTTGAGCATTTCTTTCAGACAGCTTGAGACCCAGGCTGTGTTGGAAACTATGTGGGAAACGACAGAACCGAAGTTAGCCCGAGTACCTTAATGCAACCGGCAAGCGGCCGACCCCATAGACCTCGGAACCGCGATTCACGATCTATCGATCTACCGAATTACGTGCATAATCTATAGGCACTAAAAGCATAATCGTAATTGGCGCTAGTAAGGAAATCCGCAAGAATCCTCAAGGTGACACCACTTCCACAAAATATTTCTCCTTAAGATTGTTGTCCTCTTTTCAATTTGGGGTTCTCTGTTCCTGGATTTGACAACCAGTGTATAGCCATGGCACATCTTGCGGATAATGATGTCTTTCCAATTTCCAACTTGCGAGATATGATAGGCCTTGGAGGGAATCTCGCCGTTGGAGATGCTCACGGCCTTCGCGAGATGATGGAAGCCCAATTCAAAGCTATGAAGGCTCTTAATGTTGCGAACTTTGCGAACATTTCCTTGAAAGTCTACCATGCCGCCGCATCGGATGGTCATCAGGTGGCCATACACCATTACCGCAAAGAGTCCGATACTGCAGAAGATACACTAAAGCCTGCAGTTCTTCACTTCCACGGAGGGGGAATGATCTTGGGAAGTGTTGATCTTCTTGAAAATGGAGTGAAAGCATATGTGGCTACCACAGGATTGGATATCTTCTCGGTTGATTACCGGCTGGCACCGGAATATCCACATCCGGTACCATTTGAGGACTGCTACACGTCTTTGCTATGGCTCAATAACCATGCTGCCGACCTCTCCATCGATCCCCGGCGAATCGCAGTTATGGGCCAGAGTGCTGGAGGTGGACTTGCGGCGAGTGTGGCACTGGCAGCAAGAGAGAGGAAGTTATACCCACCATTAGCGAAGCAGATCCTTATCTATCCAATGCTGGATGATAGAAATGTCGAGCCCAACCCCCTACTCGAACCCCATCTCACATGGAGTACTGCGGACAACCGTACAGGCTGGGGGGCATTGCTGGGCCATAATATGGCAGGTGATAATGTCTCAGCGTATGCAGCGGCGAGTCGGGCAGAGAGCCTGGCTGGCCTTCCAAGCACATATTGTGATGTTGGCATGTACGACCTCTTTCGTGATGAGGATATGGTTTATGTAATGAGGCTTGCTCAAGCCGGTGTCGAAACTGAATTCCACGTCTATCCAGGAGCTCCTCACGCGTTCGAGTTCCTTGCAGATACGTGGCAAGCAAAGCTAGCGGAGGTAAACAGAATTCGAGCTCTGCAGAGCTTTTGAAAGAAGTTTTCAAGTCAATCAAAGTCACAATTAGTTTCGAGAATACATTACTCCCCAGACACTAACTATTTATTACCTGGTCCTAACCGACAGCGTCAAATTTTCTTTGTTAGGCCGGGGAATAGTAATCTAGCTGCAGTGTAGACTTACTAAATAATAGTGGGTAGTTACTTAACTAACTTAAAGAAGCCCCCTTACAAATCCAGTTTGACCAATCAGCGTTCGCCAGTGACATACTTCATCCACATGTAATATCTAAAACTTTTTATTAGCTGCCTGTAATTTCTCTGGTTTCTTTTTCTCCCTCGAGTCAATGCTTTTTCGATATCTGCAAGAATTGTCTTCGGCATCGAGGCCGATTGTTTCGCGGGGACCATTTGCGTTGCAACCGATATTCCCCAAACGCATGTCTTCCTCTATCCCACAGCAAGGGATTTCCGACATGCGCCAAAACGATGTCATCTATCGATCTCTAGCATTGTCCTCGATTGAAGATGATGCAAGCACCCGCCAGAAGTACCGACCATTTATTCTCGACAATGATGTCAATGCCACCGAAGACTGGGTCAATAACTTGGACCTGGCCACCGCTCTCAACATGGCTGAGCATGATCTACAAAACACGAAAGAGAGACTTAAAGTTTTGGTACTTTATGGTAGTCTCAGAAGCAGATCTTATTCACGACTAGTCGCATTCGAAGCATCTCGCATCCTTTTTCGACTCGGTTGTGACGTGCGGGTCTTTGATCCTGAAGGTCTGCCAGTGAAGAATGATCGTGAAATAGACCACCCGAAAGTACAGGAACTCCGTAAACTCAGCGCCTGGAGCAACGGGCATGTCTGGGTCTCGCCAGAGCAACACGGTAATCTTGTATGATGCCTCACCTTAACTCAACACTCCAGCAATAACCTACTTACTCGTGCTTTTTGTCCAATGCTAGACCGCAGTCTTCAAAAACCAAATCGATTGGATCCCTTTGAGCACGGGGAGTGTCCGTCCCACCCAGGGTCGAACACTAGCTATTGCTCAGGTGTGTGGTGGATCTCAATCCTTCAACGCCGTCAACTCTTTGCGTATACTCGGTCGGTGGATGCGCATGTTTACTATCCCGAATCAATCATCAATCCCGAAGGCGTATACACAGTTCCCGGATGAGGGTCAGCCAGGGGACCAGCGACTCATGCCTAGTGGAAATCGAGATCGGTTGGTGGATTGCATGGAGGAATTTGTCAAATATACTATTCTGATGCGACCGCATATGGATCTTTTTGGAGATCGGTTTAGCGAACGGGAAGAGAAGAAGCTAAAGGAGGCTCAGATGAACGCAACTAGATAGACTTGAATAGAATATTAAACAACAGACGTTAACTCTTTTGCCTACAAAAGAAAAAGCCTGAAGGCCAAAAACATTGCCTGTATGGGTACAATATCAGAGAAAAGGGAATACAAAGTATTGAATGGGGGCGCAACGTTCCATAGGTTTAGACATCTCTTGACGAGACAATAGATTCATGATCAATTTTTGAAGCTTGCCATTCCCGCCAAAGCCTCCTTCATGCGCGCTAAATCGTCCTTTTGCCCCTTCACCACACTGAAGTAGTCAGATGTGACCATCAATAGCTGAAAGTCGTTCAGCCATGTGTTCGTCGCGCCAGATACCTTCCACGATACCACCGCCAAAGGCTTCCGATACCGCCGTGACACCATCACCAACCGATCAATTGCATCTACTATCTCGGGGTTTTCAGGGTCACCCATTCGGCGTGAAGGACAGCGCATGGCAACTCGAAGGTCGCCAGCGCCTAACATTAGGGCGTTCACACCAGAGACTGTTGCTATGGATTCTGCATTTGCGACAGCAAGCTGAAAGACAATGTCCTCAGTCTATTGTACGATTTCATAGGAGGGAATATCGGACTTACAGGGCTCTCTATCTGGATGATCACCGCGATATTGTTGTCTGCGACACGTTCATGAGAGGACTCCGCCGGTGCCACATCCGTAACTCCAGGAACTAATACCGCTGGTGCAAGCGACCGGTCTCCATCCGAATATGCATACCGGCACTTGCTGACAGCTTCGACGGCTTGCTCCGGTGTATCAATGTGCGGAAAAATTATACCCCCAGCTCCTGTTCCCAAGGATTACTGAGTGATTTGGATCAAAATCTGATGGTCACAGACCAGACCTACCGGCGTCCAGAGCATAGGTTAGTAGATGTGATTGAGCAGACGGTACTCGGCAGATGGGAACGGTTCTTCCTCCACTAGCGAGGCTGACGGTTTGTATTAGGCGAACGAGATTCTCAGCTTCAATCGGTCTGCCCGGCCGACACAGTTCATATCAATTAGACCTAATATTGGATTACGGTCATTCAAGTAAGAGAAGAGGAACTAACGTATGCTGTGCGTCGATCATGACAAAGTCATAGCCTAGGACTGCCAAGGTGCGAGCCGATATGGTGTGAGGAATTGAGAGAATGGAGCCCATTAAATGCGAAGGTCTCCCGGACGACGAGTCCATAGTGTCCTCCAAGGCCTTGGCCAGGTTTGAAGGTTGGAAGAGAGATGCTGCACGGTAGTCCTCCATATTTGCTTGGGCTTTGAGCCGTAAAGGTGTAAAATCGTTCCTTTGCCCTTGAGTACTGATCTTATACTCTGCTCCATTGCCGGATGTGGAAAGAGTGTTACATGTCTTCTAAATGATCATGTCAGTGACTTTCCTGGCTTCGGACGGCCTGATATTGTAGAGCCCTGGGTCATAGCGTATGACGAGCCAGATTAAGTGTTCTGCTCCACTGCCGGATGGGGAAAGAGGGTTACATGTGTGCTGAATAATGATCCACTACGGGCATCTAAATGCAAATAGATCTTTAGAAATCTTTCAAATATTTGGCCCAATACTAAAAAGCTAGGAATCCGATGTAGTCCTGATAGGGCAATGGCGAAGGGCCGGTCCGTTGTATCGAATCAAATCCTTCATATTTTTCTGTACATACACAATAGGGGATACACTACCGACTCGCTCGGGAGATAGAGAGGAAAAGGCACTCCCTTATTCTACCGAAGTCGGGGTAAGCCTAGATGAATGTATAGCCTTTCTATCTACCTTCTTACCTAAGTGCTTAGAGAAGAACTGGAGAAGTAATATGCTGCTAATGGCTTTTCAGTAGGAGACTACATGTTGATAAGTAGGAAGCCTGGTAATAACAGGTTAGTACAACAAAGGTGAAACAGTATAAGTCAACTATTTTCATTCGAGTAGGATTGCATTAATTGTGCATGGGGAACGAACCGTCCCGAACCGTTTGTCCACGGGCTGGGCCGTGCCGGGCAAGTTCGGAACAATCCGAGATCACCTGACCAAGATCCTGTTAAGGCGGTACAGGGACTGTCGTTCTTCAGTCATTGATAACTTAAATTTAAATATTATAGTTAGAGGTGTAGACAGAGTACTTCATTTGGGAGGAGATATCTTGCTCTGGTTATCATAGTTTCAAGGTTCGAGAGTTCGAATAGCTTAGACATGGTAATGCCATACGCTTAGCTGGTACTTCAGAGGTTGAGATTAGAATAAGAAATTTGATACTATGTTACGCTTAGATACGAAGATAACAAATCAACATGGTAGCATTCAGCGAAGTATCTAGCTAGAGATTCTGTGACTCTTATTGATATCACCCTCATAAACACGGTTGGTATCTTCCATCTCGGCATCTCCCATATCTGCTACAGTAAAAGGCCGCCAATCGTCACATTGGTCACTTATTCTCAATTTGTCATGAGCAATTAACAACACTCTACCCGGTCTCATCGTCATCATCATTGTTTGAAGCCTACTGATAAAGCCTCTAATAGCATGATTTCCTCCATAGACAAGACTTCAAAAGGAGCTTCTTCCAAGATCTCTGCCTCTTCGTCGTCGTTATTCTGACATTCTTGAGAATCAGTGTCTTCCGTATTCTCTTTCTCTCCACCATCGTAGGCCTGACACTTCTGGAAATTTTAATCTTCCACATTATCATTCTCTTCATTATCGTTATGCTTACCCCCCTGGATTTCGCTCCCTCCTTCCATCGAGATCATCATGGCTGCTCCCTTTCATTTGGTTATGTCTCTTAGGTTTCCCAGCCTGACTGATCAAGAAGTTGAGAATACTGTCTTCTTATTCCCAACTCATTCTCACTGTTGAAAGAATCGAGGTCTATAGAGCAGCTGAATGCCTCTCCCAAAGGCAATGCCAAACAGGGGCTCAATGGCCGGGACGAATACAAGACCTACTTTGATAACGTGCTTGATGAACTCGACGATAAATCTGGAGTAATCATATGGATGCTAGCTAACCTCGATCCCAAAAATTGCGCTTATGGTCTTCTAAATCTGATATCGAATACTAATGTAAAAGATCCACTCTAGATCAGGTACGAACCAAGCAACCACGAAATAACAAAATGAAATTAAAAAAAAAAAACAAGTAAAAACATGGAAAATACAATCTAAGGCAAAATTGATGTAATAAGGATTCTTCTAGACAGCTGAACTAAGACAATGAAAATTTCAAAGAAAGCCATCGGTAGCCATCGCCTAAACACGGCTACCACGTTACAGGTACGACCCACGCCACTATGTCGCCATCGGCTAGTCTCCACCGAACCCCAAAGAATCACGTCTCAGCTACGAATCCACTACAAGAAAAATTGAAAATTGAGACAGAAAAAAAAATTACGAAAAGAAATTTAAAAAAAGATTTGGAGTGTCTGAATACCGCCAAGGATAGCGTATATTTCCATTGTTAGGCCCTGGGCTAGGAAGTAGTAGCCAAGAGTCGCGATAGGGGGAATCTGAATCTGAATAAAAGAGATAAAGGAGACGAAGACACAGGCCACAAAAAAAAAAAATTACAGGACTCCAAATGGATGCGACGAGACATTCGATAAGTTGAAGTTCGAAATAAGCCCCATAAGACGCCATCCTAGGAAATAGGTTGATAAGGTTGAAGAAAATAGACCGATCTTTGAAGACACGGCGCAATGCATGTATTGAGGACCACGAATGATCGAACCCAACAAAGAAACGCCGTTCCCATGATAATTGGAGTGAGGATTTCTTTGAGAACAATGCGAGTAGTCGCAGCAAGTGGGTATCGGCGACGGAGTAGCATCAGGAATCAGAATCGACGGAAGGTGTAGATCGCTTAAATTGCGAGATCGAATCAACAGCCCGTAGGTTTCTTTCCATAGTCAAGGTCGGAGCCCGAGATTAAGGCGAGATAAAGAGAAGGCGGCGAAAGCAAGAAAACAGAATAACTTTTGGTGTTTTGTCGTAATGGGGTCGTAATATCATGAAGAGCTGATGAGTGTTCATCTATGCGGTGCCCTTGAGCTTGCCCCATCCCTTCTCCAGGCCACGGCGGGCCATGTCGCGAGCGCGGTCGGCCACGGACCCGGTGCTGCTGTTGGTAGCAGTGCTGGCAGAAGAGTACTTGCGGCTGAGGCTGTAGTTGCTGCTGGAGTCGTCGCCGCGGCAGATCATGTTGCCGGCGCCACCACGACCGACGTGGTAGACGGGGGCGGCGCGGCGAAGGTCGCGCTCAAGCTCCTCGTCGAAGCTGAAGATGGCGCGCTCAGAGCTGGCGTGGACGTTGCCGGCACCACCACGGCCAGAGGTGAAGGTCATAGGCGAGCGCGAGTCAAGGCGGGTTAACGAAGCCGGACCAGTTGCGGAACGCGACTCGGTAGTCTTGGTGTTCTTGAGGCTCACCACATTTCCGGAGCCTCCGCGGCCAGTGAAAACAGCTGGACGAGTGGAGTGAGGCACCGAAGGGTGAGGCTCAACGACGCGGTAATTTGAAGTCATTATTAAAGATGTGTATAGAGTAAAAGCTGCAAGAGCTATGAGGATGTCACGGCCATATGGGGAAGTTCACGATATTGAAGAAGTCTGCAATTCATGGAACCGGACATGACGGGATCAGAGCCTTATGTAGTAATTAGCAAGTTGGGGGCATAGAGTCATTTGCATCCACGATGTCCACGGGTCACAAGGTGCGTGGAAGTGGGGCGTTTAATTGTGTGGAGTAATTTGGTGGATTTTTGAATTTTCTGTTTCTGTAGCGTCATCGCCATGTTAGAGCGGCAAGTTGTATTCACTCAATCTGGGCTAGTAGTGGGTCTGACTCATCCGCCTCGGTGCTGCAGCAACGAGCCCTGTGACCAGATGACCGGATGTTATTGGATTAAAAGTTTTTCTCTTCTCCACTCACCCTCACCTGCTGCTTTAACACACCGTCCCTGGCCTGGATCATCTGACTGGGTCCCCAAGACCAATAATAGTCCCTCACACGTAACAGAAACCACCATTGGCGCCAATCAGCACCCGCGGCGTCTAAAAACAGGGATGAGCGGCGGTTTTCTGGGGGTAATGAAAACTCCCAAAGAGGAATCTAACCAAAGAAAAAAAACCTCATTCTCTCCACAATTTGGAAACAATACGTTCACCGCACCTCGTGGTCTGGTTCGGATCTCTCGCTTTACGTTGACTCAGGGCCAGGTGTCGCCATTGCCCCGTGTGACAGTCCCAAGGCACTGACTGGTTCAAACATTGCATCATCCCGGCCCGAATGACTTCTATAATAGGACATATTCATAGTCCGGTATACGTATAGAGGTTTGATACTGCTGTGCCACCATCTAAGCAATGAGGCATTTGCGATTAGTCCAAATGTGTAGTTTTGTCCCTTCTTGTTCTATTTTTGTTCTCATATATTTGCGCAAGAATTTGTAGTAATTCGATTGCTATACACAAAGAAACCACGTAAAGTCTATACAATTCAAATTTTCAGGGGCCCGCTGATCCCAGCACGATGACTCCATGTGCGGGATAATTACTCCCTCTAGTTCTGTCGATCCGGTCTAGGGCCTCACACTAACCCACATGGTACCTGAGATCCTCACCAACAATTCACGCAATTCATGCCCACACCTTCAACATTGATCGACTATGGGTTTTGCCCAAGTGCTGAGAAAATACATATCAAAGCATGACCGACGCCACAGAGGCAATGCCCCTTTCTCGCCCCTTACTAGACTGTCATGCTCCGAACTTGAATTTCAGTAGTTTTACCATACCAGGAACCATCCAAAAGAGGCAAAGCGTTCCCCAGACAAACAAGGAAATAACGGGAGCAAAAAAAGAAAAATAGAAAAATAGAAAAAAAGAAGAAAAAAAAAAAATGACGAAACCAAGTGGATCGACAGCAGAGAATAAAAAACTTTTCCCGCTCATGTGCCCTAACTGGCCCAAGGATCCGAGTCCGGTGATTATGGCAAATCAGAATCCAGATTGGGCCTGTGCGCCTTGGCCGCATTTTCCCCAGATTTTCAAATTTCGTTTCCCCAGACTCCGGGTATGAGGAACTTGCTGATTCAGACCATGGGACCGCTCTGCTTGCAGCATACAGCCAGATCCCGTGGTCCTTACTTTCCCGCTGCATTTGGAGAGGAACGAACCCTCCCATGTGCTGCGGGCATTACTCTAATTAGTTGGTCTCCTGCACTACCGCTTGTGCCTGGGCCTCGGGAACCCCGCGTT